CATCCAGAGGTCTTCCAATCTTTTAGCATAATAAAATGAATTTGAGGCTGAAAGCTTTGGATATTGATTAAATAATTAAAAATTTCTTAGTTTGAAGTTCATTTCCATAAAATTTCAATTATTATTAACAGAACTGTTAATAATTTATCTTATTGATTATTATTTAGATTTAGTTTATATATCAATATAATACTGAGACTCAAATTGAGTTAAATTTAATGAAAATAATAAAAATTCACTTTAGAGCTAGGAGTTTTTTATTAATTGAATCTAACATCTATAAATCTTCTTTATCCAATATGTTGTTATCTAATGATCCATTCTATAAAATATATTTATAATTACTTAAAGTATTTTTTAGGCCTTTTTTTACCTTTGGTGCTTTAAATAATCAAATTATTTTGGATTTGGCAGTGATGATACTGATTGTTTTGCTTCATTATCATTTTTTTATAATCGTTTTACTGGTGGAATATTTTTAATGTTAAAAGTGGCATTTTATTTTAAATAAAAATCACCTACATCTCTTGGAGATATTTTATTAATTGGCAACTTCTCTAAAGGTATGAGTTTTTGCTTTTTGACAATCTTTTATAATTTCTCTTTACTAACACCATGATACTAGTGTTTAGATTAAATTATCTTTGAGAGAGATTAATATTTTTTATAATCAGATTAATGTTTGATGTTGTTTTTCATTAGAATTAACTTATCCTAAAGGTCCTCAGATATGGTAGGCTTATGATTTTATTTTACTTCCTATATAAATTATGTAAGTTTGTTTAATCTTTCCTATTTTTCTTATTCAATACCATTTTCAATTCTTTTATACTCTTCCTTGGCTTTTTGATATGAGGCTGAATAATATTGGGCTTTAAACTTATTCCATTAGGCTTCTCGTTCATCCCACTATACTCTTCTTTTTTTCTATTTTTCAATATGAATTTAGTTAAATTTATCCTCAAATTATTTAATTTCTTTAGCATCAAATTCTGGATTCTTATTCTGAGCCAGTATTTTCTTTCTTTCCTATTGCAATTAAATCATATATGTGGCATCTTATTCTGCATACCTTAAAGCAAGATATTTCTCTTTTTTCTTTTTTTCAAATCTTCTATTTGCTTCTTCCAATTCAACCTTTCGTTTAGCCTATTGTTCTTCTAATAACTTTAAGTTCTTTTCAATTTCTTCCCTTTTTTTAGCATTTGTTGTTTATTAAAGTTCATTCTTTTTTTATAATATTATTTTTTCTTCTTATTCGATCTTCTTGAATTACTCATCAATTCTTTTCTTTCTTTATATTTATATGTCATTCCATTCTTGTATCTACTTTGATATGAATTCTTGTCTTTATTTTTCTAAATTAGGATCTTATTGCCATTTTTCAACAAATTATTTTTATAAATTAATTGAACTAATTTCAATTTCACTATTTACTAAATTTGGATTTGATCCAAATACATGATGCTTTTGTTTTCTTATTTGTTTCTTTAAATGTTCTATTTTATCTTCAAGATAAAGTAATTTCTAAATTAAATCTTATCTTAAATTTTATATTTATTATTTTTATTCTATCTAATCTATTCTCAATTATTAAGTCATCTCATCTAATTAAAAAATCTCAGAACTTATTTATTTTCTTTTTTTCTCTAATTTATTACAATCAATCTTCATCAATTACTTTTACAACTTCTCAATATTATTTTTCTCTACTTCATTTTCTACAAAATCATCATCATCTTACAGGTGCACTTCTTTTCCAATCGAGACATTTTATAATATTTTATCGAGAGATTCTCCTACAAGTTTTGTGGCAACTTTCTTTGAATTTCCAATTATATCTTCATTTTGAAATTATTAAGAGAAATATTCATTGATGGATCCAAAATCTTGATGAGGACTCGGTATCATTGATAATGAATCATTTAATTTCTACAGGGCTTACGCTTATTTTTCTATTTTTGATAACTAAAATTCATTTATTACTTACATTTAATGAGTCTTAGCTTAAAATTTATTGTGTAACTGAGTCCTTCACTTCCTTATACTAAACATTTATAAAACCCTATTCCTTATTATTTTATTTTATTGTCAATTTTTATGAACCTTCTACCCTCTAAATAATTGCGTCCCCAATAAATTAGAATTCATCATTAGGTTTTTACCAAACCTCAATTCTGATTTCTGTTGCTTTTTTATGTTCTAAAACAAATCTGTGATTCCAATTATTTCCCAAAACTGTTTATAACACTGTAGGTCCACATTTTAACTTTACTTAAAAATTAGTTTGATCTGATTCATAATTTATGGCATCAATTAGTATCTTCATTTTTATAATTACTCAATATATTTTTATTGCAAAAATTATCATTCACAATAAAATGTGTAATTTAGCGGAATAAACAAAAGTTGGATAGTTTAAAGGTGTTAGTTTTAGAATCAATATCCATTCTCAAAAATAGTTTTAGTCAATTAGAATGTAATTGTTTAAAAAGAAATGTAAAGGTGAGAATTAGAGTAAAGAAATTCAGCGTCAGAATGTAAATACATTATTTTGAACAAATGAGCAAGTCAATGTACATTGTGTGGCTAAATTAACATTAAAGTATAACATAATAATTGATTTAATAGAGAAAATAGATAATATATTATTCAATTAACAAATATTATAGCCATAATGAAAAATTTAGTATAACACAAATTAGCTATAATAATTATAAAACTAAAAGAAATCAATTACTATTATGAAAATTCTAAATTATCAAGTATTCTAATAATAAAATTCTCGTTCAATTTTCAAACCGTTCATTCAAACACATAGATCAAACCTTATAGTGATATGTAAATTTATTAATGAAGGAATATTTGCGCAAAGTATAGTTTATGATATGAAGTTTACCCAATTAGATAACTTAGTTCATTATTTTTTTAACTCTGCAGAAATTGGAGAAAATTCATTGAATGCATTACTTTTATTATTAGATTGTGTACTCTAAATGAAATTTAAAGTCATAAATTTTATTTATAAGTTAAAAAATTTATATAAAAAATATCTACTTTCTCAATGCATAATCATTTTTCTTAACACTTTGTAATAATGTATTTATCTAATTACAAAATCATTATTTCTATGATTAAATATTCTAAATTATGGACTCAATATTTTATACTTAATTAACAAATATAAATAGATTATTTTTATATGTGCCAATATTTTAATACTATTAGTATATAAATATATAATAAAATATGCGGACTTTGAGAGAAATAATATTTGCATCAATTTAATTCTATCTAACTGCTTAATTTATCTTTTTAGTTTCGTACTGGACATTGAATTGGCATATGGAGAATGAGACAAAAGAAATTTTTTATATTTTGCCAAAGCTAATCTAATATTTCATCCATCTTATATTTTATCCAAATCAAGAGAATCATCAAGAAAATATTAAATAACATGCAATTTTTTATTTCCTAATGGATTTATATGGATTATTATTTTTAGAAATTTAAATATGGAACCTTTGGATTATTTTATCTTAATTGCTTATTGGTATAATATTGTTGAGTTGCTATACCATTTACTAATCCGTTTTTACAATTATATCGTATTCACAATTTTTTCTCAGCTGTTAAAAAGTGGTTAAGCTTAAATCTATACTTGTACATTTTCTAGCTTCATAATTTTGTATTACATTGATCAGCATAAATTTGGTAAGATTTTATGATTATTCTTCATTGGATTTAAGCTATCAGATTTTAAGAGCATATCAATATTTTTTTACATATTTAATTTTATAACAATATGGTGAGGCAAAAACATTATAGCTTCATTATATACTTGATACTTTAATGAATATACTTGGAATCCTTTATTTAAATTATGAATCTATTTTTTTTTGGTTTATTATAGGTTAGATAGCTTTAGGATGTTTTCATTACTGTTTATTCATAATGAGTCTTTTGATATTTACATTTTCAAATTACTATTTATCAATATGTAAGTATATAAAATTTCGGCTAAACAAAATGGTGGAAAATAATGATTTGGCTGGATACATGCAAAATTTTATCAGACTTTACTTGCTTACTTAATTAGCTCTTGATATTTAAATTATTACTGAATAATATTTATAAGCTTAAAATATTTGGCCTGAACTTATTAGACTTGAAATCACTTATTTTATTCTAAGAATCATATAATATTCATTCCATTTATTAATTTAATACTAGAATATAGATGTTTTTGAGTGTCAATTTACTTTTTATTTTTTAATGGATATTTTTGGATTTTGCATCCTATTATAATCTGGCAATTATTTTTGGAAAATACTATTTTAAATAATATTAGGATTCATCATATATTATTTGCTATTGATTGAGTCTATATCAATACATTTAGATCAGAGGTATTAGTATTTTGAAACTCTTTTCAACACATTTGTAATTTTTTTGATGCTTGAAATAATCTTCTCAATAATAGGTATTAAGTATAATTTGGAAGAAATTAAGGATTATCTAATATTTCGTGTGATTTAATACGGAATAATATTGCTATTTATTAAACACATTAATTTAATTGATAATTATTATAATTTTGGGTTTTGTTTTGTAATTTTTCAGTTAATAACTTTTACAACAATGGCATTTTATCTTTTGATAAAAATGTTTCTATTGCCTTAAAAACAAATTTTTGTAAATCTATTACTTTTTACTTAGCTATTTGTTGATTTAATTATTTTTGGACGCATTCTATATTATATTCTTTATAAACTTTTTGATTAATAAGATTCATAGGATGAGCATATAAATGGATAAGAACCCCAAAAAATATATATAATGACAGAAATATTATGGTGGTTACAAGAAGGAAATATTGAAATTATAGATGCTGATGTGAAATGTTCCATATGCTAAGTAAAACTAAAAAATGGTTCAGAAACATGTAAATTGGAATGTCACCCTACTCACGAATTTCACAGCAATTGTTTATAAGGATGGGAAATTTATAAATCTACCTGCCCACTTTGTAGATAATAAATCAAAAAATAGATTTAGGTTTCAGTACATAATTGATATTTCTAGGGTTTTTTTGATCAAAAACAATTAAATTTAAATAGATGTCAAATTCATTATTCCTAAACATTTTAAATATAAAAATAATATATTATAAATATCTATTTTAAATATATTAATTTTAACGAATATGATATTTGAATATACACTATCTTTAAATGATAAAATAAGAAGAGCTGTGACTGAATAACATCTGACAAATTAATTACAAAAAATTAGATTGAGAAAGCCTAAATAAGAAATTCCTTTTACGATGCAATCACAATTTCGGAGATTAGAAAATAAAAAATGGACAGAAATTTTTCAAGAGAATCAAAAGATTCATCAAAACTTAACAAATGTCAAATCTGTATTAAATACTACTAGTGACCTATCTGACTTTCAAAAAATAACAAAATTAAATACTCAAAATAAAACAAATTATATATTACCAAAATTAAAGCCTAGATGTAATTCATTGCTGAGAGTATGATAATTAAAATAGCACTTTATATTAATATTACAAAAATCACTCGAAAAATTTAAATAAAAAATATTCTTTTTAATATTTATGCTTGGCCCTTTAAAAGATAACTCTGACTAATCAGATTCTGAAGATATAATCGATGAATAAACCAACAATTTAATTGGAATATTCAAGGTTCGTAAATTAATAGATTCAGACAAATAACCCACAGATCCTCAATTAGTTAAAATATAGGATTATTTGAAATGTCCTATTTGCTTAAGTTTATTTAAATAGGCAGTCTATAGTATTTATTTAATTGAACTCAGTAAAGGATTGTAGTCATAGATTTTGCAAGGAATGTATAGAGAAGAGTATAAGATCATAAAGAGAGAAATCTTGTCCGACTTGCAGAAAAAAAATAGCAACAAGAAGAGACTTGCGTGTTGATGAGATTGTGTCTAAAATGCTCAATACTGTAGTTCCTGACATGGAATAATATCGCATATAGGAAGACTTATAAATATAATAAGAAATTAAGAATTTTAGTCAATAAAAATAGAAAAATGAGGAAATCTAAAAATTAGTCAGTCAAACTGATACCATACTATCATGCAACATTCAGCTCTATGCTCAAAATTAATTGATTCATCAAATCGATAAAAACTACATTAGAGCTCCTTTTAATACAACAGTGTCAGACATTATTCAATTGATCGGACTCAAATTAAATTTGCCTGAAGAATTCACATAATACATTGATATATACATCAATAATGAAATTCAAACACAAATGGACAAAACATTGGCTGAATTAAATTCGGAATATTGGGGTAGGAAGGAAGATTTTTAAATTTATAATCCGAACGATTTCCATAAATGGAGCAGTTCAGAAATGAATATTGCTAATAGATAAATACACTATTCTATAGATAGATTTTATCAAGGGTATCTTTGAGTATCAGTTAATAAAAAATAATTCAAATTCCTTATAATTAATCTCCTTATTAAGTTTTCCCAATCGTTTATACAACAATTTAATATCGTCTTTAACATTATAAAGTTCAAAAAAACGTTGAAGCTAAATTTACACTAAATTTTACATCTTATCGATTGAAGGTGCCCTTTTTGAAAGGATCAAGTTTGTTAAATATTGATAAAAGATTTTACTCATTCAAGAATTATTTTTTTTTTAGCCTAATTATTATTTCATTTTCATTCCATTAATTAAACAACAACTGAATGAATCCAATTGTTGTTTTTGAGAATAATTATGAGAGCGAATAAGAGAGAAGACTATTTTTAGCTGGTTTCTTACAAATGTAGGTTGAACTCATATTAGAAGGAGATATAAATTCAGAGATATCTGAATATCTAATAAATCCATCTTAATCTTTATCTAAGAAGTTAAATAACTCAATCACATCTAAGTTTTTGAGTAATAATTATTCCAAAAAATAAGCAAATTCATGTTGATTCACTTTGCCTTTATTTTTTAAATCCATAAAATGAAAGAAATCCATAGAATTGAAGTCTTTTTATTGCTATAACTTCAATTTTATTTCTTCTAAATACATTTCCAATTTCAAGACTTCCAACCCTAAATCAATAAATCTCTATTCATCATTTAAGAAATTCTCCGTTAATTTTGTTGTTTAAAGACTCTCTGTAATTGATGAAGCCCTTCTATTAGACTAAAATTTCTTTTTGTTACTAGCTGAAAGGTTTCTGGATTAAACAATTTGACCAGCTTTATTGCTACTACCTAATTCATCAATAAAGATGTTCGAACTCTTAGGTTAAGAGATAATGGTCTATTTCGGAGTTGATACAGGATTATTGGAATTAGGCTGCTATTCTACTTTTTGAAGAGGTTCCAACATTCTACGGAAGTCATTCAAAGTAATCTATCCTGTTCTTTATTTATCTATTCGATAAAAAAATGCAATCTATGAATAAATTATTGGAATTTACTAATTCTTCCTCGTATAACAATAATCCATTTCTTCTAAAAAATCGATCAAAATCCTTAAAATTAAGGATATTGTTATTTAGTGAATCCATACTTTAAAACATTTAATCCGCGTTGTAGTAATTACTGAGTCTGCTTTTCAATCTCTCTAGGTTTATGGCTTCATTATATTCTCTAAGATTAATGCTTCAATTACAAATTGAATAATTAAGCTAATGTGTAATCGATCGATTTTTCTAATGCTGCTTTAGTTGGTTGTTTCATAGCTGTGATCTCTCTCAATTCGCCATCAGTTTTTGGTAATATTATGTTTAGAAAGCTGAAAATTAGGATCTATGAATCATACTCTTGATAATTAAGAAACTCCTTCAAAAATGTTTTATCAAACAATGTATTGAGCTCCTATACGAAAAAATCATTTTCTTTCAAAAGTTGTACTACTTATTCAGGCTTAATCTAATTTGTATTCATTGAATCTAATCTAGGTTTTGCAATATGAATTACCTTTTGAAACAAGCGTATGGATTAAAACTAGTTTTTCTGCATAATTATATTCTTATTTGTTCTGCTCTCCTCTCAGTTAGGCTTATTTGATTAATAATCTCACATAGTAGTTATTGTGCATCTTTTGAAATGCTATAGGCCATCTTACTGTTAAATATAATTATAATTTAATATTTTTGAATAATAATATAACTAGATTATTATCATTCTTTTATTTATTCAAACTAATTAGATAGTTAATGTAAATCTTGTAGGAGGGAGCATAAATTTAAGATTCTTTGATATCATTAACCTTTTGAAATCAGTGAGGGAGTAAATTTATTTACTAACCTTTGAGAATATAGTAGACGGTGATTAAATTGATAAAATAAAATAATATTAAAATGATGTTAAATAAGTTGATAAATTTTTATTTAAGAAAATGCAGATTTTAAATAACAGAAGAATTATTTAAAAATATTTTGGCATTGTTTTTTCAAGTTATACAATATGGATATTTTACTAATATTAAGGAAATGATGAAAAATTAAGGTTTGATAAGAGACTTTGATCAGATTTTAATTGAAAATTCTTCCCATCTATTAATATAATCTGAATAGCAAATTCAATCAAATAAAAATATAAAATTTACTAACATGGATGACTCAAAAAAATAATATAGCAAAATCAAAAACGACTTAAGAGAATAAATTATACACAAGATCCTTAAGGAAAAAAAACCCATAATGGATGTAATCTAACATTAATTATTTAGGTGGCCTAGGAACATAATATCTTACAATCGACTTGCAAATCTATTATAAACACGTATATGAGAGAAGGTAGGGTCGGAAAAAAGGAGAGCAGAGTCAGAAAACTAAAAAAAGTTATGAGGACGTACGAAGTTATATTAAATCCATTATATCCTCAAATGTCTACAATTGTTCAATCCTAAAAAATAGAAAATTGTGTAGAAAAATCAAAGAAGGGGTTAAAAGAGGAAAGTAATTAAAATGAAAAATTCAGTGAAGAACAGGAGCTCAACAATTTCTCTTTGGTTTAATAATGGTGTGACCAGATTCAACAATAACTAATTTTACTATCTCATTCGAATTAGTTCTTTTAAAACACCGCGAACTTGATACAGAAATGATAGAGGAAAATAAAATATAAATATATCATTCGATAATTATAATATATATATATATTAATATTCAATAATATATTTTATGTAAAAATAAATTTCATTTAAGCTTGTGTCGTTTTGTAAATTCATCGATTTGTTCCTCAAATGTAATATCTGATTTAGAGATATCCTTCAAGATGGGTTCATTGATTTAAGCATTTTTGCTAAGTCTGAGTTTTTGATTTAAGTTATGAAGCACTGTAGATAAATCTTTTTGCTGTTATCGATGTTATCCGTGCCAAGTCAAATCACTCGATATTAGGGATGACCCAATAGACTTCATTTACCTATTGGTGCTGATTTGAATGGGTCTCAAACTACTCTATGATGCAAAAGTATCAATAGTATTTTGATCGTTATTAAATAAGTTCTTTTCAACAGCATATTGGTAAAAGTCCGATACAGATTTCTTTTTGGTTATAGATTTATGATGTCGATTGGTTATTGGAAGAGATAAGTTTTACTTATTATTGTTGACTTCCTTGTTTGTGTGTTAGGAATAATCCTATCTTTCTGTATTTTCTAGTCTTTAATTTAGATTAGTAAGATATTAATTATTTTGAAAGAATTTAGTATTTAATAAAGATTTGTCTCTAAATTCTGGATCTAGAAAGTTTAAATTGCTAGCTCTATCAATAGCTTTTTATCTTTCCCTCTCTTTCTATTTGAGCATAAAGTCTAATTTTGGATCTTTTGAATCCTCTTTAAACATATTCTAAACTTCCAATAATCTTCTTTGAGCCTCAAGTTATTTAAGAGTGGGACCTTGTATTTCAGCTTAATAGAGATGTCTAATTTTAGTAAATTTGAGATCTCTAGGGCTGAATTCATCTCTCATAACAGTTGCTTTATATTACTTTGGTGATTTCAATTGAATTTTGCCAGTGACTGCCAGAGATTCAACTAGACTGTATTATTCAGCTTCCTTCTCTGATTTGGATTACTTTCTCAAAATATCAATGACTTTGAAACCATAAATAATTCTTTTCCTCAATTCTCCTTGTTTTGAATATTAGATGTTCCATTTGATTGGCAAAGGATGATTAATATTATACAAAGCAATGAGACTTCCAATTAGATCGAAGATTGAAATTTGGCCATCACTAGTAGAAATCAGAATGTATCTATTATCTAATTCTAAGAAACTGATATAAATGATCTGTTTTTTGGAAACCTTAAACATGTGTAAGTTTTTGATGCTAGTAAAATTTTGAGGTATGATTATCTTTTGGGTTTCACTCAAAGATAGTTATTCTCTGGCCTTTCTAAGAGGATTGTAATTGATTCTCTCATGGATTGGTTCTGTTGTTTCTAAATTATCCAAATTTAAAGAAATTCTAATAATATTGCTTTCTGAAGTTGCAAGTAATAACTCCAGTTCTTTTAAATTGAATAGCATCTTGGTCACAAATTCTTATTCGGTCTCTTCAGTAATATAATTGTTTGACCCAACATCGTAGAGATCGAATATTTCAGATTCAACTTAAATGTGCTCTTTGATGTTGAACTTAACAAAGATAACCTTTCCTTGTATTGTGGAGACTGCTAATAATGGATAGTTAGCTATGATAATGATGTTGGTGATTTCAGCATCAAATTCAAGGACTCCCAAGCATTTGACAAATTCATAATCGATATAAAATAGTTTAGAACCCTATGACAACAGAATGAGAGAATGATGAACTGATAATTCTAATTGGGAAGCTTCGAAGTGAGTAATTTCTCTAAGGATTTCCCCACTCATCTTTTGAATTAAAATACTATCTTAACATGCTGTAATAACTAATTTATTTAAAATATCTAATTTAAGGACATTAATATCTGAATGTCCTTTTAATGAAGAGATGTACTCACCATTATGATGATAAATTTTGGCATTACCTTTTGAATCAGCCAATATGAATTTATTAAAATAATTCAGAGGTCTAAATTAAGTAATATCATCCTCAGATTCCGACAATAAACCATTTAATATTGTTTTTATTTTTCCAGTATAAATATCAAGGAATATAATTTATTTTTTAGTGGCCACAATTAATTCATCTCTTTATTGATCAAATTCCACTTTAACAGCATAATTTTCAATTTCCTCATTATGTCTGATATCCAATTTAAGTATATTAACCCTTGACCCAAGAAAACATAACATATTAATATCTGACATATCTAAAATTTTGGTAATTTGAGTTTTCTTTCCAAAATTGAGAGATTATAGACATGAAAATGTTCTAATATCCCATAACCTTAAGGATCCACTGTCATCACCAGAAACCAATACAGGTAACTTACCAACCATGAGAATGGATGTCAACATAGAAGTGTGTCCTGTCATTTTACCTATCTGAGTTACATCGTGATATTTAGGATTGATGTCATACACGTTTATGTAAGTAGAATATCCACATGTAATGAATACTTAATAGTAGTAAGAATAGACTAAACTATGAATACCTCCATTATCCTTGAGTGATAATGTGATTTTAATTTCTCCATTCTAGATATCCCATAAGGCCACTTATTTATCTAAGGAGGCAGTGGCAATCATTTTCATATGGACAACTTCAACACATTCAATAATATTTCCTTGGATGCATTTATTCTAAAAGATTAGACTGGCCGATTCATTCAATAGATCCCAAAAGTATAATCTAAATGTGCTGTCTGTGGTAATCCATTGATTCTGATTCTCTAGAAACCAAATATTTGTTTAATATTCTTATGAGGCCAAAACAGTAGAGAATATTCTATATTTTTTAAAGTCACCCTCATACATGCAGATGGAATGTGATTTTAGAGTCAAACCAATCTAATTATATAATATTTAAGAATACTCTCTGTTATCTATCAGACCAAGCAAAACTCAAAATGATGGTTTCTTTGTCTTCATGTTATGATATCTTGACCATTTGTTTCAATGAACCATCCACATGATAGATGTTAATCTTTGAATCCAAACTATCAAGTGTTATAATTTGTTTGTTGCAATATACACCTGTATGAACAATACCATTGTGATGTCTGATTGAGTCATTTTACAATGAATTGGGAACTATATGAAATATCTCATTATCATTGCTACCGATAATTTTGGCTGATTCCTAGAATTGTCAAATTTATAACTTACCACATCTATTTCCCTGATTCTTGTTTTGTTCAAGTTGAATTTCTTTGGATCCGATATCAAACGTTATGGCACCATTGTATTTTCACTTGTGTCCACTTAACAGACGTAACTTGTAACATCCTACAAGCTGAGTTCATTCTATTAACTTATTGCTACAACGTCTTTATATAATTCAATCAATCCCATCACTAAATATAGAAGTTCACTCTATTTATGATGCACTATTGGAATCATCAATTTTATGAACTCCACCATATTTAATCGTTTTGCAGGCCATTGTCTTTCCATCACTAATAATTCATCTCTCTCAATCAATTCCAGTATCTGAGACTTCTTCGATAACTTGAAGTCTGTGTTCTCAAAATCCAACATACTTACAAGTACTTATTCGATTATCTAGTTTACAGACATTCAATCAAATATTTATATATATATATTTATATATCAACATATAATATCGATGATATCTCAGAACTATATTTAACCATTGCTAAGATTGAATTTGCTCGGATCAAAAGGCTACCCCTTAAACGGACTACCCTCAGCATCCCAAGCCTTCTTTAAAACTTCTAATTGTTACTCCTCCTCTGTCGTTGGCAATCCTTACTATTTCCTTTGTTGATCATACATTATCTTTCTAATTGCTCCTTAAGTCTCAGGATCAAAATCTTCCAATGGTTTTGTGTTCTCAACCTTCGTTGCATCTATTTCTTAATCTCCTTGAATAACTGTCTTCCAAATATTCTCCTACCCTTTCTCCAAGGTAATCGTCAATAGATTTTCCTCTATAGACCACACAGATTCGTCACTTTTTACTTTATCATACAATTTTCCATCAATAGCTACATCATCTTTCACTTTAACTGTTAACGTGTTGGCTGTAATAAATACCTTGACCTAATGAATTATCATTAACTAGATAATACATTCTTCTTGTTCGATCCTTCTGGAACTTTCATTGTCACCACAACATCATTTCCAGATTAGCTCCAAGAATATTTTTCTGTCTCTCCTCCATTAAAAGTATTGATATATGGATCTATTTTTTGCTTGTGAGTAAAACTTTCATTTTTCTATTGATTTTGCTCTTATTTTATCTTCACTTCCTATTACACCTAACCATCGTTCTATTAGACCTATTTCTATTGCTATTGTTAATTCTAAGCTTCTTTAACTTTAACCTCCTATTCCTTCTGTTTTTCCTATAATTCTTTCTACTTTTTTTAATATATTTCTAGTTTCTCCTTATATTCTTAAGCAGACTTCTTTTTATGCACTTTATAATGTTCATCCTAATATTTTTTAAATATGTTTCCTAACATGTTTAAGGCAACTCCAGGTGGAAATCCCATTTTATCTCCAGGATCACCTTAAAATGATAATCATAATACATTCATAATAGTAATCGGTTCTCCGCAAAAGAAAACTGAATAATGAGTTTAGCAGTCCTTCAATTCCTCCTGTTTCTTTTGCTATTAAAAAGAAATGTTCATCAAATCTATCCACCATTGCAAATCAGAATTTATTTTATTATTCAAATTTTCTCATTATATTTTATATATTTTATGTGATTAAGTTCTACAAATTTACCAAGCTTCACATTTGTTTATAGTTATCAACCCTAACAATTTATCAAGAATACTTTTGATTTCAATGGAAATACCTAAAATAATGATATATTTTTGTTTCCTTATTTTTCATTTTATTTTTCTACTTTTTGTTAATAAGTGCTGTTTTTCAGTCTAATGAGAATAAAATTTAAATAATTGAAATTCTCATTCATTTGTTTAATCCAATAGATTTAATTGTATTCCAGTTGCACAGGTTACTGTTTATGATATTCTTTCGAAATCATGATATATGAAGCAATAAGCAAGAATCAAGGATTATTAAGAATTATACTAATCATAATTGTGTGTTGGAAGAATAAAAAATAAATTATAAAAATATTTAATTAGATAATGTTTTACATATTCTATATGATGATATAATAGATGGCTGCTATGGACTATAACATCTCTTAAATTACTCCGCTATTGTTGATATATAGATATCATGGGGAGTGGGAATCATTAACAAATAATGTTTAAAATTACCTTTCTATAATAGCCATTTAATTATTTAGAATAGACAAAAGGGGAAACATTTATATAATTTAATCCTCAACAAGATTTGACGCAGAACGAGGTGTCCCTAACTAAAATAGGTTCCATTAATATGATGTTTCTTGATCCTATTTACTTTGATGAAAAATTAGTCTTAGGCTTATCCAATATCACTGATATGAATGAGACAACCTTGTAATGCCTTATAATAATATTTAGGTCGTGGCATGGGAAAACAGATTTTGTATACTATAAATATTATAAAGAAAAAGGAGGATACCCCAATGTCTCATGTAAAATCGATTATGACATATAATTGAATTATCACGAAGGTAAGATGGCGTTCAAATTTAATAATAGACGAAGTAGATTATAAGAAAATCGATTTTACCATCTAATTAAGAAATGAAGACAGCGATAATAAAGAATGCAACATCCAATTGATCTCTCAATACTAGCCTTACTAATCAAACTTCTATAAACAAGTATTGTTTTACAGTGTGATGCTAAATACATTATGTGCAATACAATACTTTTGCGTAACTAAATTGATAGATAGTGTTCTAAGGGATGATGAGAATTCAATAGTCTAAAGAGTAACCATAATCATATTATTAAGATTTCTATTTTCTGTGTGGGCTTCGTGACGATTTATGATACATTCCTAGCATTTAAAAACCTGAGTTTTGCCTTTGGAGAAGCTGTAAAATTATGTACATATGACATTAGTACTTCCAATACTTCATTTTTCCTGCCTTTTTCTTCTTTATGCTTACCATGAATTGCGACTTAAAGCTATTATGGATAATTTGCAGAATACGATTCTAAGATTAATTCTTGGATTAGTAAAGTTAAAGACAATTTCTAACGAAATTCTTCATTATATATTGTATGAAATTGATTTATTAATTAATTAGATGTTTCAGTCCTCACATTGTTTTTATTGTTGCAAGAATATGAATTGTATAATTCATTCTTACTGATAATTGGATTCTTCATGACTCCTCAAATAATACATAACATTAGATTAGGAACTAATCCAAAATTCATACCAGAGTATATTTTCGGATTTTTATCGATAAATATTGCTGTTCCAGTATGTTAATTTAATAGTTTAAGTTATACTTCAGAGGATATCCCAATAATTTTAGAAGATTAAAACCATCGCTTGAATTTTGTGTTTGCTGGATTTTGATATATTTATTCTAAATTTTGATCCTCTATTTCCAATACAAAAAGGGTCCTCGCAAGATTATACCAAGGTGTTTATTACCAAAATAATACAATTATTATTAGGACTATAAAACTTAGGAACTTGAGGATTGTGCAATATGTTTGTTACATCTAATGATTGAGCCTGATTAATAAGAATAGGATCTAGACAGAATGTTGGTTAGTAAAGTGTTAATGATTACACCCTGTGGACATAAATTCCATCCTTCATGCCTAAAAAGTTGGATGGAAGTAAAATTAACTTGTCCTACTTGCAGAAATACTATTCCTCCAATTTGTGAATGAATTGATATACATTATTGTTTTTTCAATAATCTGAAACATTTTTAATGCTTTTTATTTATGATTCATAAATGATCAACTTAAAATGTTGTATCATTCAATTAATGGAATGCACATAAAGTATCAAAAATTGTATTATCAATTTTGATTTACTAATTAAATTTATGCAAAGATAGATATAGACATTATTAAATGGGAGTTCTCTCTTCTATTATTTAACATTTGAATATCTTAATATCTTACTCCTTTGATTAATTGAAATATGATGATACTTAAAAAGTATCTTCAAACTGTAAACTTATGAATTTATTCAATTTTAATTTTAGAAAAATTTTATTTATCTTTATTTACAATAGTTTTAATAATTATTTATTGTTTACATAACTGTATATAAATGCTTTTCAAGTATAAATTTCACCTTAAATGGAACCTTGAGATGTCATAACTAAATTAGCCATACCAGCTGTCATCAAATTCATTGACAATTTGGCTTTTTCTTTTTTGACTGTCTTTAATTCTAATGTAACTTTCTAAAGTTCCTCATTGTTATTAAGTAGCGCTTGTTCTAAATTATTAATAATTTTCTCAGATTCTTCATTTTTAATTTTTAATTACACAGATAACTGTTGCTAAAAGGTAATGAATTCTTGATTCTTTCTCTGTAATTCTTATTACAATTTAATGATTTCTTTTTGCTTTTATTCAAGACTATTTTCATAATCTCTGTTATTCTATTAATAAGCAGAGAATTGTAATAGCTACTATTAAAGCCTGGAATTCTTATTTTTTAATTCATATATTTAAGTTTCTTTTTCTGTAATGGTTCCACATTTACTTTCTAATTATAACACCAATTGCTTATATTCATATTAATCTTGAACATTAGCTTAATAATTATTAGCTGTTGATTTTTCTATTTATTTTTCTTATGATTTGATTTTATTTTATAAATCTCCTAACATTGTTTATAATGATGATTCATTTCTCAAATATTAGTTAATCTGTTAATTCAACTCTTAAATAAGTTAAGTTTGATCACTAATTTAGGAAATGTATCCATTAATTTCTGTATTTTTTTATTCTAAAATGGAATTGATTTATTGTTATAATTTCTTGATGTTTTCTTGTTTTAGAAGACTATTATTGTAATCAAATTATTGTTCTATGATGTGATTATCATTTTAAGATTAAGAATTGGCTTTTTAATATTCAAGAGATTAATTTAAGTAATTTTTCCATTATGAGATCTCTTCATTTAACTCAAAATTCTAGTCCAAAAGCAATTTATTTTGCTCTATAAGATTAGTGTTTTCTTAGGAAAGCCTAGTTACTTTCTTATCTAAAGTTGATATTCTCTCGCAATACTATTTAACAACAGAGTCTTGTTCCTTCATCAGAGTTTCTATAAGTGCTTCATAATTTTTTTGTGGAGGCAGAGTCTCGATCCATCCTTCATTTTGTGAGGCACTTGGATTTGAAATACTTTTGGATTAACGAAAAGGTTCAACATAACTTGCAAATACATTTTGTTACAATTATACAGTTTTGGGAGTTGTGTTCTTGAATTCTAAGAGTACCTTAGATTTTGATTAAACGTATGTTGATTAATGATGCCTGGGGAGACTCTCTTAGGTTTAAATTTCTCTTAATGAATCAAGTTTAGCTATAAGGGTAGAAGCATCTCTATGTTCATAGATCCCTATCATACCTATTCAATTAAGTTGAGTCTTGAACTTTGGACTTGGATTATGGGGGTTCAATTGTGGTCTGTGATTTATGGCCTTATCTTAAAGGAACCAAAGGGACCTATACTAAAGGTTATTTCTGTATCTAAGTGTTGGTAAACAAATGTGAGGGCATCAATGTAGGTTCTTATTTAGGATTGATATTACAGATGATTTGAGATTCATAGGAGTTTTCGGATGGGTTACCATAATTAGTTTTCATATTTTTATTAATCTTTTGATTTTGCTGCTATAATACGAAATTAAAAATAACTGCAAATCAAATATTAAGCCCATTGAATATTTAGAATTTATTTATTTTTTAATGCAAAAAAACAAAAATCTATTTCAAATGAAAATGTGATCGTCTTTTAAAGTAAGTTCTGTTATTTTCTGGCCAGGCCAACGCAGTTTCAACAAAATTTCTTCTATAAAAATTAATTAGCATTTTTTTATGAATCCCTAAGTTAGATATAGGCCTCCTCTCCCTAAATTCGACTAAAAATTAATAGATAGTAAAAATATCCAAGAAACCACACAGAAGTTTGTGTTATAGAAGTCAGACAAGAGAAGGTTTAAATAAGTGAATTAACTGATTGATGAGATGCTTAAAAAGCTCACACAAGTTAATTTTTAATTCCTATAAAATTTAAACCATGAAAACATCAAAGTTCAATGTTTAGGAATACTAGGGGATGAATTAATAGAAAAAGTAAAATCGAAAAAATATTCATCGATAGCCTGTGCATTGATTATACACTCTCTAAGAATTTTGCTCATCCCTTTGAGAATCAAGGAAATAACTTAGATTATTGATGTGGACGAGAAGCAAGTTCGCAAGATCTTAATTCAATTGAATTTAATTAAACCATTCAACGAAGATGCCTTTACAATAGCTTTCATGATTAGAATTTGTACATGCATAGGTTTTAATCAGAAATTTTAAACTTTATGCAGATTCTTCTATTCCCATTTAAAGAATCTGCACCTGGTTTAAGGAGAACATGAGCACGTCATAGCCTCAGTTTTGGTTAAACTAACTGGAGATTTCGTATTCAAAGACAAGGGAGGAATCAATCTGCCTACAGTATCTGAAATCGCTGGATGTTGTGAGGTCTCCCTTAAAAATCTCCTATCAAAATTAACACCTTATATTCAAACTATGTATGAATCAGCTTTTGAATTTTATCAGAGAACTAAATGAAAGAATTGGCTTCTATCCAAATTTTATAGTTAATAATTATGATGGTAAATTAATAATTCACTCATACATAATTTCTTAATCCATGATGATGTCATCTGCTCTAATATTCTCACCCAATGGATCAGTCTCCTAAACAATTAGAGTGTCTCCCACTCTAAGTTTTTTTCTATTCTCCTCATTAATGATGATACATCTGAATTAAGCATTAATAATTACCCTGCAGAACATCCATCAACGGGAGGTACACTCCAATCACTTGGTGTACAGCAAGCGCATCCATGAATCATAATTTCTGTTCTTCCGCACATTCTATCTTAGTCGTTGCCGTCTATCCAAAATGAGCAAGGTCTGTCAACTGGAGGATTATGCATAGTATTTTAGCATGTTTTTATTGTATAAGTATTTGCTGGGGCAGGTCCTTGATTTTTTAAACATTAGGCTGTTGGGTCATTTCTATACTAATCATGAATCTATGTAATAAATACTTTTCCGGCTCCAGAATACCCAAAAGTATTGATTTGAGAATCCCCACTTCCTCCATAGAATCTTCCAGTATTGATAAAGTAATAGAATGTCATTGGAGCTCTAGTTTTTAAATCTTGGCAACATGTTTGACCACAATTTCCAGCATATGTGATGGCAACAAATAATAGAGCAAGAATATATTTCATAAATATTGATAATTTTTATAACTATCTTTTGTTTGAGCAAAATGTAGGTAATCTTTAAACAATTGTTCATAGGTATAGTAATTTTTCAATAATTTGAGTTTAATCCAATCTTAATGTCTTATTGGCTTCATTTGTATAAACACATTATGATGATGTAATAAGATTAAGATTTACCCTGAAGAAAGTTAATCTTTTGATTGCTTAATCTAATCTCATTTGTATAAAATTCACATCCGTAAATAAAGTTATTACATCTAGCACTCATCTTATAATATTATACAAGGTGTTTCAATTAATAAATATCCAGATGTATTTTAACATTATATAAATATCAATTAATATAAGATTCTTTATTTTAATGTATCAAAGTATTTTATACTGTCTCTCCTCACTCACCATATAGAATACGAATATCCTTTGACTAAGTTGAAGAGTCTCCTCTACCCAAAATAAATCTCCTTATAAAGTAGGTGTGTAACTAAATACTATTATATTACATAATTTATAATTTCATAGATACATATTTATAAATATGAAACTTTATACATGAATATAAAAAATAGTGGGTAAAATAATTAATTTCATTTTTTAGTATATTTGAGTTTCACAATTTATGATCCCAACTTAGGTGAGTTAAGAGTAGACAAGTGTTTATATGATTAAGGTCTTAGAGATTTAATGGCAGGTTCTATAGTACGATCTTCCCCAACATTATCAGATTAGTAAACAGAAATTTCATCTTCTGGCGCTGATTCTTAGATTGATTCTGTGTTCTATTTGGAATGGAAGGTGTTCTTGAATCTAGTAGGTTAGGTTTGGTGTCGTTGTGACTATTAAGGATGACATTCTTGGAATGAAATATGGAATAATGGATATGATAAATCTTTTTCAACGTATCCACTTGCTTGAATGACTCTGCGAAATAATTATTTGAATTTCTCATAATCTTGGGGGAAATCGATGGCATTGCTGGTTTTGACTAAGTTTAGGAAGTGAATAAATTCAATGGGAGCTGATTTAAAGGTGATTTCTGGAATGATGGATAGTTTAATATTCTCCAGTTTTTTGAGTTTCAACGCTTTATTGTCAGCTTTAACTTTGAAGACGGTTGAGTTCGTTGCATAAACTAACAAGATGTAGGCAAGTGATTCTAAGTCGTCCTTCGGTGTGGGAACTAACAGTATAATGGCCATTCTTTACATTGATTCAAATGTTGATTAATGCTCGAGTATTTATTGAGAAATAGCTTGTTTGATGTGGGTTTATAGTTTTCCATGCAGTAGATTGAGCCATGTTGCAATTTGAATTTGGTGGCAAATTTGAAATCACTAAGTAAAATTTCATTACCATTGGTTGTAAGTAATAGTTTTTTCGGTCTGATGTTCCTGTGAACGATTTGGTGTTTGTGGATGATTTCCAAACAAGTTAACTAGAATATCAAAGGGTGAATACAGTTTATATTGCTATGAGACACAAGATAGGCAGAGGTATGGACTTGGACAGATAATTGTATATGAGCTTAATTGAGGGACCATGTCTTTGCAGGATTTGAAAGTGATACATTTGACCACTGATGATCTATTCTCCGCAATTGACTAAGATTGGGACGCAATTGGCTAAGAGTATGAGATACGTTTATACCATCCTTCAATCTTAATAAAAATTACAGTTCTGGAATTATCTCATTTTGTTGGGTTTATCTTGAATAGTAAGGGGATACGTACCTTTTCATCTTAATTAAGTAAAACTTATCTTTGTTATCTGTTTAAGTGATATCATCTGGCTCTTTCTGGTTGATGGCTGGCTATCTTTTAAATTCATCGTATATTACCTAAATACATGTTGTATTATTTCCCTCTGTAAATATTTTTGATTATGCTGTACTTCTGGTCAATAATGATGGAATTGGTTGTCTCAGTAGTGCTTTTGGTTTAAGATGTATTAAGCATTTAAATAAAAATTATATAATGTGAGGTTTCGAAGAAATTGCACCTTTAAAAACATTGGCCAAGATTGGATATTCAGTTTATAGTGTATGACTATGAATAAGGACTGAAATGAATTTCAAATAGATTTATTAAATACTTTAATAAAGAGAAGTTAGGGATTTAGATTAGTATGAAACATTATAAGAAAATATGTTTTAATTGTATATTTTTTAATAAAAATATAATTTCTTTTATAAAAATGGACTTTTAGCATCATACTAATAGCACTAGGTAATTGAGTGTGATTTATTGAACAAGCATAAGCGGGTCGTCATCTCCTAGTTCCAAAAGGGGAGTTCAAGAATGTTATCATGATATATTTCAGGAGAAGAAATAGAAAAGGAGTAAGCAAAATTGTTATAGAAGTGGTTCTATAGTTCTGGGATCAGTGAAGGAAGTATCGGAAGATATTGAGGATTATCTGGTAATGTAGGATCATATTAGAGATTTCAAGGATACCTCACATCCAGATTTAAAATGACAAGTTTGAGTTCAGACAAAATATCAGCCAGAGAGATAGGTCATCCCCTCTGCTCATTAGAAAATAGGAATACAGGAAGAGGAGGGCTTCCTTGAGTCCTCATGGAACCAATGCATTACAGAGAGTTGAGGAAGTCAATGGGGATGACGATGAACTCAAGAATAAATGTATCTTTAAACTAGGATTGATATTGGATAAGAATGAATTCAATGATAAATAGAAAAGATCATCAATCCTTAAGGAAAGAACTAATCATGATGTAATCCAAATTTATCGAGATGTAGCCAAATTCGTCCATTCTTGAAGATGTTTAAGAAAATGTTAAAGAATAACCCATCTTTGCTAACACCACACTGAAATTGAAGGTGGATGAAGTAGATTTTGGTTAAGATAAAAAGCAATGGGCTCCCGAAGAAATCATTGAAATAATAGAAGAGGAAAAACCCGATACTGTAATTAATGTCAAGGAGAAAGAAATGTTTTAGAAGGGTATTACAATTGAATTAAGATAGTTAAAAAAATATTACATGAAGAAAGAGATTTTTTGAAGAAAATATTAAAAGGAGAAATGATCGAATAGGATGATATCAAAAAGAAGTAGGAATTTTAGATGCAAATTGGCGAAGTCTATTGGAATCAATTGATATAAGAAGCAGAGGAGTAAGTCAATAGCGATGAAGAGCATCAATGATTATTCTATATTATTAATTATTTTACAAGCACCCCATTTATTATTTCAAATCTATGACTTAATTTAGAGAGCCAATTCTGATATTAAGGAAAAAGATCATGTTATGGAATTCGAGTGCAAAGATTAAAGATGTCTCATTTTAAACTTGAATTATGTGCAATCAAATTATAAACCAACAGAATATATAATAAATTTTAAGTATTTATATAAAAATTATGTGATTATTTCTAAACATGCTACTACGATACTAAATCATTAAAAATAGGGATCTTCTAATAACTAGGTTGCATTCGGTCTTTTACTAGTGTCTCTTATCAACATTTTTAGAATTAACTCTTTTGCAGGTCCTTCGTATTTCATTTTTATTCTATAATTAATACAAAATATCCTACTCCTTAGTTTCTATCTAATTAAATAGTTCCAACATTATTTCACTTTAGAATGGCAATTTCAATTCTACTATGCAATATAGCACTACACCTAAACTCCACACATCTGCCAGATGACCACTATATCCTGGAATTTCACTTTTTTTATTTTCTCTAAGGCATTCTGGAGCAACAAATTGGAATGTGCCCTCTGTGCCTTTGACTCTGTCATTTTGAGGAGTCAATTATTGAGCTGAACCGAAATCACATATTTTAATCTGATGATTTTTTGTTAAGAGGATGTTATGTGGTTTAATGTCTCGATGTGCTACATATTGTTACTAGAGGTATTGCAGACCCATCAACATTTGCTTGGCATAATCTTTGAATGAGAGTTCATCGAATTTCCATGAGGCTGTGAATATTTCTTATTTGCTTTCCCATTTCAAAATTTACCCCATTTCTGCATATTCCAATACAACATACAGTTTCTCTCTCTCTTCGTCATCGTATATCTCGTGCAACTTGATTATGTTGGGGTGATCCAACCTTTGATGGATTTCTATTTCTCTATACACTTCATCCAACAAAGAAACATATTTAGTTGCTTAAAATAATTCCATGTTTATTTACTTCCATTCGGATTCTTGTACATCTTATTCTTCTTTTTCAGAATAAACTTATTAAACTTTTTTATTGCATATTCATGATTATCCTTGATTGCTAACTTAATCTTCCCATAAGATCCCTCCCCTATTATTTTGATCACCTTATAGCCGTTTATGATTTTCTTTTTCTTAAAATTCATTATGACATTATCTTACATCATTGGGATCCCTCTAATACACAATCTCCTTGGTTTTAAATATTTTACATTGCATATTCATTTAATTAAATAAATTAATCAAACTAGGATGCATATCATATTGATTAAATTAAATTCTAAATTTGAATCCCATATTTCAAGTGAATCAAATTATATAATCCATCTCATGTAACAACGGTAAAACCATTTAGATTATTTGATATTATGAAAATAGTAATCTAGATTAATTATAGATAATATTGATTTAAGTATTTGAGGCGTAGAAACACATATGAATATTCGATAAGAATGAGCATCTCAATTTGTTATTTAACTTATCTTAAGAAATTGATGATGATTATATAATTCACGTAATATTATTGAAAAATTAAATTTATTAAAAATAACTCTATGGTTTAAATTAATCGATGATGTCAAACAATTATTCAAATATTTGAAAGAATTTAATCTACATATTTTAAGAAACATGGGGTTTTATCGTTTAAAATTTAGACTCAGAAAATTTTGAGTTATGTAATTTTAAAATTCTGAGAAATTGTATGTCGACATTTTTATTTAATGAAAACAAAATTGAGTTATGAATTCATTCCTTGATGGTATTTTCTAACTTTTATTTACATTAATAAAGTTCATTTTCTAAATTATTGTTCTGCTCAAGTAATTGAGTTCTTTCGATATTCAATAATTCGCATTTGGACTTTTAAAGGGAAATTTATTCTAAAAAAGTAATCATTAATACTCACCTTCTAATTGAGAACGTCTTAATTCAAAAACATCCACAATATCATGTTGGGGCACTGTGATATAGTGGTTAATAATTTATTTCAATGGATTTATTGAGATTTAGAAATCTATTTTTAATTGAAATAGACTTTGTTTTAATGAGATGTTTTCTATTTTCAATTGTTGCAATTACTCCAACAGCCTACTATAATTGTTCATCTGTTAGTATTTGATTTGAATATTCTAGCATTAGAACTTTAATAAATACATCTAAGGAATTGACTCGATTCTGTTTGAGTGTTTTATTTTCCTGAGTGAGATGATCCACTTTTTTTGTAAGTTCAATAATTTATTGCTGCAAGTTTTGAATAAGACTTCTATCTGATTACATGCATGGAACTGATTTCTAGTGTTTTTCTCGTTTTTGGTTATTACAAAATTATGAGAGCACCAACTAGTAACTTGTTGGAGAATGTTCAATCTTTTTACTTGATTATTGTGATGATTGCTTTGAGGAAGCAGCTAAATACATGAAATTCTTAATTACTTGATGGAATGTTTCGTATTCTGTTATCGGACATTTATTTTTATATTGATGTAAAATTAATAATTTTTGTCATCACAGTTTTGGATACTCTATATATGTTCAAAAGGTAACATAACATTCTATATATTTGACTAAATAAATACAGTAGCAGTGTTATATTGCAATATTCCCTTTAAAGCACATAATAATTAAATTATGACTACCAATAAATTGATGTAATTATATATTAAATAACTAAAGATCGTACATTTGTTATTGATTTAAGTCTCACTTTTAAAATTAGTACTTATATTTACGAATTTAGAAAAGATTAAGGAAAGTAAATTTTGATACTATTTGACATCATTGTGTCTAGTTATTTTGAATATCAAATCATATACTCAGATCTTTTTAGTATTTTTGTTTATAATAAAATGCAATCGGGTTATTAAGTACGAGATATGAATTTTATTATTTCACTTAAGGAATTATAGATTTTGAAATCCAAAATCTTGAATCTTGCTAGGACTCATTTTTAAATAAAAGATTAAACTCAAATATTAATAACATAAAAAGTAATAGTAGTTAAATGCTTTGAGCTAACTTAATTAAGAAAGAAATCAATATAACAATTTAAAGTAAATGATAAATAAATGTAAGAACAGTAAATTTATAATTGCAAAATTGTAAATAATATATTGATTAACTGAAACCTGTATTTAAATAATTATAGTATCCATAGAGAAAATAATAGGATTAATAAAATCATTAATTTTTCGAATAATACTTCGATTAGAATTGTGAAAAATAGGAAAATGCCATATTCAGAAACTTAAAATTAATTAATCTTTTTTAAGATATTTCTCAGCAATCTTTTTTAAATTCTTTAGATTTCACCAAAATTTAGGTTAATTTATGTCAATTCTATTTGATTTTAATATAAGTTTATAAATAGAATGAGAATTAGTCTCTGAATAATCTCTGCTAAAATGTCAATAATCATACATACATAGATTTACAATTGTTTCGTTTGTTCTTTATATAGGGTTAAATGAAACAGAGATTGCAATCTAATGAATGAATTCTCAAATATTATTTTATCTGATTATTAATTAAACATAAGTGTGATTTGATTAGTAACAAGACTCTAGGAAGAATGATTCTAAACGAAAAGTTTCTGATATAATTGAGATTAGACTATCCACACATTAAATCAAAGTATATTTGAATTTTTTGAATAAATTTCACTATGACTATAATAATCAATCAATTCAGATAGTTTGAGATCGTCCTACGTACGGGGACTTCTTTCTATCTACTTTATTGATAGATAGTATTTACAATAAATCATCATCATCATTCTGCTCTTCGATTTGCAAGAATTCAGTTCGCAACTATGATAAATTATGGATCAACAATTTATGATTATTGAGTATTGTTGCCATTGGTAGAAATGTCAATTGTCTTGTCATTTGCTTAATCATTGTAGGTTGTCTTATGAAATGGGATGCTATTCTCAGAAACATTATTAATATTAATGGATTAATTTCTTAACGAATTTGAACAATATTGTAGAAATATAGGCATTCTAGAGTAGGAATCGAATTTTGAAGAAAGGGCAGATGAACTAGGCTAAATCTTATTCAAGCACATCCTGAAACTAAATAAGGAATCACTAATGTAATTGTCCAATCGAATTGCAAAATAATGGTTGGATCAGCAGACTTCAAAGACTGCTCAACCGAACAGTGCATAATAAAATACAAAGAGAAGCAAGCATAGTTAATCAACACCATAAGAATCTATGAAAAGTATTATAAATAGCAATATTTAATCAACAAATTATTTATATGATCAATATATATAAAAAGAGGAAAACAAAATTCTAAAATCTCAAAAGATTATTGAAGAATAATTGAAAGAATGCACATTTTAACCTTAAATCCTAAAAAAGAGTCAACAACTTGATACCAACATTCCAGTACATGATAGATTAGCCAAATTTGGAACCGATTAAAAACTGAAATAATAAATTAGCTCAGAAATTAAAGATAAAAATGATCTAAAATAATGTACATTTAGACCTCAAGTCAATAATAAAGGCTCTAAGGTTTTGGAAGGTGATCCATTCTCGAGGCTCTATTTAAATGCATTATCATAACGATTATCCAAGCCTCAGAGTCAAGAAAAGGTCTATTCACATAAACCATAACTAATCAGTCAGCCACCCCAATAATAATTAGGCTACTTGACTGTGCCAGTAGAATAACGCTTATATAATAACTTCTTTGATCAATAGTAATCTCTTGTGTAGCAATAAGAAGTGGAGAAATTAGCTGAACTTGAAGAATGCACATTTACACCGATGATAAACCAATATGCTTCAATCTCAAATGGAGTTGAAAATAAATCGAAGGTGTTTGAAAGACTTTACAACAAATCTGCAACTCTAAAATCAAATTCAGAGATGAAAGATCAGACTCAAACTCTAAATCGATTTTCCAGTAGTAAATAATCAGAATAGATCATAAGAAATGCCAGTTTTGATAAATCTAAATATGTATCTTAGTTTTAGATTGAATAATCTCCATATGATAGATTACATGAAGAATATAAAAGAATTTAGAAGAAGAAAAAGATAATTGAAAATTAAGTTTTCTCTAGTATTCCATTTAAACCTAAAATTAATAAAAAATGAAATTGAGTTATTCAAATTTCCTATAAATAATTTCATGTAAATTTGATTTCAGGAACAAGACATTCTTACTAAACTTTAGATTTTGATATACAATTTCTTTAATGGAAAAATATCGCTTGAAACTCAACTGTACGATTTACAATTTATTAAAGTAATCATATGTAGACAATTCTTCATAAAGGCTCAAACTAAACAATTAAATCAAATTTTACAACTCAATAATTTTAGTTATAACTTCTTATTCATAGAATGTGTTACGTAAATTCTTTGTTCTTTCTAGAAATTGCATTGGCTTTAATAGAATTTAATCTTCATATTCTATTGGAATTACTTCATAATATAAATAAAATAATAAATAATATTTCTCTACATTTTCCCTTTGTTACTTCTTTGATTTTGTAAACAAATACTTGGTTGATAATGATTAATAATTATCTTCATATGATTTAAAATTGTAATTTGAATAAATATTTATAATATGTTCTTGTGTCCTCTTGGGGTGGTAAATATGGCTTGCATTTACTGAAGTTAATATAATTATTATAATTAATTAATAGGAATTTAATTGGAAATACAAAAATGATTTAATCTATTCCACTTACTCTTGATTAGATTTATGGAGTGAATTTTAAGAGAGTTCCAATTTTTTTGGGGGAAATGGAAGGAACCAATCCCATACCAATCAATGAGACTGATGAAGATTTGTATTCAGAAAAAAATTCAAGTGAACAATTAAAAAGATCGTTGCCGCCATTACAGAAAGTGGATATAAGGGTCTTTGGAGAGAAATAGAGGAGACGACAGAATGTCCACAAGTCTCCCATAGTTTCAACTTAATTGGAATAGCATATAGGGTTTAGAAATTCATTTTATAGGAATAACAAAATCAATTTGGCATCGAGACAGAGGATAGAGGAAATTAAAAATAGAGAGATGGGTTTATACACGAAATATGCTCAACGATTCAATGTGCCTAAGTCCTAGATATGGAATTGATTATAATGAGTTTCTCGTAAATTAGTTTAGAAATTTTAATAATATTAATAATAATGTTAATCATAAACCTGAAATTTTGAATAATTCTAGCAGTGCAACTTGCAGTATCTTTAGAGAGAGTAATGAATTCAATATATAAATTAAGAATCTTATAATATAAAATATAAATTATAAAATGGATGAGGGGATCTATATTAAATAAGTGATTGTAAACGATTTGTTTGAATTTTCTGATTAGTAATGGAATAACTATGGTAATTAGGATATTATCATCGAATGTAAAAGATGAGTCCATAGAGCACTTGTATAATTCCATTATCCAGCATTAATCGAAAGATGGATAGGGGGAATATGAAGAAAAGGAGGCTTCAAAGAGGAAATTCAACGATCCCAAGTAGTATTATTGATGTTTTGAGGATGTTATTAGATTTTCCTACTCTGAGGACAAACGGATCTTAGAATTGGTTCAATAAATGGGTCCAAATTTTAATAGCATTGTAAAATATTTTCCAGGGAAGACGATGAATATGATAAAGAATAGATACTACAAAAAGTTAAGGTACATAAAGGAGGACTATTTGAATGAGAAGGAGAAGGTGAGAGGGGTTCGCAAATAGAGAAAGGCAAACTGAGAAACCAAAATCTAACTTTTTGATATATATGTAATTACATATATTTAATTTAACTCTTTAAATTTGAGGGGGGAGGCATGTGAGATAGGAGGGAGGGGAGGGGTTTGTGAATAGGATCTTGGTTATGAATATGTGAATAGGATCTTGGTTATGAATAATTTAGTTAATTATACTATTTAATTATAAATTTAGGAATATGTATAATAATTAAAATAGAAATATTAATGAGTGAAGCTCAAGTAAATCCGGAAGTGGATAACTAATCTGTAATATCAGATGACAGCAACAATGAAGATGTCGACGTATTTGGTCAAGATTAAGAAATGTATTGAAAAATTATGAATTCAGTGATAAGTTTCCCCTCTTAACGAGTATTTTGGATAGTAGTTGGTTTCAAATATTAGTAAATCTGTTAACTATATATGCTCTATTTGGCGATGATATTAGAATAATTGCCTTTGATAAGAGGGCTGATGATGGATTTGATGTAATCACCATAATATGCATGGTAAAATCCTCAAATATAGTAGATAATATTTTCAATAGAAATCATCATTGCAAGCTTGGTTAGAACTGACTATTTTAATTCATTCTTTTTTTGGCTTGATATAATATCAACAGTTTCTTAAATTTTGGATATAACCTCGTTCAATATTGCAGTTGGTTTATAGTAACTAATTTTAAGCTTAAATATATTTTAGAGGTTCTGTTGCTGCAAAATCCGCCTCTTAATTGTCCCAAGCAAATAAAGCATCTAAAACAAGTTCGAAAGCAATTCGAGTAGTTCGACTTGTTAGACTAATTAGAATAGTTAAGTTGTACAAGGCAGCAAGCTATTCATAAGAATAAGCCTTTAAAAGACAGCCAATCCGAACTCAGACTACGAAAAAAAGCAAAGCTACAATTTACCCCTCAGTTTACGAAAATATAAACAATGGGCCAGTTGAACAGGAGAATCTAAATAAAAAAGAGAATAATACTGAATAAAGGGGTAGTATTGAGAGTCATAAATTAGAAGGTGAAGATAATGCGAATAGTTAAGAAAATCGAGAAAATTAAAATATGGTTGCAAAATAACAATAAATTGACAATTAGATTCCAAAGGTCTAATAAACTCGTAGACAGTCAATGAAAGAACCATCTTAAGTCAAAGCGAAAGAAAAAAAAGAATCCAGAGTGAGCAAAAGGTTGTCAGATTCCACAACGAAGAAAGTCATCATCCTTGTCATTATATTACTCTTAATAATGCCTTTATTTAGTTCTGATTACTATTTTGAGCCATCCTATAGTTTAGCATATGCGGCTGAGTATGTTAGAGTGGTGGCTGAGATTCCAAATACAAAACTAAGTGAGATCAATTAGACTATATATTTTGTGATTGATTAGCATAAATCCTTTGACACACCTGTAGGATACATTACCAATCCATTTACTGAGATAGAGAATTACGAAACTCCTTCTTATCAGTATCTAAGAGAAAGTTCGAAAAGCTATTATTTTGAATTGGTAGATCCTGTATTGGTGGGATTGGATTACATCGGCGATCCTGTCATTCTTTTTGTCTCCGACAATTCTGATGTTGAGTCTAAGAATTCAATTATCAATATTGTTAATACATTATTTGTGAGTGCTGTATTGTTATTTGGAGCTATTGCGTTTTCGAATGATGCCAATAATGTTGCATTGAAACCAATAGATAGGATGATAGTGAAAGTCAATTTAATAGCTAAGAATCCTTAATTGGCCAAGGAGATGAAATTAGAATCTGAAGGAACCCAAAAGGAAACCACTTAGATTGAGAATGCTATCATCAAAATAGGTGCCTTGTTGGCATTGGGATTTGGCGATGCAGGATCTGCCATTATAGGAACCAATATGGCATCATCAGGAGATGTGGATCCTATGTTGCCAGGTAAACGTAAATGGGCAATTTATGGATTTTGTGATATTCGTAATTTCACTGATGCCACTGAAGTCTTGCAAAAAGATGTGATGTTGTTTGTAAATAATATAGCTGAGATTGTTCATTCGATGGTGGATCGTTATCAAGGGTCAGCTAATAAAAACATAGGAGATGCATTCTTATTAGTTTGGAAAATCAATGATTCTCAGTGGTATGAGGACGGAAATGAAATCAAATGGTATTAAATCACAATATTATTTTAAGGTCCAATTTGGTGTTCATAAATTAATTGGCTGATTGTGCTCTAATTGCTTTCATGAAGATTTATGCTAAGATCAATAGAGAACCCAAAATATTGGAATATCGGAATGATGAGAGATTAAGTCAGCGTTTGCCAGGATATAAAGTAAAAATGGGCTTCGGATTGCATATAGGATGGGGCATAGAAGGTGCTATAGGATCAGAATTCAAGATCGATGCATCATATTTGAGTCCAAATGTCAACATGGCTTCTCGTTTAGAAGCTGCCACCAAACAATACGGTGTTGCTGTCTTAATCTCAAGTGAATTGCACCAATACTTCTCTAATGAAGTTAAGAAATACACCAGATAGATTGATAAAGTTACCGTTAAGGGAAGTGTCAAACCGATTGGATTGTTCACTGTGGAGATGGAGGCTGATGATCTGCCTCCTAGTAAATAGGATTATCCTTAAGAAGAGAAGTAATAAGTGATGTATGAGAAAAAGCAAATCTTTCTTTAATAACTAGAATCTGGGGATTTTAATGCAGAATTGTATATGAAAAGAAACAAGGACCTTGCGCTTATAACGAAGAATATCAATCAAGAATTCTTGGTAATCTTGTTGTCTCATTATGTTAGCATCAATTCGGCTAAGGGTTTTAAGGCTATCTATTGGGAAATTGGAAAGAGGCCCACATGTTGTTTGAAAAAGCAAAGTAAATCAGACCCAATGATGGTCCCATAAGTACTCTATTTAATGTAATGGGGGAAACAAATTTCAAAGCTCCTTCAGATTGGAAAGGCTATAGAGAGTTAACGGAAAAATGAATATTTTAAGTCTATAATGTTCTGCATTTCTTTTGTTTAGAAATTATATATTATAAGAAAACACAATTTATAATAAGAATCATGAAAGTGGAACCTCATAGTCTGAATGAAGGGTTATTGCAATATAAATCCAAAAATAACCAATCCAAATAAAATCTAAATAGTTTATTCTTTACTCAAATCAACAAAATTATCCAATCCAAGGAAAGAATCATCTCCATGGAGGAAATAGAAAACACTCTCAGTGAATCTAATTACCTGCCCAATGAATTGATTGGTGAGTATGATGGAGGTTTTGAGCACAATGAACCCATTTTGCTGACATTAAAGAAGATGTTTTTAAAATACTTTATCTGGATAGGATTACTTAAATTCGTCTCAGTCATATTTTTATTCACTACTCCAGTTTTAATCAATTATTTGACAACTGCTTTGGATGAATCCGTAACCGACTTTTTAATCTATTCAGGTGCAGTTTTAGGTTCAACCTTATTGTCTGCCATTACTGATACTCAATACAATTATTAAATTAAGATTTTAGAATTTAGATGCAAATCATTCTTGGTCCAAACTTTGTATAATTCTATTGAAGCATAATCTAATCTAGATCTTATGAATCTAATCAATATTGACGTTAATACCATCATGAATTTCTTTATAAGTTTTCATGAATTTTGGTCCTTAATCCTGAAACTCATCATTGGAATGACTATTCTATATTTGTAGATCTAAGAAGCAGTTTTTGTAGGATTTGCAACTGCCATCATATTGATGTTGGTCAATTTTGCAATCGCGAATAAAATTGGTCATTATTACTCATCTGGTCTCATCTACAAAGATTTAAGAATGAAAGCAGTCAAAGATTTTATTTCGAATCCAAAATCTATCAAATTCCTTAAGTGGGAGAACAAATGGGAATCCAAGATAATGAGCATTAGAGAAAAAGAGTTTGCCATTATTGCCGGTTCGAAATGGTTGGACTCACTTTGTGTCTTATTTTGGTCTATTACTAATACCTTGATATCTTCTATCACTTTGTACGTATATTCAAAGAATAATGATCTGGAGAATGTCTTTACTATCATATACGTATTTTCGTTATTGACAAATCCCTTGAATTCACTACCTTGGACTTTGGCTGGAATGTTATAAGCCAAAACATCCTTTTTGAGAATTAATTCTTTTGTAATAACAAGAAAATAGAAAAACTAGTTTGAGGAGGGCATAGAAATTAATTAAGCTGAACTTAAATGGGATTTTGACAATGAGTTCACATTGAAAATACCTCATTTCAAAGTTGACAATATAGTATTTATTGGAGGAAAGGTTGGATCTGGAAAATCCTCATTTTTGCTGTCACTTTTAAATCAAATGAAAGTTTAATCAGGTTTTTTCTAAGTGAATTAATCATTTTCATATGTCTCCCAATAGAGCTGGCTTTTTAAAGGATCAATTAGGGAGAATATTCTGATGTAATCAAAATACAATGATGAATTATACAAATAGTGCTTGGTGTAAAGTAATTTAATTGAGGACATCTAAAAATATCCAGAAAAAGACTTATTTGACGTTGGTCCTGATGGATCAAAGCTTTCAGGTGGATAAAAATAGAGACTATGCATTTGTAGAGCTCTGTACAACTAAAATAATATTTATCTAATGGATGATATCTTTAGTAGTTTAGACCCATAAGTAGGAGATAGCATATTTAATAATTTATTGAAACTAACAAAGCCAATCATATTTGCATTAAATGATAATTATTTATAGAGATACAAAAAATACGCAGATTAGATTATAATCATAAAAGATGGTTAGGTGATACATGACAAGCAACAGATTGATATGTATTTCTAAGATTTACAGGAATAAACGTTTGATTTGAAAGAATAGAAAGTCAATGTACTTTAATAAGAGACAGTATAGAATGAAGGAGGAAGCCAATAGAGTGTTGAAATTAAAAAAACCTCACAGTCCTTGTCATTTTATTTAAAATCGCTAGGCCTATTAAACTTAATGTGGATATTAGTTTCATTGGCTTTAATGCAAATCTCCTTTAATGTGTATGACATTTGGCTAAACACATATGTGAATGAAAATCCTTTGTTTATCTTCAATAATTCATTTGTATTAACTTTGTTCATGTTAGTATTGATCGATATTGTTATTAAGTTATCAAGAGCTGTGTCTTTTGCTTATGGCAATTTAGTGTAAGCAAAGAAAATATTTGTTTAACTGTTGAGTCATGTGATTCATGCAAAATGTTCTTTCTTTGATGCTGAGGAGAGTGGAGAGATCTTGATAAGATTCTCGGATGATCAAAATGTTGTGGACAATAGATTTCCATTCGAATTGAATTTATTGTGCAATAATATCTTTAATTTTATTGGAACCTTTATTGTATTAGTAGTTCTATAATATTATTTGATATTGCCCGTAGTAGTGTCAGCACTAGTGTTTTATAGATTATAATAGTTATATAGGCCAACCAGTTTGTCATTGCGTCGATTGGATGCAGAGACTAATTCAAATTTGGCTACTTCGATTTTCGAGTAATTCAAAGGGATTCTCACTATAAACGCATTCAATAAGAGGGAGGAGTTTAGAAGTATTTTTATATGAATAAATCTTAAGGTATCTTTCTATGTAAATTAACTCAAGCAACATAAGTGCAATGGTGCAGTAGAGTAATTGCGTTGTGGTTGTAGATACGATTACAATTGGTTGCAGGTTTCATCGTATTATTTATACTATTATTCACTGCTTTGAGCTTACTTTATGAATTGCCTATCAGTAAATCAACCTTGCAATTATTGTTATATTATTCACTAACAAAGATCAGTTTATTCAGGGATTTGACATTATCCTTGACTACTTGTGAATAAGAACTAGTATCATATGAAAGACAAAACAAGTATTGCAGTCATTCCATTGAGCAAGATAAAGGTCTTGATTATTCAGAGGTGATCAAATTTAAGGAAATTAAATTATAGTACTTGAATGGGTAATTGGCTTTGAAGGGAATAAATCTGGAGATTGAGAAGGGCAAAAGAGTAGCATTTTGTGGAAGGACAGGCAGTGGTAAATCATCAATCTTAGCAGTGCTATTTCAATTATACGAACAAACTGATGGAGACTTGTCTGTGCCATCTCAATAGCTATTTGAATGGAGGAACAAAGTTGGTGTTATTCCTTAGTTAGGATTCGTATTTGATGGCACTTTAAGTGAGAACCTGGATTGCTCTGATTAAAATCTGATTTCAAAATACATCTCCATGGATGGCAACTCTTAGATAGACTCAAATTCAATTTCGCAGGGGATGAGACAGCTGATTTCATTCTCAAGAGTTGTGTTATAAAATCCTGATATTATTTGCTTGGATGAAGCCACTGCAAGTGTGGATTAGTAGGTTGAGGATTTCATTCAATAATATTTGAGGGATTGTGGAAAAACCATAATAACCATCTCACATAGATTAGAAGCATTAAAGGATTATGATTGCATATATTATCTGGAGAATGGGATAATAGTTGAATAAGGTACATTCTAAGAATTGGTTGAATTAGGAGGGGGATTTGCAAATCTGAGAAATTGCTGAGTGTTTTTATCTATTACAACAATAATTATTTATATTCTAAATTATACAAAAAGTACTATTATTTGTATGAAATCCACAATTCAAGATAAAGAAAGATAAAAGATTAAACCAAATTAGAATATTAACATCGAACATTGCATTGTTAAAACAGTGTCAGACACCTTTAAGTCATTTTTTGATTCCAAAATTAAAGAATATGGAATGCCAACCTACATAACTATGAATTCAGAATTTGTTTTTGTTGGGATGGATTAGGCCTATGTTGTTATTTTTAGATAAGTATAGAAATTTAACAATCTAGGATGACAATTATACTCAAATCCATAAAGTACTTGGAAATGAATCTCAAATAAGCAGAGGAAGGGTTAAAATGATACACATCTCCATAGATGGATAACTTTTATTAGCTGTTTATTCTAATGATTAATTTGTAATTTATAATCTCAAAGTAATGGCAGACATTTTATTTAGTCTTTTATTGAGATCTTTGATTGTAGACTTAAACTTGTGAAAAGCATTGAAATTGTGCCATTGACAAATCAATGTCTATATTACGAGTTAATCATTCAATTAGATAACAATTACATTATAAAGATGCCATTAGATTTAAAGAATGCAGGATTGTTTGAATTTACATTAGGAATTCCAATCTATAAATTCGGAATGTTATGTGAAAAATAGCAGTTCGAAGAAACAAAAACGGCAGTATGAAATACATCTTAATACTTAAGTCGATAGTTGAGGAAGATTACATTGCTCCTATGTCGTAAATAATATAAGATTTATCAATTATGGATAATAGTTATTAGGAGCATATCTAGTGTATGGATGACAATGACAAATTGGCTTAGATAGATAATAATAAAGTGAAAGCAAGTAGAATTCACTAATCCAAGTATTTGATGGCTGTGGCATTCACAAACAGAGTTTAGGTTATATAGGTACATTTTGGAGCCAAATTGAATCAAGAAGAATCAAAAATTTAACTATTGCTAAACTTTTTGAGACCAGATGCTTTCATTTATAATTTGGTATTTCATTAACCTTATCCAAATACATTTGAATCCTAAAAATTGTCTATCCAATGTTCTTGTGCATGGGGATTGGGCAATTTTAAAGAAACTAATAAAAGATATGTATTATTGATCATCAATTGGGGATGTAGGGAATATTACGCATTCAAGGTTATGTCAAGCAATTCAAATATTTAAGTCATATAAGGTGGTCATTTTTACAATGCCATAGATTTTGCCACACTTTCGACTTTTCCTTTGACTTGCAAGTTTATAACTAATTCAATATTTTTATCCTTTGTCGTCAATAATGTTGATGGCCTCATTTCAACTCAATTGAAATTAATGACTACTTCATAATTTGAGTATGGTGTACCATTTACTCTAAGCTAAATAGAAAAGCATTATAATTAGGAGAAGTAGATATAGAATTTATCAAATGGATAATACCAGCCAAAATTCAGCTCATATGTTAGTGAAAATAAACAATAAGTTATTATTAGCTAAGGTATTTTAGACTCGATATAGGATGGTTATCAAATTTCAAATGATATTATCCTGAATTTTAATTAATTGCATTCCAATTGTACATATCACATCATTATTATTTTAGTGCAAATAACTTTTGAGAATGGACTATGCAATATATTGAATGGCACTGATTTGTACACTATTCGATTAAAGAAATGGGATGAATACTTAATTGAATTGAGTAAGAATGAAGAATGGGATAAGTGTTTTGAAACAGCCTTTAGCATTCATAAAGGTTATCTGACGCTTCTATGTGATATCCCTGAAAATGACACTCAAAGACACAAGTACATTTAGGATATATGCGGCAATTTGGGATTGCAATACATAATGACCTAATTAATTAAAAACTAATAAATAAATAATACATGTATATAAAAGGTTATTTAGTTTTTTATTAAAACTCAGAATGAGGAGCAATTATTTGATCAAATTGAAACCTTTATGGTGAGTAATGGCTTTGGCAATATATTCTATGATAGTTTGAAGGACTTAATAAAACAGTTCCATGTGAACATCCCATATCAAAATCAAATAAAAGTCTTGAGAAGATTCTCAGATATGAATGAAAAGGATATATGCCAACGAATTATATTCTCAATCTAAAACATTTAGTAATTCGATCCCAAGAAATTAATCGAATTCTGTTAAGAAAAAGACTTAATAGAACCATTAATATATGTGTGCTCACAATTTAATGACTTTTTAACTCCATATTTGAGGATACTTACTCTGATCACAGTCTTGTCGGACAGTCACCATTCGAATTAGATTGAGAAGAGCGGCATAACGTCACTGACACTTGAATAGTTAAAAGTTAGTTTATTTGGGTAATTTTTGGATAATAATTAGTTTTCTTTAGTTTTGTTTTACTGGTCAAAATTAATAGAAGCCTGAACTCTTTTTCACTGATAAACAATTTAAATCTATGTTCAAAGATTTATTTGAATATTTATTTGATTTTAGAAATGTAGAAAAGCTATTAGAAATAGATTATGAAAAAACCTTACAAGTTTTTCTATTAGTTTTTTCAGAAAGGATTTAGGATAATTTAAGACAGTATATTAATGAAGGAAAGCAAATAAACATCTAGATGAGCGAGAGTGTTAAGGAGGGGTTCTTACCAGAGATCTTGAGTAATTAAGTGATTATTGATAATTTATAGATTTGGAGTAGACTGAAATTCATTTGCAAGTATTGTCAAGGATTTATGTTTTGATTAAGATTGCAGAGATGACATATTTTGGTAAACTCAACGATAAGTAGGAGATTGAGAAATTCTTGTAATACTCATACGCATTTTCATCGAATATCTTTGCAATTTGTGCTTTTCGATTTAACAGCAATCACATCCTAATCAATTTGTTGAATTACATGGATATTTTGAGATTGGAAGAGTCCACCTTGTTCGACATTACTTGGGTGCTGAGAGGGAGAGTGTAAAAGGACTTGCCTGAAGAAGTGATACGGAATGAGTTTTTGGAAAGAGTGATGAAGAAATTGGATAAGTCATTGGAAGGGTAATACATGATATTGGAGGAATTGCGAGAGAAGGCGTAGGAGAGGAAATGGTAATGCGTTGAATATAGTAGAATAGGGTTCTGATGGAGGGATGTTGTTTGATAAAGATGAAACGAATTCCTGAGGCTTTGTATCTGTATTTAAGTCATCCAGACTGGATGCTATCGGAGAAGGTGTTTGGTGTATTGGCAGATTAATTAAGACAGGAGAAGCAGGAGGAGTTCATTGAGGATTGGATTTTTAAGAATTTAGGGATTCTTGGGTGTGAGAACAGTTAAAAGTTGTTTAACTTGTTGTACACTTATAAAAGGGAGAATATTGGGAGGGTGTTGATGGAATTGAAAAAAGTAGAGGTTGTGAAAGTGGACAAAAAGATGGGGAGGGAGCAGGAGATGAATCTATTTATTGAGTTTTTAGAATATTTAAAACCTCGTATGTAAATTGATGTTTCGAAGTACTTGTGAGATATATAATTTGGCCATTATGATTGATTTTTTGATTATTAAATTATTTTATATAAAAAAGAGGATGGGCAACTGCACGGGAATTTGTGGTAAGGATATGGTGGCTCAAACAATTGAGGATAAGAAACAAAAGTTGGATATGGAAGAATAGTAGTAAATGGAGATAGCTCTGGCTGTTGAAGATGTGCCATAGGATGATGCTCAATAGTAAGCTCAACCAAAAGAGGAGAATTTGGATGAATTAAAGTAGGAACAGCAGCATGATGACAAATAGAAAAATGAGTCCTATCATGAAAAAGTTAAACAAGTGGAAAGCAACGAGGCTTCAGTTAATCCTCATAAAGATAGTTAAAATAATCAACAGCCAGTTCCTGATGAATAGAAGGAGTATGAACCAGTAACTTTGGAGACAGGTAATTTCCTTGATTTATCTAAAAGGTGCCACTTATGCAGGCTAATGGAGAGGAAAGATGAGATGGGGTTGGGGAAAATAAGTTTGGCCAGATGGTAATTATTACTATCTAATCTTTAGGCTCTGTATATGAAGGCTATTGGCAGAATGATAAGGCATGTGGTAAGGGAAAATTAATACATGCTGACGGAGATGTCTATGAAGGTGAATGGCTTAATGACAAGGCAAACGGAGAGGGCAAATACATTCATAATAATGGAGCTCAATATGTAGGATTTTGGAAGGATGATAAATAACATGGAAATGGTAAGGAGACTTGGCCAGATGGAGCACATTATGAAGGATAGTATGAAGAAGGAAAGAAACATGGAAAAGGGAAATTAGTATTTGCTGACGGTTCCATGTATGAAGGATAGTTTGATAACAATGATATACATGGATATGGTGTTTATATCTGGGCTGACAATAGAAAATACTAAGGTGAATGGAAGAGGAACAAAATGCATGGCAGAGGAACAACAACCTGGCCTGATGGTCGTAGTTATGAGGGAGAGTAATTATTATTAGTTAATATTGATCAGTTATGAAGATGATAAGAAACATGGATAGGGAACATTTATTTGGAGTGATGGGAGAAAATATATAGGAGAGTGGAAAAAAGGAAAATAACATGGCAAGGGAATCTTTGTTAAACCAGGAGGAGAATAAAGAGAAGGAGAATGGATTGATGGTAGAAGGTAAAGATGGTTAGATGAAGCTGCTGGCGATGGACATAATGCTAATAATTGATAATAAAGATATATTTAAATTCCAATTTAACTTTCTTATTAAAAACTTAAATAATTTTGAAATGCCATATTAAATAATTAATCACGATTTATATTATCTCCCAGTCATTTTATCTAAAAAGATTTTTCTTAATTCCTAGACGCATTCTGTATCAACCATTAAAAGACCCATAATTATTTGAGATTTGTCCGCTATTTATACTATATCTCCCAAAGCATTTTACAAACATTCTTCTCCTTTCTAAATATTTCTTAAATCAAAGTACCTTATATCTTTTGAACTCATTTAGTTTTGATACTATCTAAATAGGATTGAATAATGAATAATTGACTCGATATGATAAGTTTATTTTGTAAGATTTAGAATCACAAAGTGATTTCGCTTTTAACAAATAATTCAACGCATAGGAAATATATTAACAAAATCTCTTTAAATTGTTAAAATTATATTACTTTTATTTATATTAAGTATTAAGTACAAAAAAATTTTTAGATATATATATCCTAATTAATTTGGTGATCAAATTTGCATTTAAGAGTTTGAATAGTAGTTTTGTTAATTGAAGGAGGAAAATGTAAATGAGGATTATGAGGTAAAACATTTAAATTGAAATAATCAAGTTTAACATAACTAATTTGGCACTAAAAGTTAAAAGGAAAAATGAGCTTTAAAAGTAAAAGGAGCTTAAAATATATTAATCCTAAATGATGCCATATTTTTATTAAAACGTATCTTTTCTGTGCTATTATATATGCAAAAATTTGGAGCATATTAATTATTAAAAAAATAAAGATATATGTCATAACCCAAGGGATAGACAAGCACATTTAAGATCCTACCGTACCATTTCATCCACGTTTTGGATTGTAATACGAACGTGACTAGAGTTGAGGTTGGGCCACAGACCTTTATTCGTCAAGATCATGAATAAGTAAGAAACAAATAACAACAAAGGTAACATCTGGACAACAACCCTAAAAAATGATTGTGTTGCCAAAACAACATTATTGTATAATTGAAAACCCCATAGTGAAGGATAAGGATGGTTAACCTGCAAAAGATAGATATTGGTAAAGCTCATGATCATCCATTTAGTCAATTTGTTGTTCTCCATGGCGAACGCGAGATTCGTTTCTTCGATTAGTATAGCACTCCATTCCCTCTGTATCCAAAGGAAAACTTGATATAACAGCCCACAAAATTGACTGTCGTGAAAGAAGGAAGTGCTTTGAAGATTGAGGCACAACGGAATTTTAAAAGAGGAGAAAATGAAATGTATCTTTTTTCTTAATATCATAACACAGTTTGGCTGGTGATCAGTACCTATTCAAGGGCCCAGCAACCTATTACCCAAGAATAGAAGAGAAAATACTTGGCCAAATTGATTCCATTCTCATAAAAGAGAATTAAGCAATTCTGATTCGAGCAAGACAAGAGGAGACTGATTCCAATGGAGTAGTCAGAAAATCAGGAGAGCAATGGTTGATTAGAACTCCTGGATACTATCTTCCTCAGGTTTACGAAGAGTTCGTCAAGATAATTGATGCTGAAATTTTGGATAATCGAAAGGCATTACATTTAAAAGCAATTCAGACTTTCAAAGATGTTTATTGTAATGAAATGTGTTAATTCCTTAATAGCTGTGGAGAGAAAGGCAGGAGAGGAGTACCTGATAACAGCTGAACAGACATCAGCACACATTGTGGATGTGTTCGAAGAATTAGTTACAGTTATAAATTTGACTGTCTTAGATCCAAGACAATATTGTATAATAGAAAATCCATTTGACTTTGAAACCCAAAGGAACAAATTTGGATCCAAAGTGCTTATTGAAGGTCCAAGAAGTTTCTTCCTTAGACCCAATGAATCCTTGCAAAATGGAATTCAAGATTCCTACATCTTATCAGAGGATCAAGCCTTGCTTTTGAGAGCAAAGGAAAAATGTAAATTCACTGAAAAGAAGTTGGCTAAGAACAATCAATTTGAAGACGTTGAAGTAGAGTATGAGCCAGGTAATAAATGGATGATCCATGGTCCATGCATCTACACCCCACCCATTGTAGTGGAAGTGATTGAAAAGAGAGAGAGAATTCCTCTGGACAAGAATGAAGGAGTGTATGTTAGAGACACAAGAACAGGTTAAGTGAGAACTGTCTTTGGTGAATCATACATGTTGAAATCCCATGAGGAATTATGGTCTATGGAATTGCCAAACAACGTTGAATAATTGTTGTCATCTCAATATTTCCATACAGGTGGAAAGAGAGACAAATGGAAGGTTGTTAGTTACAGAGCTCCATTCAATACAGCAGTGTAAGTCTATGACTACAAGACCAAGAAGACAAGAATTGTGTTTGGTCCTGCTTTGGTAAGCTTAGAACCAGATGAAGTATTTACTCAATTATCATTATCTGGTAAAACACCAAAGACTCCAGGTGTTGTCAATACATTACACGTTATGATGGGTCCAGAATTCTCCACTGATGAAATCACTGTTGAAACATCTGATCATGCTGTCCTGAAATTGCTCTTAGCTTACAATTGGAGATTTAAGGTTGATGAAAATAATATTGAATCTGCCTCCAAGATCTTTGCAGTCAAAGACTTCATTGGAGATCTGTGTAATCAAATGGCTTCTAAAGTCAGAGCTGCTGTTGCATCTGTTGTCTTCGATAAATTCCATAAGACCTCTGCAAAACTCATTAGAACTGCCATCTTTGGTATTGATGAAAATGGTAAAATCAGAAAGGAATATCTCATGGTGAAGAATAATCTTGTTATTACCAATGTAGATATCAAAACAGTCGAACCAGTAGACAACCAAACTAGATAGAGTCTTCAAAGATCTGTTTCTTTGGCTATTGAAATATCAACCAAGAAATAGGAATAGGCTGCTTAACACGTTGCTGAATAACAAGAACAATAAGCTTAGGGTGAATTGGATTAATTGAGAATCGAAGACGATCTCAAAGCAGAAGCTGCTAAATAGAAATTGCTTGAAATGGAAAACAAATCACAAGAAGTTACACAATAAGGATCTGCCATTGCAGATGCTGAAGCCATCGCCAAGGCTGAACAAATCAAAGCACAAAAGGAATATGAGTTAGCCTAATTGAGAGCAAGAGCCAATAAAATTGAAAAGGAAGCTGCATTGAAACAAAAATAAAAGGAACAAGATCAAAACATCAAGTATGAATAAGAGAAGGCTGAACTTGAAATCAGAAGAGCCAAGGAACTAGCTACAATTGAATCCAATAAGTTTGAGCAAATCATCGAAGCCCTAGGACAAGATACTCTCATTGCCATGGCCAATGCAGGACCAGAAATGCAAGCTGAGTTACTTAAGGGATTGGGATTGTAAGGTTACATCTTCACCGATGGAAACAACCCTATTAACTTATTCAACGGAGCCCAACAATTAATCGGAGGAGCATTGCCATAATGATATTATACATAAATCATTAAAAACATCATAATTAGCTTTGAAATGACATTTCTCGTGTAAACTTTATAGGTGGCTCCTCAAAAGAAGGATCTTGCTTTTGTTAAGGGAGTTGTTGCTGCTACTATTATTATTTGACTTCTTATGTCTCAGTCAACAATTGCTTTTTTTTGTTGATTTATTTCTCTATGTTCTATTAGGCTAAAAATTAATCAAAAGGCTTATCGCTGTACATTTCCTAAACCATATTTGGGATGACGTCTATGTATTTAATCTATATTGACAAATGCCTTATATACCTTTTGATCTTGGTTGGTTATTTTGTTATATTGGATGATCTATAGGACTGCTTCGTTCTACAAAAATTCAAGGAATAATTCTTTTATTTTTTTCTTCTGCTTCTATTATTCGTTGTTATCACCCTTATCAACCTAAAAACACCTTTTGTTACAATTAAATCCTTACTTATGGAAATCCCCTAACTCATATCTTCCCTATTTTGATTTTTTATTCGACTTTAATTGATGTAAAAATGTACTAACATCATCTTCTTTTAAAATTTTCGCCCACTTTTTGAATCTCCCCATAAAAAAATGAGGAATGCGTCTTAATTTGATTCAGATTGTTACCTGTAAAAATCCTGCGTTTCCTTCACTTCATTCGGTTATTAAGACTGTTGTTCTTGTGGCTATTGAGACAATTGAGCTCCACTTTTTTCCTCTGATGCAGAGGAAGATCCTTCATCCTCCTATTATTCAAATTGGGGATTAGACTCTTGTATCATTCCCTGATTCAACTCAACTTGACCATGGATCGTATCGTTTAGTTCTGATAAAAATTGTTTTGCCTATTAAAGTTGACTGATGAAAGTTTCATCCACTTCCAATAGAAATTTCCCTTTGCCTTTCGAAATCAGCTTCATCTTCTTCGTAATTGCAGGGGCTGCAGCCGCTTACTTCTTGATTTAAGTCCTTGTTTATTTTCCTCCTAAATAAGAATAATTTGTAAAACCTTTTTTATTACTAAAGTTGCTCATTATTTAATATTATTTATACAATTATTCCATATAATTTAAGATATGAACTTCATACATCTCAAAAATCATAATTCATAATATTATCAAATTTTAGAATTCTAAAAATCTTATATTCATTTTTAACTCAGGAGGAAAACACATTTAAATATCAAAAGTAAAACCCTGCACCCTATTTTGATACTACTAGAAAGTCTGTAAGATTGAAAGAATTACAACTTGAAGTTTTAAATTATCATTCTAAAATAAATTTATTTAATAATTTACATTTATTTGTAATAAAAATCAAACATAATAAATTACAATTAGAATTGATATATTTCATCTGATCTTCATTCCCCTCTCTCTTTTATTAATAAAAATATCACCTTAATTGTCTATTGCTAATATAACTTATAAGGAGAAGTAGTATTACTTTATTTAAAGAATAGGAAAAAAAGTAATTACAAAATCTGGAATTGTAAAATCTTCCCTTTCGAAGTGATTTGGTCTCCAAAAATTGTTATTTACTATATGAAGTTGAATCCTATTGAATTGCGTGGATGGGATTATTGCTTAGTACTTTTTCGTTTATAGTTGTTTATTTCTTAAATATAAAGTTTAGGAGAATGTCGATAAGGAAGTAGATGTTGGAAATGAGCAAGGAGGAGAAAAGTAAATTAAATCTAATTAATTGATTAATTCTTGAATAACTAATCATTTCTTAACTTGCTTCTTGGTGGCCTTCTTAGAGTTGTTCTTGGTTGCTGGCTTTTTAGAACCTGCAGCCTTTGGCTTAGCTCCTGCTTTCTTGCCTTGCTTTTTTGGTGTAGTGGCAGCAACTGGTGTTGCGGTGGCTGGTGCAGGGGGAGTAGTTGTCACTGGGGCTGCTGTTGGAGTAGCATCAGTTGGTTTTTTAGTAACTTTCTTGACATGCTTAGTAGCTTCTACTATAAGTTATATATTTGACTTGGTGGTGTTGTCTTTTTGGTTCCTTTATTTCCTTTTGGTGCTGCTTTTGCCATTTTAATTATGTTTTCTTATTTTTATTATTAAGTTTTTTTCTCCTAAGCTTTAAATTCGAATTATAAAATTTCGTTAATTTCATTGGTTTATTTGATAACATTTTGGATAATGATATTGCTCTACTTTAATTGTCAAATAGGTAATTGTGCACATCCTCTTCCTCATAAGGTATTTTAAACATCAAATAATTTCAAAATTCTGCCTACTAGAGCACATCAAATTGTGATTAATTTCGATCAATTTAGCACTTACAGCAGAGAATTCACTTCTAAAAACACTTTTCAATGCTTATTAAATGATAATCTTGAGAAATTATTGGGTTTCTATCGATAATTCAAATTTGAAACAGAATTTTAAAAAAAGGAATTTTTACAAAAAAAGTAATAATAAATTATTTTTTATTTATTTTTTTTTTCAATTTTAATAATTTAATAATTTTAATAAAATGCTATATATCAACTAACTTTGGTACTCCTCCTAGTAATCAAGAATCTCTCCACCTCCTCAGCCAACTGAGGACCACCGCATTCCATAACAGCATTGATCACATCTGCCATATTTTATTTTCCTCCAACGACAGCTTTTTCCAATTCCGCAATTTATTGCTCAAGAGTTTGATGGCGCTAATCACTTAGTACAACAATTTTCTGTCAATTATTATATATTATGTGGTTACCTTGTTTATTTCAACCTAGTGTTGTAAACTCTCAAGTTCAACTTAATCTTTTTTACTTTGCAAGACTAATTTGTATATAAATAATTAAATTTACTTAAACTTTCATTCTCCTATTTCAAAGCAGCAATCTAGGCTATGTAATCAGTTAATAATTCAGCTTGATCCCTATTCTACATATCAGGCTATTGCAGAATTAAATTATTCTTAGCCATTAATCTCTCTATTTCTTGAGTTCTAAGTGCTATGATTCATATATACTTTTTTTTCAATTCACCATTCTTTTCTGCTAATTGTTCTTTCAATTATTCGTTCTCTTGTTCCAATTGATTACTTGAATTCTTAATTTGTTCACCTTGATCTTGAGAGTGTCTGCCTTTCTCAAGCAATTCCTTCTCTAAATATGCTATTCTAATTTTATTTTATTTAATTTCTTCAATTTTACTATCCACTTCAATTTGCTTTGTTTTAATTAGATTTTTCATTTGTTCCAGAATTTCTTAATTGGTATTTTGACCTGACAATAAAGAAGCCTTCATGAAACTATCATTCTGAACCAACTAAATCGCTTACTAAGCTCTCAATAAATCCTTTTCCAGATTCTCTATTTCTCTCTTTTTATTCTCATTATCTCTCTTTTGACACTCCAAATCATACGATATATTATCAAGGCTTTTCTTGTATTGTTCTGCCTCTCTTTTAATTTAGGCATTCTCTCTTTTAGTTACTTCCAAGTCCTTTTTCCATAATTCAGCTTCCTTCTTATAGAATTCAATTTCCTTAGACTTTTGATCTAGCTCTCTTTTTAGATGATCTGTTTCTTTGTTAGCCAATAAGGAATGGCTTGAACTGTTGTTAAAGCTTTTGACTTAAATTCTTTAATATTCATTTCTTAGATTGCTGTAGGTTTCTGATAACAAATTAAAAGCAGCTTCACTTTTGATTTGCTGATCTTTTAAACCTTAATTTTCGTTGGTTAATTTTTAAATCTAATTTTTTAATTAAGCATTCTCTTGTTATAACTATGACAATTATTGTCTCCATTGAGTGGAATCTACTTCTGTATCTAATTATTTGCTTGATAGTGTCAAACCTCCTTCGATTTAGGTGGGTCTAGTCCCAAAATTCTCTTGAAAGTCTCCTTTCTTGGACAAGGGTTTAGGTTTGGTAGAGCCTTTGAGAATTTCACTTTATTCGTTGGGTGACGTAGCAGACAAGACTTCGTTTCTGGTTTTAATTCTTGAGTCTTATCGATTGGGACTTTTAGAGGGAGCTCTATTGTTTGAGTTGTTTTGTAAGTCCTTGTTGAGTTATCTGAAATCTAGTGGGTTGTTATTTGAGGATTTAAGATTTTCAAATCCTCCAGTTGATTTTTAAATTTATTATTTATTTATTGGTTTATAATCTTTGGGAGTTTGAAATCTACGAGGACTCATGACTCGAACTTCAGGTTTGCGAATTTCTTCAAATTTTTCATCCTCTATTTGTCCTTTTTTGATGGGTTCCTTTAATTTCTTGACATACTATTCCCTGACCATTTCCTAATGATCTTTCCATTAAGTGTATGTGGCATGCACAGTTCTCTTATCGAAATGAAGTTCGTCAGCAGGTTTCTTCTGTTGCGCAATTGGTTTCTAGGGTTGTGGAGTGGGAATGGGTTGGTCTCTCAATGGACTTACTTAGCGAATTTATTTAGATTGCACTTGATCTACCTGATTCCAGGCCAAACTCATTTGAACTTGGGCTTCTGAATCGAATTTATTCTGAATAGTAATTTTGTCTATGATAAGAGGAAGATTGTTCTCAATGTAAAAGCCTAAATTAATGGTTGCTTCTCCAAAGATGGTCTAGCCATCGTAAAAGTAGAGTTTCAACTACAAATATATGCAAATATCCAATACATTGCCTTTCTCAACATATTACACATTTAATTCAATTTTTTCCCAAATTTCTTGAATTTCTTTGCATTTGCATCTGACTTTCGACTCCAATGCAGAAGTGGAGAAGGCTAAGCATAGAGATGTTTATCAATACAATCGCTTAATTTAATAGAGCAGGATTCGAGTGAGGAGCCGATGAAAAATTGGATTGTCTAGACTTCTATATCAAGATGTAGCATTTTGAAATAAAATATGTTATTTTATTAATTAATAACTCGACTGAAAATTATAATGAAACCTATTGAAAATTTGAATGTCATTCTTATAAACTGTATTCAATAGACATTCATGAGAATAATATATAAATGCCATTTAAATTTCATAAATTAAAACAATTCTTCATGTCTGCCAAGCCACAAAATCTTGACGACGGTAGTTTGATACTCAATCCAAAAGCAGCTCACAAATATTCCTTGATATGGGTAGCAGAAATAATCATAACAATTAGATGCATGGCTTAGGAGATACCGCATATGGATTCTTAGATGTTTTTTAGCAAATGCCAGTAGTAAAAGCAGAAACCAAAGTGCTCTTGCTTTAAGCTCCATAAAGAGCAGTGACAATAAATATGGGGATGAAATTCTCAAGTTGGTTTGATATCAAAGTGCTTAAGGCAGATGCAAATATTGATCAATTCGTTTAAGATTTTCAGAAAGTAATGACTAACCAATAATGTAGACTGTCTCCATGGAAGAAATAGAAGATTCTAAGAAAATAATCACAAATTATTTGGACCAAGAAGTGAAATTAGTTTCAGCTAAAAATGTATTTATCGGTGGATTTTCTTAAGGATGCTGTATGGCTTTGGAAACAGCATTCAGCTATCCACAACAACTAGGAGGGATAGTGGGCTTGTCTGGTTATTTGTTCCCAACCACTTAAATTAATGAGTTCTAAAAAGAGACCCCCATATTGCTCGTTCACGGTGAAAAAGATCAGATGATCCCATGCAATTTATCAAAAATAAGCTATTAGAGATTGGACAACTCAAAGAGACAAATGTTTAATCTTCATGTGATTCCAAGGATGGGTCATGAAGTTCCAATGCCTGTTATTAAGGCAATGATGGATTTCTTCTAGAATGCATAGAAATGAAATGAATTATTCTTGAACAATTAAACATTATTAAAAAAGAATAAGCAATTTATAATTTGTTTCTGATTCTTAATTCATTTTTAAGCTTGATTATATCTTGCTTCTACGTCCTTCCAATTTACGATCTTCCATATGTTAGCCAAGAAGTTTGGTCTAACATTCTTGTAATCCCACCAATAGGCATGCTCCCAAACATCAATTGCTAATCATATCAATTTTGGAATTCATACTTAAAATTGGAGTAAGACCATAGTTTTATGGAATCTCTTGGTTGGGAAGTTCCAAATATCTCAATTTCTTTGATTGTTAATCAACTCCCAAGAATCCCCATCCACTGCCTTAAATTGCAGCAGTTCTAGTATTGAAGAAAGTCTTGAAGTTATCAACACTTCCCCAATTTTTATTGATTTCTTATACTAAAGCACTGTTTGCATCAGGTAATTGTCCTCCCCCGTTTTTAATTGGTGTCCTGCATTATAAGTTAAATAGACATACAAGTTCTCCCAAAACAAACTATGATTCAAATGGCCACCCAAGTTGAATTTTATGATGCCTTGGACATTGGCAATCCTTTAGACATCATTCTTTGCTAAGGCATCTTCCAATTACTCCTATGCAGCATTAAGATTATTGATATAAGCTTAATGATGTTTGGAATGATGGAATTCAAGAAGTGTTGCACTCAAAACTGGTTCAAGATCACTGTATCCATACTTAAGAGCAGGCAATGAGTGAGCTTTGAGAGTGCCAAAGAAAAATTAAGAATTCTTAAAAAATTACATAAAATTATTTAATAGATATGATTTTTGCGTTTATAATTCATTGATAAAAATTCTCGTATTTCTTTAAAATTTCATCAAATTCCACATAATTGAATTCAATACCCTAGTAAGCAAATCTATAAATTATGAAATGTAATTGGTTACCTTTTGCAAATGACTCTAAATTAATCATCAGTTAATGGTAATTTATGAAAATCCATAATAGATCTAAATCGAGTAAAAGTAATCTTTCCAGATTTAGTTTTGTCCTATAAAATGTGAATGACATACATTACTTTATCTTGGAAGTGAGGTTTGAGTAGGATTCTATGTTTTTTAACGACTTCGCCTAATCTTAACATAATAGTATGCAAGGCTTCCTCTTCTTCTGAAGTTAAGGCATCTCTTGGATCAAGGAAAGTTGGAATAACATGGACGGGAGGTTTCATCAATGGATCTTTATCTAATCCCTTTATTAAATGAGTAAATATAGATTCTTACAGATTTTGTAAACACAATTTCGACATCCTCTATGAACTTAGCATAATTGACTCTAATGGGATCTTCTGGTACAACATACATGGTTTCTAACAGGTCTAAACTCTCTTGATCCAAATCTATCTTCATTTGACTCAACACTCCTCTAAATTTATTGGTAGGCATCAATCCTTTTCTTAGAGGATCAAAATCTTTGAAGTAATCACCCAGTCTTAATCGTTTGATCTTAACAGCCACTTTAATTTATTCTAAGAGCACAGATGGTTGTAACTAATTAAACTCATTATTATATATACTTTTTCTTTCTCTTTAGGTTTGACACCCACATACGCTTGAGATGCACCTGACTCAGTTTATATTTCTAAGGGAGGTTGAGTATCATTTATAAACTAAACATATCTAATATCTCCATCATCTTCAGCAGCATATATTTTGACGACTGCTTAGAATTCTTCATCAGATAAAATGAAATTGACAGTGGCCAAGGTTTATCTGAATTACTTAGGAGACACTTTGTTTCTGCCCAATTTATCCCAATCCTAGAAAAACTATTTAATATCCAATCTAGTAGCTTTGCAGAAATATTAAAATTTCTTCTTTACAACTTCAGCCACTTATCGATCTCTCTCTGTAATTGAAACTCTGCCATAATTATATTAGGTTGACATCAGAGGTACGTCTTCTGAAGGACTGACTTTTTCAAGATTCTTAGTTGTGAATACTTAATCAACTTAATCAGTGAAATCCTTCCAGTATACAAAGTTTGGCTTGTCTTTGCATCCAAAGTTTTATAGAATCAATTGGAATTCAGCATCAGACAATAGAATCTTAGCCATACTTAATCCTTTTCTTAATTGAGTGATAGTAATGGTACCACTTCTTAATTTATCGAAATCTCTAAGGAATTCTGCAATTCTCTGTCTCTATTCCTTAACAATTCTTCTTAATTTAGCCATAAGATCTTCAAAATCATTTGGCTAATCATTTCTGATGAATGCTTAACTCACATTGTCTGACTTAACATAGTTTTTGAATGCATCTGCATGAGATCTACTTATAGCAACACCTTCATCGGATTGATCAACTATTCTACAGAAATCATAGTAATTGACTTCATTTAAATTGGCTTTATCAACAAATCTTTTCAATAGTAAATTTAATGAAACAGGGTCTGGGAATAAGTTGAATTAATTAAGAATTCTTAGGAATTGATTAGTTGTGATATATCCTTATTTAGTCTTATCAAAATCTTCGAAGACTGGTTTCAAGAGAACTCTTTTGTTTTGAATGGCTTGTTTGTATTTCATCAATAATTCATCCAATTAAATGGCTTCTTACTCTGTCATTTATAAATATCTTCTTCTAGCTGGTAATGTAGTTGAATCATCAATCTAAGGAACTTAGGCTTAAGGAGATTTATCAATTCCCTTAATAGTGAAAATCTTATCGACATCTTCACAGAATTGATTGTAATCTACCTGACCATTGGGAATGCTGTCAATTTTATAGTGATTCAATAGTATGGATATTTCCTTCTCAGTAACAGGAATGTTTTGAAGATGCAATATTCTAGCAAACTAACATCAATAATCATAGCATACTTGGGATTCAGTAACTAATCCTTTTCTCAAGGGATCGAAGTCCTTGTAGAACTCTCTAATTCTGATTCTCTTCATAACTACATCTCCTTAAATCTTCTTTAATACCTATTCCAAGGTGTTGATGTTATCAGTTAATTTCTTGGAAGTAAACAAAGTAGAAATCAAATCAAGTCCTTCTTTGTCTTCTATGAAATCATCATCAGGATGAACCTATGTATTGAATAAATAATACCTCCTTTGGATTATGCTTTATGCCAGTGATTACTCCGCTCAACATTTCTTAGACATTATCGACATCATCACAAAATTTAACATAATTCACTTCCTTAGGATTTCCATTATCGATGTATTATCTGATGAGCAATTACAAATATTAGTCCTTAGGTAGCAATCCCAATTAATTGAGCACTCTTGAAAATTGATCAATGGTGATATGAGAACAGGCAGTTCTATCAAAATCCTGGAATGGCTGTTTCAAGAATATTCGTTTGGTTGCTATTTTCCTTTTTATTGCCAACATCAATCTCTTAACTGTGTCTTCCTCATCCTTATTGAAAATCTACAACTAGTCGATTATTCATACTTATGGTGCCTAAAACACTTAAGCTTTGGCTTCGCTATTTAAGAATTGCTCTTCAAGCTTGTTACAGAATGTTGTGTACTAGACTAATCCATCATTGAGTTTATATCTTCTTATTATTTCCTCAATCTCATCTCTAGTAAAGTGGAAATTGATCATTGACAAGGCAGATCGAAACTTATTGTTATTGATAGAGTAATACCTTATCTTCTGTCACCCATCCTTTTCGGAGACGATCAAAATCTGTGAAGAATTCCCTCACTCTTATTTACTTTTTGTACACTTCTTATTGTAATCTTGTCTCTATATCTTGTTGTACATAAGTTCCAACTAAACCTTTAAATGAAAGCGTTTTACTTATTGATTATCCTGCAGAAACTAGTGCTGTAGCCATCTTACAGTTATCTTTTTTACTATTTATTATATTTTATTTATTCCCAATTTCATGAAAACCAAATACAATAAATTGTCTCCATTGGATGAATCCAAATCACCTAAATGTGAACTCCTTAATGATGACTCTCTAAAAATGAATATCTTAAAATAAAAAATCATCCATGAACGTTCATCTGTCTTGCAAAGAGATGGAGAGTTAAGAAAAATTTCAGAAGAACTCCATAACAGAATCATGAATTAAAGACTCAATTTCAATAAACCTCTCAAGTATGCATAATTTGTCATTCACCAACGAAAATATGACACCAAAAAGAACTCAAATGCTGTACTAAACATAGTCAAAAAAGAATAACAATTGCAACTGGAACTATCAAAACGAGATGTGAGTTAATTTGCAAGTTATGAACAAGAAGCAGATAAATCTCGATTGATAGATAAAATGCCATAAAATCAGAAAAAATTAAAAATGAAGTATCGAGACATTGTCAAATCAATTCTTATCAAATCTATTGCACAATCCTTTCACGATGACTCAATCAATGTCATCAATTACCATTCTAAACCCAAATCAATATCCGTCAATGAATAGCCTGTTCTCCCCACTAATAATAATTGTGCAATTAAACCCATCGATCAATACATCCTAAACAAACTAGAAAACATTGCATAAGATCAACTTGACAATAGTTACATGCCACCTCTTAGTCAAAATGAAATCAAAACATCCACCTAAAAGAACTCTTTGTTAAAACTCATTCCCATTACCACTGCAACAGCTGAGAGTTCCAAATTAAAAAGAATTAGATACTAAGATGAGTTTTCTAATTCTAAGCTAATCTAGGAATTCAAAAATGACAGCGGAGTTAAGAATTATGAAATAACAAGAAAAGCTTAAGAAAGAATTACGCTCTATTAAAAGATTCTTAAAATGTAAAATGAATCAAGATCATAGAGTCAAAGTTGCTACATCAAAAAAAAGATTGTAAATCCTATACAGAATAAGTATTATAATTGACTGATTTTTTTTGATAGTATGGCAAAGTTCTATTAAATTAAATTATGGGCTTACATAAGGTTTTAAGATGTGTTCTTTTTTATTCATTTATTATTCATCTAAAATTTACAGACTGTTCTCAATTATAGAGGAATTCTGTAATAAGCAAAATAACAACAAGGTATTTGATATCAACTGTAATTATTACTTTTATAGAATTTAGAGGGAGTGTGAATTTTATAATCTATTCACTTATATTGAATTCATTTCTTTTTTTTCATGAAGGTAAACTTCTTCTTCCATTCTTCTGAAAGCTTAGGACTCAACTTTATCTCTTGATTGACTTCAGATGTGTATTTCACAATTCTTTCTTCAAAAATCTTGATCTCCTCATTTAATGTACTTTACGGTTTAATCTCTTTAGATTGCTTTTGCTAGTTTCTCCTTTCTAATTAGTTTTGATTTGGGATCTCCTGCAATTATTGAAAATCATTTGTTTGTTTCGATTAAATACTCTACTTTTACATCTTTTTACAATCTTATTAATGAATAAAATCTATCAATTTTTGTGGATAATTGCTATCGATCATATTGTTGTTCGTATTTTATGCAAATTGTTCAATTTAATCGTAGTTGAGTTCTTTCTTCCGATAAATTATTATAATTTACTTCTTAATTTTAATACTCATTAAGCTCCCTCTAGAAATCACTTTGAAATTGTTTCTGATTCTCCCCAACTAAAATGACTTTTTAAAGTACCTTCACTAGTAAGCAGTTTAGGAATTTCAGCTACCACTATCAATTTAAATAATTGTACGATCATTATGCTCTTATATTGTTGGCATAATCCTTTATTTCTCTTTTTAGTTTTGTCTCTTGCTAGACATTAAATCCCTTATAATTTGATAATTAATTATTGATGATCAAATTATATTAAATTACCTAATTTCATTCTATTCATATCATAGTATATTAATTGCCTAAATCAGAACAATATTTATTTATTAAAACAAAAATCACATCCCCAATTCAACCAATCATCATTATTATACAATATGATCACCAGTTGATCATAAAACAACTGCTAAACTATAAAATTATCATGATTTATAATAATTTTTTCAATTTTGTCAAGAATTTCCTTTTCCATTTTTTACACCATTAAGAATTCAACCTCTCGACTTTTAATCTAGAATGACAACTTACTTAATACTAAATACAAGCAAAGAAATAAAGAATATCGTGATTGCTAAAAAAGACAAAACAAAATATTTGATTAATTAAATAACATGAAAATACTAGATCGATAGCTAGATTATATTTAATTCTTCCCCTAAATGTCATTTTAATACAAGCCATAGAAAGATATATTTAGAGTAATTTGATACATAATTAATTAATAAACAATTTTAAGCTATAATAGGAATTTTTGGCTTAATAATAAAATAACGTGTTTAGACCTTCTATAGATAATCAATAAATATAACATTAATAATTCAATTTGCATATTAATGCTATTTTTGCATTCACCATAATCTTTATTTTATTAATAAATTAAATTTTTAAGATATATTTCGCTTCATAGGAATATTTATAATGAAAAGATAAATAAAATCACTTATTAGGTTTTTTATCTTTCTTTTGTACTACAACTACTTACGGTTTATCCTCTTAAGCTTTCAACTTGACTTATTATCTGACTTCATCCATCTCTTTGCAATCTTCATCAGAGCTATCTTCCTCTTTATACACAAACTTTATGTTACCTTCTACTTATTCATTGATATCTTGAGATATATAACTCTAAATTATTGAAAGAAATTACTTTTGGATTCAAACATATGAAATCTTCAACCTTATTATATCTAGGATTTGTATTGATAGATTCTTCATTTAAAAACTCTTATGTTTTAGATAACACAGTAAGCATTCTTTCTAGACGAAGTTAAATAGTGGAAGCTGTTGCTACTAAAGCAGACCTTTTGATTTCGATGTTTTTTGCTTTCATTCCTTTACCACTTAATTGATACATGATTCTTGATAAGGACATTGTCACTTCATCTATGGATTTTTCAACTTTTTTGACTTATTTTTCTTTTTCTGAAAACAAATCTTATTATTTAGTTACATCTCTTTCTAATTCATCTAAATTAATTTGAGCATCTAAGATTGAATTCTCTTATTCATATTTCAATTTTTTAATTTCTGCCCTTAATTCATCATTCTATCTTTCATATCTTTCAATCTCTTTTCCAACGTATTCTTAAATGTTTTTTAACTCCTTTTAATCTAAATCCATATTTAATTTATATTTCTTCATGATTTCCTAATTAGAAATGCTAGTAACTACTCTCAATTTTTGGAACATTTATTTCTAATTAAAAGATAAACAAATACTTTTTTCTCTAATTCCTATTGTATATCCTATTTTTGTTTATTAATATTTTGAGTCGCATTCTCAATAGCCAATTTTGCTTTATCTTTTTGTTCTCCCCTCTTCCTCTTTTCATTATCCTCCTTAATGGCAATAATTTTCTTTTCTCCCTACTACACAATCTCCAAGGCCTATTCATCGCCACATTTGGATAATTCATCCTCCAAAATCTCCTCCAACATTGGATCGAATCTCCCTCTTAAACTGGCTCCAAAAAAGTTCTGTTAAGTTTAAAACTCACTTCTATACTTTGCAACAATCTTTGATAAAGATTCTAATTGCTTCTTTCTACTCATCATACTCTAAGAAGATGCTTCATATTATTGATATTTGATTTTCAATCCATCATAGGTTATTTGACATTACTTTTACACTTCCAATAATAGTTTCCCTTCGTTATCAAATTGAAAATACTTCTTTTTAGATACATGTCTCTCAACTTAGCGATTTCATATGATTATTTAGCCATTTTTTCTTCCTAGATTTATTCTTTCTCCAGTAACTCCTCTATTGTCTCTTTTACTGTATCCTCATTCTACAATACTAAATCGTTCAGCAATTCATCCAATCTTCTACTCTTTATGATCATTTGCTTGATTTCATACAATAATCTATCTTTGTACAACCTTTGTTTATTGATTTATTCCTCCTTCTTCTCAAGAGCATTCTGAATTTTAGGTCGAGATTCCAAGTCCTACAATGCAGTTACAATTCTCTTATTATGTAAGTCCTGTAAACTCTTCTATTGCTCATTTGCCACATGAACATATAAGTCCTTATAATGATTTTGCACTAAATCCTCATATTCCTTCTTGATCTCCTCTATCTATTGTTATTGCAATTCTTATTATGGTTTAGGCTTTTGAGTCTTGTCCTTCTCCTTTTTCCCAGGAGCTAAGGTGAAAATACAGCATACGTAAATATTTTGTTGTCGCCTATGACAATGCATCTCTAAACAAATCTATCTTTTTTGCTTTTTGAATTGCCTTTGGGGATTGTTGTTGCACTTATTGAGTCTACTTTTAGTTAGCATTTTTGGTCGCATTCTAATTGTTGCTCAATTGAGGTAGTTTCGAATTAGAGTTTTGAGTCTTTTGTTGCAACTGATATATATTCATTTCTTACATCCTTTTAAGGCTTATTGATTGGCTACTCAGGTTGCTTGCTAACACTAATTTTAGGCTATAAAAATTGAGGAGGGGCAGTCAAATCAAATGTAGAACCAGCATCAATCATTTTATAAATTATAATATTGTGGATAATTTGATGGATTCCTCCATTCATAGACAAACATATATGTAAGTATTAGATATTGTTAAATGAAAATCTTAGATCAAATTTTTTGGTCATAAAATGCTTAAATTAGTTCTTCGATCTTTAGTTTTTAGTTCTCTTCAACAAATTGTTACGCTTAAGAATGATGAATTCCCAAGATTTCTGTAAGATGTTATATCTTCTATAATTTCGAATCATTTATAGTAGCTATATAATATTTATGCACTCTTACCATTAAATTTAGCATCCTTCTGGGTTATTGTTGATGGTCTTTCATTCTTTTCATTATTCTTCTTCACGAATAGACAAAAGCATACTTTTTAACCAAAAAACTCTGGCTTATTTCCATTGTAATGAGCCAACTAAATACATATTAAAAAATGCTTACTTTAAACTCATTATTGACATTATTGACCTCTTGGGCTGGAGGATTCAAAATACATTAGAACAATCCCTCTTCCTATGGTTTCACATCATTTTATAACTAAAATTCCATCATATATTTAATATACATCTATCTTTAAGTCCTTATATGTTCCAGCTATACCAACGAGCTTTACAGAGCCTTTCTTCCAAATAACATTGCCATCATTTTTTAAATGCATTTCCCATTTGTAAGGCTTCCCCAACTCCATTTAAATTTCATTGTTCTATTTATACATTACTTGCATCTTGTATTATGGGTTTATTTGATTCTCATTTTAAACTTACACCTTCTTATTGTTTACTATGATTCCATGGAACACCAATCTTTCATCTACTTATTCGATGATAAACTTTTTGAATTCTTCATTATTGCAATCAACATCCTGTAAAGAAAGCTTGCTAATCTGTTAAATTATTCTTAAAATAGCATAAATTAGTTTACTATTATGTAAATCCTTCAGCAACATTATTTTCTTAATTCTGAGTATGACTTTACTTGATTTCTTATTTCTCTTCTTTTGGTTTATCTGCAACCTTTTTCTGGAATATATCATCAAATTATGACAATTCCGCATTCTACTTTATAACTACACTTTAGTTTAGGGTGTTGATATCATCTGCTGTCAATTCAGGATTGTTGATGTCTTTGACTATAATCTTAATTGATTGCCATCCTAAATGAGTATATAAGTCCTTTATTCTTGAAAAAAACTATTCATCCTACAACTGATAAGGTGGTTGAGCTACAAATGATTTTAAATATTTTACTTTAATCTAAAGTAACATATATAGTAAATCCATTCTGAAGTTCATTAGGGTAAACATTTGAGATGGCGCCCCTAACTTCAGCCAGAGTTTTATTTTTTGAGGAGATCTTATGTGTCTTTTAGTTGTAAACGAACTTAATATTCATTAAAATAATTTAATAAATATTCATGTTAAGTTTTTATACACAAAGTATTAGGATTATGTAGAATGGAGAATAAAATAATTTCTTCTATAAGAATCTGCGAATTTCTTTTATAAGAATCTGCGAAATGCATTATGAATTGAAATTTTATTGAAGCACTATTGATGTTCATAAGTATGCTTAAAATAGAGGAGTACTATAGTTAATTCTTTTGTAAAGATTAAAAAAATATCATCTTTAGATTTCTTTTTCTTATTATTGAACAATTTAGAAATTTAGAAGGAGATGAAAATTGATGCAATTTTATTATTGAAGAAAGCATGGTTTCCATCATCGTAGAATGAATAAACGTCTATAAACACAAGGTTAAATTTATAGGTTTTGTCGAAAACTTTAAATGAATTAGCGGAATTTAGTTGATGTTCTATACTTAAAAAATTGGATTATATTATGATTGTATACATATTATATAAATTATTATAATAAAATAAAAAAATGATCAAAAATATTCTGCTTACTAGCTTTTATGGGATTATTGTTGTTTTAAGTTTGATTTTAATCTACGTTCAAAGAAAAATCAAAAGATTAAGGCATAACCCTGGCCAAATTATCTTTGGAATTCTTGTTTCTCAATCTGTACATTTAATAATACTAATTAGATTATGAGTCTTTTTATTGTGTTCAGCCAATTTTATAATGTCGAAGATTCTTAAGATCAATAGGAATATATGTTATCAATCAATGAAAGCATTTGTAAATTAATTGCAGCCCCGTCTTTGATGGTCTCACTTATTTACAATTTATTGAATATTTTGCTGATAGCCAACCTATATTGTTAAATATATGCTAAGAATTACAATGAAATCAATATACAAAAAGAAATCAAGATAGGGATACTAGCAGTGGTATTGATATCTTTGTTACTTGTGCTTGTATTTGATGAATTAGGTTTTAGGTATAAATTATACATTGACTAGTATTTTAGGAGATTGCAACTTAGAATCACACAATGTTTTTGCAACATTTTTGGTCTATCTAAGGAGCGTTCTCATTATAATTTTATCTACAATGTTAATAAAATTGTTAAAGTACCCACCAGAGATATTGTAAACAGAAATTTATAAAACCGTTATTGATAAGTTCATAAAGAAGTACCTACAAACCTACATCAAAGTAAATGTGGCTTATGGGCTGCTATACGTATTTGCCAGATTGCTGATTGTATAATTAATCACCATAATCGATTAGCCAGTTGTAATCAATTACATTGAGAGCGATCAAAAATTGATGTCTGTTTGCTAATTCATTCAGGTTATTGCTACTTTAATAATGACTATAATCCGATTACATGAACCTATCATCCATAGGCACTTTAGACATCTATTTCGACCAAAAAAGTTGGTGTTGCATCAGAGACTGCTTGAGAAGAATGATGACGAGAGGGAAGACACACTCCAAAGGTCTTATGACAACATACAGATTGAGACTATTGGACAAGACATAAATAGCATAGGAATAAAGGTGTATAGATAAAAAAAGATCAATTCAATGTTATTGTCTTTGGAATAGTTTTAGCCTCCTTAATTACTACCTCAGGAATCAACTTATGAAGATCCATAATAGAATTTAGTTAGCATTTAACATCAGGGTCATAATCAATTGAGTTTATTTTTATAGGCAAGTTTTGAAATGTTTGAAGAGTATCAGTATTGCTAAAATGATGAGATGACCAGTTACTCATTTAACAAAATGTAATAGAAATCTATTAAAATAAACCATCATGACCTATTGATTACAACTTATGGATAAGATATTCTGAGTTACAAATTGAGAGAATACTTTGGAATAACCTTGAAATAAATAAAGAAATCATTAGACAAAGAATAGAATATTGAATGTCTGAAATAAGAAGAAGTTAATTATGCTGGAACTCTGTTTTTGACGCATGATAATTTGATTTCCATGGAATTTATAACAAATGAGTAGAAAAGACAATTAACTAAGGGCGGAGGAATGCAATAATTGTGGTTAAGATATGAGTAGGAATTTATATGTGAGTTGGGAATCTTCTTACCAGTAATAATCGGTTTGCATTCATATTATCTGGATGATGATTATTATACTTTGGTATTTAAATTGAATAGACTTAAATTGAAATACCCCTTAATTGAGGAGCAATGGTCACAATAGTGTGTATTAAATAGGTTAATATCTTAAAATATCATTGGCTGGATAACTATTGACAATGGAATTTACAATAAAAGATTTCTAGCAAGAGAAGTTTCAGATTTGAATTATAAGATTGTACTTAAAAGGAGTGACTATTTAATTGATGAAAATGATAAGTACTCTCTGATAGATATGATAAAACGAGATTACGTCACTTTACAATAAATGAAATGCTCTATGACAATTCATTTTATATTTACAAAGCACACATCATCAAGATTGAAGACTCTAGTAAGAAAGGAGAAATTGATTGATCAAGATTAATCAATTGAAACATAAACTAAACGACAATCCAATTCATATATTGGGCAAATGGCATCTTTTGAATTGAAGACCAAATTAGGATACGTTGAAGTATTTTGGGATGATTGTTGGAAATATTGTGATTCAAACATTGATAAAGTTTTGGAAATCATCAATAATAAATTCTGATAGTTATTTTTAGAAAAAATAAATATTATTAAAATTTGCTTAATCATAGATTAGGTTCGAATTAATCAAAAGAATGTTATTTTTTTTTATTTATTGTGATCAATTAACTAAGCGACCGATTTGTTCAACTAAAATATTTTTTAAGTAAAATAACTAGAATATTTTAGAAAAATAAAAGGATTAGATATTATTTGAGATTAAATCTACAGGATTAGATTAAACGATATATCTTCTTGAAATATTCAGAATATAAATGCACTGTTCATTCTCTAAAAAGAACTGGCCACAAGTATATAGGCTTTAATTTACAACAAATTTTAGACCAAATTGATTAAGGATTTGACTGTAATCATAAAATTCACTTTAGGCTTAAAATAATCTTATAGTATTAATAGAAATAGTTCATCAATGAATGGTATTTTCTAAATAATACAGCTTAATCCTTTATGGAAATTTAGCTGAACGTTTTAAGAGTTTCAATCAAATTCAAGAGCTGAGACCTTGTTACATCTTCAGATTATGGGTGGCATGTAATTTAATTAAAGGAATGATACTGAATTGCTTATTTTAAGTTGATGTTCTAATATTTGTTATGTAAAACAATCTTAATAATTTAACAATAATTATAACATATATATAAAAAGGAATGTCTTTGAAAGATTTTTAACTGCTCTCTAAATTAGGTATGTTGCATGTAATGGATATTATTAGGAGAGGGAGCTTATTCGTCTGTGTACAAAGTGAAAAGATTGGAAGATTCTTAAGAATATGCTTTAAAGAAAGTGAAATTATAGAACTTGAATGATAAAGAAAAATAAAATGCTATGAATGAGGTTCGCATATTGGCCTCTATCAAACACCCTAATATTATAAGTTATAAAGAAGCTTTTATTGATATCCAAAGTAATTCATTATGGTAAAATCTATAATAATTTACTGTTAGTATTGTGATGGAATTTGCAGACGGTAGTGATTTATACTAGAAAATTGTTAACTCAAAAAAAAATGGGAAATAGATAGAGGAACAAATAATTTGGAATATTTTTATATAAATAGTGAGAGGATTGAAAGCATTACATGAATTAAAAATTTTACATAGAGATCTAAAAGTATAACATTACATTATTATAAAGAGCGCAAATGTATTTTTGTATTAGAATGGAGATGTAAAATTGGGAGATATGAATGTTTCCAAAGTTGCAAAAAAGGGATTGTTGTACACTCAAACAGGAACACCCTTTTATGCGAGTCCAGAAGTATGGAAAGACCAGCCCTACGATCAGAAATCAGACATCTGGAGTTTGGGGTGTGTGGTCTATGAGATGGCATCTCTAAAACCCCCATTTCAGGCAGAGGATATGGAAGGATTATATAAGAGAGTTATAAGGGGATATTATCCTAGAATCTCATAAAATTATTCTCAAGATCTTAGCAACGTTATAAGGTCAATGTTGTAAGTGCAACCCCATTTGAGACCAAATTGCGACAAATTATTATAATTTCCTTCTCTTTTGAAAAGATAGGACGATATGCCAAAACAAGAGCAGACAGATAACGAACCTAATACATTGTTGTCAACCATCAAATTCCCCAAGAACTACCATTATTTTACATCGATGTTGCCTAAGCCTTGTTATGAGTGTGTTAATAGAAAATAAATTAAATCATTGCATTCCCAATAAGCAAGTCCAAACCCAAGATCGTTGATGAGTGTGAATGGCAGTTATGAGGATGTAACTAGTTAATAGACTATTGAGAAAAAAGAGCCGATTACTAATAACCGCAAGGCTTAACCAGATGTATTATTGATCCTAGAACAATATAACAAAGTATGGAATTCTATTCAATAAAAATTAGCAACTAAGGAAACCAGTCATGAAGGTCAGACCGAATAGACATCAAAGCTAAGAGGAGGTGAGTGTATTGGAAGTGATAACTCAACATCAATCCAAACTATCCTTGGAGAACAACAGATTGCCCATACTTGAGGAAGTTTCGCCTTTAAAGAGAAAAGCTAAGCCTAATAAGCATAGAAACCAAAGTTTACCAAATGCAAATTTACTCCCACTTATATAAGCTGGTGTATTAAAATGAAATATTATAATTAATTATTTTACCATGATTCATAATCAGAACAGAAATCCAATTTCTGATCCATATGCTCTTGAAGATTAACTAGCTCGAGAATTATAAAAGAGAAAGGTAGAAGAAGAAAAGAGAAGGAGAGAAATTGAAAGAATTTGTGCTGAAAGTGAAGAAATCAAATTGTTAAAATAAAAAGTACAAACAGCATATGTCACCAAAGAGAGAACACAATAATTAGCAGAATAACAATTAAGAAGAATTTAAGACTTGGTATGTTTAGACAGTTATATTTTATTACATAGAGATTAGAAAGTGAAATCGAGACAGCCATTCTTGAAAAACTAAAAAGAGAATAGGAGGAAGAGAGAGCTAAAGAAAAATACCGTTTGCATTAAAGGTTAGAGGGGAAATATGTAGAATATTATAACATATCAATTATAGACATTATAAAAGTAAATGAAAGAACATGAATAATTAAGAGAAGAGGCAAAAGAACAATACGTTTATGAAAAGGACCAAGTGAATAGAGTGATTAATTAATTGATGGCGGAGGATCGTAAATTTTTGGAAGATTCAGCAAGAAAAAAGAAAATAGCTTTTTCTGATATGCAGGTAGCTTTGAGGGAAAAAGCAGAGCTTATACAAAGAATGAAGCAGAGGGAAAGGGATGAAAATTAAAAATACTTAGATTTCATCAAAGAAAAGGATAGACAGGCTCATGAAATAAAGGTAAAGAAGTAAGAAGAAAATGCGGCTAAGTATTGTTTTGGATCTAATGTAGAGATAAGATCTTCTAAAAGTTGAAGGAAGAGGAAGAGAGAAGAAAGTAAGAGGCAGAATTGTTAACAGAATTAAGGTTTTAACTTTACTAAGAATAATATGATGCTTAATAGAGATAAAAGGATATAGATGAGGCAAATAAAAGAGAATTCTAGAAAAGGGAAATGCAATAAGCGGAATATGAAGCGAGAGTCAGAAAATAAAAGCAGAGAGAGGAAGAATAGTAATTGGAAAGAGACTTTAGAGATCAGATGATGAGGAAATTTGCTGAGGATGATAAGATTGAATAATTAGGATAATAGAAAAGAAGAATGAAAGAGATGGAGCATAAAAAAGAAGTGGAAAGATTATGGCAATAAAGATTATAATTATTTTAAATGGAGAAGCAGAAAGAGATGGAGTAATTGGAAAGATAAAGAAGAGAGGAAATATATAAACAATAAGTAATAGAGGAGGAGAAGAATAGAATACTATAAGACCATTTGTAATAGGTTGGAGAGTTTATTCCAAAAGGCTTATTGTTAAAATAGGGAGACACACAATATATTAAACAGTCATAACCAAATGGAAGTTATTAATCTGGATTTAGATTTTGATATTAATAAATTTTATCTAAAATTAAATTCCTAATTTATTTGGCAAAAATCTATTGTTTTAAAATCCAAATTGTAACATCTAGAAGTATAGAATCAGATTTTCTGATTTTTTTGTATATCAACATATACTTTGGGAATTACCAATAGTTTTTTGTAAGTTTAAAAATTTTTATTATTAAACAAAATATTATACTTTATTAATGAAAAGAAGGGGATTATTTTTAGTATGCATTTTACCACTCTGTAAAGATATAAAACAATATAAAGGGTGTTCGGCATGCCCAAGTGGTAAATATGAATCATCTTCTGGAGGAGGGTGTAGTCATAATTGCATGGCATCCTGCACAACATGTTCTAATGGAACAACTTGTGATTCATGCAGCGGTGCGAACTAATACTTATCTTTACCAAGCCAAATATGCACAAGTTGTCCAACTGGTTGTTTGACCTGCGATTCTTTTAGTTGTCTATCCTGTACTACAGGATATTACCTTTCAACAATATGCATCTAATGCCCAACTCCATGTAGCATATGCTCATCCTCAACAAATTGCTCTGCTTGCAATTCTGGGTATTATTTATCCGGATCATCCTGTCTTTCCTGCACTTCACCAAGTACATATTGTGGAAGTCCTTGCAGTTGTAGTAGTGGATACTACTTAGTTGGTTCATGCTGTTACCAATGTTAATCACCTTGCGCATAGTGTTCAGGCTCTGCTACTTCTTGTACAGCTTGTGTTGATCCTACCAATTAAACAACTCCAACTTGTAATTGCAACTTGCCAACAAAATATCTAGACTACCTTAACAATTATTAATGCTCCAATTGTGTTTCTCCTTGTCTTAATTGTAGCTCTTCATTATCATGCAGCAGCTGCATAAATACCTACTACTTATAAGGTACATCTTGCTACCCTTGTACAAGTCCATGTGTTAATTGTAATACTTCATCAACAAATTGCACATCCTGTATTGATTCAGCACATTAAAGCATTCCAACTTGTTCGTGCTCCTCTGGATATTTAATGAATACTTCTACTCATATGTGTAATGCATGTACCTTTCCATGTGCAACATGTCAAAATTCAGTAACTGAATGCTATAGTTGTGCTTCAACATATTAATACGATTCAACAGCCCATACTTGCACTTGCTTAACCAATTAATATGAGGACAGTGGATCACCTAAAACTTGCTAAAACTGTTCATCTCCATGTTTGACATGTTCAAGCAATGTTAATTGCAATTCATGTATAAGTGGGTTAAATAGACACATATCAGGAAGTAGTTGTATTTGTGATGATGGTTATTATGATAATGCTGGAGTTTGTACCTTATGTTCATTGCCTTGTACAAAATGCACTTCATCTACAGTTTGTACAGAATGCAATTAAATATCCTATTAGGTGTTAAGTGATTGCCATTGCATGGATACATACTATATGGATGGTTCATTTGATTGTTAATCATGTAATAGCCCATGTCTTAACTGTTCAAGTAGCAGTGATTGTACATCTTGCATCAATAATTACTATTTAGACACTACTAATTGTTTATAATGTACATTACCATGTTTCAATTGTGTTGACATAGATACTAAATGTACATCATGTGCACACTCTTATTAAACGGTTTAAACAAATTAATGTGTATGTGATGATGGATATTATATGGATGCTTCTTATTATTGTTAATTATGTACTCATCCTTGTTCTAAATGTACAAATACAAGTACATATTGCACAGATTGTGCTAGTACATTTATTTCTAGTGGATCGAATACTTGTATTTGTGCAGATGGAAAATATGAAGAAACAACAAATTCTCCCAGTGATTGTTAAAGTTGTACTTCACCATGTGTTAAATGTGAAATAACATCTACTCATTGTTTAACATGTATTGATACTAATTAAAGTGTTGATCCATCATCATATTAATGTATATGTAATATAGGTTGGGTTGCAAATGGAAATTATTGTGATTAATGTGTATCACCATGTACATCATGTTCAGGAACTACAACTTTTTGTACAACTTGTAAAGATGCTCATCATTAAATTGTAAGTGGATAATGTATATGTGAATCAGGATGGGTAAATGATGCCAATTATGATTGTTAACCATGTGTATCACCTTGTAGTTCATGTTCAATTAATACAACTCATTGCGATTCATGTTTAGATATACATCATACTATTAATGCTAGTTATTAATGCATTTGTTAAGATACATATTATTCAGACACTATATCACATTGCGAACCCTGTGTATTACCTTGTGCAAATTGTGATATCAATGGATGTCTTACTTGTATTGATACCAATTAATATATTGATGCTAGTTTAGATTGTGTTTGTANTACAACTACATATATGTGTAATAATTGCGTTTCCCCTTGTCTAAATTGTAGTACAGCATCATTGTGTGATAGCTGTGTGAATGGATATGTAATATCTGGACACTCTTGCCAACCTTGCACCAAGCCTTGCGCAAACTGCACTATTACTTAAACTAATTGTTAGACTTGTGTTGATTCAGTGAACTAAACAACTCCCAGTTGTAGTTGTAACAGTGGCTTTATAATGAACTTGTCAACCTTTATGTGTGATCAATGTGTTCATCCATGTGCAACATGTCAAAATTCAGTGACTGAATGCTATAGTTGTGCTTCAACATATTAATATGATTCAACAGCCCATACTTGTACTTGCTTAACCAATTAATATGAAACCATTGGATTACCTAAAACTTGCTAAAACTGTTCATCTCCATGTTTGACATGTTCAAGCAATGTTAATTGCATTTCATGTATAAGTGGATTAAATAGACATATATCAGGAAGTAGTTGTATTTGTGATGATGGTTATTATGATAATGCTGGAGTTTGTACCTTATGTTCATTGCCTTGTACAAAATGCACTTCATCTACAGTTTGTACAGAATGCAATTAAATATCCTATTAGGTGTTAAGTGATTGTCATTGCATGGATACATACTATATGGATGGTTCATTTGATTGTTAATCATGTAATAGCCCATGTCTTAACTGTTCAAGTAGCAGTGATTGTACATCTTGCATCAATAATTACTATTTAGACACTACTAATTGTTTATAATGTACATTACCATGTTTCAATTGTGTTGACATAGATACTAAATGTACATCATGTGCACACTCTTATTAAACGGTTTAAACAAATTAATGTGTATGTGATGATGGATATTATATGGATGCTTCTTATTATTGTTAATTATGTACTCATCCTTGTTCTAAATGTACAAATACAAGTACATATTGCACAGATTGTGCTAGTACATTTATTTCTAGTGGATCGAATACTTGTATTTGTGCAGATGGAAAATATGAAGAAACAACAAATTCTCCCAGTGATTGTTAAAGTTGTACTTCACCATGTGTTAAATGTGAAATAACATCTACTCATTGTTTAACATGTATTGATACTAATTAAAGTGTTGATCCATCATCATATTAATGTATATGTAATATAGGTTGGGTTGCAAATGGAAATTATTGTGATTAATGTGTATCACCATGTACATCATGTTCAGGAACTACAACTTTTTGTACAACTTGTAAAGATGCTCATCATTAAATTGTAAGTGGATAATGTATATGTGAATCAGGATGGGTAAATGATGCCAATTATGATTGTTAACCATGTGTATCACCTTGTAGTTCATGTTCAATTAATACAACTCATTGCGATTCATGTTTAGATATACATCATACTATTAATGCTAGTTATTAATGCATTTGTTAAGATACATATTATTCAGACACTATATCACATTGCGAACCCTGTGTATTACCTTGTGCAAATTGTGATATCAATGGATGTCTTACTTGTATTGATACCAATTAATATATTGATGCTAGTTTAGATTGTGTTTGTANTGTGTTGATTCAGTGAACTAAACAACTCCCAGTTGTAGTTGTAACAGTGGCTTTATAATGAACTTGTCAACCTTTATGTGTGATCAATGTGTTCATCCATGTGCAACATGTCAAAATTCAGTGACTGAATGCTATAGTTGTGCTTCAACATATTAATATGATTCAACAGCCCATACTTGTACTTGCTTAACCAATTAATATGAAACCATTGGATTACCTAAAACTTGCTAAAACTGTTCATCTCCATGTTTGACATGTTCAAGCAATGTTAATTGCATTTCATGTATAAGTGGATTAAATAGACATATATCAGGAAGTAGTTGTATTTGTGATGATGGTTATTATGATAATGCTGGAGTTTGTACCTTATGTTCATTGCCTTGTACAAAATGCACTTCATCTACAGTTTGTACAGAATGCAATTAAATATCCTATTAGGTGTTAAGTGATTGTCATTGCATGGATACATACTATATGGATGGTTCATTTGATTGTTAATCATGTAATAGCCCATGTCTTAACTGTTCAAGTAGCAGTGATTGTACATCTTGCATCAATAATTACTATTTAGACACTACTAATTGTTTATAATGTACATTACCATGTTTCAATTGTGTTGACATAGATACTAAATGTACATCATGTGCACACTCTTATTAAACGGTTTAAACAAATTAATGTGTATGTGATGATGGATATTATATGGATGCTTCTTATTATTGTTAATTATGTACTCATCCTTGTTCTAAATGTACAAATACAAGTACATATTGCACAGATTGTGCTAGTACATTTATTTCTAGTGGATCGAATACTTGTATTTGTGCAGATGGAAAATATGAAGAAACAACAAATTCTCCCAGTGATTGTTAAAGTTGTACTTCACCATGTGTTAAATGTGAAATAACATCTACTCATTGTTTAACATGTATTGATACTAATTAAAGTGTTGATCCATCATCATATTAATGTATATGTAATATAGGTTGGGTTGCAAATGGAAATTATTGTGATTAATGTGTATCACCATGTACATCATGTTCAGGAACTACAACTTTTTGTACAACTTGTAAAGATGCTCATCATTAAATTGTAAGTGGATAATGTATATGTGAATCAGGATGGGTAAATGATGCCAATTATGATTGTTAACCATGTGTATCACCTTGTAGTTCATGTTCAATTAATACAACTCATTGCGATTCATGTTTAGATATACATCATACTATTAATGCTAGTTATTAATGCATTTGTTAAGATACATATTATTCAGACACTATATCACATTGCGAACCCTGTGTATTACCTTGTGCAAATTGTGATACCAATGGATGTCTTACTTGTATTGATACCAATTAATATATTGATGCTAGTTTAGATTGTGTTTGTAGTAATGGTTATTATATGGATTCAGTTAATTGCTTGCAATGCTAATTACCTTGTGTACATTGTACATCATTGCTAGATTGTTTAACTTGTATTGATGCTAATTAAACTGTTGTAGGCGATAGATGTATTTGTAATCCTGGTTATTATGCAAGTGGAAATTATTGTAATTTATGCTAACTACCATGTACGAAATGTGTAACTACATAAAACACATGTACAGAATGCGTAGATCCTAATCATTTACTCATTAAAAATGATTGCGTTTGTAAAACTGGATATGGATAATCTGGATTGAATGGTAATTATTGTTCTTTGTGTTAATATCCATGTTTAGAATGTTCAATTAATGTAAATACTTGTACTAAATGTGTTGATTAAATATTATTTAAACTAGAAAATAATCAGTGTAAATGTCAAGAAGGATTTTATAAAGATAATAATAATTAATGTTAATTGTGTGCTCCTTAATGTAAAACTTGCGAATAATTTTAAGATTATTGTTTGATTTGTAAGAATGATTCTTTTGTTTTATTGAATAATTAATGTTCTTGCAATTCGGGTTAGTTTTTAAATAATCAAAACAACTGTTAAGGTTGTATAGATTACTGCTTACAATGCAATGATTAATTCAGTTGTGAAGTTTGCAAAGAAGGTTACTATTATGAATCCATGTAATGCAATAAATGTAGTAATAATTGTAAGACTTGCTTAAATTAAAATGATTTTTGTTAAAGTTGTAACAACAACTACAATCTGATTAATAACTAATGTATTTGTGGAGTTGGGTATTATGAATAGAATGACACTTGTATAGAATGTAAGTAACCTTGTATTGAATGTTCAAATGTGTCTATTTGTTTATAATGTGCTTAAATTTAGAAATTAAGTTTGAGTAATTAATAGAAATGTATATGCTAAGATGGATATTATTGGTCTATTTCTGAATGTTAACCTTGTAATTCAAATTGCTTAACATGTCAAGAGACAAGTACCAAATGTTTAAGTTGTAATGTATCTTTAAATCTGATACTTCAAAATAATTAATGCGTTTGTTCTTCAAATTATTATTTATCTAATGAAAACATATGTACTACATGTGATTCAGAACAAGGTAAAGTGACTGAAAGTTGCAGCTACAAAGACTGCAATGATTTAGTATGGACATATGGTGAAGACTGCGATGATGGAAATTAAATATTAGGTGATGGCTGTTCAAATTGCAAGATTGATAACAATTACATTTGTGCAAATACAATACTATAAATATCACTATGTTATTAATGTCCTCAATATTGTATCTCCTGCCAATAAAACTAAATTACGAAATAGAGTGAATGTGTAAAATGTAAGTCGGGATATTATTTGAATGAAAATTTATGTTAAATCTGTGATAAATAATGTAAGGAATGTGAGTCTAGTCCATAAAATTGTACATCCTGTAGATTTTTATAATTATCATCCTAAAAGTGCAAATTGTGCGAATCTAAATAAGGCTATTATTCAGATTACTCTACTGACACATGCTATACTAAATGTGGTGACTCTATTGTTGCTGATTCTGAATAATGTGATGATGGAAATTAAATTAATGGAGATGGGTGTAATAATAAATGTCTTATAGAGAAAAAATTTATATGTTAAAATGATGTTTGTATCACTCCAAATTATCCAAATCCAAAATTATCAATTTTTGGAAGTCCAAAAAGATATGAAAAAGAAAGATCCTTTAAATTAGAATACAATGTTCCCCTGAAAATTATAAAATCTAGCTTTGATTTATCCTCTGATTTGAAATTCTATATTGAAAATAGATCTGGAGATGTGTATTTATTAGATTATCCATATACTTTTATTTAAAATATGACTGAAGTTGAAAATTCATATTATTATTATGAGGCAATAATAACATTGCAATTAAATTAATCATCTTACTATTAGATATTTAATATTTATTTTCTCAATCTATCTTTAATTCAATCAAATGAAGGATATGAATAGATAATTGATCATGTAAAAGCATCGATTGAAGAATATTTATATGTGGATGAAACAACCTAAAGTTTAACAGAAACCTTAGAGAGTTTCAGTATTAATTTGTTTTACATTTTACTCATATTGTTAGCAGTTTCAATTTTATTGGGAGGTTTGGATATTTTTTATAATCTTTTAGATACAATTCAACTTTTATCCTATCTTAAGTATATCAATCTTAAATTCCCTTATAATTTACAAACATATTTTGAGATTTTTGGATTTGCCTAACTTTCATTTATTCAAAATTATTTAAATATCGAAGATTTTTTTTCAAATTTTATTTCTATTCAAGACCTCAAACCTCTGCCTAAGAAAATTCGAGATGATAATTATTCTTCTATTTATTTAGTAAATATCTGTCAAATAGTAACAGTATATGTAATGCTTTTTGGAATTTATTCTGTGGCTGTTATTATTCCACTTACAATAAGATAAGTTAGATTCAAATATTATGAAGATTATCCTGAAAAGGATGCCTTTACTTTAAAATTAAAGGTATATTTTCTTTCGATTAAAATATTTATTGGAGAAATGTGTAGTAAAATTGTCAATGAGTTATTTTACAGTGGAATACTGAGAACATTTATGGCAACTGCATATGATTATTCATTTATTATGGTATTGCAAATTTATTCAATTGATATAAGTTCAAACTCGCTTTTGCTTTCTTTTAGTTCATTAATGTCTTTATTTGCGTTTACATTTTATATTACTATCTGTTTATTAATAATTTATTTACTGGGAAAACAAAAACTGTCTTTGACATCAAAACCAAACATAGAAAAATTTGGTTCAATAATTGAAGGAATCAAACTCAAAAACAATTATCAAAAATTTTTTAATGTTGCATTATTAATAAAAAAATTACTGTTTATGGTAATTCTAGTATTTTGTTATGAAGACCCATTAAGCTAAACCGTAAATTTATTCCTATTATCACTAATAACAGCTTTGTATTTATTTCATCATAAACCGATTTAAGATTAAAATGAATATAACAAATAATTATCAACAGAAGTTAGTTTATGTCTGACTTATGTTTTTCTTATTATTTTAATAGTAAATGATTAAATAAAGAAGCTGAATTTTAAAGAGTAATCATATATTGGTTGGATTTGCATTTTATTCATAACTTCAATCATCGTGATTTAATTAATTATAGATTTAATACAATAATGGAGGATGCTATTGAAAAAGTTTGCTACTCTACGACGCTTTATAAATAAAATATCAAATATGTTTAAAAAGAAGGCAGAAGAAGCTCGTCCTGATCAAAATGTTTTTGAAGAAATTCAAAATCATGAATTTTACTAATCTATAATTTTATATAAATGAAACGAATTTAATTATTTATTTATGAATTCAAAATAATGATTTAAATTGAAACCATCTATCATCGTTTAATTTAATACACTTTTAATAGAAGATAATATATGGTAAATTAATCTATTTTATAATGTATTTAAATTACCCTTTGATATCTCATAATTGAGCAATTTAGTAAACGAATCAATATAAATTTTGTACTTACTATAGACTTTGTAATCTCTCTTTATTGTTAAATTTAATTAATGAAAGATTTAGTTTCTATCGAATTTTAACAAAAACAAAAGCATTTAATTATGAAATTAATTTCTCTCTTCGATTAATAATAATTATAGCAATAAAAAAGTGATTTATAAATATTTAATTAAAATTTATATTAAAATCAATTTTATAAATCTGTTGACAAATCTCCTGGAAGATATTATTATTTGATTTAGGATAATAGAGTGTTTTCAAAAGTTTTAGTTTGAAAGGACGAAGTCTCATCAATTTTATTTTTAAATTTAGGATTCATCGAATAGAATTCTTAAATATAATGACAAACTACATTATTCAATTCCATCTCCATTTAAGGAATTAAAATATGGATGTTATAAGGCTGAGTCAATATTGAATCTATAGAATTATTGATTTTCAAGGAGATTTTTCATCAGGTCGCTTCCAGAATCTGGAATTTCAAGCGATTCTTCTTTCTCATCTAAATTATTTCTTTTATAGCTAATATTATTTTATAAATTAATACAATTTATACATTAAAGTTCCTACTTTAAAAATGTCCAGCTCAAATTCATGATTTGTTGTATTTTGGATAACTGCATTACTAAATCCGATTAGTTTTAACTAATTGTCTTCATCAAACATTATATGAGATCGAGAAATACTTTTATGCGCTATGGATAGTTTTTCTAATCTTTTAATTGATAATAGCAAGTTCTTATGTAATTATAAAATTTACATAAACTATGATTTTTACCTCTTCATCTGTAAAATCATCATCAAAATACCTATACAAATGTTCCATTATTAAATAAATGCATGATTCAGACTCGTATACTTCATAAATCATTGGAATAAATCTATGACCCTACATCTTTAGTAATAAGTGTATTTCATCATGAATAGACTCTATTGATCGATTACATTTCTTATAACATTTGCAGGCATAAATCCTATAATTTCTATTACTATTCAATTAACAAATCTATGTCTTATTATTCTATCATACCTTAGTTATATTGTTTTTGTTTAGATAAATAGTTTATTGAAAAGTATAAAATTTTAAAATTCCCTTAAACGTAACAAGACACCCTAAGCTCATTTTTAATTTAATCATATCTTCTGTTGTCCCCTCAATCTAAAGATTTTCAATTTTAAACCCAATTATTTTATCTCCATAAAAAATCCAAGTTATGATAAGATTTAGAGACAGTTTAAAGGTAATTCTTTACTCCAAATTAACTAGATCCAAAGAGGACGATGATAATTCAATTGTAAAATTTTCATCCCCCATTTTGCAAGAAAAATACTTTATGTTTTACATATATTAATAATTAATTAATATGAAAAACAAAAATTAACTTTATGACCGAAATATTTAAATCTAATATTTGCTCTTTGGCTTCTCATTACAATAAATAATATCTAAATCTTTTAATATCAGTTAATTATTTTATGTCTTTAACAATATATTAAAGGAGAAGGAATAATCAAAAATCTAATTAGTTAAATTAGAAATTAATTTTAAACCCAAAAACATAATATTAATATGCTTAAATTTATTATATATTTTATATCAATTGAATTAATGGAAAAATAAATGTTAATAAAATGATGGATTTTTGACAATTTATTCTAAAACGAGTTAGGTAAAATAAATAAAGAAATAGAAAATCAATTTTCTTAATTCTAATAAATTTTTAGAGCGAATTAATAAATATTTCAATATTTATTTAATAACAAAAGATAAAATACGACTAAAATTTAGTCATCCTAGGTCAAAAAGACTGTTTGTACTTTAGATTGCTCTTCAATAAAGTAAATTATAATCAAATTTCTTTTCATAGATTTTTGTTTGACTTCCAATTTAAAATTAATTGAATACTTAAACCTTTTCATATCCCTCTCCATTATTATACATGGTAGTTTTTTACAATGATTTTTGCAACATATCTAAATAAAATTAAACTAAACTCTATACCATGGTTAATGTAGAATTGTTCTCTTTTACTTTTTACAAATGAAATTGCTTCATTCAATGGAATTTATAATACTGTAGCCAAATATAATACTACCAGAGACGGAGCTCTTCCTATACCTGATGTACAATGTACATAAACGAATTCATAATTATTTATTAGTTTTTTCAACACTTAGACTGCTTTGAAAGCTTTTTTTTCAAAATCTACTGGATCCATATCAAAAATTTCAAAATTCTTCATAATCATATCATTTTTTTTATAGGTGTTTTGTATTTCATCCCAATCAACCCCTCTATGATATATATCTAACCTTGTTTGTAGATTTAATACAGCTTTAATTCCATTCTATTTTAAAACTAATATATCCTATTCATTTTGAGGATAAGGTCCTATAATAATATTTTCATTTATTTGAGAAATCGTAAATTAGACTACAAAATTCCAATCTAATTTATTAAGTCTTCCGAAAGACTCATAATAAAAGAAAGAAGGCTCTTTGTCAGAGAAGGAATAACCCAGATTTGTTTCTTTATTGATTTTTAATTGCCTATCAGAACAAAAGGATCCATTTTTAAATTTTAATAATCTGTAATTTTGGCAGGCTGCTAATAACTGTGTTTTAATTTTGATAGGAGAATTGGCATATGCATTTTGAACTTATCTAAATGACCTTAAGTCACTTGATTTTAAGTATCTTCCATTTCCTCTCTCCCATATCATCGACCCATTCTCATCATTTCTAATTACATAAAAGTATCTAAAAGAAAAATTCATAGGATCTACAATAAACGAAATAGACCATTATTAAACTGGTTCTCCATTCACTTAAATAAGAAGAAAAACTACATATATCAATCTTTTATTAACACTTCATTAATACTGGATGGCTCCATTATCCTAATTACTCTATAGAGCCTATGATCATCATCCTTTATCTTTAAGTTAAATTGTAATTTAATTTTAACTTGATTGTTCTATACCCCCAATATTCACCTTTAAAAATTGATTATTGAAAATACAATTAAAATATTCAGATTTGGTTTCATTTTAAATCATATGAGTAGTGATTACCCTATTTTCTCCTGGTTCCCAAATAGTAGCTTATAGACTAGGATTTTCGTAATTGTTCACAATAAATTTATATTCAATCTTCTAATATAGAGATCGATCGATTTTGATACATATAGTCCATTCATCATTCTTATTATAGATTTAGATATGTTTTACATCATTCCATTATAAACGTAATCCTTTTACTGGATTCCAATTTCCCAACTATTTATTATCTCCGACTATGTATATCGCTTTACCAGATTCCGTATGGTAATGAATTTTAAAATACACCTTAAAATATAAAGAACCTAGAGTCATATTAGTAGACATTGATTGTTATTTCATTATTATTTATGGCAAATTTAAATATAATATTTCATTATCAATTACATCAGTTTAATTAGTTCCATGTATTTTCATTTCTTACAGCTTTGATAATTAAATATTGGACCATTTGATCAAATCTTTATATTATAGATGCAACTCCTGAGTTAGCAAATATAATTTTAGATCACTTTTTGTCTTAACTTAACTTTCAACTTAAGTCTAATTTTTGCATTACACTTCTTGAGAAAAATTAGACTACAATTACAATTTCATATATTATAATTTATTGACTATATTAAACGCACCTTCTTCTTTAATTTTAACGAAGTCAGTTTTTAATAACTCAGCAAATTTTTAATAACACTATAAAATTAATTGTAAATCCATATAAGTAGGCATTTAGTATAACAATTTGATAATTATATATCATTTGTATCCTAGAGGTACTTTCTTTTGTTTTTGAAGTTATTGAAGCAGTTTCTATATAACTTACAATATAATAAAAAATAAATTATATTTAATTAATTAAATGTTTTATTTTTGCTTGCATTTCATCTATCACAATTAATATACTAATACTACAATCAGATAATAAATGTCCTATCTTTTCTGAATAGCAGTTGAGTGTTATTCTTATTTATTTTATAATTTTGTATTTATTTTTCTAATTTCTATTGTTGTTCTTTTAAATGCATAATTATATGTAGAATAATCTATGATTGTAAGATTATATTTATTTGAACTTAATTTAACATAGCCAATTGATTATTCAAAATCTGGTGTGAAAACTCGATTAATAATAATATTATTCAATCAATTTAATTTGCAAAAAACTTAGAAATTTCAGCTAGAATATGCTTTATCAAATTGTGTAAAGATGCAAATGTAATATATCTGAGAGGATTTAAATATGGAATCAAAATGGAAAGAAAGGAATTTTAAAAGAGAAGAGATTAAAAAAAGCACGGAATAGCGCCCAGAGTAATGGTTTCCTGAAAAGAAGTAACTCTTTAGCAAGTCCGCTTAATTAAATAAAATCAGATTATTTTTAATATTTCATAATTAAGGGAATGTTTATTATGGGATTATAATAATAATTATCATTAGAGTTATATTTAAGTAAGTTATTTAGATCCAATAGGTTTAAGTTGTTTAATTTGAATCGGTCTAAACCAAAGAAGTCCAACATTATTATAGTCTTAATTTGAAAGTTGATTTAAAAAATATAATATATTTTAATAATATTTTACATCAAAGTATTTATACCAAAATTATTGTGATAAATTTTGTCAAATTTAATAAAGATATTATTAATTTGTTAAAATATCAAATGGCACCATTACCAGAACCAAGTAGCCAAAGTGTTCAATCTGTTGAAAATAAGGATGTAAGATATAATCATTAAACTGAAGGTTTTTAGATTCATTTACAAGAACAAGGAGTATGATGTTTCAGAATATGTTCCCAAGCATCCAGCAGGTAAATCCTTTTTTGATAAGATGAAGGATGAGAAAGAAGATTTTACAGAATATTTTAGGTAAAATTATTGATTTATTGATAACTTAGATGTCTACACTCCAAAAGAGCTTTGAAAATATTAAAATCTCAGAAAGTTGTGAGGTCAAATATAAAGGAATCAGAGGAAAGCAAATAATATTCTCACATTAAAAAATAAGTGAAAAATCTGTTTGAACCTGATTGGACAATAGAACTTCTCCTCTTTGTTGGATTGGCTCTCGGATTATATTTAGGAGTTACTAGTGATTGGTATATAGCGATTCCCTCGATTGTATTGACCCAGATAGTAGCAGGGTAAGATTTAAAATATATATTGTTAGATGGTAAGGACATTCAACCAACCACAACAGAAACCCGTTGTTGTACAAGTTATCTATTCCTTATGGAATTATTCATGGTTTTTCTGCTGATTGGTGGCAATTCAAGCATAATAACCATCATATCTTCACAAATAGAATCGGGAAAGATGATGATATTAATCACACATATTAACTGTGGTAATATGGATTCCTCTACTTAAAGTACATATAATATAAATCATATTTTAGATGGAAATTCGATTCTTTTCTTGCTTCATACAACAAGATTGACATCATCTACATTCTCATTCATTAAATAATAGTATTCTAATAAAAAATATGGATTTATGTTGTTGCTTAATACATTGCAGGATTCTTTAGTGCTTGTATATTGATAGGAAATCATGAAAGAGAATATAAGTTCTTCAATAAAATTGACAAGCCTTTCATTGAACATTAAATTATCACATCTAGAAATTATGATTGGACTGGTAATTTTTATTATTATTTAAATATTAGATTGGTTGTCTAATTTGTTGATGGGAGGTATGTAATTTTAAACAGAACATCATTTGTTTCCACAGATTCCTTTCTATCGATTGCCTTATGCAGCTAAAATTATTAATAGAGAATTAAATTAATTTGGATACAAAATCCATATTGGCAAAATATTATGAATATTTATATAAAAAATAAATATAGTAATAAAATTTGAATTCTACTCAATATAATTTGCTAAACAGAAAGGCAAAGAAAGTGAGAAAATGTTCTGTTTGCTTTTAATCCATATCCATTCCATTCATTTATACTATGCCCTTCTAGTTTTTGTGAACTACTTTCATCATAAACTCATGACTGCCGTTTTTTAATTAAACGAACACTTTCCCTCCAACAGTAAATTGATCAATTTGTATTAGCCAAGGGTGAAATATTACAAGTTCTTCCAGCGATCTTAACTAAAACTATTCGCTTTGACATTTCATTTCACAATCCTACAACTCTTCACTTGTTATGAAATTATAAACAAAGAACTTATTTGCTGGTCTTGCTATGCAAAATTGAAAGTTTCTCTTGAATTGTCCATGACTAATAATAATAATACTCTATTACTCCTAAACCGCATATCTACTGTTCATTTAAGAGAGATAAAAATTGGAATAATCTTATGTTCCTTAGAGTCCTTGACTTTAAGACATTTTGTTAAAGTTGTATCCAATTTTTAGATTATTTATTGCGTACTTTACGTAGCAATTTAAATACACGCTTTAAAGGTCATAATGTTAAAATGTTATCTCCTACCTAATGATATCTCCTGGATTTAAGTACTATTAACTGACCCTCTCAGACCTTACTGTGTATTCATCCTTTACTATAATAAAATCAATTTAAATATATACTTTTATTAGAATTAAATAAGACAATTAAATTTTAGATCTCATATTACGCTTTGTTCTTCAATAAAATTATTACTTTATACCCTTATGTATCCTGGCTTTCATACTTTTCAGATTTTAATGTAACTATCAATTCATAGGTGTCTAGAAGAGTTATTTAATCACTTAAACATTATTTCTTAAAATTTTGGATCTCATAATCTTATAGTCCTTTAAGTGATTACTTTTAAAACTAATAATTTGTTAAGTATTTTTATAAGTTATCTACTTAAACCTCTTTCATTCTACTTTCGCTAAAATATTAGGATTATGTTTAATATAATGTCTAATAGGGTACAAAACCTTTCTATTGTGTGTTGTATAGTAAATTGGATTGTGCAATTTTAACTTTTGAATATCCCTAATTCTAATGTTATATATTCTAAATAGGTTATTCATCAAAGTGGTCTTCTAAATTTAAATCGAGAGGTGAACATATTTGCTTTTATTTTTAGTATTAAAGCTGTTGCTGTGAATCTAGGCCATACTATTATGCTTTCTATTCTGATATTCTCTATTATTCTTACATTTCTTTCTCTCTATTCAACATTTCTGTTATTTAATCTAATTTTTTACCATATCCTTATACAAGATTCTCTATCATAAATACTTTTGAGTTGATTTTATCAATATCGAAGTTATCTAATTCTTCATCCTATAATTTTTGTTAAAATTACTATGTTAATTATTATAACTAAGATTCAATATTGGATTAAAAAGATTTTTTAATAATATCCTGTAAACCTGGAATTAGTTATTCCACTAATAATTAAGGATTTAAAGGCTCTTTATTACTATCTTTGCTCTCTCTAACCCCATGAAACCCTTTAAAAGATGTTGGGATCTCTTACGATTGCACTTTTATTGATGGTTGAATTACTTTTGATTCTTCAATTGACTTCTCTTAGAATTCAGTTAAAGTGTTCTCTTAAAACTAAGTTGAGTTTCTATTTTATATAGCTTAACTCTGGGTGAGTGATTCCTCTTACATTTCTGTTATTGATTCCAACTGTTTTTTCAGTTCTGGCTTTGCTTCAAATTATGAATAATCAAATTAAGGGAAATCCTTATCCCATTTTGGTATATCACTATTTTCAACTTCATCGAAGGGATTATTTTTCTTTTTTTCATTAGCTGATTTCGAAGAATTAGAAGCATTTGGTTAAGAATTCTCATTGACTGATTTTGTTTAATTGTTACCCTCATTTCTTGGAGTGATATTTAGTTCTTATTATTAATCAACCAATTATTAAGAAGTGATCTTCTATTAATTTTACTGTTATTTTTAGTTGAAATTTTAAGATTCAATAGTTTGATCAAAATCATCAAAATCATAATAGATTTCCTCTTCAAAATTTTGTTAAGATTCTTAGAATGACTTAAAAGAATTATGACTCCTTATTCTATTATTCTCGTGCTTTTAACTCTAATCAATTTGCAATTATTTTAATTCTGGCAGGTCGCTGTTAAGTTTAGCTTCATTTGATTAAATTTCATGTGATTAAATTAAGCCGTTTAAGTTTTCTATTGGAATTTGTGAAGTCTATTCCATAAAGGGTAAATTTTAATTATCTTGAAAGGGTTCCTTGTGAACTGGAAAATTTGGTTGAAATTCATCATCTTCTAATTATTGATTATCAGATTCTATAAAATTGTATGACTGCTATTTTTGTTATTATTACTCATATAATTATTGATTTTACCCTTATATTTAAAATATATCTTATTATTATAAGGGATTTTCTAGCTTTTTCAAATAATTCAATGATTGAGGATCCGATTGAGGAATGAATTCTTGCCAAACCTAAATGGGAGCCAAATTGGATTCTGTTGGTTCATTAGCGAATTGAGATTATTTAGATTTGTCTTATGGTAGATTTACTTCTTAATCCTACATTTTGAAGATATTGTTCTGGAATTAGTTATCATGTGATTATTATAGAGGATTAAAATCTTGCCAAGGTATTTCAAAATCATCCTCCTTAGTTTGAAGTTTACTATTTATGATATTATCATATTATTAGAATTTTTTTTCTCTTTCTGAACTAAGATCAAATTGTTAATTTTATTTAATTATTTCTAATGATTAAATAGGAGAGTAATTTGTTTTTAGTTCAGGTTACTGTTATTGTTACAAAAACTAATAGGAGTTACTTTCAGGGGATATTTATTATCCATAGTTGAGTTATGGTTAGGAAGCGGTTTAATTTCTAATTTAAGAGGATATGTTGGATCCAGGCATCTCATCGCTCAGAGACTTTTAGGAGGGGACGACTTTAGGTTATTCAAATGTGTTTTATTAAACAGGAGTAGAATTAGCTTTATGGAAATTTAAATTTTAATTGTTATCTAGCTGTTAGAGTTGAAATTAAGTGAAATTATTTTCCGCTACTTCAAAATTAGCTTTAGGAGCAAAGGACTACGATTATAAGGAGTCAGTAATAGCATTATTTTAAGTCCCTTCATTCAAAAATTGATTGACTTCGTGAAATGTAAAGGCCATTTATTATGTTTTTTAATGGGTAGAAGAAAATTCATTAAAATAAGGAAAATTTAATTTTTCAGATTGATTCTCAGTCATCTTGAATTGATCAAGTGGTTATCTGTCAGAATTGACATTATTTTATATTCCATAAGGATTAAATTTGTGGAATTATTCACTTGATGAAAATGCATTTTGGGAGTTGGTTTTATTAAATAGATCTTCAATATCTTTCACATCTCTTGATTATTTTCTATTCTCTAATTGTTTCTAAACCTTAAGTTTGTCCTATTCATAGGATGAATCAAATTCAACTCCTTAGTCATTATTTATATTTTCGCCCATTTGAGGAAAGTCATCAAAACCATAGAATTGAATTTTTGACTACTGAAGTTCTTGTTATGGAGGTGGTCCAAATTATGCAATAAAATCTGCGTCCACAATAGGAGTTTAATCTTTAAGATTATAAATATTGGAGTTTGTATTGCTTTTTGGCGTAATGCTTCTTTCGTCAAAAGGAGTTAAGGTTTTATCTTGTGCGCTTTTGAACTAATCCTAATTGGATGATGATTTAGGGCTATAAAATTGATTATTAGAATCGTTAGAGATTTATGACATTTATTAAAAATTATATTAAATTAACTATACAATATAGTTATTCATTATTCTTTCTTGTTTTTTTTGAGTGTCTAATACCTGAGTTCATTATCTTCAACCTAATCGTTATAAAAAGTAAATGATTATTTTCTGCTCCTTTATCCTTCATTCTCTTATTATTATTGTTATTTTTACTCCTACAATTCTGAATCTAATGTTTTTTCATCCTTCTTAGGTACATCTATCAAATCCGATAAGCTCAATTTCCTATTATTGATATACTTCTGATTTCTTGCCCTAATACTTAAAAGAATCAATACATAATGAAGTGAAAGAAGGATTCATCAGTTCCAGGTCTTGATTCTTCATTTATTTAATTATTGACTTTTGATTGCTATGAGTTTTCGGATTGAATTTATTGTGGTTACGATTATTTTTAAGATTGTTGTTATTCGATTTGATTTACTTCAGCTATTGATTAATAAGCATTTTGGATTTATTCAATAGCCATAATTTGATCTTTCTCTTTGTTTAAATCACATATTTCTTTAATTAATTCATCTGGGTAGTTTCGATCAGCAATTTCTTGTATTTTTTTTTGCAGTTTATCTTGTTATTATTAATATTTAGTGACTTGACCCATAGTATTCTGATGATGCTGACAGGAATCAGGTAGATTAAGATCAAGTATTCCCTGTTGTAATTACGTCTTAATCTATTATTATTGTTGTTGCAGTAATAACTGATTGCACTCTATTTGCATCGACTCTATATTCCCTTGAATTTCATCATCGGAAATATCTAAATATAAAATGTAAAAGATATTTGTGTTACCATTAATAGACCCTGTCCTTTATCTTCTCTATGTCTAATCGCCTTCTGTGTAGTTGTGGAATCGTTTATTCTCGAAAATCTGCTTAATTTCTGAACTCTTAAGACCATTAAATTATTTGTTAAATTCCTTCTCCAATCTATTGAAAAACTTTTGTGCATGAGATCTTGATTCAAATATGAAAATACCTTATTTGGGCACCACTCCTAGTACCAACATATTCTTCTACCTTTTTCCAATTCTTCCCATGAATACTCAGAGCCTCTACGAATCTTTAATGTTCATCTTTTGTCCACCTTCCCTAAACAACTTCCCCCTATACTATCACTTATGTTAAAATTGCTACTTCGCTATCTTCAAAAGACCTTGACTATTTCCTCTTACTAGATTGTGCCATTTATTGGTAAGTTTATTTTTATAAATATTAATTCATTATTATCTGTCATTCTATTTTATATTTAATTCATTTGATTATTATTAATTATGAGATTTTTACTGGGGAGGCACATAAACCAATTCATACGATTCCCTTAAATACTTTTCATCATCATTCTAATCTGTTTCCGTCTCTTCTGTTTCTACGACTGGCTTTTCCTACTTATAATTCCTCTTCATATCATGTCTTCCCTTATAAAATTTCTACAAATGTTCTTCCTTCTTATTTCTCCTCTCCATAATCTACTTCTTTTTTTCCTCATCCTTCTGATTGTTCAATCTTTGTTATTGTTTCTCCTTCTTAATTTTCTTCTCGGCTTCAATAAAATCAGTTTTTGATCTTAACAAGAATTGCAATTTAGATTCAGACAAATCAATCACTATTTTCTCTAATTACTATATATTCTAATTTCTATTACATTAATAACTTATTTAATGACTTTTGAGTCTATCTACAATCTCTTCCCCATAATATCTTAGTTCTTGGTTGCCTCCTATTAGATTTCTATGATTTTCTTTCCAATTTTATCCATATCCAAGTCTTCTCCTTCTGCAAATTACAATTTTGTTTGATCCACCTTTTCCTAATCCTTCAATTAATTTTATATCTTCAATTACGCTTTCAATTTTCTTTCTTCTGCTTTCAACATCTCTAAATGTTCATCCTATTCATTTTTCAATTTTTATTCCAATTTCTCCAATTCCCTCTTCTTCTATTCAATATCCTCCTCGGCATCTCTTTGATTTTAGATGTTTCTCAAATTACCCTCTTCAATATTGTTAAGAATCTCAATTACCAAATCAGCCATCCTCTCCTACTGTCTTTCTGCTTCAATTTACTCCTAAGTTTATTTTTGTTCCTCCCTCTAATCTACTCCAGTAACAAAGAATTAGTTCTTCTATTCACTCTATTAATTAGAAAATAAGTTGATATCCTTCCTCTCGAATTCCGAAAACTTAGTTTTATATGTATCCTAAATTCATTATAATGACTTAGAATTACTTTAATCTTCTCTAAAAATTGCCTATATTTATCTAATTTTTCAAATTCTTCTCCATATTTTGTCTTCTATAACTTCAATCTATCAATTTGAGCTAATATTTTGGCCACTTCAGTCTTGACTTCATCTTTCTTTTTCGCCTCTCTATCAGCTTAATAAGCAGCTTAATCTGCTTGGAATTTCACTTCATTCATGAACTTTTTGACTAATTCACAATCATTTTTAAAATATAATCTTCTTGCTCTCAATGATTCCTATTCATTCTTGATAAAATCCTCAAGTCTTTCAGTTTCTTCCTTCTTAGTCATGATATTCAAATTAGCCAAACATATTTCTCTTTTTTTTTCAATGAAATCTGTAATTGTTTCTCTCTTTTCTCTTAAAATGGATTTAATTCTATATTTTTTCTTCTTCATTTCCTACAATTCATAATCCTTCTTTTTATCCTCTTTTCCATAGATAGTTTTCCTAGCTTCATCATCTCTGTATTCCATCAATTTTGGATTAAAATGTTTGATATGCTGAGCTATTTCATCGATTTTCTGTGGTTAATTAGGATCTCTCATTTTGGCTTCATTGGCAAACATCTCATCTCTCTCTTGCGCTAATTTATTTGCTATAGTGAGTAGAAGTGAATTTGTACTTTGATCTTCTAATTTTTATAACAGTCCAAATCGTGTTGATTTGGCACTAGTTTGATATAATTTTTAAGTGTGTGGAACTTGTTTTTGTTCTTCATCATCGTCATTATACCCAGAATTGCGTTCTCTTTCTAGCTTTTACAGAAACTTTTTAGAATCCAACTCAAATTGAAATGGATTTTCTTCTTATGTTTATTATTATGCTAAATTCATATTAAATAAATAAAAAATAATTATGAAAATTAGAATTTGTGAAGCAATTCTATATTCTCAATATGGCACAACGATTACAAGAATGCAGTGAACACAAATGAAATGCATAATTTGGGAAATTAGAAATTTGTCTAAAAATAATCAATTTTTAAGAATAAATATTTTAATTTAACTGCTAATAAAAATGTCTAATTAACCATTTCAAGTATATTTGAGAATCAAACCTTTATTGGAGAGCAGGTAAAATGTGCATGCTTATTCATTTAGTACAGAAACTTTAATTGAAGATTTGAATGACAATAGAATTGTAATAAGAAAAGATGGTAAAAATAGTAAATCCTTTGTATTCGACAAGATATTCAGTGGGGTTCAAAATAATGAGGATATTTTTGATCAATCATTAAGAGTATATATATATTAATAATAAAAGCATAATCTGGATCACTTTGTTGAAGGTTACAACACAACAATTTTAGCATACGGAATAACTGGTTCAGGTAAATCTCACACTATTTTCGGAAACGAAAAAGACGAAGGATTGTCATTTAAATGCATCAATTATTTGGTGAACAGAATGAAGTACATGAGGTTAGTAAACTGAATATTAATTGTTAGTCCAGAAGCTAATGTCTAGATGGAAATGAGTTTCATCGAAGTCTACAATGAAACCATTCGAGATTTGATGTCAGACTAGCCAAAACCTCTCATGATTATGCAAGACAATCAGAAGGGGTCCTATATTCAAGGCCTATAAGCAATTAAAATTAACAGCATAAATGATGTATTGTATTGTAAAATTTACCATTAGGTCAAAGAAGGTATCAACATAGCCAATTAAAATCGGAGTTTAGCTTAAACCATATACAATGTGTATTCGTCAAGATCACATGCATTAATATAATTTAACCTATCTTATTGTTTTGAAGGGTATAATTATTGGTATTCTATCATTAGACAAACCATTACACCGAAACTCTTTATTGTGGATCTAGCAGGATCAGAACGTGTCTATTAGGATCAAAAGAGTAAGAATCAATAGGAGGGTTCAAATATCAATAGATCACTTTTAGCCTTGAGCAATTGTTTGACCATCTTATCTGACAAATCTAAGAAAAATTAACATATTCCTTATAGAAACTCAAAATTAACAAGATTACTACAGGATTCTCTAGGCGGAAATACTAGAACTATAATGATCTCTTGCATATAATAAAATAAATGTCAATATGATGAAATATTAAACACTCTGTAATATAGTAGCAGAGCCACTCAAATAAAGAAGTAAGTGTAAAAGTCTTTGCATCAATAAATAAGTGAGGAAAAGATCATGATTCCTTCAAACATCAACGACTCTGAGATGAGCACTAAACAGTTGTATTTAACTAAAATCTATAATGACATTTACAGTAATATTGAAGAGTATCACGAAATTAACAATTCGCTCATTGAAATACAGAACAATATTCTTTAAAATCAGTATCAAATAGAGGAAATCTATTCTATGAGTTTGTAAAACAATCTAAATTCAATAAATGATGATCAAATGTATCATAATTTAATGATTGCTCAAAAATAAAACTAGGAAATCGAATAATAATTACAAAATGCATTGAAAGTCAATTTAAAATAAAAGCAACTTCAGAAATCCCTATTACTTCAAATAACTGAGGAGTAATAATAATACATAGATTATTGGAAAATCAAGTATGAGGAATCACAAAAAGAAATATCTGACTTGAAATAAGTTCTATGCACAAAAGTATTATCATATTATCATTTAGAATGAGGATATACATTCAAAGGAATCCTAAATTTAATCACAATAATTATTGTTGGAGTAAATAAAGACTAAAAATCCATCCTTATATACAACTAATAATGACTCTGACTGCTCATATCCTTCATCCTTTGCCTCATCTACAAGTACTTCGTAAATCAAAAAGAAATCATCGTTAACTCATCTAAACATTCAAAACACCTTATCCTAATAGTCCTAATTATTTGACATGATCGATCGACCAAGATTTTCAAATCTATCTCACATAAAATAAATACTGGCATCGAGAGAACGTTCTCCAGTAAATTCAATATTTAGATAATCTCCAATCAGATCCCCTCTGAGAAAAAAACCATCAATTCGAAATATTAGTATCCTCATCATTTATATATTAGCCTCTATATCGAAAGTAGAACAATCAGAGATCTCTTAGATTTCCTCAATAAAAAAATCCAGGCTTATTAATGATCCATAAATAACAACAATCAACTTATACGGAAGTCAGTACATAAACTTGATTGACAAAGAAAATATTTCATGATATTATTATTTTATAACTTAAATAAGTAAAGCATATTGTAAATCATGTATCTTTTTAAGATAAATTGAACTCTTTACGTCATCCAAATATATACTTCTATTTGATGGAGACAAAGTATTAAATATTTGTTTCAACAGTTAATAATTTAATTATAATATCACGGGTCTGCTGTTAATTGGGAATATAATGAAATTCTTAAAAATATAATGATTTGTCCTTCAGGTTAATTATAATAATTATTGATTCTATAATTTACAACATAAAGCATTTACTAATGAAGAAAATACAAGTTAATTGATAATAATATCAGAATCACAAAAGTTAGATGAAAATTTAAATCGTCTTTTATATATTATAAATAATTATAAATTTTATAATTTCTAATATTGAATAAGAATTTAAATAATACTAAAACTGGTCTCTCCTCCTTTAATTTTGATTTCTTCTAACTTATGTATAATTTTAACTTCGTACTACTTATACATATATAGTGTTAATTTACAACCACACAATTTAGAATTCTCTTTCGAATATTAGGAGTAATTTGTTTTTAGTATTAGTCTCTTGGATTAGTATAGAAAATATTTCAAAAGATTAAAAGGGATATGATTAGATATTAGTGTAAGCATTCTTAATCGCATGGAATCGCTTAATTTATCAAATAATTAAATAATAAATGAATAGTAGCTAAAAAATAAGAAAGGGTTCTCGTAACATGAAGTATGAGTACAAATGTAACTTTAGGTACAAGAAGATCTCACAGGAATAAAGAACTTAAATAATTAATGAGTTAACTAAGAATGGAAAGACTCTTAAAGAAGTAAATTCATACATATTTTAGTATAGGTTTCTGAAGAAACCCAGTTGAAACCCTCTACTGTCAAAGCTATATTGTAAGTCTATCTCAAAGAAGGGAGAATTGGTAAGAAGTCCACTCGAGATAGAAAAGTGAAATTGTTAAATACGACAGTAATTACTTTAATTGATAAAACCAAGTAATATTTATATATCTAAGTGATTTAAAAGAAATAGTGACTATGCCATTGAGAATCTTTAATTTATTCACCCAATGATCAAAATAAACCAATAGTCTTCTGAAATCTCACATAATGGTTAGACACTGACTGAGACCTAATAGAAGCTAGAATAATACTCAAAATAACTAATGATGACTTAGGTGAAGGACTTCCTGAGGGAAAAGAAACAAGAGATATTAGAACAACTTGTTAATCCAATGGCAAAACAGAATTTTCTTAATTAACTTGCCCAATTTGAAGTTGCTGACTAATTGCCTTTTCAAGAATTGAAAAAAGAGCATTTATAAGCTGAAGATGAATAATTAGTAGAAAAAATCACTTAACATCTAAAATCAAAAGTGAAACTATGATTTTATAAATACATATATTTTTCTATAAGTCATAATAAACTAGTTGTTTTTGGTTATTCATATAAAGATATTATTTACCCATTTTCATAAGCAATAATAAGAACTCTTTGATTATTTACTATATTAAAAATGAATGATACCTTGCATAAATTAACTGCATGAAACTTGGGAATTCATGAATTCTAAATTTTTGGTATTAATTAATTCTTTCACTTTTTTCGATTAATTTGTGTCTATTTTTATTTCCATTTCCTCTAATTTGTATTTTTTGATACAATACTAATTAAAATCATCAGTCCTTTTCAATTAGATAATGGATGTAATAAAGATCTTACCATCGTAAGTAAGGATTAACTAGATATAATACAAATATTACTATTTCAGGTGAATACTCATTAAGAACATTGATAGATATTATATGATCTAATAAGTCTCTGGAAATGAAAAGTTCTCCTTATAAAGTGTAAATGCTTATCCTTTTGTATTAAGAAATCAGAATAAACCCTGAGGGATGAATTTTGATTGAATTCCATTCATTTATTGATGTTTCGATTAATTTTAAAAATGCTCCTTTTAGAGTATGGATAAGGATGTCACCTTTGAGATCACAACTCAGAATGATTTGTAAGATCTGATCAACTTCTATTGCTGTCACTTCGTTTTGATGTCCATACAAAATGAATTCTGGTTGATGCGATAATGTCCATTCCCAAACTGATATTCTTGTATCTCTACTGCCGCATAACAATTGAGTGCAGCTTTTACCTAAACTAGTAACAACTTTAGTATGGAACAACACAGAACATGTTAATTTGAGATCTTTAAGAGAATAGACTTTTACAGAATTATCACTGTATCCACCAACTACAAGAGAGTCATCGAATAACAAGAAGATGTTATCTTGATTAAATTTTAATTGTTTAATTTCTTGGTTACCATAATCTTTTGGTATTTTAAAACTCGTTATTCTATGTTCTACATTAAAAACATGAATTTCCTATTCATTTGTTATCAATACTAAATATTTATCATTACAAATTAGCTGATCAATTTCAATAATTTATTTGCTAATCATCAAAGTAATTTATTTCAGTTACAACAACGGATTTTAATCATTCGATTTTGAATATTGTTTAACTGGATGATCTTTTTTAAACAACTATTGAGGAGTTTATCCATAATAATACACTTAAGTAATATATTATTCTTTCAAGACTTCATCATCGGTTTTCTCCAGTAGTTACTGTACATAATTACTGTAAGTTAATCGATGATATAAATTATTGTACTTTTAAGCATTCATTCCACTCTTATATCCAAATATTAAATCAATCCAATGATGCAAATTGAAACTCACATGATCACTTTCCAAAACTAATCTATTCAAAAATATCATCTCCTCTGGACTATTTGTATTAATGAATTAAGGTAATGTTACATCACTAACTACAGTCCCTGATTGGAGTTATCCTAAATCAAACTTGTTCTTATTCTTTAAAAACTCACTGAAGTAGAAAAACTCAGGTATTAATTCTTTAACATCACTGCTAGAATTTGTAACTGAGTGCCATTGTGATTCTAAGGAATGGAATAGTCTGTCTGCTTTATCAAATCTGCCAGATTACAACTCCTAATGAAGTGAAGCAAAAGGTTCCATTCTCATTAGAAAACTCATTACTATTGCACTATGAGAATAATGGGTTCCATAAATAAAATACATGTTCATATCCTCTGGATTTGCTTACTTAAATCTTTCCAAGAAGTTCTCCAATCTCTTTTAATTGATTGCTCCTATAGGAATATCAAGTTTTCTAAAATGATCTTTATTTTAAATATCAAAATCTACATAATTTGCGATAACCCATGGGAAGATAGGATATTAATTCAGATCATTATAGGTTCTCCCTCCATACTTATTGACTTCAATCAAGTATTAGAAATTGGTAATATCTCCCCTTTTCCATTTCTCTATTATCCCACTCTTTTTAAATTATTCTATTGGATTCATAATTACATTGCAAAACTACGATAAAAGTTTCATAACTGTTTGTCTTTGTCCAAACAAATTAAACAAATAAGTCTTGTTATTGTTAGTAAATAGTTCGATGGCTACAGGTTGAGCCAAATAACTTCTTGGAAAGACCTCCTTAATCAAACTTAATGGAATTAATTTTTGTTTTTCTGTCTTCAATAAACTATCCTTTTAAAACCTATATTGAACTTCTTGAAATTAGATATCTTGGCCAAAATTTTCAAACATAAAATATTCATTAGTTATTCTTATCTTCCCTCTATAAAAGCCTCTCTATGTTATTAATTCTGCCGTAAACCTTTAATTTTCATTGTTTCCCACCTTATCTTTCTATTAAATACTTTATTATGCACTATAGAGATCACTAAAAAGGCTTTATGCTGTTTTATTTAGTTGTATATGTTCATATGTTTTTTTTTATTTAGCAAACACCTTCAAAAACATTTTCCTCCTCATGCTATCTTCATAACTATTTATTGAATATCTTTCTTTTCCTAAGAATTCCAAAAATGTCTCCAAATTTTCATGATGCAATTACTCATACAGATGTGCATCCCCATAATTCATAAAATACCACAATCCTCTTTTGTGAGTGTTTTATTTAAAATGTAATTTAACTTTGAACTATATTATTAGTTATTTTATAATGAATTCAATTTCAAACTTTTAAATTATTTACAAGAACTCTGACCTATATTGGTTAAGCAGATTAGTAGAAATCTTGGGATAGTCATATAATTATGATTAATGAGTAGATAATAATAGGACTGATTATTGATTATTCGTATTTATTGAAGAATTGTCCATTTGATCAACATTTGAATATTGTAAAGAATAGATGTTTAACAAAACACTTAATTCTTAAGCAAATTGTACTTATCTAAATGAATACGATTTCAGATAAACACATGCCTTTTATATTAATTCTTCTTTCTCTTTGAATAATTCTAGGTACTTCAATGGTGAATTTACTTTACTTAAAAGATCCACAAACTTCTTAGCATCATTACTTAATTTACCATTTAATTAAATTGCCTATTATATCTATTGGGTTTACAAATTAAATTGAGTAATGATCTAATAAGCTCTATTGTTTAGTTCTTCAAAAGATGTAAGAGTCGATAATTATTTTAAATTAATTGTTGTTGATAACTGATCAGCATAGTTTGGTAAATTAATTGAGTCGATGATTGACCAAAGAGATTGAAAATTCAAAAAGTTATCAAATTTATACTTTATAGATGTAAAAATATCATAAAGTTCTTCGGAGTATGAATATTATTAAGATATCAATTAGAATTTTAAGACATGATATAGATGTATATCATTGAAATATTTATCATATTATGTTAATTAATATTCACCTAACACTGATTGTTTAATTTTTTACATAAATGATGATTATTATGATTTGATTTTGATTTTCTTTATTTTCATTTATAAATTTTAAATCTATTCATCATTTATAAGAGTTTATGAATTATGTTGAAATTGACATTTGGATTTTTTTGTTAACAATTTCTTCCAAATAAGCAATAGCTGTTTGGCCTCATTGTTTTAAATTAACAGTTCTAATGAATAAAATAAAATGAATAAGACTACAGCTTACACACCTCCATTAGGATATATGTACTTCTTAGATACTTCAGTTTGTTGAAAACCAAAAAATGGAACTGGGTCATACTCATAATATCCTATAAATTCAGTATCAGGATAAAATGAATACAACATGTCTTATTTCTGTAAATAAGTGACATATTCGTGAAATACCTTAACAAACAATTAGGGATCGCCCAGAATCAACTCCTTATTTAATACTAAAGCAGTTGGTAGTAACATAAATAAATCTAACAATGCAATTTCTGATTTTGGATTCTGTTTATTACTAGTGTTATTTTGCAGCAATAAAATGGTCAATATGACTTTCATAAACTAATTATTTTGTTATTGTATCATATTAAATAATTTCAAGATTTTCTTGGCAGAGAAATCAATATTATCAATATGATGTAACACAATATAATTGATTAATGTTTAACCAGTCTCTATATTTATCAATTCTCTAATGAAATTCATGAGTTCCTTATGATTACACAATTAATTCATAAATACTTTATACGACTAAGATTAAAGAAAGAATTCAATTATCAATTATTTAGTTTCAAGATTGTAAAATGAAAAATGAGATAATAACAAGTTTAAAACCTCTTTTTCTAAATTTAACTCTTACTTTAACACCAAACTTGATAACTAATCTAATTAACTATAAATATTATACATTAATTAGAACCTAAAATGTTTGCTATTGGCAAATAATATTGCTGGTTATTTCAAACAAAATATAATTGATTTTAATGAATAAGGACTTAATAGCACTGTATTCTTTAGTTTTTTATTATTATTATGAGTTCTTAGTTTGTTAGAGTTCTAACAATTTATATTCATAATTAATTTAGTGAACTTGAACTTTTACTAAAATCTCCATTAATGGACCTAATAATTGATCATCTAATGTATTTTAATTGACCATATCTATTATTACACCATAAACGAGTTTGAATATGATTTACAAAATTGTATCATCATTCTCCATCTTTAAGGCGAATTGACTCTACATCACATCTAACAATGACTCCTTTTACAATGATTAATTTCCTTATCTAATATCTGTTAATAACTCTAAAATTAAATTATTTTAAGGTTTTCTAACAGTAAATCCCAATATAACCACTAAATCATTAATAGTTCTTAAAGTGAGATGATTTAACAAAAGTAGAATTTCATTTTTTAAAACTTATAATTTTTCAGTTGAAGTATTTTTTTTATCTCTGATTGTCATTTGAATGGGCAGGGTTTGATCGTTACTAAATTACATTTAAAAAAAAGGATTGTACATTAAATACAAAATGCATTTTATTATCATCCTTCTAGTTTAGGCGTAAGTTTATTAATTTCCTTTTCTGTCTTCATAAGTTATTAATTAAACCTACAAAATATAATACAAACTCTGAACTTATTCTTTAAAATAAGTGAATAACTCTTCGTTATTTTATAACTATTCAAATAGATAAGAATAGAGATATAATAGGATGTCATATTAACAATATTACCAAAATTCAAATTCATGATATATACACATGCAATCTTACTTTAGTATTTAAATTATTTAACATTATAACAAAGAATTATAGAAATTGAGAATCTACTGTAATAATTAAATTGAACATCCTTAAGTTTTCATATGTACGGTCAATAAGTAACCTAAGACTTTGATGCCTTTATATTAAGAATCAGACCTCAAGTAGTTTTATATTGAGTTATCATCCCCAAACTTTTGAATTATAGTGTTAAGCAATTGCAAAACACTAATTACACATTGAGGGTAATTCAAAATATGCAATGGGAAAAAAAGGATGTCTAAATTTCCATAAGATTTCATAACATCAAGCAAAGTGGTGTTTTCTAAAAATAAGACATTTTTTGAATTCTAATTGGTAACTTCCAGGGAATTTGAACTTTTCCTCTATTAAAACAATTTTCCCATAAACTATGATATTGTAGTTTACTTCTATCTTCTTCCTCTAAACATCAAATATTAACAATTCTCAATGAATATTTAATTATTCTAATGTAAGAGCCCATCAAACTAAATGTCTTACTTCTATGATTATGTATTTAGGTATAACAAAATTCTACCTTTGATTTACATTCTGAGTAATTATGAAAATAAAATTGAATTATTCTAAGATTTCTTTTCTAAAATGTACATATCCTCAGCATTTATATTTTAGTCTAAAATGTAAAGTAGTCTCATCTCTCCTCTGAAAGAATCACTCAATGATTCATAATCAGTAAGTTTTGCACCAACAGCAAAGAAATTTAAAACAGGAATTTGAAAATTATCAAATTAATCTGCTTGTCTTGCCAAAACGTCATTTCCGTTGATATTTACTTAAAATGCTTTGTTCTAATTGAAATTTATGACAATAAAATTCTCTTGATACTTCAAAGTGTACTTAGCTGTTTTTATTATATTTTATTGTTTGTATCTAATACCAAGTAATTAATTATCTTCAATAACAACTGAAAAGTTTATGTCTTAATTTCCCCAATTCAGGAGTGTTGATTATCTTAATTAACCTTTAAATTATAAGATAATAGAGAATATATTATTTTGGGTTTCAAATTGCATTTTTCCTTTTACTATTATGCCACTGTCATGCCCAGTAAAATAATAATATTGATCATTTTAAATCGAGATCACCTTGTTTAAACAATATAATAGGAGAGTAGAATTTTTTAGGAAAAGATCCTTATCTGCAATTTGATCTTAAAATTAAATTTATTATTAATAGGATCCACATTCTATAGATGACAGAGGAACACCCAAGATTGAGGCAATCTTCCTATATTAATTTAGCTTTTATTTTTCTTCAATATAAGGTATCATAATCAAAGATTAGTATGGTGACATAAACTGAGCAATTGCTTACAAGAACGACAATGAAAACCTCACTTTAATACAATTTATTAATATTTAGATTATTAACTCTTAATACACACTTTCAATCCTTAAGAAGAAGATAAGTCTTTCTACCAATTAGCACTTCATAATTACTAGTACATTCTCAAGATTTTATGTCAGCAATAATAATTATTACAAATAATATTATTTCTAAGCAACTTCAACGTTCTATTCAAATACTAAAATTGTCAATAGTTCTAAGAAATAGGGTACTTAAATTTATATTTACTAAATATCATAATTTTCTTCAAAAACTCCATTAGAAATATTAAATAATAGTTTAAAAATTGTCTAACAGTTCTCTAGTGTTATACATTATTTAATATAAGACAACAATTTTTTATTTTCAAGTTCCTCTTATTTAATATCTCTATCAGTCCATATACATATTGTTGTTACCTTTAAGGCTTCAATTAAATGGTCATAATTATATTTATATTGAATTAGATCAAAAATATTAAGACATTTGAAATTTTTTAATTTAAATTCTTAAATAGGATTGCATATTAATTGTGGAATTGCTCCATCAATATGTAAAATCCAAATTGCTTTTAGTGAATTTATAGAATTAAATTAAGCTAACTATTAAATAACTTTCTAAATTAAAGATATTGATTCATACTTGTTAATTCACTAAAAACTTGAAGTTATGCATTAACCCATTTAGAATAGATTCATCATCAAAAATCCCCAAAGAGTCGATATTTTCATAAAATTGTGGGTTCTTGTTATAGACTTTCAATTTGATTTCATAATCAATAGATTAAACTCCATCTAAAAATTTAAACACTTCAACATCTACTATATAATCTGATTTAAGGGCTGTTTCCATAAACTATTTTCTTATTTAGGTTAGTTATTCTTAAGTTAAATTTGATTTCATATGTTTTATAACGATTCCCAACAACCCAAGTTGAATCAAACAAAATACATATAATTCTAAGCAACCTATATGTGGGGAAAGTAATAATTTCTTGAGAATCTCTTCTAATTTTGTTGGATATTGAATAGGAATGGTTTAAGGGGATATTGGACAAGGAACATTTTCTAAATCAAGCATTCTCACATAAATGGAAATTTGAATTAGTTAATAATATGGATGTCTAATATTTGTTGGCATCAAATTATAAAAAGTTCTGATATCTTAAAGTGTCCATACAAAGTCTTCAATATAAGATTATTCGTGTTTTTCTAATAATTCTATATTTTATTTAATAAAGTAGTTAATAAATATTTGAGGTACTGATGGGTGAATAGATTTCCTTAAATATAGATGGATCTTGGGAGATAATTAAACCCAGCCTTCCTAGTTATACTTATATAAAAGTGTGATCATTTCAACATTCATTATTTATTGACAAATCTATGTTAATGCTGATTATTCATATTCTGCCATCTCAGTTTCATCTGATTCTTATACTATTTTCAAGAATCTATTTATGATATTTTTATCCAATTTATATTAGCTCATAATTAAGTAAATTCCACTAATCCAATTCGATCTTGATTTGAGTTGATCCAAAATAAATAGTGCGTTTTCAAATTGTTACCCCTCTATTGCATCATATAATTTTTATTGATTTGATTTTAGACTATTTCTAAGCATTTCAACATGATAATTAGGTACTAATTATAACATTTATTATATTATGTTAAATTATATTAAGCAAAGTTTGATTTAGTTCATATATTTTCAGTACATCCTAGTACTCTACATGTGGAAAATTGATGCTTATAATCAACTAATTATTCAACAAAATCTCTACAACTTAAATAAATTGTATAATTACTTATATTAAAGACTTTATCTACTTTAATTATATTTTATGCATAAATTCAACTGAAAACAAAATTTTAATTATTTTTTATAGAATGCTTCATATTTACATTAATTAAAATATTATAAGAAATCATAACTTTTTATTTGCTATAATTTGCACTACTGTTTAAATATACGAGTGCAAAAATGATAACTTAAAGTATACATATCGAAAGATTTATTTCGGAATTATCTAATGTTGTATTAAAATGCTATAATGTATATTAATAGCTCTATGAGTTACTTATAGAATAAAATTTTATTCATACTTTTAAGTTTTAAATTAGTTATAACAATTAAGGATTTTTAAACTAATTCTTTGAAGTTTTTACCTTATGCAACCTTATTTAGGTAATTAAATAATTTACAAGTTAAATAATTCTCTTCCTTCTTGATTAAGATGCTGAATAATGTACTAAACTTAAGAAAAAACCTTAATTTCATACTTTTCCAAAAATACTTAAATGAATTTGTAAGCTTTACAAATCTTCTTGCCAATTTTATTTTATCAAAAATTTTGAAAATGCTATTTCTAAATAACCTTCCACCAAATATGTCTTATATTGGATATGCGTAATTAAATATTCTCTAGAAATAATAAAAATTTTAATTAGATAAATTATATTACTTTTTTTAAAAGGGTATTTCATTATAAAATCTTTCCATCAAAACCAGGAAACCTGAATTTTAAATAGTTCAACGAATTACTTACAAAATCCAAAGCCAGAAATGCTGTGGTAATAAAATTAATTTATTTTAAAAATTATTCAATTTTTATAAAATAATTCAATTTAAATTTATCATTTCCAAAAATTCATATAATTAATATAAGAATTTCTAAAACTCTAAAAATAATGAATTAGAATGCGCTTTTAATTCTGCTTACAGTGTCTTGTCTTCTTCAGGGTAAGTAATTGTGTTATAATCAAAGGTGGTTTTGGGTGTCCTGCAGGGACTTGGGGAATAAGCCCTTGTTTACCATGCATGAGTGAGTGCGCCACTTGTACTATTGCTACACAATGTAATTCTTGCAAGCCTGGATACTATTATGTATCATCTGGACTTGGGCAATGTCCTGATTGTTCATCTACGTGTAAAACTTGCACCTCCTCAAGTTCTCATTGTACTAGTTGTAACGATGGTTACTATTTATCTGGATCAAACTGTCCAGCATGCTAAAGCCCATGCTCATTATGCGTAACAACTAACAGTAATTGTCTTGGTTGTGTTTCTGGCTATTATATTTCAGGATCAACATGCGTAACATGTTCAAAACCGTGTGCTGAATGCACTACTTCACCTTCTAATTGTACAGTGTGCGTAGATTCAGCTAATTAAGCAATTCCTAGTTGTGATTGCACTCAACCTAATAAATATTTAGATACAACTACATATATGTGTAATAATTGCGTTTCCCCTTGTCTAAATTGTAGTACAGCATCATTGTGTGATAGCTGTGTGAATGGATATGTAATATCTGGACACTCTTGCCAACCTTGCACCAAGCCTTGCGCAAACTGCACTATTACTTAAACTAATTGTTAGACTTGTGTTGATTCAGTGAACTAAACAACTCCCAGTTGTAGTTGTAACAGTGGCTTTATAATGAACTTGTCAACCTTTATGTGTGATCAATGTGTTCATCCATGTGCAACATGTCAAAATTCAGTGACTGAATGCTATAGTTGTGCTTCAACATATTAATATGATTCAACAGCCCATACTTGTACTTGCTTAACCAATTAATATGAAACCATTGGATTACCTAAAACTTGCTAAAACTGTTCATCTCCATGTTTGACATGTTCAAGCAATGTTAATTGCATTTCATGTATAAGTGGATTAAATAGACATATATCAGGAAGTAGTTGTATTTGTGATGATGGTTATTATGATAATGCTGGAGTTTGTACCTTATGTTCATTGCCTTGTACAAAATGCACTTCATCTACAGTTTGTACAGAATGCAATTAAATATCCTATTAGGTGTTAAGTGATTGTCATTGCATGGATACATACTATATGGATGGTTCATTTGATTGTTAATCATGTAATAGCCCATGTCTTAACTGTTCAAGTAGCAGTGATTGTACATCTTGCATCAATAATTACTATTTAGACACTACTAATTGTTTATAATGTACATTACCATGTTTCAATTGTGTTGACATAGATACTAAATGTACATCATGTGCACACTCTTATTAAACGGTTTAAACAAATTAATGTGTATGTGATGATGGATATTATATGGATGCTTCTTATTATTGTTAATTATGTACTCATCCTTGTTCTAAATGTACAAATACAAGTACATATTGCACAGATTGTGCTAGTACATTTATTTCTAGTGGATCGAATACTTGTATTTGTGCAGATGGAAAATATGAAGAAACAACAAATTCTCCCAGTGATTGTTAAAGTTGTACTTCACCATGTGTTAAATGTGAAATAACATCTACTCATTGTTTAACATGTATTGATACTAATTAAAGTGTTGATCCATCATCATATTAATGTATATGTAATATAGGTTGGGTTGCAAATGGAAATTATTGTGATTAATGTGTATCACCATGTACATCATGTTCAGGAACTACAACTTTTTGTACAACTTGTAAAGATGCTCATCATTAAATTGTAAGTGGATAATGTATATGTGAATCAGGATGGGTAAATGATGCCAATTATGATTGTTAACCATGTGTATCACCTTGTAGTTCATGTTCAATTAATACAACTCATTGCGATTCATGTTTAGATATACATCATACTATTAATGCTAGTTATTAATGCATTTGTTAAGATACATATTATTCAGACACTATATCACATTGCGAACCCTGTGTATTACCTTGTGCAAATTGTGATATCAATGGATGTCTTACTTGTATTGATACCAATTAATATATTGATGCTAGTTTAGATTGTGTTTGTANAGTTGTAACAGTGGCTTTATAATGAACTTGTCAACCTTTATGTGTGATCAATGTGTTCATCCATGTGCAACATGTCAAAATTCAGTGACTGAATGCTATAGTTGTGCTTCAACATATTAATATGATTCAACAGCCCATACTTGTACTTGCTTAACCAATTAATATGAAACCATTGGATTACCTAAAACTTGCTAAAACTGTTCATCTCCATGTTTGACATGTTCAAGCAATGTTAATTGCATTTCATGTATAAGTGGATTAAATAGACATATATCAGGAAGTAGTTGTATTTGTGATGATGGTTATTATGATAATGCTGGAGTTTGTACCTTATGTTCATTGCCTTGTACAAAATGCACTTCATCTACAGTTTGTACAGAATGCAATTAAATATCCTATTAGGTGTTAAGTGATTGTCATTGCATGGATACATACTATATGGATGGTTCATTTGATTGTTAATCATGTAATAGCCCATGTCTTAACTGTTCAAGTAGCAGTGATTGTACATCTTGCATCAATAATTACTATTTAGACACTACTAATTGTTTATAATGTACATTACCATGTTTCAATTGTGTTGACATAGATACTAAATGTACATCATGTGCACACTCTTATTAAACGGTTTAAACAAATTAATGTGTATGTGATGATGGATATTATATGGATGCTTCTTATTATTGTTAATTATGTACTCATCCTTGTTCTAAATGTACAAATACAAGTACATATTGCACAGATTGTGCTAGTACATTTATTTCTAGTGGATCGAATACTTGTATTTGTGCAGATGGAAAATATGAAGAAACAACAAATTCTCCCAGTGATTGTTAAAGTTGTACTTCACCATGTGTTAAATGTGAAATAACATCTACTCATTGTTTAACATGTATTGATACTAATTAAAGTGTTGATCCATCATCATATTAATGTATATGTAATATAGGTTGGGTTGCAAATGGAAATTATTGTGATTAATGTGTATCACCTTGTACATCATGTTCAGGAACTACAACTTTTTGTACAACTTGTAAAGATGCTCATCATTAAATTGTAAGTGGATAATGTATATGTGAATCAGGATGGGTAAATGATGCCAATTATGATTGTTAACCATGTGTATCACCTTGTAGTTCATGTTCAATTAATACAACTCATTGCGATTCATGTTTAGATATACATCATACTATTAATGCTAGTTATTAATGCATTTGTTAAGATACATATTATTCAGACACTATATCACATTGTGAACCCTGTGTATTACCTTGTGCAAATTGTGATATCAATGGATGTCTTACTTGCATTGATACCAATTAATATATTGATGCTAGTTTAGATTGTGTTTGTAATAATGGTTATTATATGGATACTGTTAATTGTTCACTATGTTAATTACCTTGTGTACATTGTACGTCATTGCTAGATTGTTTAACTTGCATTGATGCTAATTAAACTGTTGTAGGCGATAGATGTATTTGTAATAATGGTTATTATGCAAGTGGAAATTATTGTAATTTATGTTAACTACCATGTACGAAATGTGTAACTACATAAAATACATGTACAGAATGCGTAGATCCTAATCATTTACTCATTAATAATAAGTGTGTCTGTAAAGCTGGATATGGATAATCTGGATTGAATGGTAATTATTGTTCAATGTGTTAATATCCATGTTTAGAATGTTCAATTGATGTAAATACTTGTACTAAGTGCATTGATTAAAGCTTATTCAAACTAGAAAATAATCAGTGTTAATGTCAAGAAGGATATTATAAAGATGATAATTAATGTTAAAGATGTGCTCCATAATGCAAGAGTTGCGAATAATTTTAAGATAACTGTTTAGCATGCAAAGACGTTACTTTTATTTAAATTAATAATTAATGTTTTTGCGATTATGGTTATTTCTTAAATTCATCCTTTTAATGTAAAACCTGCTAATAACCTTGTACAACTTGCTAATATAATAATAATTTCTGTACCTCCTGCATAAAATAGTATTAATATCTAATAAATAACACATGTGTATGTTAAGATGGATATTATATGTAGAATTATGAATGCTAATTATGCTATTATACCTGCACTAAATGTTTTAGCTTTAATATTTGTAATGAATGCATAGATGGATATTATCTGTATGATGATATTTGTTCTTAGTGTGATACTTAATGCTTAACTTGTATTGATCATGACTAATGTTTAACATGTTCAGATGGATACTATATGGTTTTAACCCATAATTGTACTTCATGTATAAGTAATTGTAAAGAATGCGATAATGCATATACTTGTATTACCTGTTTTGATGGTTATTTTTTATATGATGGATAATGTGTAAAATGCGATGATAATTGTCGTACCTGTGTTGACGAATACGAGAAGTGTCTAAGTTGTAATGATAATTTTTTATTAATTGATGATAAATGTATCTGCCGAGAAGGTTATTATTATTAGAATTATGAATGTTTAAAGTGCTAATATCCTTGTAAAAAATGTGAAGAAGAGTTTAAATGTAATGAATGCCTTTTATTATCAAATATTCAATTAAGTGATTAGAATATGTGTGTATGTAAAGATGGATATTTTTGGTTAGATAATGGATGCTAATAATGCGATGAGACTTGCTAAACTTGCTTTTTAAAAAGTTAAAATTGCATAAGTTGTTAGCCCTAATCAAATAGGATCCTGCTTAACAATAAATGTTTATGTTAAAATGGCTATTTCTTAAATGAATTTAATGTATGTTAGACTTGTAACTCTGAAGAAGGGAAAATAATTAAATCTTGTAAGTATAAGAATTGCCCTGATTCTTAATGGACATATGGAGAAGAATGTGATGATGGGAATGATACTAGTAGAGATGGTTGCTCTAATTGCATTATCGATAAATATTATTCATGCCTGAATACTATACTTGAACAGTCCATTTGCTTTTAATGTCCTTAATATTGTGAACTCTGCAATGAAGATGATGCCAATAAATTAGTTTGCAAAAAATGCTAATCAGGCTATTTTGTAGAGTCCAACATATGTAATAAATGCAATGATAAATGTAAAGAGTGTGCTGACTCATCATCTAATTGTTTATCGTGCAGATTCGTTTAAAATGATTAGAAACAATGTAAATTGTGTGAGTCAATGGATGGATATTATTCAGACTATAAAAACAATCTATGTTATAGTAAGTGTGGTGATGGGATTAAATCTAAGGAAGAAGAATGTGATGACGGAAATATAATAGATTTTGATGGTTGCAATTAAAATTGTAGAAAGGAATAAAATTATGTTTGTTAGATGGGAATATGTCTGAGTACTTCTCTTATCCCAGTTCCAAAATTACAGGCTATAGGAGATACCTCACTATACAACCCCTATAGGTTATTCTAGCTCACTTATAATCTTGATCTCGATTTGCCAGATAATTTTAATCTATCTTAATTCATACAATTAGAACTCTATTATGGTTTCGAAATCAAAAACATAAATTATGAATATTCGATAACACAATAATTGGAAATTCAGAATTCAAATAAGACATAACTGACAGCCATTATTAAATTAACTCTTAATAGAACATCCTCACAAGAATACTTGCAAATAGTTTATAAAAATCTGACATCGTTCTCTTCAGATGGCTAAATATAATAGATTTCATATCTAACATAAGAAATTAACTAATATACCTTTATAGATTAATAATTGATGTAAGAGGTAGAGTTAGTTAATTCAGGGAATTATTACATTCTATATATATTAGCTGGATTTGCTGGAGGATCAATTCTATTTGGAGGAGTTGATATTTTTTATAATCTACTTGATACACTACAAATGTTGTCCTATCTTAAATACATCAACACTTAATTCCCTTATAATTTGGAGTAATTTTTTGATATGTTTGGGTTTGCTTAATTGAGCTTCATTTCAAAGTACTTTGATATTGCAGGCCTTATCGATCCTTATATTGATTTTGAAAATTTGAAATCCATTCCTAAGAAAATCTCGGATGATGGTTACAATTCCTTGTTTATAATAAATGGTACGTCGTTATTAACCATTTGGCTATCATTCATTTTCGTTTTTGTTATAGCAATAATGGTTCTACCTATTTTAAGATAGTTTTAAATGAAATATTTCTCAGACACACCAGAAAAGGATAAATGGGTCTTGAGAATTAAATTATATTTTTTATCAATTAAGATATTTATTGGAGAACTTTGCTACATAATCATATCTGAGTTTATTTTCAGTGGAATGATAAGGACTCATATTTCAACAGCTTATGATTATTCATTTTCAATGATTCTATAGATTTCAGCCTTAGAACTTAGATCTTAAGACTAATTGGTTTAAGTGAGTTCTGTGTTGTCATTATTAGCATTGGCTGTTTATTTATTAGTAATCTATGCAATAACTTATATATCTCAATTAAGTAATTACTCAATTACTTAAAAAATCAATTAATAGCGTTATGGTTCTATTTTTGAGGGTTTAAACTTAAATGGCTACTGTAAATATACTAATGCTATTATCCTATTGAAAAAACTACTTTTTATGTTCTTGCTAATTTTTACATACCAAGACCCTCTATTCCAATCGATAAATTTAGCTTTTCTTTCTTTGATTTAAAGTTTATTAATATTTTATTTCAAACCTTTTGAAGACCAGAATGAATATAAAAAACAGTTTTCGTGTGAAATTAATATTACTATAACGTTATTTCTTATATCAATTTTGATAATTGATTAAGATTTGCATTTAAATTTTTTTACAGAAGAAGACAAAATCAATTTAGGTTGGTGCTGTATCATTTGTATAAGTTGTATTTTGATCATTTAATTAGTTATTGATATTTTTTAATAATGGAAATTATTGATAAAAAAATATCGATAAATAAAACGCTTGATCGAAAAAATTAACAAATTATTCTTTTCCTAATCTGAAAGTCATGCAACCCATATGCCTCTTAGCGTGGTGCACTGAATTAAGAGATTAGGGAAAATTTGATATGATGTAACAAATTATATAATAAAATTTAAAATAAATAAAAAATACCCAAAATATTAATAATCTTATTATTAATAGCCAATCAAACTTTAGTAAGGAATTAATATGTTGTTTATAAGTGTAGTAAGAATAGAAATATATTCGTTTTTGAATAAGCAATCTTTAGTACACAGTATTTCTAATATCATATAAATTTTCAATCGTTTTAATCACTGGATCTCTCTTTATTTATTCTCTCATATAAACTTATTGATATTAAATAATCATTTCAGATTATTTTATAAAAATTTCCTTTACTTAAAATCTTAAATATAAATAAATAGATATGAAATACCAATATATAATTTTAATATTTACATAGCAAAAATCAAACATTATACAGTTTGGTATCCTTAAGAATAGGGAAAAATATAAAATATAACTAATATAATGTATTTAAATAAAAATCATTTAAGTTTGAGTAATCTCTAGATGGCTTCGTTTGTCTTTAATGTTTCAGATGTAATTTTATGAGGACCTGATTTATTGTTTGAGATTACTGGATTTTGAGAATTTGCACCTGCTGTTTTCGAACTATTGCCTTGGCTTTTATTTCTTTAGGAAGACTTTTATTGTTAGGCATTGCAAATATCAGATATTACATTTAAGGTGTTCCTAATCTTTTTGGTATTGTTGCCAAACCCTCCTTTGAGTAAATATTGACTTGCCTAAATTATCTAAGATCTTTAAGTGATAGATTGAGCATGCTGTTTAAGGAGTTTGTTATATTTTATAAATAAGTCTTATTCTTAAGTGCTGCGATGTTGAATTTGATTGTTAAATTTGCCACATTTATGATGTTGGGATTATGATTTCAGAGGCGTTGAATGTCTCATGGAATTCTATGGATATAGATTTGCAATCGAACCAGGATATTCACTACTGTAATCAGCTCTTTTTAATTTGTGGTCTGAATGACAAAACTAATAAATTTATCTCAAATTACTTTTTATCTTTCATTCTACCGTTGACTTCACTATCTGTATGCACTATATGTTAGTGATCTACTGATTCTCTTAGTTGTTCATTCTCCTTTATTAACTATCTATAGCTCTCTGTGGATTTTCCGAGATCCTTTTTTAAGGCCTAAATTTTATATTGCTAACATTTTACATAAATTTTTTTATTTAATTATTCTATTGTTTCTTTTTGGGACTTTTCTAGGTCTTCTATCTTCTACAACAAGCTGTCGTTATAAAGTTTAAGCTATTATTCGATCTAAAAAAGAACTAATCAAACTCATGTTACGCTAATGTGTCCTCTGATCTCGGCTTCATATTTTTATATAATCTATTCTAATTTTTCATACTCCTCTTCTGCATGATAGCTCCTATTAGAACTGTTATCATTAGGATTAAGTTTCAGAAGGGAGATTTTTTTGTCGATTTTCTTCATCAAAGTCTTGAATACATTGGCTATGATTTTAACTAGTCCTGGCAATGTATCGTAATCTTTTAATTGATTTTCAATTAATTTCAAGTCACTCTAACCTTCCAAATAGCCTTCCAAGCAGAATAATACCTTTTTGTAATCTTAATTTGCTTACATCTTCAAGTAAGGCTTTAAGCGGAGCTTCTATCAGGGACTCATTGATTTCACTCATTCAAATAGAAATTCAGTTATTTATTTAATAAATGATTATATGCTCTAAACTATTTAGGATTCTTTCAGAAAAGTATCTAAATAGAGTGGATGGATGGGGTCTATAATAATTTCATCATCTAAAATACTAAGTTTGAAGCGTAGTAAGATAGAGATCGAGTTCATTGTGAGATACAGAAGAGAATGAGGGGTAAGAGAAATAAATAAGAAATACACTTAATCAAATTTAATATTATTATTTATTAAAATGGCTATGGATAATGCTAAATTTGAATAAATGAGCAAGAATTTCCCTTCTGCTTTGAAATTCAGATTAAATCCTGTTTACTATGGTGCTAGAGTAGGAATTCAAGCTTACTTGGGTTTGTTGGTGGGAGGAAGTCTTTTGATATACTTAAATACTTTCAATGGCATAACATTCCCATATTTATATAAAAAAGTAAATTTTTGAGAAATGAGCAATTAGCAAAAAGTGGAATATTCTGCAATGCCTGACTTTTATTCTAAGCAAGTGTTATTGTATCAAAGAACAGTTCCGAATACTGTAACATAATTATGAGAATAAATACATAAATAAATAAGATATGCATAATAATTTCAGTCTTGCATTTCTGAGTCCAATTCGTCAATCTCAGAGTCTTCTATTACTTCTTGTTTTTTAATCTCCTCATGATTTTAGGGTTTAGTGATTTAACTTTATAATTTCAGCAAATTAGCAGGTGCAATCAAATCACTATCCATCAATACAGTTGCAATATAGATATCATTGTTTTCCCAAAGATACTATCTATGTTCCACCAATTATAAATTCAACAACAAAAAAATCATGTAGAGTATCATGAACAACCAATACAATGGGATGACATAGAATTTGTAATACAATTCCTAAACTAATAAGAATGTTGTCAAAAAACTGATAGTCACAATGTGATTAATGTAATATTTTACTTACAAATCGTTATGTCCTTTAATAATGTCTCTTGTCTTGAGGAAACAATAAATGCTTAAATAGGTCACACTCATTACAATGAAGAAGGACTAAGAATTGTTGTTTTCATACCTCAAAAATCTTGATTTTGCTAAGGCAAAGAAGAATATAGAGTTTAGTAATCAAATGGATCGAAAAGATGACATACTTGAGAGGTTTCTAGAAATTGATTTATATTGATTGCATTCATACATTTGAAAAGGATTGTGAGCAAAATTAGACAGAAATCAATGTCAAAATGTAAAGACTGACTATACTCAGTCGAACTTAAGCCTTGATGAAATCTAGATTCTGTTTAATAGTAAAGCATTACAATAAATTTGCAGAGTAAAATTGGTATTGACATAGTGCAAAGTTGTATTAGAAGGGCTGACTCCTATATTTCTTGAATTTTCACTTTGACCTTTAGTTAATCTATGTATTATTAATCAGGCTAGACATCTATTTCTTATAGAGACATTTTCTTTTTATTTATATTTTTATTTTAAAATGAGCGACGAAAAAGAAAAGCTCAAAAAAAAAATCCTACATGACACAGAATAGCTAGCAAAGGGTTAAAGATTTGCCTTATTCTCTTCTCCAGTCCCACTGGGTTTAGGAGATGACAGTTACGATTTCAAAAAGAAACGTACCTATTTTCTTAAATACCATAGCTCCTAGAGGAGAGAATGGCAAACCAATTACTCAACCCACTAATATGAAAATTGGAGCCCCAAAAAGCGGAAGGATTAAAAGCTCGTATTTTAGTTAGGTTTCTTTTAATTCCATTGGTGATCCTTATATGGATCCATAAAGAAAGGATTTGCAATATGAATTGGAAAAAACTAAGAAGATATTATTTAAAGATCAACCGTTTAGACCTGCATCAGGTTATAAGGAATTGTTAGGAGGGCCTTGGCCACATATGAAAGATTTTGATATGAAGAAGACTAGAAACTATAAAACAGCTGATGGTCGAGTTTGGTCAGCTCCTCGTAATATCACAACAAATCCAGCTAATAAGGAACTATCAAAGGGTTATCCGCATCAAAAGGATGAATACGATAGGTTTCATTAATATTAACTGGTAACGAATCCCTTTATTCTATGATAGAAATTATAAATGGAAGCAAAAAGAAAGGAAAAAGAAGTTGCTTTCAGAACAACAGTAGCAGGAGGGGAGAATTTCAATAAAGACAAATAAGTATTTGGATTTGATGGAAGAGCACCTCCTCCAAATAAAGAGAAGCCACATGACATGCATATTATGAAACATGAATAAAATTTCAAGCCTTCAAACCCAGGTAAAAAGGGCTTTGAAGGAGAATTTGAATAAATTACTTATAAACCAGATCCACTGAAACCCATGAAAAGAAAAGAATGGCCTAAAGGAAAAGAACAATTCAGGCCCAACCATTTAGTCGTAATGTCAAGACCAACTCCATCAATTACATGTTTCAAATAGAACATTAGAAGGGTAATGAGTGCTAAAGGATTCTGAGAATGTAAAAATCATATTTATAACTATTGATTTAAAAAAGTATTCTAGAAAAATAGATTATTGCATTATACACCTAAATCAATGATCAATGGTAGACAAATTCAACTTGGGCATCTTGAAAGATTGAAATAGCTGGATAATATTTGCCATCCTTTATTGGGAGTACTTTGAAAGCACAACCAAGGGACTTGCCTTATTCTTCAAAAATTAATTCATTATTAATAAATAACATTCGCAATGGCTCCGATTTCTTGATACCATTTCCATACTTGGCTCCAATGCCATCATTAAACTTGGATCCATCCTTGACTCTATAGCTATATTAGCATCTATGCATTCCAACAGGATATTCAATCAGATTGAGAGAGGGATCATTGAGGGTTATGCCTACTCTAACTCCAGAACCCTTTGTATAGATGATGCTTCATACATTAATTAAGTTTATTATTAAACTATTCTCATTGCCCATGGGGGGCTACAAAATAAGAGTTTCATAACCTGATTCCTTGAAGGCTAATGAGACTTTATTACCAGAAACAATTATGTTGGGCCCTTTCATCAATATACTTTTTTAAGGCTTTTCTAATTCGATGGGGTTATCGTCCAATTTATCTTGTTTTTTGTCTTCCACTTTATCTTCTATTTTTTCTAATTCCATAATAATAAATTATTAATAAAATGAACGTTGCTGAAATAGGCGAACTAAAAAAGTAATTTAATTGAACTATTATTTCAGGTAATTGACTAAGGCATTAACAGAAAATGCTCATTTGATGTAGAAAAATTAATTGCTAGAATTGAAGTTAAAAGAAACAGAAGAGCGTAATTGCAATATCTAAAAAATGAATGGAACTATTATGCATGTGCTGAATGATTTAAATGTATAAAATAATAGACCTTCCACAGAGATTCTAAAATAGCAAGATTAATTCAATATGAAATTGATGCAATATCAAAAGAGAATAGAGTCCTATGAAACCTAAATAAAGAATTTATAAACTCAGTTATAAGAAGCTCTTATATCTAAAAATGAATAAAATCAAAGGATTACTCAACTATAGGAGCATGATTCTTAATTGCTCAAGTAGATAGGAGCACTAGAATCGTCTGTAAAAACCTTGACTGGACAATTGCAATTGTAAAGCAAGCAAACTCAGGAATTCTCCTAATAATTGGAAGACCTTGAATTCGAGAGTCAGAAAGTCAAATTTTCATAGAGTGTTAAAATCGAAGAATTAAATGAGGAGAACATGAAACTAAAGGAAGAGTTGAAATCTCTCATGGGACAATACTTAAGAAAGACTTCTTCATCCATGTAAACTAGTGTACCAGCATCTCCTCAAAATGTTAGATTATAACCTCAACCTCCACAAACTAACACAACTCCTATTATTAAGAAATAGACACCTAAAAAGAGAACCACAACAATCACCTAATGGAAGAAATGATATCAACTTTATTATGTTATATAAATTATTGTAAAAATAAATAAAAAATAATGGCAACTTTTCAATAAAAATACGAATCATTGAAATAGGAATTTAATGAATTAGATATCAATGATGATGGCCGATTAGATAAGAACGAAATGTTCTAAGTTCTAGATTCTAAGGTATAACTTGTTTCATTTCTGTGTTGATTAGATTGGAAAATAATTTGATCGAGAGATTGCTGAAGAATTATGGTCTAATTTAGATATCAATCATGATGGTAAAGTGACAGTAAATGAATTCATTCAAATACTTTTGAAAGCTGAAGACAGTCTGAAAAGCAAAATAAACAATTGCAGAACTACTTTAGAATTAAACTATTAACAGAAAAGAGAAACAGAAGCTAATTTAGATTATTGTTAATCAAATGAAAAATTGAATAATTTTGGAGTAATGGAAGGCAGTCAATTATGTGTTATTGTGATTCAAGCTGCAAATCTCAAGGCGGATGGAAAATAATTAGATCCTTTTATCACTTTACAATTTGATAAATTTGAAAAGCAAACAACTATAAATAAAGGCCCTAATCCTATTTGGAAAGAAACCTAAAAGTTCTATTTCCCTGTTTAAACTGGGAAGGAAGACTTAAAATTAACAGTTTGTGATTTTGATAAATACACTCCGAATATCGTGATTGCTAGGGTGGATTTAAATTTATCGAATAATGCTTTTAGTCTGAAGAATCAACAATTGCATGATATTTGGCTGGATTTATATGATGTGAATGGAAATAGAAGTGGATCTCAATTGAACATCCAAATCTAATGGGTCTATTCTAAGGTCAAATATCTTAGAGATGTACTTAACTCTTACTAATAATAAGTGTATTCATAAGAATAAGAATTACTGCAATATGAGAGAGATCTCTTTATTCTTTATGAGCCATTTGTTAAGTGGAGATAACTCAATACAAAAGGGTATTAGAAGCCAATCGCTTAAACGCCTGCATCCATGATTCCAGTCTCATATTAATAGGCAGATCCAACAAAAATCATTAAGCCATTTTCTGATCCTCTTTTGGATAAAAATAGCAAATTCAAATTGATTACTATACTAATTGGTCTCATAGCTTGTCTTACTCTACTGATATTGTTTTACAAGGCTCAATATTTCGATGTAATTAGAGTGTTGCTATAATTAGTTGCTCCTTATTATAGACTTTTATATCCTCTGGGAATTTAATGCTTTAAATGAGAATCGCATTAAGACTCTAGGGATCTTGTTCGGAATGAGTTGTTTCTTGGATGTTGTGTGGATCTTTTGCATAGGTATGAAATGGCTTGGTAATGATTCCCATGAGATTTTCATACCTTATGAAGTCTCCATCCAAAAAATGATCTCCATTTTAGTAATAATAAGTCTAATAGTGAGGGTAATTTTGAATTTAATTCTTAGTTGTATCTAATACTAAACTTATTTTAATTGTCTCAAGAGGTGTAAAACATTACTAATCCTTAACCTTAAAAAATACAACATAAGAACATTGTGAAAATAGATATGCAAAATACACATAATATTGATTCTAAAACCTACCTCCATAATGGACGACCAATTGTGATTTATTGAATATTATTATTAATTATTTTATAATTGATATTCATTTATGGGATGCTAAATTGGAAAGACCAATCAAATTTAAATTAGATCTAAGTATAACAATCTCGTAGGAATTAAGTTTTAGGAAGCAATTGAAAATAGCAACCCTAAATTGAAATAATTGCAACATCAGTGGAATCAATTTGAAATCAAAGACTTTGGTGCTGCTCTTAAATTCAAATAAAGTGATCCAGTCAGATTTAAAAAGTATCTTATGAATGGAGCAATCTCTTCCAATAGATGGCTTTTATGGAAAGTATCCTTATTTGTAGAAAATATATTTGAATCAGGGTGTTATGAAGCCTTGTTGAAGAGTTAACATCATCAGTTCGACATTGAAATTGAAAAGGACTTGCCCAGAACATTACCAGGTCATCAAGAATTTCATAAAAAATCTTAAGCATTATAAAATGTTCTCAAGGCTATCGCTATCTATAATAATGATTATGTAACAGGCATGAATCAAGTCGCTGGGTTCCTATTATTACTTAGTGGAATGGAAGAGGAAGATACCTTTTGGATGTTAAATTATTTGAACATCAATCCGTAATTCAAATTTCTCTAATTATACCAAACGAATGATTCATAGAGTATAAAGTAATTTAGTTATTAGATAAAGGGAATCAATTTGAATTTGTTACAAAATTATTAAGCATATTCCATAAGCATTTCAAAAGTCAAATGCCATAACTGCATCAACATTTTGAAACACAAGATATCAACCAATATTGGTACATTTGGAAATGGATATTTTCGCTGTTTTTATATACATTCCCTTTTGAAGTGGTGCTCTACTTCTTCGATTTCATGATTGCTAATAATATTTTGGCAATTATTTCACTATCTCTTGCTTTACTAAAACACTTCCAATCTCATCTACTTAAATTAAATCATGCCGAAATTGCTTAATTTATTACTCAATTTCAAGAATGCTCAGATGTCTTTGATAGGTCAAGTCATTCAGATCACCTGTGCGTTGAATAAATCATAAGTTACGCTACCCAATTTCACGATTAATTGGGATTTTAGAGATTAGAAGAAACATTGCAATGAAATTTATAACATATTTCCTTAGTTACTTAATTAGTATAATAATCATAATTATGTTTCTCCCAATGACGGTTAAACATAAGAATTCCAATCTTTTGGTTTCAAATCAATGTTCTGTTCACTAAGATCCAACCACTTGATCCTTTTGCCATTATCCCACATTCCCAACTAACTCTTTCCATTAGGTAGTATGTATCTACCTTTCCCTTATTATTTGCCGTTAGACCAATATCCTTCGTATTTCTAATAAGACTCAACTAATAATCATACCCTTCCATCCGGCCATGTGTAAATGCCATAACCATGTTTCTTATCATTAACATACTGGCCTTCATATTGTCTTCCATCTTTCCAATAGTAGATCCCACGTCCACTCATCTGATTATTTGACCATTATCCTTCGTATCTCTAAATTAAATAAGTTTCAATACCCTCCCATCAGGCCAAGTATACACTCCAAATCCAGACAACTTATTCTCACTCCAATTTCCAATATACACTGATCCATCACTCCAGTAATACTTCCCTTATCCTTCTTTCTTGCCATACTAATATCTCCCCTCGAATCTTGCTTAATCAGCCCACGTTTCAATTCCAACTCCATGTTATAAATCATCCATCCAATCTCCTTCATACTTTGCTCCATTCGTATGAATATAAACACCTTTCCCACATGCTTTATCATCCTTCCAATCTCCTTCAAAGTAATCCCCATCTATATGCCAGAATTTCCCCTTCCCATTGGCTCTATTGTTTTTCCACTCCCCTTCATACTTTGCTCCATCACTCCAAATTTGAACTCCATACCCATCTCTGCTCTATCCAACCCATTCTCCTTCATAGTATGCTCCGCTCTATTAAAATAATATTTTCAACACTTTTCTACCTTAAATTGATGACGAGCCCTCTTCTCTCTAACCGTATTCTCAGACTTGGGAACCTAAACATCATTAAGATCCTCTTAATTCCTTAGCATCATCTCGTTTTTTCTCTTCTTGCTATCTGCATTTGACTCTTTTTATCGTTTTCATAAATACCATTAGTCATGATCACTTGAACTTATGGAGTTTCAACTGGTTGGGCCCTGGTTTGTTCAGCATAGACAATAGCCTCATTTTTTTTAGGAGGATCCAAGTTCAAATATTGTTGTACTATCGGACTTTAGCCATCCTAGTTCTTTTCCTCAAGGTCTTAAAAATTATAGTTAAAATCAATTTACGATCCTCATCTTCCTCCTCATTTGGTTGTTGCGAGTATTGATTCATTTGAGGGTTCGATTGTTGTTATACCTCGCTTATTAGGACTTCTTCCTTTTTCTAACAATTTTAACAGGTTGCACAATTACTTCCCATGCTTTTCTAAATTAATATTAATCAATTAATATGAATTCGAATTCAAAATCTTTATCTAACTCGATAAAGAAGGATCTCTACCAACAAGCATGCAAATTGAAGGAGAACTCTATTGACAGCGAAGCTGAATCCTAGCTCAATGAACTGATAGACTCACTTAAAACATCTGAGATTATTCAATAGGTTGAAGCCCAAAGAGAATGGTTACACAAAATATTCTAAGCTTGGAGACTACAAACTGCAAAGACTTATAATGTATATCAAGTGGCGAGTTTTATAGAAATAAAAAAAAAGAAATGGTTGAAAATGCTCTTTAAGCTATGGCATGAATATATCGAATCAATTCAAATTAGACAAGTCTTGCTTTTCAGATTCTAAACCAAAAGAGAAAAAATACTCAAAGGCACATTAATCAAAGCCTGGGCTTAAGTTGTTTCAAATTTACAACAGAAATAAATATATAAATACGATGCTCAATAATTATACATAAAGAACACAAAGAACAAGTACTTTTAAGGCTGGCGTCGATTCATCTAAAGAACATAAAATGATTTAATTGCTTAACAAGATTTGGTTCATCAATAATAAATGAAATTATACTCAAAGTACTTTGGCATTATGAAATGCAAGTTACATTAAACAGAAAAATACTTAGAATAATACGCAATAAACAAATAAAAATAAAGGGTCTTAAAGGTTTTTTAATTTTGGTTCTAATATGCTTAATATCAGATCAATTAAAGAATATAAATTAAAGAGTTTATCAAAAAGCGGAATCTATAACTCTTGTTTGAAATTATTTCTTATTTAAGAAATTAAACTGAAAAGCATATGATTTATAGGAGACAAAAACAATTGGCTTATTTGGGGAGGTGGAAAATGCTCATGCAAAAGTCTTTTAATATTTTACTAAAATATAAAGGATCGCAATAAAGCAAACGATATTTAAAAAAGATTAGAGAAGATAATCTATTGAAGTAAGCGATATATACTCTAAAAGATACTAAAAATTTGGTTTAGAAATATAAAGATATCGAAAAGTGTCTTACTTAAAAGAAAATGAAATAACTATTCTATTATTTATAAAATTATACATAAAAGCAAAAATATAAAAGATACTCATTAGAATTTGCATTATTATTCAGAAGTAAATCATTATAGAAATAGTTGTTTTCACTAATTAAATTATATCATAATTATCGAATAAAAAAAAGAGATATGAATGAGAAAATGATGCAAGTACATTTAGTCAAATTATGTAAGAGGATATTACAGAAATGGAAGGAACACAATCAAAAATCTCATCAAAAAAAGCTTATTAAATAATAAATCGAATTCAGTAATTAATATAGAATAAAATAACAAATATTCAGAAAAATGTCAAAAAAAAAATGATGATTCAATATTTTTTATATTATAATTTTTTAAGTTTTCTCTAGAATGCTTATTGCGCTTATGAGAGTTCAAGATCTTTAATTATTTAGTTATTAAATCCAACCTAAGTCAATTATGTTATTTTCTTTTTGCTATCTGCTACAGGACTTACTCTCTCTTCTAAAAATTTAAAATATATTTTGCTATCACTGGTCTTGATATCCATAATATTGATTGGAGGTGATAGTTCTTTTGTTTTAAGTTCTGGCAATCTGAGACGATTATTGAATCCTTTTTTGTTTTGTTTTTCTATACTAATATTTCTAACTAGTTTTCTTCTGTATTAATTCCATCTCTTCTTCTCCTCATGTAAATATTGAATATCGAAATCATCAGGATATCGTTTTAATTATTATTTATAAATTTAAATGACTTCCATAGTCAAAATCTTCTTAATGTTAAATGCACTTATTGTTATTATTTCACTTGGAATGGATGTTATATAAGAAACATCAGATTCAATCTCGTTTAATATTGCATAATCTCCAAATACATCGTAATCACCTAATTCATCAATATCATAAAAGACATCCTTTTATTATTAAGTAATTTCATCTCTAGAAGTTATGCTGCCACATTAGAACTTTGTCTTTCTTATTACTTAGACACATCCTTATTTAATAATATACATGCTGTGTGGTTCAGTGCCTTACTTTATTAATATCGTTTAAGAAGGAAAATGTTCTATGGTACATTTAGTGGAGATTTACACTAGCATGGATTTCTAAACCATAGAAAAGATCGGCACTCTTTCTAAGAATGACAATAATTTATTTAAATTGGCTGTCTGCATCTCCTATTTATTATCCTTATTTAGATATTCATCAAATGTCTCTTTCGTCAAGACAATTAAATCACTCTTTTCTGCTGCCATAACTGCAGCTGTTCTTTTGGAATTATAGAGTAATGATATTTCACCAAAAGCATCTCCTTTACGCAAAATAGCGATTTCTTTCTATCTAAATATTGAAACCTTACTAATTGCATAAAATTTCTAAATTCTGTAGGCTCTTCTATGAAAACCTTTACACTCCCACTTAGAATCACATAAAATGCATCACCTGTTTCACCTTATTAAAATATATATTCTCTTTTATTATATGTCTTAAGAAATAAGTGTTTACACAAGTCTAAGAAATTTGGCTTATCTTTGTATTACTTCAAAAACTAGATTTCCTTTTCAAATCATAAATCATAAGTTACTCCTGCAATTTAAGCAATATCTTAACATATTATTTAGTTTCTTCTTTCTAAAGGTACTTACAGAAGTAATCTCATCTTTTCTATTTGATAAACAAATGTCTTGATATTGTTTTGATCTTCCGCAGTAAAATCTTGGACTTTAAAAATATTGATAATTTTTACATTCGTCTTAGCCTTAAAGCATGTTAATATTAAAATTAACTATTAAATTAAGCAGTTATTTTTTGATAAATAACTGAAAAAATATAAACACTTAAACCTTGAGAAATATAGATAATAATAGAAGAACTGATGGATATGAACTATTAAATAATATATTCATAATTATAATAAATACAGAATTTAAAGATTTACTAAATTTTAGGAGATAGCGTTTATGTTTCTAAGACTCTTATTTGAAATCAAATAATATATTATAATGATTAAACATGTTGTTATAGCTTTCCTAAAAAATTATTAGAACAGACTTTTGAAAATCCATAAGAGACAAAGTTAAAGAATAAATTAACAGAAGAATTATATTTTAGACCCTGTTACATAAGAGATATTTTAATCAACTACACAATATTTATTATTTAAATTAAATATCCAATCTGCCTTAATAGTATTTATTAAAGGTAGGATTCTCAATCTATCCTAAAGCAGTTCAATCCGATCTACATTTGAATTCCGCTCTGATATTTGAATCAATTATCTTAATAATATTAGGTGCGTTTAAAAAATGTCCTCTTTTGTATTTTGGTTTAATAAACTTAAATATTTATTAAATAAAATGATTCATATTTTAAACTTTATAGTAAGTTTGGCATTCACTTGGATTACGTATTTTATTTACAACGCAAGAATAATGAAGTATGAAAGATTTACTGAGTATGTTTTCAGTTTTATCAGAAGATTTCTATTTTATTCTGCTTTCGTATTTATTTTCCCCTTGCTTTTTTTCGATGTTATCGAATTACAACATCATTAATACTTAGAGGATGATAATTATTCAAAACTTATAAAGCAAATCGATCAATTACCCAACTATTAAAGAGAATCAATCTCAGCATATCTAAATAATGAATTCTCACTACAATATAAAATTATATTCTTGATTCCATTATTATTCGTTGCCAAAGAGCTTTAAGAAATATACTATAAAGATCTTGAAGAATCATAAATAGCTTAAATTGGTCTTAGCAGTAATGCACCCCCTCCTCCTTTGGTTTTGTAACCTAAACTTATTTCTGAATATGTTCCTTAAAAAAATGAAGAAATTTTGCAGATTGAAAGTTTTTACAGAAATCAAAACTAATTTGAATAAATTAAATTGAACGATGAGGTTAAGAATAGTAATAGTAAATCCAACTAAACAGATTTAATAAATNGGTACTTACAGAAGTAATCTCATCTTTTCTATTTGATAAACAAATGTCTTGATATTGTTTTGATCTTCCGCAGTAAAATCTTGGACTTTAAAAATATTGATAATTTTTACATTCGTCTTAGCCTTAAAGCATGTTAATATTAAAATTAACTATTAAATTAAGCAGTTATTTTTTGATAAATAACTGAAAAAATATAAACACTTAAACCTTGAGAAATATAGATAATAATAGAAGAACTGATGGATATGAACTATTAAATAATATATTCATAATTATAATAAATACAGAATTTAAAGATTTACTAAATTTTAGGAGATAGCGTTTATGTTTCTAAGACTCTTATTTGAAATCAAATAATATATTATAATGATTAAACATGTTGTTATAGCTTTCCTAAAAAATTATTAGAACAGACTTTTGAAAATCCATAAGAGACAAAGTTAAAGAATAAATTAACAGAAGAATTATATTTTAGACCCTGTTACATAAGAGATATTTTAATCAACTACACAATATTTATTATTTAAATTAAATATCCAATCTGCCTTAATAGTATTTATTAAAGGTAGGATTCTCAATCTATCCTAAAGCAGTTCAATCCGATCTACATTTGAATTCCGCTCTGATATTTGAATCAATTATCTTAATAATATTAGGTGCGTTTAAAAAATGTCCTCTTTTGTATTTTGGTTTAATAAACTTAAATATTTATTAAATAAAATGATTCATATTTTAAACTTTATAGTAAGTTTGGCATTCACTTGGATTACGTATTTTATTTACAACGCAAGAATAATGAAGTATGAAAGATTTACTGAGTATGTTTTCAGTTTTATCAGAAGATTTCTATTTTATTCTGCTTTCGTATTTATTTTCCCCTTGCTTTTTTTCGATGTTATCGAATTACAACATCATTAATACTTAGAGGATGATAATTATTCAAAACTTATAAAGCAAATCGATCAATTACCCAACTATTAAAGAGAATCAATCTCAGCATATCTAAATAATGAATTCTCACTACAATATAAAATTATATTCTTGATTCCATTATTATTCGTTGCCAAAGAGCTTTAAGAAATATACTATAAAGATCTTGAAGAATCATAAATAGCTTAAATTGGTCTTAGCAGTAATGCACCCCCTCCTCCTTTGGTTTTGTAACCTAAACTTATTTCTGAATATGTTCCTTAAAAAAATGAAGAAATTTTGCAGATTGAAAGTTTTTACAGAAATCAAAACTAATTTGAATAAATTAAATTGAACGATGAGGTTAAGAATAGTAATAGTAAATCCAACTAAACAGATTTAATAAATAAATTATAGTTTGTAATTCATTAAATTATATTAGACAATTGATGGTAAATAAAATAAAATTTGCCTATCTGAATATAGCAACAAATAATTAGCAAAGGCTAGGCATTTAGGAAGAGTTCCTGAGTAAGATAGCGAGCCTCGTTCGTTTAACCCTGCAAGAACTCAAACTGTTAAAGACTTGTATTTCACATAAGATACAGAAAATACACAAATTAAAATTGATAATCTAATTAACACAAAAATAAATTTGATCTTAATCGAAATTTCAATTTAAAAACTAAGTTTTGGTTACCTTGTTGGTGTTTAAGAGAGTTTTAAAATTGCAATTCTCATTATTGCCTTATCATCATTATTGGAAATTATTTTATTTAGTGATTGGATGTTATTTAGTAATCTTATTTATATATTAAAGTCAGTAGGCCATTGATGGGCACTTATTTGATGCTATTTTATATACTATTTTTGATTTCTATGTTTATTGGAATCTATGCATAGGAAATACTAATAAAAGTTTGCTATTGTTTGCTCATTATGTATTGCCTAAAATCGGTTAAAAATTTGATTGAATCTTAAACAATGAAGTCAGTGTTGGTTAAATCAGGAATTTCTCTATTTATTTTGTTAACAATTGAATTATTGTTTTATTTGAAATGACTTAACTGATCATAATTTAATTGTATTTCTATAAATTTTTGCATTGATAAATAATTATATAATTTTTAATCAAAGGCTGATGTAGTATTCATTTCATATTTTACTCTCAAATTTTCTATGCTGTTTAATTGGAATATTGAATTTAAATTAATTGCAAACTTAAACTCATAATTTAGTCTTTTGCTGCAAGGAAGTATTATAAAAATAATTAGATAATATAGAAACATTTAATCAATCTTCTTCTTTGACTTTAATTGTTCTTTTTTTTCTGCGTAAATACTTTTCGGGATTTAAATGAAACTATTTAAAGCATTTTATTGTACACAGTGCTACGTTTATGTTATAATAACTCGAACAGGCTTCACATACAAAGCTTGATTTTTTAACTACCTTGCTGTTCTTTTGACAAACTTTGCATCTAAATTAAATAATTGAAATACTTTTAACTATGATTTCCTTTTTTTGGAAAATGGCAATTTTAAATATCTTAAAATATAGATAATTCAGTTTGGGCGAATTGCAAGTATTCATTAATATTTAACTTTTGTTAAATTATTGCATTCTAAGAAAGATTCTATTTATATAATTTGAGTTTTATTATCATTTTACCAGTATCTAACTATGTATAAGGAGGCAGGTTCATTAGAATTTGTGCTAAGTACTCAATTTAATTTGGTGGCTCTTTTGGAATGATAGCCCTAATTAAATTCAGAAAGTTAAATTTCACAACCTGCATCTCACATTATTCTAATTTAGAAAGAAACATTTTATGAATCTCGTTGATTTTATTTATTTGTTTTATCGTGAACTCTTCATAGGCCTTCTTCTCTGAGATCAGATATTGCTATATTTTCAGTAATGCCAGCAATTTGCCATTGTTTTTTGGGATTTAAATTTGTAGGGTATTCGGAATTTAAGGCATACTTTGATATTCCATCATTAATATAATTTAGCTTTACGGAGGAAAATCAAGCAACTTATAAGCCTCTTCTTCAATTTTATCAAACTTTTTTAGAGAAGCATAATTTATATAATGAATACAAGCTTCGTTTTAATTTTAGATGAGAATGTCCTCCAAAAATTTTTAAACATTTTTGAAATATTACTTAACATTCTTAATGTCCTCGTCTAATTAATAGTGTTGTTGTTTAATAATAATTAATGAATTGGAATTATACGCATAGAGAAATATAGTTCGAGAATCAGAAATATATCTTTCAAAAACTATAATAGTAGAGTATTTGTTGCTCATTTAGGTGTAATTCTATGATAATTATACTTCTGAATTTGATATTAATATCTTATATAAAAAAGACATAGTTCCCTCCATTTTATTTGCAATAATTGAATTCAATTAATATTTAATATTTATGATTTAAAAGCATTTTCAATCCCTCAGCCTCCTTCTTGAAATACTAAATAAACAGTGTTTCCTTTAATATTAAAATATCATTAATCGAATAGCATTTTAATGCCATACTTTGTAATGTTTTAAATATTTCCACCAATATATGTCTCCTTTAATAATTTATACCATCCTAACTATACGTCAGATTAAATCTATATGATCATAATCATTAAAATGCAGTAAAAACTGATTTCAATTCAATTAATTCGTATATTCCTATTTTATCAACATATCATTTGATCAATTAACTAAAAGTAAGGGATCATTTTCTTTTTTATCAATCTAATCAATTATTAATGTTAACTAATCATTTATGATTACGTATGATTAGTTAATTAATTCTCAAAGTTGTCAAGCCAAAAACAACCCCAAACTAATTTTTTCATTTATAAACCAAAAATGCTTCTATTATTTTCTTCTAAGTATTTAATACATATTTTTATTTTTATATTCATATATTTATATAACCAGGATACATAATAACTTTCTTTTAATTACCAAAAATTTTAATTTATTCCAGTGGAAATAATACCAGAATAAAAGCCGTATATTTTAATGTTAATAGCCTTCAACCCTTATGCTATTTATAATTTAATTATTCTATTATTTATATTATTTAGAATGATATTTATTTAAGAAAACCAAATATATTACCTATTTTTACTCCTTCTTCAAAACCATCCTAAACACACATAATATGATCGAAATAATGTTGCTATTGGAGCAGTTTCGTTTAAATAGAACCAAAATATTGTAACTATTTTTTTTTGTAAAAATTCTATTTATTTGTACTTAATACATTACTTAATTAATGTAATATACATAAAAATGTTCTAATATTTAGAAGGAATAATAATAATAAAAAAAAAAGAAAAAGGAAAACAGGAAAAGAGAATAAACTAAATTAACTCAAAATGCCTAACTATCTATTTAAATATCATTTATTGGAACTTCTAAGGTCGAAATTATTGCAAATAATTAATCTTTATGAATTGAATAAGAATAGTTCTGAAGAGCCAATCGTAGCCAATTGATTCAGAAAAAGTTATATATCTCAATAAAACAATTAAATGAGTAATTCGATTAAAAGAAATACTAATTAAAAATTAAATAAGAAACAAATCTTAATATTGAATAATGAAGCAATTGTAATCCACAACTATGCATGATTATTGTATTGATATTATGAGAACGCCTTCTCTCTCTAATATAAATCAAATAAATATATATATTTGTTTGATTATAATTGTAATAAAAATTACTAATTAAAAAGATCATGTTATAAGATTAGAACCTTATTAATATCTTGTTATTATGATTCAGTTTAATAAGATCAAATTAATGAAGTTTATACACTGTTTAAAATAATTCTCTTTATTTTAGAAATAACATCATTCCATAATTATTTAAAAATTATTGACAATTTCATTCAATTAACCTGTAATTATTTGAATTAGAAAAATATAAAAATTGAATGTTAATTTTATCACAAAATCAATATAAAATCTTAATAAAACGTGTTTATTAATTATTAAATGTATTATATAATTGCCTTATTTGTAATAGTCTTTGCTGTTGTATTTTGGATAGTCGCAAAAAATAAATCAAGAGACTAAACAACCAATGCTGATAATTCGGTAATATTTATTGTGGGAGATAAAAATGCAGGAAAAACATCCCTATTGTATTGCATATTCATCAGATATATATGAATAGCTATCAAATTAAAATTCATCAATACAAACTACTAATTCAATTGAACCAAATTAAACAGAATTAATCAAACCAAATAATTAAAGTGTAATTGTAGTAGATGTACCAGGAAATAATTATCAAAAAGAATAGTTTTTAAATAAAATATAAGAAGCAAAGAAAATAATATTAGTTACAGATTCACCAGAAACTGCATAAATAGGGGCAACAGCAGCTATCTTATATAATATTTTAATTTCTATTCCATTTAGAAATCAAGAATCCCAATTTTGATAGTTTTGAATAAATAGGATAAAGAAAAAGCTTATAAGGCTCCTGATTTCGAGATGTTTTTATCAAGGGAAATGTAATTTTGCATTAATATCAATAGAGAAAAAATAAAGAAATCAAGAAAAGAAGTCTAGGAATAAAGAGAGAATACAAACGATAGAATAAGAGTAATATATATATCAAAATTTCAAACTAGTTTTAAGAGAATTAATTTGATGTCAATGATTATCCAACAATTAAAACAGTGGAACAAAGTGTTAAAGATTGTAATATTTAAGAAGTTTAAAAGTTTATTTTTAATTGATGATTATTTTATTGGTTAAATGAATATATTTATAAACAAAGTACAAATAAATTATAAGTAAAATTTTATAATTAGAATGAGCATTCCACATAAAGAATTGATATGCAAGTTTTTTGACTTCTATTGTTAATATCATATCTAAGGATAGTATGTAAAGTTTTAAAGGCAATGGTACAGAAGCTTATATATTTACATTTGGAAAAGGGATCCATATTGTTAAGGATTTTCAAATTAAAGCAAAAATTAGAAGACATTGGTAGAATAAGGAATGTCTAAAAATTAAAAGGAATTCAATTATGAAAGATTTATTCGGTTCTTAGATGCACTTATAAATAGAGGAAGATTTAGACTAAGAATAACTTATAGTTTTAGGTTTTGATATTCGAAACTTTTACAGAAAAATTAAAACATTATGGAACCCTTTTAAACTAAAGATAGCAGAATAAATAAAAGAAATTAAGTATGAATCGAAGTTTGTTCGCCAATTTAAGGATAATGATTATATTAAATAAATGATGTTGTAGAGAAAAATTAAAGTGAAAAAATTATAATATGTAAAAGAGAAATAAAAGCTCCTTTAATTGTAATTTTAGTTTAAGCGTTAAATCTTCTAAATCTAAAACCAATTTTCACTTAAATAGATCAAGTATTAAGTCATCTAATAAGATAAAATGAAAATAACCAGTTAAAATACTTTGTCAGAAATAAAATTAGAATATCAAATAAATGCCAGAAGAAGAATTTAATAGTCTAAATAGTTAAACTCCATAATTAATTTAGAAATTTGATAGAAAAGGAAATAGTATTTATTTAAATCTCTTTAATCTAAAATGAATTTAAGGTGCGACTAGGTGGGAAAATAAATTTTTTGATTCATAATAATGATGATAGTAATGAAATTTCCAGATTCCTAATTTGATTTGAATTAGTATAGAAGTGGTTCTACAATAACTTCAAAAAAAAATAACCCATTTTAATATCTTGAATGAAAATTAACATTAATAGGAAGGCTTTAAATTTAGATTCATTAAACTAAATACCCAATATTAAAGATAATATTGAGAACCAAAGTCAAGATAAAGCTGGCTAGTTAAAATTGAGTTTTCTTTTTAAAAGATAACTATAAGCCAGCAAATACTGAAAAATAATGTTTTAAGACTCTTAAGGAAAATACGCAATTAATAAGAAAATCTTTTTACTCAATGATATCTTACTAAAGTGAAAATTAGAAAAATCATAAAAGTGATAATTTAAATTCTATTTTGGTTTATTTGTTTATTTTATGATAATAATTAAGATATCATTTGAGAATGATATTCATTTTCTGATTTTAGAATTCATAATCTGAAAACACAGCTATAATTTTTAGTGCATCGGCATTAGAATACATAGTCAAATGAATATTATTTACTCCTAATTTAATTTCTAAAAAATTAAAGAATATAGAGACCTTTAGCTTTTGCAAACATTTATATTTGCTCAGAGATTTCAGTAGGATCTTAAACGCATGTTATCAAGAGATTTGAGGAGAGTGGACTAGTGTTGAATTATTGATTGTCATGATAATAGATCATATACTCGTCCTAAAAAGAAGTTGGTTATAGTGATTAGAGAGGTTCATAATAAATTCTTATCTAAATTATTAGAAGATTATAAACTTACTTATGAATCAAAGAATTAAATATTATTGAGATATTCTTTTGCAATAATTGCCTAATTTACTGATTAATATTTAATAAAGGCTCTGGACAATGATTTTTCATATAAGATTTCTTCTAAATTGCCAAACTTAGAAAAGACATTATAAATCATTTTTCCAGTGATTTTAGAATCAAAGTTTAAGATTCTTAATAATCTTGATTACCTCTGTTGAAGTAATTTTTATATGTCTGGATGAAATTCTGAGATATTCTAAGGGATTGCCTATTTCCAGATCGTTAAATCATCTTCATCATCTGATTCTAATAGACGATTGATTTATTCGTTTCTAATAGGACTAGAATTAGCTCTTGGTGATTAAGTTTGACTAATATGATTAGTTAAATCAAGCTAATTATTTTCGTCAGTTCTTGAGTTTAGTATAGAATCCGAATTCTAACTATTACTACTAGCTTATGTATAATCTGTTCCTCTTGAGTTATCCACTATTTCGAGATTAAGATTTTTAAGCCGAGAAAAATGAATTATCATTCTAAAACTATAAAAAGTGAGTAATTACTTTCCTCCTTAAATATTGCACCCATTCAATTATCTTCTAGCTTAAATAGCACTTTTCAGTTCATGAAATTCAACAAAGGCTTTGGTTGTTTTTCCTCTTTCAAAAATAAGAATCTTATTAATATCTCCATACTAATTGAATTTTTGATGTATGAAAGAATTGTTCAAAGGAAAAGAGGAAGGCAATGAATTAAGAATTAGAAGAAGAATTTGATTAGGAGGATCTCTTGAATTATTATACATAAAAATTAATTAAATAAAATTACATGGTCATTTAAGAATAAATCAAGCAATTTTTGAGTTCAAGTATTGGTGTTTTAATGAGACATATTTAATTTTTATTAAAATATTGCTCACAATTTTAAGGGGTTACTAATTCTATTAGAACTCCTTAATGAATTATTATATAAATCTAAGAGCAATTTTAGAATATTTGGAAATAATCATTATAATTTATATCTGACATTTGATGAGTTTTTACTATAAAGAAGAATACATTTAAATGATATATGATGATAATGCTCCAATCAATACTAAAGAAAAAACGAAGACAAGCAAGAATTAATAAGGGAAGGTGGAAATATAAGAACAAAAAGGAAACTATTCAATACCATATAGAGTTACTTGGATTGACAATTTGCATAGAAAAATTATTGTAACTGTTCGCGTAACCTCTGATATCACTGTTAGAGAATTTTTATAAATGGTTATAGGAGAATTCAATTAAACTTTCAAGAGAGCAGAAATGGAATTATTTTTCTTTATAAATGATTTCAATATTTACGAGCTTTACGAATTGGATGAAGATGAAAGACCAGATGAAGAACTTCCGCGTACATTACAATCTAATTTTCTTAGCTTATGATGAACATTAAAAATTACATCAATTAGCGACAAAATGCTTTGCCTTGAAACAGACTTAAATAATGTTGAATTCTTTAATGGTATCATCTTTAAGTGACCCATTATCTTGTAAATCGCCAATATCGCCAAGAAGTGAGGAAGAAAAAATAAATCCATAATACAACAATATATAGAATACAGAAAATATTGATGAGAAAATAGATTGTTAAGAAAAGGATCCCTTAAAAAAGTCCAAAGAAATAGATCAAAAACCTTGGTGGTGTTTATGTTGTTATGAAGAATGAGATCCTACTAATGTGAGAATTGTTTATAATACTACTTCAACGATTTTAGATAAATTTCTTTTTGGTAGAGTTGTACGTGCTATGAACGCTCTTAAATTTATTTTGTTGATCATTTAATTGGCTCAAAAGCTAATTACTTCTATTAAGAACAGTAATCTCCTTTTCGAAAATATCTTAAATAAGTAATTTTGATTCTGAATAATCACCAATTTAGGTTTCTATTAGAAATAAATAAATTATAAACTTGCTCTTTGATTTGATTTATATGACTTTTGTTTTTTCTTAATTTCACTATTGGCTTTATCATCTTATGATTACATTCTTCTTGAGTTTATTTATAAAATGCCCTAGCTTTCATCATCCATCATTTTAAATCTGAAAACATTTTTTTAAGTACTAAATAGATTTTAAAACCTTACGAATATATGCTTTTATCGTCAAAACTTGTATTCAAAGTTCCAAGTTTAGCATGTTTCATCCTTTCCTTTCTTTAAATTTAAAAGTTCATGCTATAGGCATCTTTAGTTTAAAATCCAAACTTTGGGTTATCTTTTGATATTTTTGATTTTTATAATCTTTATTTGATTCTCTCTTATGCTTCTTAAGATAAAAATCCATGTGTGATCATTTATGAAGTGCTTTCATCTTTTGATTTAAAGATATTATTCAACTTTTTATAATTTTCAAGTTCTAATTGAAGGTATTTGACTACCTCGTTAGTTTTAATCAATTCAGATTTATAATTATCCAAAATAAATTCCTTTTTCTAAATTTATTCAAGCATTTATTAATTATCTGATTTTGTTTTTTCTATTGTAGCCTTCTCTTCCAAATATTTGATTTTTTCTTATTAAATTTTCTGTTCATCTAAAGTGTGTTGATTTTATAGGTTTTATAATTCCAATTGAAACTATTCTCTTTAACTTTGATTAATCTATAATAATCTAGATTGTTCTTATTCAGCTATCAATTTATTCTCTTGTATTTTATTTTCGATATCCTTAAGAGCTTAATCCTTTTTATTTAGAATATCTTCATATTTCTAATGAATATTTTCTTAATTTATTTCAAAAAGGTTAATTGTTTCTTCTAATTCTTTAATTTTCTCATTGTTTTAATCTATGATTTCTTTCAATTTTTTAATTGTTAAGTTCCTAGAATCCAATTCTTCACTATGTAATAAATTTATTTCATTTTCAAATTGCTTTAATTGGGAATCAAAATTAATTTTCTAAGATTTTAATTAATTTTATAAATCCTAAATGTCTTAATTCTTTTATTCTAACTTCAAATCACACATAGATTAGGTGCTTTAAATTTTATTTTATAATTATGAGACAAGTAATTCTAATTTAAAATTGAAATAATCACTATCATTTAATTCGCTCTCATATTAAGTTTCAGCATGATTAAATTAATATTGTTAGACAAATTATTATCTAGTTTTTCGAATAGATGAGATCCTACCTCTTGATGATGGAGTTTAATTAGAAATTTATTCTTCTGTTTGTGTAGCCACTTAAACAAATTTCAAATTTTATTCAGCACGTTAAGATAATGTTGCTGATGAAAAATGCTCATATTATATTTCTTGGATTGAACCCAACTTTTTTATTTAAATAGTCTAATTAAGTTCTTCAGGATTTGAATTTCTCTATAAACTGAATTAATCATTTGAAATTCTTGTATTTTTCTCTAAATTTATTATTTGATCCTATTTTTATTCTAATTAATAATTATTTTCGAGTTTTTAGGAATCAGTCATTTTAGAATTATCTTTAGACGACTTTTTAACAGCAATTGCTGCTTTTTACCAAAGCTAATGTGATTAAGGTCTTGTTTCTAAAACTGGAGTTTGAGATTTAGATTATTGTTTTTATGGAGATTGCGAATAAATTTATGTACCTGTCACACTCTTTTTCTTTGGATTTGTAGATTACTTGAGTACGCTTATAGCAGATCTAATATCTAAAAATTGAAACATACTTTTATTGATTAATTTCGTTTTATGCTTAAATGCTTAATTCTTCTTGAATTATCAATTTTTCTTCAAGAATTGAAATCACGCTTTTTAAATCTTTATTTTGAAGTTCTAATTTATACTTTTGATCAATCAGTACTTCTTATTGTAGTAGCCATAACTTTTGTTTATCCAGAAATTATGTATTTAAATATTTTAAATCAGATATTTCTTATTTTAACACTTTGATTTGATTTTCAAATTTAACTTTCTGGGATGCCAATTTGTATTCATATTCATCTATAGCATCCTATTTCACTTATTTCAATTTCCCACTAAATTATTCTAATTATTTTAAATAAACTCTTCTTTCTTAATCATACTTATCAGCCTCTTCTTGTTTTGCTATTTTCAGATAGTTCAATTAATGTGTCAATGTTTTGATCTCCTCTTCCAATTAGAATCTGTATTTGATTCTCAATTTACCCTCTACTTCTGATTATCTTACTAATGCAGATTGAAGATCTTCATTTTTCATTAACTTCATATGTGATGCAAATTTACAAGTATATCGATTTAAGCTTTAAGTTTCTCAATAATTTGTTTATGAGTTTATTGAGATATTGTATTTTAGTCAATAAGGAGTTATTTTTCATTTAGGAACCGTTCAGTTTCCCTTTGTAAATCTGATCTAACTTCCTTGAGACATTTTTCATTAGATTGCTAAACTTCTATTTAAGTAACAATTTGTGATCGAAGCCTTTTAATTTCATCTAAATATTTATTGCTTGTACCTCCAATTAAATCGCAAATCTATTATAAATCCCCCACTGCCTTAACAAGAATAAGATCCTCTCCATTAGGTCCAACGTCTGATAAATATTTACAAAGGTGCATTTTCCTTTCCTCTATATAAACATTAAGTTCAATGAGGTTTTGTTTTAATTGAGTATTCTCAGCAAATAATGGCTTTGATATAATTAATTGAGTTACTTTTAATTAGGCGTAGAATTAATGAGCATTTATTTCAAGAATTTTGAGGCGATGATTTTAATCTTCATTGTCGTCACGGATTCTTGAGGTTGTTGAATTAATCATATAATAATAATAATAATATANTGCTTTTTACCAAAGCTAATGTGATTAAGGTCTTGTTTCTAAAACTGGAGTTTGAGATTTAGATTATTGTTTTTATGGAGATTGCGAATAAATTTATGTACCTGTCACACTCTTTTTCTTTGGATTTGTAGATTACTTGAGTACGCTTATAGCAGATCTAATATCTAAAAATTGAAACATACTTTTATTGATTAATTTCGTTTTATGCTTAAATGCTTAATTCTTCTTGAATTATCAATTTTTCTTCAAGAATTGAAATCACGCTTTTTAAATCTTTATTTTGAAGTTCTAATTTATACTTTTGATCAATCAGTACTTCTTATTGTAGTAGCCATAACTTTTGTTTATCCAGAAATTATGTATTTAAATATTTTAAATCAGATATTTCTTATTTTAACACTTTGATTTGATTTTCAAATTTAACTTTCTGGGATGCCAATTTGTATTCATATTCATCTATAGCATCCTATTTCACTTATTTCAATTTCCCACTAAATTATTCTAATTATTTTAAATAAACTCTTCTTTCTTAATCATACTTATCAGCCTCTTCTTGTTTTGCTATTTTCAGATAGTTCAATTAATGTGTCAATGTTTTGATCTCCTCTTCCAATTAGAATCTGTATTTGATTCTCAATTTACCCTCTACTTCTGATTATCTTACTAATGCAGATTGAAGATCTTCATTTTTCATTAACTTCATATGTGATGCAAATTTACAAGTATATCGATTTAAGCTTTAAGTTTCTCAATAATTTGTTTATGAGTTTATTGAGATATTGTATTTTAGTCAATAAGGAGTTATTTTTCATTTAGGAACCGTTCAGTTTCCCTTTGTAAATCTGATCTAACTTCCTTGAGACATTTTTCATTAGATTGCTAAACTTCTATTTAAGTAACAATTTGTGATCGAAGCCTTTTAATTTCATCTAAATATTTATTGCTTGTACCTCCAATTAAATCGCAAATCTATTATAAATCCCCCACTGCCTTAACAAGAATAAGATCCTCTCCATTAGGTCCAACGTCTGATAAATATTTACAAAGGTGCATTTTCCTTTCCTCTATATAAACATTAAGTTCAATGAGGTTTTGTTTTAATTGAGTATTCTCAGCAAATAATGGCTTTGATATAATTAATTGAGTTACTTTTAATTAGGCGTAGAATTAATGAGCATTTATTTCAAGAATTTTGAGGCGATGATTTTAATCTTCATTGTCGTCACGGATTCTTGAGGTTGTTGAATTAATCATATAATAATAATAATAATAATAATAATAATAATAATAATAATAATAATAATAATAATAATAATAACAATAAAGACAACATATCTCCAAATAGAATAGTTTGAATTTGATTCATTAAAAAAACAATTTTATCCTTTAGATACGACCTTAAATTTCTTTGAAAATAACTAAGACAATAATTTTCTGACTATTAATATGGATTAGTGGTAAAAAAAATATTTTCTCTTAAATTTCTCAATTAAGACTCCAAAAATTTATTAAGAGCAAGATTAACTCATTTTGTGAAATAAACTCTTTATCATAGAAGCTTATTTTTGAACTTCCTTAAATCAATATATTTTTACAACACACATGATATGATTATTCGATATTTTTATTATATCTGTTCTATAATCAAAAGCTTTTTAAGAAATGAATATTTATAAACTGGATTGTTTTAAATGTCATACCTAAGCAGCTTGGATTCTTATTAATTTACTTCTTGAATAATCTTGAAAGCAATTTTCTGCCCTCTGACTAAATTACAAGAGTTTTTATCTTAGAAATAGTTAACCAGAATTTAAGAGTGTGCCTAGTTTAACAAAACTGATTAGTGGATTAGTTTATAGATAATATTCTGCATTATTTAAAAGTATATATGAGTTCTACTAATTTTCAGATAATGCAATTCCCAAAGCAAATAATATGATTGCAACAAGCAAACTTAAGGGTAGATATATCCAACTCCTGGATAAACAAAAAATGATGAAAGCATTATTTAATAAACAATAAATAGTAAACCAGTTTGGAAATGAATATCATTAATTATCACAATTTACTACATCTACCAATATCCTTTCCACGTATTATTTCTTTCTACATCCCAAATACTCAAACCTAAATTCGATTTCAACATGATAGCAGACAATAATTTTCTGAGAGAAGTTTGCAGTAGGACAATTGTTGGGAATTATAAGATTTATTTAGAAATTTTTTTAGATCCCAAATGGCACTTTTATTCTCTCTTCTGGACATGATAAAATCCTTCTGGATAATATTTTCCAATAATCTTGGCGCTCTAATATTCCTAAAACCAATTAAGCCTTTATGCTTTCAATATTAATTGTAGTGCGCCTGTTGTCTACTCCCAACCAAAAGGAAAGCGTTTCACCCGATCTAAAATTTTTATTTTCAAAGTCATACCAGAACTCAATATGCTATTTATTATTTTATATTTATAGTACTTATTCATCTCCTAAAAACCATTATCTTGTTACATACGAAAGCTATTTTATTATATTTTCTATCTTGTTTTGATAAGTTCTCTTAATGAATATTCGTTCCTCGCATAATTTCTTTTGCTTATCCTTTACATTATGATCTTAAAAATTTAGATAACTTCTTATAAAATATTTGATGTATATCTATTCATCTTAATTCCATGTATTCAATTCCATACTCTGTAATTAAGGACTCAAAATAGAAAAGTATTTCTCAAATTGCCCAATTTCATTTGGATAACTCAACATTATAGTATTTTCAAACACTTATTCCGAATATAGCATCTTCTTCTTGAGATATCTCTCGGCCACGCATATGAGTTAAACATAAGCCTTAATTTCAGAATCCTAGACAGAATAGGAAACACTTCCTTTTATTTCTTCGCCACAAAAATAGTTCTTTTTTTCTAATATCATTACAAGATCGCCTTTAATCTCTTTCTTTGATCCTTATGATCCCATTTTTTATAATATTCTTGATATATATTTAAATAATTTTTTAAGCAAATACCAAATGATCTCTAATTTTAAAATACCATCAATTAAACTAGAAAATTAAATGATGAAGACGAGAGCTTAAAAACTAAGATCTAGAAAAGAATTCCTCGTACATTTTATTATTCCAAGTAATCAGTATATGAAATATTTCTAAATGTTATAAAAAAATGTTATTTTTAATTAATACATATATGAGATATGATTGACTCCATTTGGTTATTTCAAGATCTCTTTCAGATTTCTTCAACAATAACACTATTCTAATTTCAGAAATAAAACATATTCTAACAATTAATAGTTGAAGATATATAAGCTGTTTTTTCCTAAAAAAGATCGTTTCAATCTTAAGGTTCTAATTTTATAATTCCGAATTTTAATTCTTGCTAGTATTTGATATCATAGTACCACCTTATACAATTTTTATGGATTCTGTGAAATAAAAAGTCTTAAATAACAGTTTACCCTGTTTCTTTTCGTTAATAATGATTACAAAACTGAATAGGTTACAAAAACTTCATGATAAAAAAATTGACGAATTAAAAACTAAAATAATTAAAATTAACAATTTTTTTTGCTCAATAGATAAACATATAGATATTTTATTTTCATATAATGAAAATTCTATATATATTATTGATTGTAATTACAAGTCAAATTCATTGAATTAACAGTAACTTAATTTTTAACAAATAATAATACACTTTTAGAAATAAGTAAAATATAATGGGATAAAACATGTAAGTACTTTTACAAATTTATAAATAATATTTAAATTAATTTCTAGTATTCATTTTTAAGAAATCTTACTCTTAGATATGATTTTTTAAGCAAATAATTATTAAACTGAGAGCTATGTTTTTTTTAAAGAAGTTTTACTTTTTGAGGTGCCGCTGTTGTTGATTCTTAAGGTTTCAACGTTGGATTAAGTTTTTTTTTTGGGATTAACTTTTGGACTTTCGAGCATAGCTTTATATTGTTAAAATGAAGATTTGATATTGAGATTATTCATGTTTAACTAATTAATGTTAATATTGATGTTTGCTGACAAAGGAATTGATGACTACGAAGTATAAGCTTTAAACAATTTATCTGTGGATTTTGTATGACTCAAAGGTTGTTTAAAGTCTATTCCTATATTATTTTGAATGTTATTTGAAGCCTATTTAGCGTATTTATTTGGAGAATTGATTTCAGTATAATGAGTTTGCGTTTAACTTTTCTTGTGTTTAGATTACTAGTTTATATTATTAGAGCGATTAGGTTTAAGGATTTATTGGGATTAAATTAATTTTAACTATTCAGAAGAGATGCTTCGTGTGCTCATTATCTGATGAATACTATTTTGTTGTGATTGATAATTAGATATAAATATAGGTTTGGCTTATTATTTCACATTATGATGATGGCAAGGATTGGAATGATTGATTGCAATCATTTGCTATTTCAAGAATTTCTTAAATTCACCATCTCCATTGCTATTATTTATTTGTTTGTTAGAGGATAGCAATGACTTTTAAGAAGTGTCTTTTGAGAGTGTTTTGAAATGTAATTTTTAAGAAGGGGAATTCTACACAGTTCTTTTACTAAATCCGGGATCATTTGTATGCAATTTATCCTTGTAAAATTAAGTATTTTTGGATATCAATTATTTGAGTAATTTTAGATTAGAGGGCTATTATGAAGTCTTAATTTGTTGATTATTTACCATAGTTATCCAAGTGGCATCAATGTTCTAATAATTGGAGGATCAAATACCACAATATCTTCGTTTCCCTTTGATTTCAACATATCCCTTAATAAGGAAAGACTGGATACTTGGGTCTGTAATGTAATACTGTTGAGCACCTTAATATCTTCTTATAATTTCTCATATTCTATGGATCTTATGAATGAATACCAGTGCAGTTGCTATCCTCTTCAATTGGAATACCAAGCATTAATTTAATTTTCCTATACTCCAGTTGTCTAAAATTAGATGTAGAAGTACTTCTTTTTTTCATAAAAGTAGATTGCTAAATCTGAGAGCTTTGGCTAAAACATTCTAGGAATATCCTTGTGATATTTGTAATATTCTAAGAGTTGATCAAACTTACCTGATTGATCTCTATATGGATAATATCTATAAGAATGAAAGTTTCATAAAAAAATACCTCTTCAAAAATTCATCTTGATCGCCATATGCCAATTTGTCTTTATATTATATAATCCATTATATAGGCTTAGTGGAAAAGAAATCCTCAAATTTTTTACCTCGCCATTGGGATGATGAATATTTTGTATAAAGTGCCTGTAAATGATTTTACTATTTTATTTACTCTATTCAAAAGCGGAGCGAAATTAATCTTAATGATTGGTAATCTTCCATATTTCTAACAAAATAAACAATCTTCTTCTGATGTAGATTTCTAAATTAATATAAGATCATCATTTGCTTTCATAACTGAATATAAATTATATATTTTATATTTTATAATTTCTCACATATTCGTATAAGTAGGAATTGCTGCTTTGATTACTTTCAATGTGTCTGGTCCCTTTATATTATGATACAATATAATTACTCCATTATCTTGTATTTATCTTAAAACATCTTGTATAATTTCCTTCTGATTCTTTTTATCCATTCTTTTACTCAATGGCACTAGGAGATTCTTAAGATGACTATTGAGATGAGAACCTATAGTATTGGAGAGTAATCTAAATTCAGTCATAATAAGTGTTACTTTAAAATTTCCAAAGAGGACATAAAGACTTTGTCGTTTTAACTAGATAAAGCAGTTCTTAAAGGCCAAACCAATTTTGCCAGAATAGGTATGACTTTCTCTTGTGCATTCTAAAAGATTATAAAATTTAAATTTAAAACTTATTCATTGAGCATATCTTTTATTGCATTAGTGGCAATGAAGCAATATGGATGGGCTTCTTCAACCAAACCTTCAAAGCATGTAACCATTAATGGGTCATAAGGCAAGTGACCTATTTCAACTCCTTAATTCCATTATAATTTCATTGTATTACAACCATGATTCACTCTACAAGGAATTCCACCAGCATTGTAGACATAGGCAAATGAATTTCTTTATTATTAATTTATAACTACGTTTTCTATTTAGATTTATCAGAAAAAGGATCAACTGTTTTGATATTAGTCAGTTTTTAACTTGGCAATTAAGTAAATCCCTGTTTAGGTTGTTGTTGAATTTGCTATTGTTATTATTGTTATTGTGGCTTCTATTATTATTGCTTTCCAAGAGATCTTGTTCTGTTTAAAACAGCTGGAGGCTGAGATTTCTTTTATTATTACATTATTATTAGTAATTAAAATTAAAAATAACATCACTTTTCCAATATCGAGATTATAGAGCTAATGTTGAATTCTGGATGGAAATAAACATATTCCTGAATTGTATCTAAATCATCACTGCTTACAATATCTTAGAATTTGAATGTTGAAGGATATAATTATTAGCTCCTATAATCTGTTTTAAAGCCATCCCAAAATTATTAACTACCAGGTTGTATTGAGGGTTGAATTGATCCTTGCTTGTGACTTGATTTCATTTATTCTAATAATATCTTATCTGAAATAAAATCTCCATAGCACTCTTTTGAAATAGTAGGTATAGTTATAGTTCCTTTGCTTTGTCCAATAATAATATTTCTATCAAGGAATTTCTAACTTTCGGTAGGTTCATCTTGATAAACCTGTAATTACTCATTGTGACTGCTGCTCTCGTTACTTTCAATTTCTGAACGAACTGTTACGCTTATCTATTGCTTTATTTTTTTCTTCAAATTATCAATAATATCTTTACTAAGTAGATTTTAAAGGCTTAGGGTTCCCTCTTTACTCTTCTTTAAACTTGACTTCTTTTATTCTATTGAAAATAATCTTTTAATATCAATTTGTAAATATCTTTTTAAACTTGGCATTTCCTCATTAAATGAAATCCTCTGCATATCAGGCATCTATAATTCACATAGGATGTATCTCCTTCAAACAATATTCTATTTTTTATCATATGGAATGTTTCCTTTTATATTTAAAGTAACTTACTATATCTTAATTTGTATTCAAACATATTTTAAAATCTTCTTCTTTTATGAACAAAACCAAGAAATTATTGTTTAGTTCTAATAATACTAGTATTATGTACTTATTTTTATATCTGAAATGTTCTTTTAAAAACAATCAATCAATCCAAACACTTTGTCAATCATAATCTATTAATATTACCTCAATCCTTCCTTTTTGAAACTGATTAACCCTTATCCCTTTAGAATCAAATACAAACCACGATTTTTATTAAAATCTATTTCCTTACTTTTTCTCAATACTTTAATCTTTTCTGATAAGTTGATTATAAATTGTTTTGTAAAAATATGAGAAATTTCCAAATAATCTTCCATTATTTGTTGATTAATGATTTTCACAGCATTTTGACCCATCTTAAATATAGGGTATAATTACTTGTTTTGTGAGTTAACTGTTATTATTAAGCTATGTAACCATCTTAAGTTTCTCAAGTAAATTTCCTTTATGATGCCAAATGTAATAATGCAGAATATGCACATCAATTTTAGGCCTATTCAACAATTCAACTTTCTTTAATCTAATCTAAATTATGACATCAATTGAATTGAATAACATGATCAATCCTACAATTTAACTAAATATCATAGTTAAATCAGAATATGATTCAATTACATAATAATTTGCTTAAAAAGTGAAAAAATTAATATTTATAAATAGTGAATCTCTATACCTAAGTTGAAAATCATTTGAGTATAGAAAACAAGTAAATAGATGAATTAAATATAGATAATAAACGATGATCTTTGAGATAGCCAGATAGTTAAAGTATTTTTCTATATTAAGTTATAATCTATTTTACTTTTTGTAATTATGAGTAGCCTAAAAAACTTTTCGATCTGATTATAGCCTTCATAAAAAAAATAAAAGGACAAAATTATTACTATTACTTATGTATTCGAAGTAATCAGAATCAAAAGTAATCCTATTAGCAAGATGTTTGTTATAATAAAGTCATCAATTAGTTTGAATTTGTAAATGGCTGAAAATTTCTCTTTTTGCTTGATTTATATAAACTAACATAAGATATAAGTTAGAGTAATGATTAGAATATAAAATAATAAAAAGTAATATAAATGATTAATTCTCTCATCTTCCTCAAACAGAATAAGATGAGGCAATAAGAGTGATAATAAGGCTTTAAATATGTTGTTCCATAATGTTAAAAGACAATTTATGAGTAATGCAATTTGTGAGGCAGATTAAATTTCCTAAATTTTTTTCTTTCTATTTTAGCTAAATGCTTGCTACTCCTTTCTTGGCCCATAAACTTCATCCCATCGATTGCCATTTTCAAATAGAATCTGATTGATTTGATCGTAAACATTGGGTGTCTACAGTTTACTCGATGAACCAGAGTTATCAATATAAAAACTTTCAAAAAATGATGGTGGCTCTAAACATTCATCTTGATTGGATTTGGGAGAATTTTTGGCAATTTTTGCAAATTTCTTTTTATGTAATACTATTAATAAAGAATTTTTGCTACCATCATCAAGTTACGAATTCATTTTTTCAATATAGATATTATTTAAAAAGACTCTCTCTTATAAATATTATAAATATTATTTAAATATTAATTAGATATTTATTTAAGGAAAATTAAGAATATCGAATTATTCTTAAATAATTATCCTTTTCATCCTTTTTTTTATTTATTGTTCATTTACAAAGGTTCTTTTGAAATTAATTGGGGATTATTTAAGAATTTTAATTTCAGATGAAATAAATTTTCATTTCTCAGGTTTTCCAAAATTGGGATTTCACTTATCAATTATTTTTTAGCTATACTGGAAGATGCAACATTGTTATTTTAATTTTATACTTTATTAGTATAGATTAAGTTAAATATTAGTTGTGTTATTTAATCCATAATCATATTTTATTACATCTATACATTTTATGAAGCTATTAAAAGAAAATAGTGTGTTCTCGCCACCGCAAATTGATAATAATGAAATTACTTAATATCTTATATTTTTAATTTCATTGACCCTTTATTGATCATGAATCAACAATGAATTTATTTATCGCGAGCACCTATTAAGTAAATCAACTTTATATAATTTCACTTTCCCATATTATTAAGATCATATTTAAAAATATATAATTTATAAAAAGTAATTCATCTTAATTCTAGTTTTAGAACAACTTTAATTTAACCTCTTATCTAAAATTGCAAATAATCTATCTCTTCATTTTAAATTGTTCTTTCTGAGCTTGTTTAATGAATTCGATAGCATTTTGCCTGTAAGGTCCTTTTTTTATTGTAAAAAGTGTATACACTTCCCACTTTTTCTATTAGATCTCCTCGAATATCTCGAACAATTGAATGCAAATGGTTTTCATTCCCTGTTTATGATTAACATAAAAAGATACATCTTTGTATCATCTTTGATATTTGCCTAAAGGGTTAAAATTTATTGATAGAAAATCATGAAATATACTGTGTTTGCTTATTAGAAATACATCGTGACTTAATATTAGTGGTAATATAGACTAGATCACACTCAATTCATATAATATATAATTATTTGAAATAGAAATAATTTTTACCAAATACAAAAAGATTTTTAATTTGTATTTTCTATTCATCCAGGTTTGATAATTAAATAATGGACCAATTGATCAAATCTTTAGATTCTAGATGCAACCCTTTTAGTTACCAAATATAATTTTAGATCATTTATCTCTTAACTTAACTTTCAACTTAAGTCTAATTTTGTATCAGACTGCATTTACAAATTACAATTCATATATTATAATTTATTGAATATGTTAAACGCATCTTATTCTTTAATTTTAACGAAATCAGTTTTTGATTACTCCTCCAATTTATAGCCCTATTAAATCATTTGTAAATCCATATAAGTAGGTATTTAGTATTATAATTTGATAAATATTTATCGATTGTATCCTATAGATACTTTCTTTTGTTTTTAAAGTTATTGGAGCGGATTCCATATATCCTTACAATATATTAAAAAAAAAATTATATTTAACAAATTGAATATTTTATTTTTGCTTGCATTTCATCTATCACATTTAATATACTAATAATACAATGAGATAATAAATGTCCTATGTTTCCTGAATAGCATTTGTTGTTATTCTTATTTATTTTGTAATTTTTAATTTGTAATTATTTCTCTAATTTCTATTGCTATTCTTTTAAATAAATAATTATATGTATAATAATTTATGGCTGTAAGAATAAGATTATTTGAACTTAATTTGGCATCTGATAATTCAACTTTAGTATGAAAGCTCGATTAATAATAATATTATTCAATCAATTTAATTTACAAAAAAAACTGAGAAGTTTCTGCTAGAAATTTTTTTTCAAGTTGTGTATACCTGCAGATGAAATATAGCTGAGATGATTTAAATATGGAATAAAAAGGAAAGAAATCCCAAATGAAAAGAAATTAAAAAACACGGAATAGCGCCCAGAGTAATGGTTTCAACAAAAGAAGTAACTCTTTAGCAAGTCTGCTAATTTAAATAAATCAGAATATTTTAAATATTTTCATAATTAAGAGAAAGTTTATTATGGGATTATGATAATATTGATTACTAGAGTTATATTTAAGTAAACTATTTAGATCCAATATGTTTAAGTTGTTTAATTTCAAATCAGTCTAAACAAAAGAGTCCAACAATTATTATAGTCCTAATTTCAAAGTTTGCTTTAAACAATATATGATATTTTAATAATATTTTACATCAAAGTAATTATACTAAAAATATTGTGATAAATTTTTCAATTTTAATAAAAGTATTATAATTTTTGTTAAAATTTCAAATGGTACCATTACCAGAACGCCAGCTTTAAACTATTCAAGAAATCTTGGATCCTGAGACAAAATAGACCAATATCTGAGATTTAGAATAAGAGGAGAGAGCTAATCCCAAACCTGCTGCCCATCCAACTTCAGTGAGCCTCTGGATTGTTATAAATACATGCTTAACAGTTTTTCATTAAATCTTAATGAATAGCACCACATCCAAGTATAGAAGGATTAGTAAATGGTAATGTAGTTCCAACCTATCTCATTTATACAATCCTCAAATAGATGTTTAGTCAATTTTTTCCAAAGTTTCTTTTTATTCGTCCATAGATTCTTGTATTTAATGTTAAAAATATTTGGATGAGAATAGTTCTGATTAAAAGATTCTGACCGTCTCTATTTAATGGAAGACTGGATAATGTATTGCATCTACTTCATCAATATATAAACATCTCCTCTAAAAACAAAAGCATCAAAATTTTTCTCTATTAATTCAATTTGATGAGCAGAGGTGTAACAACTCAATACGGCATTTTCATTAATGTAATAGGTGTCACTTTTCTTCTGCTTGGATGATCAGGAGCCACTATTAATGAATAAAGATTCAATATAATTAAAAACACAAATACGTACTTTACAGATAAGATTGGAGAAAGATTATCAATGATTTTGTATTTCAAGGATATTTACCTTATTTCTCTGTTTTTATACCTCAATTCTACTCTTAATTATCCCTAGAGGATGCAATGGAATTTTATGTAAGCCTTGGCCCAGGTATTATATAAGAATTCTATTATTTATTAATTTGATCTTGTAGAGAACGGAATTAGAATCGAAACAATTTTCTTAACATAAATTCTGTAACAAACTTGCTTAGAGTAGTAGTTTTTAAAACAGATGGTTCCTCAATTTTCCCTTTATCGTATCTAAATAAAACCATCTTAATATAAAATTAAATATAGCGATAAATAATTATTAAGTTTGATTTTTAATCATTTTAGTTATGTATTCAACTATCTGTCAGTCAGGAATTTTATTTTTTTTTATCTAAGTGCTCCATATCCAGCCTATATAAATGGATTTGCAATCTAGTTCAGATTCAAGTTCTTGCTTTTAGGAGGATAATTCTCTTGTGGTATGGTTTTTTTGACCAGTGAGGATATCTCGTCATTTTAAAATAGATGATTATTCACCCTGCTATTTAAAACTGGTGCAATAGGTTGAGTAAGCATGTATTTAGGATCGTCATATACTCTTTTAGGTATTGCTACAATTTCATACTAATCCAAATTAATTTTTTGTAGATCTTGCAAAAATCTGTGAGATGGATATCCTGATAATGTTGATGGAGTCATGTCGAAATCAGTTTGTTATTGTAGGATGGCCTCAGCATTTTTCTTAAATTTCTGGAAGAAGTATGATTATTAAATGAGATTGGTGTTAGTGTTGGTCTGTGTATTTGATGAATCAAATTGTTTTTTGATAGGTTGAGATGTACTCTAGAGAATGCCTAGAACACCATTTTTATTCATAGTTGAGGTTCTTCCTTAAAAGCGAGCCTTGAAATCCATATGCTATTAAATTATTTTTATATCATTTTCACAATAGATGGCGATGGAGTATGTATTGAATTTACATAAATTAACACATGAATATGTTGGCATTAATATAAGTAATTGAAAATATAAGGAAAATGAAGTTATAATACATTTCATTATTGATCTTCGACAGTTTCATCGCATTCTTTAATACCCAATACATCAAGAGTAGAGATAATTTAATTAAATTTATTGTTCAACCCAGTATCTTACTAACTATCAGCCAAATTTAAATTGATATCAATGCTGCATTCAATTTTTGCACCCATTTAATTCATAAATTAGCCAAGAGTATTCTTTTTGGTGTCTTAGCCAACCTGGGTTTCGTTGGCTGAATTACCCAAATCAACACTTGATTATATATTACCCAGATCCCCAAAGTAANCTTTACAGATAAGATTGGAGAAAGATTATCAATGATTTTGTATTTCAAGGATATTTACCTTATTTCTCTGTTTTTATACCTCAATTCTACTCTTAATTATCCCTAGAGGATGCAATGGAATTTTATGTAAGCCTTGGCCCAGGTATTATATAAGAATTCTATTATTTATTAATTTGATCTTGTAGAGAACGGAATTAGAATCGAAACAATTTTCTTAACATAAATTCTGTAACAAACTTGCTTAGAGTAGTAGTTTTTAAAACAGATGGTTCCTCAATTTTCCCTTTATCGTATCTAAATAAAACCATCTTAATATAAAATTAAATATAGCGATAAATAATTATTAAGTTTGATTTTTAATCATTTTAGTTATGTATTCAACTATCTGTCAGTCAGGAATTTTATTTTTTTTTATCTAAGTGCTCCATATCCAGCCTATATAAATGGATTTGCAATCTAGTTCAGATTCAAGTTCTTGCTTTTAGGAGGATAATTCTCTTGTGGTATGGTTTTTTTGACCAGTGAGGATATCTCGTCATTTTAAAATAGATGATTATTCACCCTGCTATTTAAAACTGGTGCAATAGGTTGAGTAAGCATGTATTTAGGATCGTCATATACTCTTTTAGGTATTGCTACAATTTCATACTAATCCAAATTAATTTTTTGTAGATCTTGCAAAAATCTGTGAGATGGATATCCTGATAATGTTGATGGAGTCATGTCGAAATCAGTTTGTTATTGTAGGATGGCCTCAGCATTTTTCTTAAATTTCTGGAAGAAGTATGATTATTAAATGAGATTGGTGTTAGTGTTGGTCTGTGTATTTGATGAATCAAATTGTTTTTTGATAGGTTGAGATGTACTCTAGAGAATGCCTAGAACACCATTTTTATTCATAGTTGAGGTTCTTCCTTAAAAGCGAGCCTTGAAATCCATATGCTATTAAATTATTTTTATATCATTTTCACAATAGATGGCGATGGAGTATGTATTGAATTTACATAAATTAACACATGAATATGTTGGCATTAATATAAGTAATTGAAAATATAAGGAAAATGAAGTTATAATACATTTCATTATTGATCTTCGACAGTTTCATCGCATTCTTTAATACCCAATACATCAAGAGTAGAGATAATTTAATTAAATTTATTGTTCAACCCAGTATCTTACTAACTATCAGCCAAATTTAAATTGATATCAATGCTGCATTCAATTTTTGCACCCATTTAATTCATAAATTAGCCAAGAGTATTCTTTTTGGTGTCTTAGCCAACCTGGGTTTCGTTGGCTGAATTACCCAAATCAACACTTGATTATATATTACCCAGATCCCCAAAGTAATCTTAGGTCTGATGATCAGAGGATACTACATATGAAAATCATAAATACATATGCTTTAAGTGGAACCGATGCCAAGATTGCATTAGGTAGTTGTGTTTACATCAACAACCTTACTAATTGTAACTCCTTGACTATTTCCAAGTGAATTGACCAACTAAATGAATCCAGTACATTTATCACTATTTCTCCTTTAAATTATATGAACATTCCCCAGTTCCTACATCAAATCCTCAAGAACAATCTGCTAATACTCCTAACCCAAATGAAGTGTCTTCAAAGCTCTATGAATACTCTACTTCTGATCTACAGACAAACTTGTCTAGAGAGATTGGCATTTATTCAAAAATATGTTATCATCATCATCTATTATTTTAGTGGATGATAACATTGCCAAAGTAGTATAGATCTTATTCTTCTCTATGAAAGGATGGTTCAATGCATCTTAGGGTCCAATCCGCTTCTTTGGATCCTACTAAAGTAAACGAGATATGAGATTCTGAGCACTTAAGGATTCCCCCTTTATACGGTTCTTAAAATTCCACAATTCAGGCTTACTTAATAGTTCTATGTGATCACTTAGATTCTCTTTTTGAAGAGGCAGTTCTCCTGTCATGCATTGAAACATTATGACTCCAACACTCCATAGATCAATCTCTTTTGAATAATTAGTTTGATGATATATTTCTGGGGCACAATAATAAATGTTGCCTGTCTTGGTCAGCATTTCGTGATGTTGATTCTTCCACAGAAATCTTCTTGAGACACCAAAATCAAGCAACTTCAATTCGCAATTCCCTTCCACATTTACCAAGATGTTGTCTGGCTTGATATCTCTATGACTTATGCCTTTACTATGTATATGTCCTACAGCCATGAGCAATTGCTTGATAATATTTCTGACCTCATCCTCCTTTAAAGTGCCTCTATCCTTCAGAATTTGCTCCAATGATGGGTATGGACAATATTCCATTACCAAACTGGCTGTGTAATATTTTTCATTAATATAGAGTTCGTATTCTTATATTATATTCTAGTGTCTTAAACAACGCGAATTATTAAATGTCCTTTTCACGTTATTGTAAACCTCCTCATTGTTCATCCTCATTATTTTTACTGCAAACAAATCATTTGTTCCCTTTCTCTTAGCCAATTTCACTACTGCATGAGCTCCTTATCCTGAACAATTACATATTTAATACCCAATAATTCTTGTGATTCGTACCTATCTTCAAATCTTAGGGCATCATCGACACTGCTCAAGCTAATAATTTGTCCTTTCTCTTCCTCGTCCTCACTAAATTCAATCTTGCATTTTAAGCGATCTTTTAGATTACTTATTTGAAGCATTCTCTTTTTAAACAAAAATTTATAAATAATTTCAAAACTATACACTATTTAATATTTTAATAATATCAATAATGTTTCTATCCAAACAATCTTGGTTATTTAAAATTGGATAAATCTTTCTTAATTTTATTTCATTTTTAAATATTGGAGCCAATCGTAAAACCAAACCAGATCAACTCAATCGCAAACTATCTTTAAAAATATAATTAATTAAAATTTAAAAGAACATTTCGTTAATATTTATAACTTTTATTATATAGGTTTTTATAATCCAACATTCAAAATACTATATCGAATTTAAACAAGATGTTGATTCAAAAAAATCCTTATTTAAAAATTGATTGATTGCATTTATTGTAATTTCAAATCAAAAAATTAAGATGATCACATTAAGGAAAACACAATTAATGCTTTTCTTTGAGAACTTAACAAAGCTTTGAGAATATCATCACCCTACTTTCAATAGAAATAGACTCATTCTATAAGTCCTCTGCTGGTACCTTCACTTGTGCTTAAGAACAAACCTTAGCTATTTTTTCCTTAAACTCATGTGATTACTAATATTTCTTGAAATTCTCAATCACATCCTGAGTTGGAATCAGATTCTTGGATAATTGCACACTAATTTTTGTAAAAGAGTTTCTCATAATGGATTCATCCTGTCCATCTATCCTGGGTAGAGATGATGATCTTAATTTCATGTTTGTAAATATCAATTTCTATTTTTTGTCAACCAAAGATCTTTTATTTCGATCGGCAATAGTTGGGACTTGTATAAAATGAGTGAGAGTTTATTGTGGCTTTTTGTCTTGATTTTATTTGAATAATTCATTTTAAGCCTCCAATAATGTTGATTGATGTTCAAGTTCAACCTTTTGAGCTTTGAGAATCAATTTGACTTCTTTGTATTTGATGATAGATTGTTTTAATTTATCCTCGTATTATCTGATGGTTCTATCAATAAGTACTCTTAATTCTTGATTTTGTTGTTCTATGTAATCAACCTCCTAATACTTCAATGTGGTTTGTTGCTCTTGATTAATGAGATTGTTCTTGCTCTTTTGGTTGGATAATAGTTTTTTTAATATGATTTTGGAATTGGATTTCGAGTTACTTCTAATGTTGTCACGAAGTTATTGAGTCACTGAATCAATGATATCGACGGAATTCGGATTTTCGATGTCAGGATTGTGACTGTCAATTATTTGCTTGTTGTTTTAGGCAAGAGATTGAATAGATTCATGTAATTCATTGATGTGTTTGGCTGCATCACTTTCATTGATTGTGTTGAATCTACTCTTATGTTTTCGACTTTATTCAAGGAGATGTTCGAAAGGAAGATTGCCCGAATGAGGAGTCAATAATAATTCAAATTGTTGAATCCAATTTAAGAGATTTGAGATCAATAATAGATGAAATCCTGATAGGGTCTGAGTGATATTGAATAATATAGTTTACTTTTATCAGATCGCCAATAAACTCTAAGTCATAATCACTCAAGTTTAGAATCAATTGTTCTTCACAAGCAGTCACAATCCTACAATATTATCTTAAATCTGTGATGTAACCTTGCTGAATATTTGAATGTCTCTCTTGAAATTGATCTTATGCTTTGTTTAGTATTTTTTTAATTTTGGCACTCAATGTTCTTAGTCTATCAGGTTTATTTAAATAGTGTACATTTCCCATCTCTATTCCATTATATTAAATTATTATTAGGAATGAAATCTCTTTTTGCAATAATTAAGACGAGAGACGAGGATCGCAAAATACTGTATGCAAGTGAAGAGTAATTCAATTTGGATTAAGTGTTTAATATAAGAGATGGAGAGAATTCCGACATTGTTACATATCGAGATAAAATTACATAATTCTTTTAGCAATTTCAATATTGTAACTCCATATTCAATTTAGAATAGTTGGACTCATTCAAAAAAGCAATTTTCTTGGTTATTCAACCAACTTCATCATCGATTTCTTTTCACAGGAACGAAAAGCTTAATGTCATGAATTAATGATCGAAGATTTGATATTTTATATCCAGGCCATCAAGGAGCCTGTGTCAATCACTCTAGTATTGGTGATCTAGAAGGAGAGTTAGTACAACTCTTAATACGCCTCCTATTGTTTAACCTTTATAAAGAAGTGCTTATAAAAAATAGAGAAGGAGTCAAAGGCATTAACTAGAATGTCGAATCTTATCATTCAAAATGTAATAAGGGTTATAACATTAGATAAGTCAATTTGAGAAGGAAATTAATTCACAGATTCCAGAATATGAGAAACAGAAATGCAAATCTATTTAGGTGAGGGATAATGTGACTAATATTGCTCGAAAATACTTGGATTCATGCGAGTTAAGAAGAAATTTGAATCAGTTTTGCCAGGCTTTTGTAAATAGAAAAATGATTAATTTCTTTCAAGTACAAATCAACACAATATTTAGATACAAATGACACCCCCTCAATAAGATTTAATGTTGAATCCCATAGCCATAGTTATAAAACCCTATCAAACCTTGTTGGTTGCTAATTTTATTGGAAAGGATGATAACACTTACATTTCATAAAGGTTCTTGACCTTCATTCAGAAGATGTAACCCACCAAATCATTTCAAGAAATGTCCAATTTGTACTATTTTTCAATGACTGAGATTCAGGTCTACGTCAATCATATTATGATGAACAATCAAAATCAAATGAGTTTGCTTCTCAATAAATTAACAGATGATTCCTATTTTACAATTGCATGCACTTAAACTCATAAAAAATTGGCTGAGAAAATTCCATTAAAACAATATGTTTCATACATCAAATGCCCAATGAGTTCTCAATAATTAAGATAAGACAGAATAGAGAAAATAGAGAGTCAGTTCTGTAATATAATTGGTTTTAGATTGATTCGTGAATGTCAGGTTTATTTATATCAAAAGGACCCCACTTTGACTTAGAAGAAAGTGGAGGATGAAATTAATAAAATTGCTGCTGAATTGACAAAGAGCAAAGATAAATAAGGAGAAAAAGAAAAGAAATTCACTTAACTGATTCGATTTTATTAATCACTTCTTAAATTTTTGGGAAAACCATACACGGTGTAAGAAATAGCGTATTAAAAGAACATGGATATCAGTAGACTTTGGGCACATATCCATTGGCTTAAATCTTTAGTGGGATTTTATTGCTTATGATATATTTTAATAAATGATTCTAATCTTTGTGAATAATTATTATTTAGAGTTTTTAGATTATTCTAAAAACAATAGACTACTTAAGTCAATTTAACTTTTGATAAGAAATTTATATTAAAATCATAATTCCTTAGTGCAAATTTGAATAAATTGACATCTACAACAACATTCATATTTAATTATAATTTTAGTATTGAATGAGAATGAATTTGGATTATTTCAGATTTCTGTTGCTTAAAACTAATATATAAATCGTTGAAAAATAACTTCATAATTAATATTTTGATATAAATAATATAATAATAATTGAATATATCATTTCTTTTTCTCTACTAAAGTTGGTTTGATTTGAAAAGCCTTTTCATAGTTCTTGTTTGACTCATCAATCTTCCCTTGATTTTCCAAGGCACATCCTTTATTGTAGTAAGCCTCAGCACAATTAGGTTGCAATTGAATGGCTAGATCATAGTTCTTAATTGCCTCGTCAACCTTGCCTTTCCTATACATGAGAGTTCCCTAAAATAAATAGAAAGTGTACTTTCTCGACATACAATAGTGCCATTTCAGGTGCTAATTTATATGCTTATTCCAAGGCATTTAATGCATCATCAAATTGTTCCAAGCCTTGCAAAGCTATACTTTTATTATAGTAGGTCTCTGGATCTTAAGTCTTCCCCTTGATGGCCTTATCATAGATCTCAACAGCCTCTTTAAAGTTCTCTTTCTCATACAAAGTCGTTCCCTTGTTATGATAAGCTTTCACAAAATCACTCTTCAATTTGATGGCTTCATCAAAACACTGTAAAGCTTATGAGTAATCCTGTTTGGCACAGAAAATCACTCCCTGATTGGAATGAGCTTCAGGATTATGAACTTTCAATTTAATGGCTTCCATATATTCATTCTAAGACAACTCCAGTTTGTTCTACTTGTAATACAACACACCAAGATTATTGTGAGCTTCAGCATTATTTTAATCAGTCTTCAGAGCTTACTTAAGTAGATCAAGTGCCTATGAATATTTCTCGGTTTCAATAAGGAGAGTAGCTTGATTAGATAGACATTGTGGGAAGGTTGGCAGCAATTGAAGGGCCATCTAATAAGATGAAATAGCTTTGTCTGTTTGCTTCTACTTTTAAGCAATGATTCCATAGGCATTATGAATATAAGGAGAGTCTTTGATTTGACTTGCCTTCTACAGTAGTTTGTTCGCTTCAATTAAATTTTCCTATGCAATTAATACATTGGCCTTATTCACCAAAGCTTCCATCAATTGGTCATTCTATTGAATTGCTTGATCAAAGATTTTATTTGCTTCATCGTATCTTTTCAAGTAAAAAAGTGAGGCACCTAAATTATTTAAGGTTTATGCATTCTTGACCTCCAACTTAAGTGATTATTGCAACATTTAAACTGATTCATCATACCTTCCCATCAAATAAAGAGTGACTCCCTTATTATTCAATGCCTCTGGATATCTATTGTTAAGATTAATGGCTTAGTCATAGCATTTTAGAGCATCTTCATATTGGCCAATATTTGAATACACAATTCCCAATCCATTCTGGGCTTATGAGTGACGAGGATTCAATTGTAAGGATACTTCGTATTTTTATCTAGCCTCTTCAAAGCGATCGCAATTTCTCAAAGCAGTTGCAAATGCTATCAATGCTTCAGAATTACTATTTAGCCATTGTAAATTAGAAATTAATTCGCATTATTGAACTGCGAATTGATGCTCACCCATTTCCTAAAATGTGATACTCAAATTAATTCTTGCAGAATCATATTCAGGATTTATCTCTACTGCCTTCGAAAAGTATTGTTAGGCTTAGGTTAAGTTCTTTTGATTGAAATAGATTGTTCCTTTGTTATTGTAGGCCTTGAAGAAATTTGGATCGATATTGATGACTTCATCTAGTATAGTCAATGCTTCATCCTATCTCTTAAGATCAATCAAAGTGACTGCTTTATTATTCAACAAAGTAGGATTGTTGGGACTTAATTTAATGGCCTTCTCTAATTCCTTAATTGCTTCTTCAGGTTTGCTTAGATTAAGTAAGGAGACAGCCTTATTATTCAGGGATTTCTCTGAGTCAGACTTTAATTTGAATGCAGCATCAAATGTAATCACAGCATCTTTGGACAATCCGCTTTCAAGTTGAGCAACTCCTTTGTTGAATTACCCTTCAAAGAAATTGGGTTTTTGTTGAACAGCTTTAGAAAAGCATTCCAATGCTTCTTCATACCTCATCAATTATTTTAGTAGACATCCTTTTAAGAAGAAACTCTCGTAATCATTGCTTTCTAATTGATTGTATTTGTCTAAGCTATTGATGGCTTCAGCATATCTTTTTAATTTGATATATGCAGCTGCCTCATTAAATACAGCATCTTTGAATGTTGGCTATATGTCGAAGGATCTTGTGAATTGAATTAAAGCCTATTCATAATTTTCAAGATTGTAATAGGTAATTCCTAAATTGAAATATGCCCAAGAATTCTAAGAGTTTTATTCGATTGCATGTTGATATGATTGGATGGCATCATCAAAATGTTTGAGGTTGGTGTATGCAATACCCTTCTAGAAGTTGGCTGATGAACTGTAAACACTTTCAAGTTGAATGGCTTGATCATATAATTGAATAGCATCTTCGTACTTATTCAACTCCAATAAGCAATTACCTTTAAAGTAGTAGATATCTTCAACATCAGTTCCTTAACTAAGTTGAATAGCTTCGTCATAATTTTAGATAGCTTCATTAAACTTCTTTAGATTTTTCAAGCATATTCCCCTATTGATGAATGCGAATTTGCACTCATTCTTAGGCTTAAGCTGAATTGCCTTATTAAATTATCTTATAGCATCCTCATATTAATTCAGATTACACAATGCAACTCCCTTATTATACAAACCATCAGCATAATCTCCCTTGCCTGAAACAGATGCGTTGAAATGTTTCAAAGCCTCATCAAATTATTAATTAAGTAATAAGATGACTCCGAGATTATTATGAACTACTTAATTCTCTTATCTCTTCAGTACTTCCTAGAAGCATTCCTGAGCAAAGGCAAGGTTATTAAGATAATACTCAACAATTCCCTGAACTGATTTAGCCTCCATATCATCTTCCTAATGAATCACATACATTTCGATTTCCTTTTTAGAGTATTCATAGTCTTTTAAATACAATGAACAAATTGCTTGATTGAAGTGACCTTCCAAAGTATCCCTTAATTATTAAGCCTCCTATAGCAGTTGCAAGGCTTCTTTGTATTTCTTCAATTAGAAATTGCAGACTCCATAATTGAAGACCACTTCAAAGTTGTTGCCATCTATATCATAAGCCTGACTCAACAACAAGGCAGCTTGCTCATACTTCTTAGTTTCATATAGAGAGATCCCTTTACCCAATAAGACCTGAACGTTCTTTGGTTGATGCTTCATCACCTAATCAAAACACTTGTTTGCTTCATCATACTTCTTCATTCTCAATAATGTAGATGCCTTATTTAACATTGGGATGGCAAAACCTACTTGTATTTGGAGAGCTGTGTCGAATTAGGTGATGGCATCTTGATATTGTAGGAGATGATAGTAACAAACTCCCAAATTATTATACGCATCCTTATAATCTTGTTTCAATTAGACAGCCTTCTAAAAATACTCGAGCCCATCTTTGTACTTTGTATTCTAAATAAACAGCAGCCCTGCATCGTTATAAGCCTTTGGATAGTTTGGTCTTATCTCTATTGCTTTTGTATAATTTTCAAGGGATTCTTCAAAAATGCCAAGGTTTCTCAAAGAATCTGCCTTTTTTTTGAAGACTTCAGCATATTTTTAATTATATTCTAGTGCATTGTCGTAGGATTGGATTGATAATTTGTACTCTTTCAATTTTCTGTAGGTATCTCCAAGGGCTTTGTGCGCCTAGTAAAAGTCAGGCTAGAAGGAATATTAGGGAAAACAGTTACCTTCAGCGATATTGCTTATTTATACTAATTGACTGCTTCTTGTAAATTGCCCATCTTCCTAATTGTATCTCCTTTGTACTTCAATGGGTTTGGGTAGGATTGGCGATGCTTGAGGGCTTGATCCAAATAGTTGAGGGCTTTTTCATACTAGTAAAACTATGGCCAGACAGACTTACTTGATTGAGGTTGTACAATGCAATTCCCATGCTACACAAGGCTTCAGGAAAGCTTGGCCTCAAATCTAAGGATTGTTTGAAGTAATTGATGGCTTCATCAAATTTCTTACGGTACATATAAACCAAGCCTAAATTGTAGTACCCCTCCACAAATTGCGTATTTTTGTTTATAGACTATTGATACCAGTTGATGGCTTAGTCAAATTCCTTCTTTTGAAAGAACTCGTTACCAAGCTTGATCATAGTTTCGGGATGCAGCCACATTAAATTAAATAAATTATAAATTTGAGAGAGGATGTTTCAGCAATTTGAGTTCACCATCACGTAGCCAGGGATGCTCTCGAAATTGTACTTGATCTGCACAATCAGCTGGTCTTTGAGCTCCTCATAGGCTTATTAACACTCCTTATCTGAGTCATACTTCACGTACACTTCCTATTATGCCTGCTTCAGGTAAACCTAAATTATGGAGTGGCAGGAGGTGTACTATTTTGCCATATTTGCTAGTCTTGTGCAGGATCTCCTCTAGTTGATAGTCTCCCATCAGAACTCTTAGACACTTTGTCTGCTGATACAGCTTTATTAAGGCATTATCTAATTTGCTCTCAATAGTCCGGCTTATCTCTTCATCGATCAGACTCAGTCTCTTTCTAATATCAACAAGTTTCTCTTCTGATACTTGAGATGCAGACTCGTCCTCATTCACATTCAAGTCCCACAATGATGGCATGCTGAAAGGTAACTTCTAAGTCAAATCCATTCCTTTTGTGTTTGGCACGTTGTCCAATTTCAGTTCTCTTAGCCTAGAAGGATAAACATTGCAAATGATATTATTCATAACTTTAGTGTTGTTTAAACAGCTAAATCAAATTAAATCCCTACTTGATAGCATCCTAGGCTTATTCGGGGTCCTCGTATTCAATAAACACCTTTGTCTGCATTGGACCTTACTCGAAGATCAAAATCTATGCCAATTCAAACTTCATTTTACCTTTGTGATTTTACCATGCTTCCCAAAAACTTGAAGCAATGACTGATTTGTAATGTTTTAGGAAGTCTTCAAACAAACTAATGCCACCTTGGTTGAATTGCTTTTCGACATATATTAAATTAATTTAAAATATGCTCAAATAAATTATATTACTAACATCACACTTTAGTTATTCACCCCAATCAAGAATGCAGTTCTAATATATCTCAGCACAAGAATTTCCAAAGATACTATAAAATGATAACAGAATTGCACCTGATAAAAATACCTTATTATCATGCCAAAACCAAAATAATAGATTAAATAAATGGAAAAATATCATCATTTGAATATAAATTCATGAAGTATTCAGATGCTTTGAAAAAAATGAGTAAAGTATTGAAAATAATGAGTAAAATAATATATAATTCACCCAAAAATAAAGTAATTCAATTGATTAAATATTTATTGCTTTTTGTGTGAAAGAACCATTCTTTGTTTTGTATTTAAATCATGTTAAAATTGATTCTATTGATGAATACGCAAAAATCTAATTCTTTTTCAGGTTATTAATTTACTTAAGACTGAATTCATAAGCTATGACAAAGCAGTTTATCAGGTTTATTTTAGAAATTCAATAATTTTTAAATTTACTAAACTAATAAGAGTAATTTTACTATAATTTATAATAGATTAAATCTAAATGCTCACGTAATTACATGGTGAATAAGTTTCTCATTTTGATGAATATCAGAACATCATCATGAGAACATAATTTGTATATATATAAAAGATAATACTGCTTAAGCATATATAATATATAATAAATATACCATTATTTAAAATTTATATATATGTATTTAGAACAAATTTTACATTCTCATTTATTTAAGGATTGCTAATAAGCTTAAACAATTTAATAGAGTTATTCTTGCATTTTTTAGATTGATGTTTTCTTGGCAATTTGTTTGTTTGTGTTTTCTTTAATTAAGTCCTCTACTTTTTTGAATTCTTTTCCAATGAAATCCAATCTTTTACTCACATTCTCTTTAGACTCCTGGAGGGTTTATGAGACCTGTAAAAAGTAATGCAAAGAAGGCTTACCAAAACACTTGCAATAAGTTTGTATACTTTTGCTTCAGGCTCAAGGAGATCAAGTTCCTTTTTGACTATTTCATTTTCATGAGATTGCTCTATGAGTTTTTGTCTGCCTTCAATTAGTGTGGGAGTGTATACCTTCAATATACTTTTGCATTTCTCTTTGCAAAGTCTAAAGATGTTTGGACTCATCTTCAATCTTGCTCTATAACATCTACACCTATTCAGCCATTAAATATTTTAATATATATCATGATTTTTATTCAAACAAAGCAATTTCTTCATTTAGTAATTGAAGCTCCTTCTCCTTCTAAGCGATCTTAGCCTTGATCTCCTGATTTTCCTTGATCAGTCCAACCATAAGGGCAGGGTCATAGGAAGGCGTCTACGACTGTGAAACAGTTTGTCCAGGTTGAGGCATTTTGATGTGTGGTTTTTTTGCAATGACTTTTTGTGGAGTGGCTACTGAAGTTTGTGCCATAATCGGATATTGTTGCATAGATTGAGTATTTCTTAATCTCTGGTAGTCAAAACGTAATGTATTTGGAGTTCCAATTCTTTAGATTTGAGATGTGCGTTGTGTTGGTGAGACAAAAGGACCATATTGGTTCAGATTTTAGAATTGCGGTACTACAGGATATCGTGTTGGTTAACGAATTTGCATTTATATATATAAATATTTTTTATTAATGTAAAACTAAGTGGATCTAGACATAGACACAGGTCAGTTTGATACTATGGAGAGGGACTTTTAGGAGGTCTTACGTGATTTAGGCACTGATTAAAACTTAGAGAGATTCAGATCTGAGTTTGATAAACTTTATCGTTCGCTGAAAATCATTCACGAGAATCAAAGGCGATTGATCAGCAAATGTAGAGAGTACAATGCTGAAATCTCTTAAAATGCATCCAAAGTATTTACTCACTTAACATTAGATTCAAACTGTTTTAAAAATGACCGCTGACGATTCTGCTGCTATCTAATAATTGAAAACGCAATTAGAAAAAGCATATAAAGTGTTGGAAATTCAATAAGAGAGGGAGGAGAAGCATAAATAAAAGATTAAAATCTAAGAAAATGAAATCAAGTAATTGTTATGCCATAATGTAGACAACTCAATCAAACCATTGAATAAAGCAAGGCTTTAAATTCAGGATAGACTACAACTGTGCATGAGTTATTGTAAAGAAAGTAAGAACTTTTGAAAGAAAAAGAAATTCTGTAGATTTAAGTATTTGGGACTAGATCGGAGAATTAATCCATTTTGGATAGAATTAAATCATTGGAGACTTCCAAGGAATCAGTTATGAAGGAATACAAAATATTATAGCAATAAAAGGCTGAATTTGAGGAGAGATTGCAAAAGGATGAGGAGGCAAAAAATGTAACTTAAGCAGAATTGGAGAAGATTAAAAAGGATTTTGATTCATTGAAGGAGGATGAAAAGTAATTGGGAAATGAGAAGAAGAAATTAAAAAGTGAAATTGAAAAAGTGACTTTATAAAACAGTGTAAAAACTAAAGAAATTGAAAATTTCAAATCGGAAAAGAATAGAGTGGAAAAAGAATTAAAGGATACTAAGGATAAGAAGGATTCAGTGGTCAAAATAAACGAATAAATTGAAGAGAAAATCAGGGATACTAGATTATAGATCGAAGTATTTGAAACTGAAATTGCATAACTACATTAAAAAATAAGTGAAGGGGAGGAGAAAAAGAAGAGAATGACAGAGTTAGTGAAGGAATAAGAAGAATTGGCAGAAAGAATTGAAGAGGAGAAGCAATTGGCTAATAATGGGTTAAATTAATTGGAGGATGACATCCAGATAGAAAGAAAGAAAGCCTAAGATGACAGACAAGTGATTGAAGATTTAAGAAGAGCTAGAAATATTCTATAAAAGGAAATTGATAGATGTGATAATAATAATAAGAAAATTGAAGAAGATTTCATTGCTAAATAAAAATATTTAAGTGAAAAGTAAAATGAATTAGGAGGTTTACAAAAGAAAATTGATTATCTCAATAAGAAGATTGCAAATGTTGAAAAAGAAACAGAATAATAATGTTTACAATTTTCATAAGCACAAACTAAGTATTTTCATTCTTTAGATGAAATTAAATTGAAAGATTCATTAATCAGTGAATTCTAAAAAAAGAATATTGAAACTGAAGCCAAATTAAAATAATAATAGAATCTTTATGAAACTGTCAGAAGTGATAGAAATCTGTATTCAAAGAATTATACAGAAAAACAATAAGAAATTGAAAAAATGAGACGAAGCTATAAAATAGTCAATCATTAGATTTCACAATTAAAAGAAGAGATTGAGGCCAAGGGAAATGCATTAGCAAAGGAACATTTAGAACATAAAAAAAAAGATAAAACAATCGAAGAATAATCTAGAGTATTGGAAAAGTATAAAACAGATATCGATGAAAAGGCTGAAAAGATTAATAAATATATAAAAAGAGTTGACAAATTGCAGTTTACAATTAAAGATGAAGAATAATAGATACAGAATCTCAAAGAAGAATTTGAATTGGTTGTAGCAGAAAGAGATATCTTGAGTACTTAACTCATAAGAAGAATTTCAGAAACTAATCTACTTTATGAAAAAATCAAAATTAATGAAAGTACTCTTAAGAAAGGAGAATAATAATATAGAGAAAGACTGGGAGATATTTAAATGTTGAAAGAAAAGATAGCTGATTATAAAAGGGAAATTAAGGTCTTTAAAAGGGAAGCTGATACAATTAAAGATTTAGAAGGAGATATACACAACCTTACAAAAGAGTTAACAGAGGAGAAGCTGAAAGCTAAGGCTTTGACAGAAGAATTAGAAAATCCAATGAATGTACATAGATGGAGAAAATTGGAAGCCACTGATTCTGAAAATTATGAATTAATGACCAAAATCCACAGTCTACAAAAGAGACTCATCCAAAAAACAGAGGAAGTTGTTATTAAAGAAAAGGTAGTAGAGGAGAAGGAGAAGGAATTGAAAGCTTTGAAGGATGAAATGAAACGCAAACCTGGATTAGAAGATTAGGCAATGATACCATATTATTAAGATAGTCTTAGATAGAAAGAAGAATAGATGAAAGCAATGGATTAGGAATTGAGTATGTATCAATCACATATTAATGAATATAAATTAGAAATAGATAGAATTAATAAAGTAATTATTTCATTTATTTTCAAAGGAATTACAAAGGGTCAAATAGAAGTACTTTAATTAAAAGAAAAGAGAATAGTAATAAAGAGATCTTCGTATATAAGAAGAATAAGGATAGTCAATCTAAGTAATCTTACCAGAGAAAAAGTATGTGGGTGGTGGTTTTGCTTTATAAAAATGAAATATCGACTGATATAAAATTAACTAAAATTAAATTTGGTTCTTTGATCCTCTAAGAATTTTGGTTTTTCATACTCCAAAATATTGATTATATAAAAGTGAAGTTGTTTTAAATGAATAATAATAAAATATAAGCATAAGGTGTTTTAATGAAAATAATGTACTGTTTTTCAGAATGAAAACAAGCTAATTTATATGATTAAATAACAAGGAGATAATGAAAATTGAAATAGAGAAAGAGAGTTTTAGAGATGACGAATATAGTTTAAAAAGCTATAGATTAATCATTATAATGGAGGATTGCAATTATAAAATAATAGAATGAATATTGAATTGTATTTACAAAGTATAGTAACTGGATAACAGCATAATGAATGATCATAATTATTTGTTTTATGGATTTGGAATGGAAATGAGAAGAAACCAAGGAGGTAAAAAAATTAATATTATGTTTACTACTAATGATTTATTAACAGATCAAGGTATTTATTTATTTTGAGAGATAACTCTTTTCATCTAGATATCTTTTAGATATTCTATGTAGGCATCTCTCGATACAGCTTTAGGGTATTTGATATTTTAGGTACTCTATATTGGATTGGAGACAGGAAGGATTTTGTCTTTTATTTTATTTAGATATAGGGTGTTAGAGCAAATAGAATCATTTACTCCTTTAATTTTGGGAACGAATAATTGAATGTCTTGGATTTCATCTATTAATAATTTATCAGGAATCTAGATATGATCCTTTTTGTTTGACCAAGAAACTTATTCTTTGTATTTTTGCACATTTTCCATCATGGATTAGAATGCCTTTGACTCATTGGAGACTTTTTCTTAATTCGTGCAAAATTTTAGAGGACAATTGTTGAGATCATTTTTTTGGATGATTTATGAACATGGCATATTTATGTCTTTGAAGAGCTTATTTTTACAATGGATATTGTTTAATTTCTATTGTTTCTTTTCTTTCTTATTCGACATTGAGGTAGCATCTGATTTTTTGATTGATTACACTTTATTCTATTCTTTTTTGTTTGCTTTACTCACTTTTTGTTTTCTTTTTTTCGGCATTTACTCTGCTGGTATTAAGATCTCAAGATCTGATTCATCTATGACTACAGCATTGTCTTCGTCCAATGAGACATCTAATTCTTATACTAAGAAGGGTCCTTCGTTGCGAATTGTGAGCATATTAATTATAAATTTAATAATTAATGAATATTGAATCTCAAGACTTTAGATATCGAGATATCAAGAATTATTAGAGTCTTTCTAAATTGTAAGTATGCAAAAAGTGCTATATTCATATAGATTTTGGTTGTTGGGGATGGTTAGACTGGGAAGTCCTCATTGGTTAACATCTTGACTTATCGAAAATATCCAGATAAGATGGCAGGTAAGACTTCCAAGCAGCCGTTTAAAACTTAGGGATGTGATATTCGAATGGCATTGAGAAACGATTTAACATAAAAGCAATAGTTTTTGTTGTAAATTGTAGATCTTTCTGGAGACAAAGCTTAGAGATAATACTTAGATGTGTATATATCAAGATTGAAATTGAATGGGATCATATTCTGTTTCGATGTCACTAATTTGAAGACTTTGGATAATATACGAAAATGGATTTAACGATTAACAATTAAGAGTGTGATACATGAGGATAATGAAGAGGCTTTGGAGACAGACAACAGCCAATTCTCAAGACAGAGTAGCTTAGCCATATAAGACGAATAGGATTGCTTATTAAATTATAATAGTTACACAGGAATCCCTATGGATGAGATTCTACAAATCCCTTTCATTTTTGTTGGGTGTAAAATGGATTAGATCCCAATGGACAAACAGGTTAGATTGCGATAATAGATTTCTGAAAGAGTAAAATATAAATATATTATTGTAGATCCAACAAGTTTACAAAAGATCAAATACAGTAATATTGTTGAGTTCAACTAAGCCTTTGACATATTCTGATCAATTTAAATAGTTGGAGGAGTGCATTTTGAGAATTAAGCAAAAAGACAAATTGGAAGAATTCTTCATTAGAGAAAAGATTCAATCAAAGATGATGAAGTTGGATGAGTCTTTCTGGAAATCCACTATTCAAACACCATTAGAGTAAAAATACTAATTGTTTTGTGTTTATATGAAACATTTTTGGCAAAGATTGATGTGTAAAAAGAGAAAGCAATGATGTTATTAATGTTTATCATCATAGTTTTAAAAATCATTCATTCATACATTGCTTATTTTTCAGGTCAATCAAATTCAGTGTTTGCTCAGCAAGTTTCTCTATATCATTATTTTTATGATCTAAAAAGGTTTCTAATTTTTATTCTAATTCAGTATCATCTATGCAATAGGCTTAGTAGTAGTAAATTAAAGTGTAGAGAACTTTTAAATAGATAATAATATTTTCGGTTTCTTCTGGTTCTTCTAATAGAAATTTAATTCTAACTATTTAAAACACTCTTAAATCTTGGATCAACTCAGTCGATGTGTAAGTCATACAATTATATGTGATCCCATAAATGAGTCTTAGATAGTTTTGGTCTGTCTTGTCTGAATTCTAAAAGTTTTACACAACTTCTGCAATAAAAGGGAGATCTGAAACAATCTCTTTTTGTAGATTTTCAGAATCCACATTAGTAAAATTAGCAAGTAATTTGATTGAAGCCTATCTTATTATTAAACTTTCATGATTGATATATTATTTCACAATGTCATGTCCTTTTAAAAAGAAGATTCTTTAAACAAATTTTTCATCCTTGAAAGCACTTATGCCTATCATAAATCTCAAAATCATGGATATTAGTATCTGATTTTCGCTAAATTCTAAGAGCTATACACAAATCTAAAGTGTTGTGTTATCTAAATCATTAGCTATATCAGGATCTAAGGAAATAATTTAAATGAGATTCTTAACAAACATGAAGGTTATTTTTGGATATTGTATTTAAAGTGGCAGTAATTATTTCATCAAGTAAAATGTAAATCTTAACTATGCAATATTCGATATTTAATACCTCTTAGTTGTATTTCGATATTACTTAAGTTAACTCTTCTTCCGTAAAGATTCTGAATTAATTGAAGAATCTACAGAATAACTCAGTTCCACTTTTAATCATCTTAAACTCATCATCAGTGTATATTTCATGCTAATTTTCCTTTAGTATTTGATTCACTAATGGAATTAGATTATTATTTAATAAGTATTCTAATTATTTTCTTGTTAATTCTTGCGTACAAATACTATTGAGGGCATCAAATAACTAAATGATTTTGATTGTATTATTACATTATCAATCATTCTGATGTCCATTCTTTGCTTTGCCAATTTTAATTAATTTAGAAAAAGCACTTCACACTCTCCAAGATTTTATTTGGTGCAAATATTACTCAAAATTGTGATTGAATAATAATCTGATTACTATGCGCTAAGAAATAGCTTGTTTAACAATTATTAATCATTTGCAGCCTTTAATAATTTCTATTGACTAAACTCGCCATCGATTAAATATTTGTGAAGTTCCTATGATTCAGAAAAACTTGGAATCTCAATAATGGGGTTCTCTTCGTTGCTCATCCCGCATTTCTTTCGATTTTAATTGAATAAATCTTCTAGTCTCTCTTTTCTAATCGAAAATCTAAATTCCTCTCTTTTTGTCAATAATAATGATTATTGCTCACTTTTCATAATTATATTTATATTCAAATTATTTAAAACATTCTCAATGTTATTTCTAATATTTATCAATAGTTCATGAACACAATGTTCCCATATCCATTTAATAGATTATGATATTTATCTCAGAACTGTTAATCATTTTTAATACTCTTTTATATGAATTTGTATTCACTTTCTTCAATGAAGTCTTAAAAACGGTTTTGCAATCCATTAACTCTTGCATTCAATTAGTTTTACTTCTGAACTATGCCAAAATTAGTTTAAATCTTACAATTCTTTCAACTTGAATTAGAGTCTAGAGCGAACTGGTGGGATAGACTATGGAAAGAAAATGATATTAGATTTAAATAATCTCTCATCAATAGTGAAAATTAATATAATTTCTTGGTATATTCAATTAGATATATTCATCTTTTTATTCATCCTTAATTTATTGTTTTAACAATTTATTCAATACTATAAAATAACATAAACACAAATGTAAGATGATAGGGTTTTAGAGAGAAGTCCACAAGACTCACTTAGAATTTCACAAAGATCTTCTATGCTAGATAGAAAGCAGAGTGGCCGTTTCACATTCAAGAAAACTCAAGAGGAAGAACAACAAACTCAAATTCAGAGCAATAGAAATCGAATCAAACAGCAGTTAAAATGTATAAGTTAACTGATTTTGATTTTAAGGCTAATTGAATGCCATAATTAATAAGCCAATACAGCCATTATAAATGAGAGAGGAACAGTTGATTGAATTAGGTAAGAAATTAGATGTAGAAATTACTTCAATTGATGTTGAAAATATTATTCCAAATACAAAGGAGTTTTTTGAAGATTATGAAATTCACGAGAGATTGGGAGAGGGATGTTTGGGATTGGTGAAACGAATAGTCTAAAAAAATACAGGCTTGGAATTTGCTGTGAAGATAGTTGCTACTTAGGACGATGAAATTATACGGAATGTAAAAAGACAATAATAATATCTTTTAAGATGATCATAGAATTTAAGAGATTGGTTCAATTATCACATGATAATATAGTTAAAGCCTACAAAATGTACTTGGATTTTGATACAGGATTTTAATCTGAAAGTTAGGCCTTCGTGGTTATGGAGTTGATTCATGGCAAAGAGATGTTTGAAGTTATAAGCGAAGCGGGACATTATAGTGAGGATGATGCAAAAGAGCTTTTCAAGTAATTGCTTAGTGCCATAGAGTATATGCATCGTCATGGCATTTGTCATAGAGATCTCAAGCCCAACAATATCTTGTGTCTTTAAGGTAATGCATTCAGAATGATCTGTTTATTTAGATAGAAAGCAAATCAAGGTTACAGATTTCAACGTTAGTAAATTCAGTGACTCATATAAATTGTTTGGGGATCTGCAAGATACCGAAAAAATAGAGATGTGGACATATACTGGCACTGTGGCTTTTTCAGCACCGGAAATATTCACTGGAGAAGGTTATAAGTAATAAATACTTTAATGATATTTTGAAAGTTAAATGGTTGATATGTGGAGTGCAGGTTGTATTCTTTATTCAATGCTTTCTGGATAGTTGCCATTTAATGCAGATTAGTAATCAAATTCACCATTATCCAAGTTTGAACGACCTTGTAGAAAATATTAAACTAGCCAAGTATGATTTTCCAGAAGAAATCTTTTCAGAAGTCTCTGCTGAAGCCAAAGATCTAATTTAACTATTATTAAAGAAGGATCCATAAGAAAGACCACATCCGGATCATGCATTAGGGCATTCTTGGTTTAGAGGAAATGTAGTCAGGAAAACTTTAAGACATTTGACTATTAATAAAAATATAAACCATCTTGCATCAAGAAACTCAAATAGGTAGAGATAGAGGACGTTCCTATTGAAAAAAGACTGCTACACAGGATCAAGTGATGGGGAAGANGATAGAAAGCAGAGTGGCCGTTTCACATTCAAGAAAACTCAAGAGGAAGAACAACAAACTCAAATTCAGAGCAATAGAAATCGAATCAAACAGCAGTTAAAATGTATAAGTTAACTGATTTTGATTTTAAGGCTAATTGAATGCCATAATTAATAAGCCAATACAGCCATTATAAATGAGAGAGGAACAGTTGATTGAATTAGGTAAGAAATTAGATGTAGAAATTACTTCAATTGATGTTGAAAATATTATTCCAAATACAAAGGAGTTTTTTGAAGATTATGAAATTCACGAGAGATTGGGAGAGGGATGTTTGGGATTGGTGAAACGAATAGTCTAAAAAAATACAGGCTTGGAATTTGCTGTGAAGATAGTTGCTACTTAGGACGATGAAATTATACGGAATGTAAAAAGACAATAATAATATCTTTTAAGATGATCATAGAATTTAAGAGATTGGTTCAATTATCACATGATAATATAGTTAAAGCCTACAAAATGTACTTGGATTTTGATACAGGATTTTAATCTGAAAGTTAGGCCTTCGTGGTTATGGAGTTGATTCATGGCAAAGAGATGTTTGAAGTTATAAGCGAAGCGGGACATTATAGTGAGGATGATGCAAAAGAGCTTTTCAAGTAATTGCTTAGTGCCATAGAGTATATGCATCGTCATGGCATTTGTCATAGAGATCTCAAGCCCAACAATATCTTGTGTCTTTAAGGTAATGCATTCAGAATGATCTGTTTATTTAGATAGAAAGCAAATCAAGGTTACAGATTTCAACGTTAGTAAATTCAGTGACTCATATAAATTGTTTGGGGATCTGCAAGATACCGAAAAAATAGAGATGTGGACATATACTGGCACTGTGGCTTTTTCAGCACCGGAAATATTCACTGGAGAAGGTTATAAGTAATAAATACTTTAATGATATTTTGAAAGTTAAATGGTTGATATGTGGAGTGCAGGTTGTATTCTTTATTCAATGCTTTCTGGATAGTTGCCATTTAATGCAGATTAGTAATCAAATTCACCATTATCCAAGTTTGAACGACCTTGTAGAAAATATTAAACTAGCCAAGTATGATTTTCCAGAAGAAATCTTTTCAGAAGTCTCTGCTGAAGCCAAAGATCTAATTTAACTATTATTAAAGAAGGATCCATAAGAAAGACCACATCCGGATCATGCATTAGGGCATTCTTGGTTTAGAGGAAATGTAGTCAGGAAAACTTTAAGACATTTGACTATTAATAAAAATATAAACCATCTTGCATCAAGAAACTCAAATAGGTAGAGATAGAGGACGTTCCTATTGAAAAAAGACTGCTACACAGGATCAAGTGATGGGGAAGATTATTATGATGTTAAAATTAAGTCCACAATAAGAAAGAGTTTATTTTGCGCTATTAAGCCCACACAAGAATAACAGGTTGATACGAACCACCTCAAGGTAACGAGCGGGTTGCTTCGTAAGTCTAATACAACTTAGATAGAAGATTTTAAATATTATGATTAATAGTGATTAATAAATTAATTAATTCAATTAATAATTTTGGTTATCCAAAAATATCTTTTTTTGGGCATTTTTAAACGAATTCATTTTTTGGATTTCTAATCATTAATTAAATTTGGCAATGCAAAATAAGACCATCTTCGATAAATTAGGAGGCTAAGCTAACATTGACGCTGCTGTTGTCAAGTTTTATCAAAAAGTCCTCTCTGATCCATCTGTCAGTCACTATTTCAAAAACACAGACATGAAGAAATAAACAGACATGTAATAAAAGTTCCTCACCATGGCTTTTGGAGGACCCAATAATTACAAAGGAAGAGTAACACATTTATTTTATATCATTAGGACATGAAAGCAGGTCATGCTGGTCTTGGAATTACAACAGCTGCCTTCAACACAATTGTCAAGCATCTCGGTGACACCTTGAAAGAAATGGGAGTTCCAGCAGATGTAATTGCTGAAGCTGCTGCTGTTGCAGAAACCACCAGAGCAGATATCGTTGAAATCAAATGATTCATATAGATATATGTCATTCATTTATTAAAATCAATTATATCTACACCTCCACAAACATTAACTAAACTCAAAGTATGAAATGGAGAATTTTTGAAATCATTGATCTAGATCAAATTCGAGGGTGAATTCTAAACTAAAAAAATAATATTGGAATTCATTTGAAAAGTGTGCAATCAACCTCATGCATAAGTCAGATTTGCGAAAAAATGAAGTCACGTATGAAATCAGTAATATATATTAATTGTATTTCTAATTAATTTTATCAATCCCAATTTATTTCAATAAAAAAATTGGGCCTTTTTGCTTAAAGGTCTTTATTTAATTATGCATTACAAATAAAATGAGTAAGATAAGTGTTGACTTTCTAAATCTAAACCAGACTTTTTTTATAATATTTATATGTAAATGTCAATAATTTTATATATATTTTAACAATTTATTTATTATATAAAATCAAATTAACACTAAAATCACAAATCTTCTTTAAAAATATTAAGATCAAGACTATCTTTCATTGATTTGAATTAAACGTTTCCACTAATTATTGAATCAAGAAAATCTTAAACATTTGAAAGTGTCAATTCTCCTTAGAGTTTAGCATATCTTTCTTTTTTAGGTTTGATGACTAATGCTGATGGGAAACTACTAACATCATCAAAAACTTCAGAATAAATTAAGTTGCTAAAAATAATGGATTACTTATTTACTTTTTATTAATATAATAAAAATCGATTTTGTCCTTCATATAATGATAAGACAAGGGAGTCAATAAATCTAAATAATCTTTGTCCTCAGTAATAATAATGAAACACATTTTTGTGTCTTTAGTAGTACAAGCCCCATTTTTTATTAATAAGTTTGACAACTCTCTTGGACCTTGATGAGTTTTTTTAACTTTTTTGCTGATATATGCATATTCTCTTAAGAATTTCATAATTTATTCCTTCTTAAAATCATTTTATTCATAAATGACTCCTCTATATAATTCTGGCTCAGTCACTACCATGAGAGTAGGGAAATTTTTAATTTAAAATTACTCAACCAATTTTGTATCTGAATTTCGAACTTGTCCAAAAACTAGTTTCCCTTTTAATTCTTTGGATAGAACTTTAAGGAGAGGAGGTGTAGAGGTTTTATTAGTGAATAACAAGACTATGTGTTATTCTTCTTGTTGAATGAATTTTTCGTAGTTGTCATTAGTTACTATGCTTACAAAGCTTTCCATGAAGGAAATGGCAAATTTGGCTAGTTGGTCTATTTCCACTCTGGATTTGAATTCGACTGGTTCTTATCTGATATTTGCAGGGTATGCATATATTTTTGGAAACTCGTAAACCTGGAACTCGTCATCACAGATTTCATTTTCAGCAGCACAATTTATTGCAGCCACTTAGAAGATGCCATAATATTTAGAAGCAAATTCATTCCAAGTGTTTTTGTGTTACCTTCCATAATCATCATTCTTATAGAAGTAAATCATCCACACATGATCTCTTCTAAAGAATCTATTTATCGTAGTCATTTCAATTTCGTAAACATCACTTTTAGAAAATAAGGACTATTCATGATTTGGTTTCTATTATTAAAATCCACCTCCAAAAAATCTTGAGAAAACATCGTTATAATTAAAATGACCTTATTCTAGATGTATATTTATAAATGGATACTTTGTTGTTATCTTTGAGTATGCTCTTTCAATCCCTCTTCTCCATAATTGTCATATATTTTTCTCTATTCTGGGTCTTTGAGTATTTCATACGCATTGACAATCTTTTAGAATTGTCTTTCAGACTAATATAGGCGAGATTAGAGTTACTTCCTCTTTATTTCCTTTGGCCTTGTCAGGATGGTATTTGAGAGAGAGCTTTTTGAATGCCTTTTTGATTTAATCATCAGATGCGCCTCTCTGTACTCCAAGTAACTAGTAATAATCTTAGCAGAGTGCTTGAAGAAGGAGGCAAAGGAGTAGGAGAAAAGTTTTCATTTTAATTATTAAAAACACGTTTATGGTGTAAATTCTAGAACAATGGCTTAATAACATTATAAAATATGAATAACGAGAGGGGGTGGAGGGAGATATATGATGTATATTTATTTTATGTTTAATGTGAACATAACAACTCAATATCCAGAGTCAGCAAGGTACTTTGCCATGTCAATGACACGTTTGTTGCATTCAGCAGCATTCTAAGTAGCTCCATTTTCAGCATTGATGGTTTGGGAGAATGAAGCAAAGACAGCGACGGTGTTAGCCCAAGCAATGCAAGCTCCTCCTTTGTTCTATTGATTATCATGTTGTAATATACCTTCTTCAAATACCATGACTTAGCCTCAGAATCGAATTGAACTGAATAATATTTTTGATTGTTGATTCTAACTCCAGCTGCATTTCCGCTGTTTCCATTGTGTTTGAGAGCATGAACAAAAGCAGCTTTCTCATCATAGGCAACCTGGTTGATAACATCTGGGTTCTTCTCATCTGGTACTTCAGCTTGATAAGAAGGAAGGGCTGCAACACCGAAATTGCTTGCCCAAATGTTTCCATCTAATCCAATAATGCCAGCATATTCAAGTGCTCCATTTGCTGTCAAATTTGAAACATAAGCATCCCAAGACATGGTTATTTAATATAATTAATGAAAATCATATCTTCTTCATCATGAACATATTTATATGCGCATTAATAGAAGATACTCAATTAATTATATAATGTTGCAGAATATTTGTTTATAATTTGTGTTGCTTTTTTCAATTTTATTTTGAAGAAGAGAATGAACTATTCGACTAGTTTAACAATTTGTGATAGTATCGCTCTGGCAAACTTTCCACTTCTAACGATTCCTCTTTATAAGCGGGATGAGATTCTTACCACATATTGCACTTGCTTCTTTTTGAACCAAAACAAATACACAGCACAGAACAACGGCAGGAAATATCCAAAGAGACAAATTAAAATATCAGCCCAAGGTTTTACAACCACATTCTATATTAACATGTCTCATCGCTTACATATGCAGGGAATTCGCAGATGTCTGTTTTGTTTGATTTGTAATAGATGAAATAGACTAAATCGGCACTCCATTGAATTACTTATCCAAAGGCTGTCACACAAACCAAAGTCCTTTTATTTAATTACAATCCTGACATTACCAAAATTTCAATTTTATATTTCTAATCTTTATGTACTACGTCTTCTCCACTCCTGTCATCCTGTTTGTGAACATAATTTGCTCAATTATCAATGCATTCATTTTCTTATTCAGAAAATACGCTCCAGTGATGAAAATTATGCTTGCAAATAATTCCACCACTCTTATCACAAACAATGTTATGTCTAAGGCCTTAGATATTTTGTACATACAACTGCAGTGTTCATTCATAGTGTAGTAGACGACTATATCAATCAATAACAATATAGAAAAAAAAGCACACAATCCATAAGTGCAACCTCGCACTAATTTTGTATTGCTTTTATTATAAACATTAAGATCTGTTGCCTTTTTTGTAAAGAAGTAAACCAGAAAAATCAAAAAAGATTAATCAAAGTAAAAATACAAAAAATAAGCAAATGCGAGATTTCTATTCATTGTGAAGATCAGAAAAACTATTTTGTTCATTCTATCCTAAAAATACCCTTACATGTATCTGCAAGTAAAATTATCAAAAACAATAGTTGCTTTCTTTTGTAAAGTCTTCTCTATTCAATTACTCGTACTGTAATTTGGTGTATACATAATGTCATTAACAACAAAGAGCAAGCCGTTCCTAAATAGAGGCTGTTGAAAGGGCAACTTACTCCAAACATAATCCTAGGTCGGTGCACTTTCCTGATACACAATATATAAATCCCTGATTATTGCCTTCACTCATTAATTATTTTATGAGTAAAACTATTAAGAAATTAAATGAAGTTGCATTAGATAATATACAAGCAACAACTTGGCATGATGAATACAATAAGAGTAGTTACATATTTATTGCCAACCTTAATTATGCCATGAATGAAGGTGATATAGCCATTGTCTTTTCGCAATATGGAGAAATAGTTGATGTACATTTAGTCAGAGATAAAATTACTGGAAAATCCAAAGGGTTTTGTTTCTTGGCTTATGAAGATTAGCGGTCAACTATCTTGGCTGTTGACAACTTCAATCACGCAGAAATATGTATCTATATGAAATACCAATAAGGTGGAAGATTATTAAGAGTAGATCATGTAAGAGAGTTCAAGCCTCCCAAGGAATACCTTGACATCTCCCCTGATGATCCAGAAATATTTAATAAGCTCTATAAGCCATCTGGTCCTGATGGCAAAGGATGGGGAACTTTTAGAGAGCTGACTCAAGAAGAATTAGTATTAAAAGCATAAATAGAAGCATAATAATAAGAAATCCAGAAAAGAAATGAAAAAATATTTGAGAACATGCAATAGATAAAAAATATGCAGACGATCATTGATGAGGATGAAAGGGTATTATAATTATACTATTTTTAAGTGGGATAAGATGTTGATGGTATAGGATGAGAAGAAAGAACTATTGGAAAAAATTGAAGCTCTCTAATATTTCAATAATAAAATGCAAAAGTATAAGGAGGTCCAAGAGCCAGAAAAATAGGAAACTAATGAGGAGCGATTATTGAGATTATAGAAAAAGTAAAATAAAAAATATGAGAAAAAGAATTCAGAAGAGAAGGGAAAAGAGAAGAAAATAAAAAAAGAAAAAAAAGAGAAAAAGGAGAAAAAAAACAAAGATAAAAAGGAGAAAAAGGAGAAGAAATCTAAGAATTTAAAGAAAGATCAGCCACAACAATCAGATAACTCGGGTAGTGGAAGTTAAAAATGAGATAATTTTATAAATCAATCAATTAATACTTAATAATCAAATTATAGCAACTTTGAAATAAATTAAATGTGAATTTCATAACTATTATTCTTATACAGAATTTATTTACTCCTCTAATAAGTCTTTTAGTCTTTCCTCAAGAGAGTTGTCTAAATCTTAAGATAATTAATATATATTTTTACTATGATCTATTGCAAATTTGGTAGCTAAGTTTTCTGAGTTGTCTCCATTAAATACTGGTAATCTTACAGTTTTTGCATCATCGATTTTTACATCAATATACAAAATAGGAAAGTTCAGGAATATTGGTTTACTTTTAATTTTCTTGCATTTTGGTTCTTAACTCATTGATTATTCGGTTTATAATTTGATCTGTGTTCTGCTTTCATTGTTCGTGGTGTTTCCTGTGTTTTTCAACTTTTCCAGTGTCTTCTATCTAAGTCTAGCCTCTCTTAATCTTTTTGCTTATTAATCAATGTCATATTGCGTTGAAGCAGTCGATATTGGAAAATGCTTCATAGGATTAATCTGGGGTGAAAAAGTGCAAAATTATTATTGATTTTCAAATTCTACATCGATTGTTGATTTATCCTACTGCTTTTTAACTGGTTTGCTTAATTAAGTTAAATCGATGGCAACAGGTTTGATAGTTGATTTGAGTTCCTTTGTTTCATCTTATTATTATTATTCAAGCTAGCTCTTCAGTTTTTCAATGTTCTCCTTCTTTTTCTATTCTTATTAAGCAAACCATTCATTGATATTTAGATTGTTCTTCTTCTTGATAGCCATATCTCGAGATCTATTGCTTAATAAATTGATAACTTATGGAGGAGATTTGGATTTCTCAAGATTTCGTCTTTGTCCGTTCCCATGGATTTGTTTAGTGTTCAAATAGAGTTATTTGTATTTGTTATGAATTTCAATACAATCTTAAGGGGACAGCATTAAATTTCCATTTTCGTCATTCTTATAATGAGAGGCCATAGGAACTTGTTCATCATCCTTAGGGATATAAAGTGGTATCTATTAAACTGGTACGTTAAGGATGGCTAGTAATACAATAAGCATATTTCTGGAGAGAATATAAGATCCATTAGTAAAATCATTCCATAGTTCCTTACTTTCTCCAAATCCTAATCCCTGGAGAATTTACTGGAAATCGTTTTCATATATTTTGGAGTAATCCCAGCTTAATTTGACATTTTCAGTATTGCTGAGAAAGTAATAGAAATCCTTGATAAATCTTTGGATAAACCATTATTGGGTAATTTCTGATAATTTACCTTCATTTGTAGTTGAGGTTTGAGTATTTTACTGTGTTTTCTGTTGTCTTGTTCGACTATCGTCATACAATATTTAAGTGACATGCTTTTCTCTTCTTGAGTTTTTCAGTTTTTCTGTAGTATCTCTTTATTATTTAGCTTAGATAAGATTTTTTAATTAAATTGTTTGTGACTATTCAATCTTTTTTGGTTATTCTTCAGAGGTGAATAATTTATGATTTGTATCATTTGAATGTTCAACAGAAGACTTGAGGATTCTCTTTTTGTCATTTTAAATTTCAAGTACTCTATTTTCCACTTAAGATGAATCGATTCTTTCTGGGGAGAGCAAGAGATCTTGGCTTTTCACATTAAAAGCTCTAGAGGATTTGATGTTATCGAAATGATTGGTGTATAGCTTTTGTGATTATAATGTGTATTAACTTTTCTAAACATTGGACACTTCTCTCCTGGAACCCTCTGTTTTTTGTTTAGCTTTACTTACACCACGAGCCTTTTCTGGACATACACTATGAGTGCCCTCTTATGGTTTAGTCTTTCCAAATAGATTTTGTAGTTAATTCAGAGAAGTGAGGGGATGTCTCTCACGAATAACTGACATATTGTTAAATTAATATATATATTTCACTGTTTTGCCTCCTTCACTACTTCTATTGTTCTAGCCAACGCTTTCAATTGAGCAATAGCTAAATCAAGCAAGTCAGCTCTGGTTTCAAATCTGCATTGTTCAGATATGACTTCCACTAAACGCTCAATCTCCTCAATCTAATCCACATAGCATTTATAGCTCAATTCAACAGTCAAAGTTGGTCGACGAGCCATAGGTCCATAGAATTAGATTGGGCCTGGATTCTCATAGTGATCCTTCAAATACCAATTCTTAGAAATCTGACTGAAGTGTTTAAAGAGCGACTAAATAACATTAATTAAATCTAATTACCTATTTCAAATCCACTTCATAACTAGCAATGATAGGCTGTGCTTCTCCATATGCACTCTTCTATTTGATGGATATCATTCCTAATAGTGGGATCAAATTGAAATGCCATCTCTCAATGGGACCTGCAATTCCTCTAGCAGAAACACAATAACCAGTCAATCCTCTTTAGATGCTTAAACCGGCCAAATAACCATAGACTTCTCCTAATTTGGCATCGAATCGAGTAGGAAATGCACATCTGCCTTGATATCCGAAAAAGTGACAAATAGGTGAAAATGAACCCTTATATTTTGATTCTGCTTTTCTGACTTTGAGTTCTTCAGCAACCAAATGAGCTAATAATCTCTCAGTTTCAATTTGTGATAATTGGATACCTCCATGCACTTCTCTCTCCATAAGCAACTATTGTTAAGTGAAATCTGGAAGGGATTGGAATAGAGCTGCAGACCAAGGAGTCAAATTATTCATAATATCCTGTTTATTGGTTGTGAAATGCTTATCCAATTCTGTAATTAATTATTTGAATTATCCAATATGTGCCAATAACCCTTCAGGTACAAGAACAGTACCAAACTCTTTATTTTTTTATGATCTAAGTACAACCACATCTGCAATTTCCGAGACCACTTCCTATAAAGTGAGTCCTCTTTCTTTGATATCTTCACTGATAAGTACAACATTTGGATGAGTTTAAAGTGCACATTCCAATACAAGATGCGAGGGATCTCTTCCCATTAATCTTATGAAGTACCAATATTTGACAGCACTGGCAGCATCTATCATGATATTACCGATCATTTAGGAATAAGTCTTAGAAGCAGTATCAAAACCGACAATACCTTCTAAAAATGGATGACCAATATTATTATCGACTGTGCAGGGAACTCCAATAACTCTGGTCTTCACATTCTCTTACAGTAAATAGTTGGCAACTATTATGCAATCAGTGAGAGTGTGTGAAGCACCTACTACAACTAGTCCATCTAAAGATAGGATGTTGCAAGTTTCTTTAACTTATTATAATTCCTAAACTGTTCTCATTTTATCTGCAGTACGACCTAGATAATGATATCCACCTTGGTTGATGTAATATTGTAGACTATTCTAATTGATTTCAATATATTCTTATTTGAATAGACCTTGGGTACCTCCAATGAATCCATATAATGTGGATCCACTTTATTCACACAATGCCAATACTCCTCTAATGATGCAATTTGCTCCTGGGGATTATCGACCATTCAATGTAATACCAATTCTTAAGGGTTTATTATGGGCTTCATGAGCATCATCGTGAACAAGTTGGAATGCATTTATACTTTTGGCCATTAGAGTTGGAAAGTGCTTTTCAATGGCTTTCATGACATTATCGCTATAATTGTGATGGATGACCTTAAGACTTAACTTAAGATTCAAGTGTTTGGGGAGAGCCAAAGGAGTATTGGATCTCTCCAATCCCAATTTTGATAAATTTCTAAGATGCATCTCTTCATAAGGCTTTTATTCATAAATTTTATTGTCCACTTCCTCGAATTCAAATCCTTTGCCATTGATAAGGAATGGAGGTACTTAATCACCTTCGAATTAGATTGGTCCAACAGGATGATAATAATCATGGAATGCCCATTTCTCTCTATTTTATTAATAGAATTTAAACAGTGGTCCGTCAAGATCAACTAATGCCTTTTTAATAACAGGAACTGATTTCCCTTTTCTAGTTTCCACATCCATCATAGTTACCAAAGGGAAACCAGCAGCATTCCATTCAGATGGACTTTTGTGTAAATTACGAATGCAACTCATGACTCCAGTGAATTTATTTTCAATTAAGATGGCTGCATTAACACCCAAACTGTAACAATAATCGCAATCAAATTTAGTAGGGAATGCACATCTGCCTTCATATCCATAATAATGACTGATGGCTGAGAATTTACCAGCATATTTTCTTCTTTCCAATTCAGCTTTAACCATCTCAATCAATAGTTTTTCAGTTTCAATTTTAGCCACTTGAACATTTCCATGAGGATCACGATCAAGTAATAATTGATCACTAATACTCCTTGGTAAAAATTCTAATAGTTTTGATGATTCAGGTGTTAATTTAGTCAAGATATTATTAAATACTTAATCTGGTTCCCATTTGTTGGCTGCCAAAATCGTATTAATTTCTTTGATTAATATCTTTACTTCATCAATAAATTCAATCAATCCTTCTGGTACTAAAATGACTCCGTGATTCTTATTTTACTTGAATCTCTTCTCAATCAAATCACTCAATTAAGTAACTATTTATGTCAATGAAGTCTTATTCTTCTCCACTTCCTCACCAATATACGCCCAAGTGGGTCTTGTTAAAAGTGCACACTCCAACGCAATATGAGATGCAGATCTACCCATTAAACGAATGAAGTGATAGTATTTTTTGGAGGATACAGTATCCAACATAATATTTCCAATAAGTTCACTATATGTTTTACATGCTGTGTCGAATCCAAAACTTACTTCAACAAACTCATTCTTTAGATCTCCATCAATTGTCTTTGGACAGCCAACAACACTTGTTTAACAATTGTTCTTCAAGAAATACTCTGCCAATAAACAAGCATTAGTGTTTGAGTCGTCTCCTCCAATCACTACCAAACCATCTAGTTTTAATGATTAACAATATTGAAGAGACTTCTTGAATTGTTCCTCTGTTTCAATCTTGTGTCTTCCACTTTGAATCATATCGAACCCTCCTCTATTCTTGAAATAATTGATAGTATCATCTTTCAATTCCTCATACTTGCCTGAGTAAATACCAATTGGCCCTTTCAAAAATCCAAACAATTAACTATTTGGATGTCTTCTCTTTATTTATTCATAAATCCCCACTATGACGTTGTGACCACCAGCTGCTTACCCTCCTGAAAGCACACAACCTTAAAAATCGAAACTAAAACCTTACCAATTCTCAAAGGTGCTCTGATTGTATTCTCATTAGCATTTGCTGCCTAAAACGTGACTGCCTTAACTTCTTCCTTGCACAAAAAGGGAAACATCTTTAAATGAATGACAATCAAAACATACTTCTCGAATTTGAGGATTCACTTAAATTGCCTCTGTTTTGGTGTCCAACTCCTCCAATTACAATAATTGTGGTAACTCAGGCTAATACTTGGTTCTGAGACTATGAAAGTTATTGGGTTGAATAATCATTAAATGTATTAATCATGTATTCTCCATCATTAGATATATATAAAGATTCATAGTGCGCTTTTAATTATCATTATTAGTATTTTATACATGCATTTATTCATTTATATTATATCTGTATATGTTATCAGAACAAATTAAGTAGATGCTGCATCAATAAACCAAACCCTTTCTCTCGCAGACCTTCTCTCGAAAAATAAGCACTCCCAACAAGAGATCCCAAGCACTCTCGACTTTATGTGCCCAAGATCTCCCCTCTTACTCACCATCTAAGCAGATCCTTTCAGATTAAAAACCTATCAGATTCCAAACCATAGAACATCAGAAGACTCAACAACCAAGTTCTCATAATGCCAACTCAGTTAGTTGCCAAACCAACATGTCCCTTTGTTGCTTTGATGACCCCTTACCTGACATTCCTCCTTCAGATCCAATATGGTTACAAATCATACCACAAGAAACATTAAAAGGTTCATCTGTCGAACAACTATTTAGAGAAAATAAAGAATATTTTTATTACTTATTGAGTTAGTACTTCAAAGAACAGATTCAAGGGGATTTCAACATAACTAAATTACAATCACCTATTAAATGCAAAACTCGCAACGACTATGATTTCTAATAGAGATCTTCCGAGAAAGTTCAACTTAATAAAAATTCCTTCTATGAAAATTATAAGTCTCCATAGCATTTACAATTTGCCAAAACTTCTTACAAATCTGACTTCACAGGATATGCTCCTCAAAATTACAACGTTAAAGCAGAGAAGCCTAAATACGAGAAAGCAAAGTAACAAATAGCCACACTTATATCCTACAAAGTAAAAGGAATTTCTTATTGTTAGACTAATGATAATAACTATGAATAGAATCAAAAAATGAATAGATTAACAGCTCCTCGATTATCTACATCTACCGAAATCAGAATCTAAACTTATAAGAACTACAATTAAGCCCTTGAATAGCCCTAATTGATAGAATAAACTTAAAATTGCAAAAATAATTATACAAAATTGTATTTCACTCATCCTTTAATTAAGGAATCCATTATCATCCAAGGGTATCTTTTTTGAGAAGCAATCAGAATCATACTTTTAATATCCACTTCATCCATTGCCAAGATCCAGCAAAACCTTTCTTAAACAATATACAACAATCATTAAAAAGTAAAGATAATCTAAGAAATTTCTAGAGATATTTAAGGACCCAAAATTGGAGATGTTACCTAGATGAAAAATTGGAGACAAAGTGTCATTAAATAAATGAATCACTTAAGAAGGCTATCATAGAACTGAAATTAATTATCATAATCAAGATAACAATTTTGTATTTTTATTCTTGATATAATTTTAATCAAAATTTGACTAATTTTTAACGATAATATCCTTATTTAAATCGAAATTCAGATTCTATATAAAAAAGATTGCAATTCTTGTTCAAAAAACGCAATTATTTAGATTATCGACAATTCATCAAAATTTGTAATTCTTTAGTAAGTCTTAGATAATAGTTTTTTTAAAATTCTCAACTAAATTATAATATATAAAGTAGATCTTTAAATAAGTTTAATAAATAAATAAATATTCAATTTCTTAATCTGTTTATTAAATTGATCTCTGATAGAATTTCGTATTATTTAATAACATCCGAATTGTTAACGGCGTTTTGAATTTATTAGCCATATTCATCTAACCTAAAAAACTTATTACAAAACTTACTTTTAGTTTAATTCAATGTTTAGTGTTTATTAAGTTTATAAATTTCCCTTCAATTGAATGAGTTCCTAATTTAATGATGTCTCCTTCTCTTCATATAATTTCTTAGTACTCAATAAGTCTTCATTTTATTGAGCTTAGATTGACTCTATTTCTTATTCATAATTATATTTTTATTCTTCAATCTAACTCTAGAGTGTATTTTTAGTTTCTTATAATTCGTTATCAATTTTATCTAAATTTTCTTCAGCAGCCTTTAATTATGCTTTTAATTCTGCCAATTGCTGTTCTTTTTATCTATTTTAATTCTACAAATTAGTTATTTATCTCTCAGCATTTTACTTGTCTCTTTATGATGTTGATGTTAATTATTATATTTTATGCTCTTGCTGTTTAATTAATTTTAATTATTTATTTAATTAATCTTCCTATTCTGCTACTGTAACATTGAATTTGGCTTTGATTTGCTCATTATCTCTGTACAAATCGTTTAGTTTATTCTATGAATAATTATAAAATTAAGTACAATCAATTGATCATTCATATTCTTGAATTACACTAAAGTGGTTTCGTATTATTACTCCTTTAATTCGATTATCTAATTTAAATTTTAAATCTATTGTTATAACTATTGATTAAATTCTAATTGCTATTGATTATAATTCAATAATTCTTTCTTCTATAAATCATAATCCTGATAGTTTTTTAAAATCTAATCTTGATATCTAGTTTATTAATCTTAAATCTAAGGGATTATTAATGATATTTACTTCTTTCTTCAAATTGTTGATGATATTTTGGGCATTTTCTTGATCCTACAGATTGGCTTAATGTAATTATTATCTTATTTTTTGTAACTCTTCTAATTGTTTGCTTTACTCTAAAACTTAGCCTTTAAGATGAGCAATTTAATTTTCAAGAATTTAATTGGAATTCTAATGATGTTATTGTAAGGTCTCAACACCAATCTCATGTTAGCTTCTTAAGTTATTTTCCATTTGTTGAGATTCCTCTTAGAATCTTTACTCATTTTCAAACATCTTTTCCTTCAAAACATGGAATTGAAGGGTAATAGTTTCAATTTCCTTCTCATAATTAGCTCGCAATCTTTCATTTTAATCTATCAATGTCTTAATTTCTTCATTCTTTATTCCTAAAAGACCTTTCAATTTTTCGATTTCATCATCCAAAATTTCAGCCTAAGCCATGTATTGATTCTTAATATTGTCCAATTATCCTTAATTCAATATATCCAATTTTTGTCTCAGATTATTCATTTCAATTTGATTGTCTCTCTCTTATTCTTATAATCTGGTCCTATATATGTCGTTATCCTTAAGCAATTTAGTCTCCACATATTCTCTGTCTTACAAAACCTTAGTCAATTTTGTCTCCAACTCATAGATCTCCTTGTCTCTTATGTCAGCGTACTCTCGCAATTTTCTTAATTGATTTTCAAGCACATCAATTTAAGTGAGATAACTATGTCTTTATTATTCATTTTAAACTGTCAAAATTATAAATAAAATTACTTGAGAAATTGGTTTTTGTGGCTTCAACTTCATGTGATCTCTCCTTCTCAAGTATGGCGTTTCTTTCCTCCAACATCTTTAGTTCGTTACTAAGCTTGCGTAAGTCCAATTCATATTGAGCCTTCACTATTAATATATAAAAAATCTACATACATTAAACGGCACTGTTGAGCTATTATTCGTATTTGGATTTCCATAATTCACATTCAGTCTTCTTTTAGGCAAAGTTCTTTTGTAATTTATCTATGTCTTAACTCAGTATTTAATTCTAGTGTATCATTAACTCCGCCTTCTCGTCCAAAGCGCCCTATTTGCTCATTCTAATGATGGTAGTATCCAATTCATTTTTCAGTTGCCTGGCATATTATTCAAGATCAGCTGATCGAGTCTTATAGTATTCCAATTCTTCGTTAAATTAAAAATCTTGATTATTGTTGTTACCACATACCTTTCAAGTTAATTGAGTTTTTCAGGGAAATGCTGGCCTCAGGATTATAAGGATGAGGTTTCTTATATTAAGGACTCTATTAATATGGTTTATCCGATTTCATGTGAGGTGATGCAGTTAACATTTTTATTCGTTAAAAAAATTAATTTTAATATTATCTCAATGCCAGGGAAGATTTTCTGTGTTTTGATTGCCTCCAGAAACGACCTTGTCTTTCTTAGCTCTATAATTCGAGTAATCATAGTCGTCTTCAATCTAAAACGACAAATATGCTTTATAATTACATGTATAGTTTAAAACTAAGTTGTCTATGTAGGAGGCTGATTTTCTTAGAATTAATTATTGGATTATTTGAGTTCAAACAATTTTTTCTATAAGCCTTAATTGACCTACAATTGATTTAAGATACTATCCTATAAAATATCCATTTAATGCTGTTTCTAGGTTTATTAATCATTTAATGATGTTATTTAAGCCTACAATTCATCTTATTCCTTCTTAAGGAAATCATAAAAGCTTTGAAGCTTTTAGATGGTTTGATTAAGAAATTCAACATCCTTTTTCTTATCCTCGATTATTTATTTTTATTAATCTACGTTGTTTGCTAATTAAATCGATTAAGCTTAATTTTGTAGTTTATTCTATGAATAACTGGCTTGAAGATTGGAACCCTGGAATTCATTCTAAGATCCTACTCTTTGTGGTTATGGTGGTAAACCTGAAGATAATTGCGGCATGGTTTGAGATGTTGATCGAACTTAATTTTACTATTGGTCTCTTCTTGTTAATTGAAGCAAAGACTCAGGCAATTATTAAGGTAAGGGAATGTCTTTACGACAAAGAGCTATCAAATGAACAGCAACAATAAATTCATTCTTGAATAAAAAACCTTTGTGTCCAATATCAACTAAATTCTAAAGTTGGGTCAAAGTTGAAGCTGGGAGTTGTGACTTCTAAAAAAATGCCAAAGCTTAATCACCCTAAATAAATCCTTAGTGTGCTTTATCTTATTGTGTGAAGCAGAGTTCATATCTATTGTATTAATCATCAGGTAAATCGTACTAAAGTAATGTCAATTTTCATACTTTTGAATAATCTATTATGGGTTCAACATAAGTTTATAGTGAGATTTGATTATGGTTTGGGACTGGCACAGTTTAGTAGTAATTTGATTAAGGTAACTAATTTTAAGCTTATTAAAAGTTGTTGAACTATTACTATTAAGGTTATAGGATTGGTTATTGTTATTATTAGGGTTATTATTATTATTACTGTTGTGGTACCTAAATTCCATCCATCACTGGAAGTGGAACTGGTCTATTTTAGTTCAACAATTGTTCATTAAATTCAAATCCATTTTAACAATATGCAATAAGTCTCATAACAGTGGCAAATTCTGAATAATAAAGTCTGCCTTCTTAATTCTTTACAGCTGCCAACCAAACTCCTTTGAGTGCGTCAACTGGAAGTCGACTTTTTTTGAAAAATTGAACAGTACTCTTAGCCTCTGCAAAGCCTAGACCCTAAGAATCAAATCAAATTGAATTACTTATGGATCAAAGGGAGCCCAGAGTTGTCTGTAGTAGGCGTCTTCTTAAGGTGTATATTGAAACATTTTGAATTATTTTTATTATTGATATAAAATTTCAATCCTTAATAATTGTCTTGCATTTTTTAATTGTTTTATGAACCTTTCTCTTCTTTTAATTCTTTTAATTCTTTTGCTACTCTGTTGGTGCTACAATTATTGGTTTGAGGATGACTCTCCTCTTTTTCACTACCTTTCTCGTTTTCTTTCTTTATTTATCCTCATCATTTTAAATTTAATCGTGTTATTACTCTCCTTAGTGATCGATTAAATCATCTTGATCTTATTATAATAGTCTCGTTTATTACTAATTTTATATAAAATTGGACTAATGAACAAACATTCTGCTTTGATATCTCTATCTTAGAGCTTATTCTAGGGTTTATCTCTAACAATGTGTGATAATGAGAATGCAAAGAAAAACGATTAAATGTTTCATCAAAATTAAATTAATTATCTCACTACTCATTGGCTTCTTATTCTTTAAACTTTTGGGGCACAATACTGTCGAATGCCTTACTCCAATCTTTATATTTCAACCATCCAGATATCATCATGGCAGCTGTACTCACATTCAAGCATTTTTTATAATTCTTTTTTATAAATTATCCAATAGGCAATTTAGCACTTCTTACTCCTAATTATCTGCTTCTATTTAAAGTGGCATTTTTTATGATTACTCTAAAATAATTCTAATTGAAATATATACCTATCAACCAATCCTCCTATCACATAGACCTCATCTTCCTTTATCTCTTGCAATTCCTCTTCGCCATCAGGACTTAGATACACAATATTCGCTTATTAAAACTCTTCGATGTCTGTGAATAGTCTCTCCTCTGATACTAATTGCCATTATTTATAATGATATTGCTCTAAATATTTATGGAGTATTGGGTAGATGTTGGTAACATAGATTTTCAGAGGGACATCTATCTTCCTGTTTTCAGTATAAAGTTCTGATAACTATCTCGCAAGTGATCTTTATTCTTTGTCTGACATATTATCCTCAAAACCACAATCAATAATAATCCTAAATGGACTTTAAAGTGCTTTCATTCCATTCTCTTTCTTTTGATTTCTCAATCCTTTAAATTGATGAACAAAATCATTCTTTTATTCTTACGTTTCTAAAGTTTAAATTATTTCATATTTTTATTGCTTTATTTTCTTTTTTTTCTCCTTTTTCTTCTAAACTACCTTCTGTCTATGCAATTCATTCTTTATTTATTATTTTTCTGATTTCAATTGTTTGTTCTTTTCATTTTAATGTTCTGTAATAATATCGTCTCCAAATAGATCAAATATTTCCATAAAATTAATTTTTTAATAGGAAAACTCAGTTCAAAATAATCAACCTATAAATTATATATCACCAAATTTTATGGCTCTAAAACTTCTACTTACCTAGCTTTCACAAGCTTAACAATAATTAAAGTAGATATTTAAAAAAATAAACAGAATACAACTAATGGTACCTAAGATTCTTTAAAATTATACAAGAAATCCTTTTCCAGTAAGATATTTCGGCGATATCTAAGTTAATTCAAAAAGAATTAATTATGAAATTAAAATAGAAAGAAATTCAATCAATACAAAAAGAAAGACTAACAAATGATATGAGATATGTTTCAGCCAGTGATAGTTGAAGTAAACTTTGCCTCAATGTTAGAAATTTTTAGACTAATTCAAGGATTAAGGAAAATTCTTACATGAAAATAAAATAACAATAATGATTATCATTTTAGATGTGAGAATTAAGCTGAATGTGTTGATATTTTAACTAGCTCCAGTAGAATTTATTTGTATCAGAGAAGTAAATCATAATGGTTGTTGGGCGTTTCACATATCCAGAATCTTTTAAATTCAGTAATGTTAATTTGATATTATGGAATGAATTCAATTTGAATTCGACATAACTTCTTTACAATAAATATACATTTATCTGTATATATCTAGTAGTTGTTGAATTAAATTATTTACTATTAATCGTAGCCACTAAAAATATTGAACTATTATAAATAATAGAATTTATGCACACAGAAAGCTGTTATAATTTTTACAATTTTGATAAAATAATTATTCTAATAAAGAAACCTTCTATAAATAATTCTTTGCATTTAAAATGTTATGGTTTATCGTTGGTTAAGCATATCAAATGCGAATTGCCTGATATAGATCCGGAGAACACTAAGACTGAGAGTCAATTCTAATTCTAGTTGAAAGAATAGTTATAAAACATTCTTAGAAATTTTGTTGAAAATTAAACAAAAAAAACAGTTACTATAATTTTAAATTAGAAGTACAAAGACGATGTGAGAATCTACTGCCCTCTTAATGAAATCGATAGTAATTCAGCTAAATTTGAGATGTTGAAATTAAATATTACAGGCAGAAGAAGTACTGTTGTTAAATAAACTATAATAATTTTATCTGGCTTTAAAATAATGTTGAATAAAATTCCAAGCTTTTTGAAAGAATTTGATTAAATCTATTTTTAATACCAAAAATTTGGATTATAAAAGAGAATAATAGTCTAACTGGAATTTTGGAGAATTTATTAGTTACTAAACAACTGATTTAAGTTGAGTATCAAGGTAAATCCAAGCCACTAAGGTTATTTTTTCCTGCTTAAATAACATGGGTGTATTAAATCAGCTATTTGGTAGGCATTTTAAAAAAACTTCGAGCAACTAATATATAAATTTAATCCTACAATACTTAAAAAGACTGCTTTGAGTCACATATAAAGCTGAATGTATTCTTGAAATTTATAGAATTAAAGTAGGTTCAAATACATACTATATTTACAAGGTATATTTGACGACTTTAATAAATTCAAGAATCACTGGTACAATGATTTATGGAACTTAGAGGCAGATGAAATATTTAATTTGATTAGAAATGATGGAGAATGATATGATTGGATAGATAAATTAAATATAATGGTTGTTCTTCATTTTTTATCTTACTTTTTTCGACTACTATTATTAAGATTTATTTTCAATTAGACTACAGGCTTCTGTGAATCACTTTTGTCATCATTTCCATTTCCAACTTTCTTGATTTTTTTTGATTTTTGATTGACTTTGATGTCCACATTAACTTAATCCTAAGAATTCAAGACTTAAGCGATATCTTATTGAGCTTAGATTTCAGCATCAGTTCTATTAAGACACTATTCACATTTGCATAGATCACTGCATTTTAAGTTTTGGCTATAGCATTCGCAATATTTCTTTTTACATCCTGATTTTTTACAATTACAACCTTTTCTTGTGATATTTGAATTTTCTTTGGTTGGTTCTTTAAGTGGTTTATCTTAAATTTAGTACGTGAAGTTACCTTATTATTAGACAGAGAATTAGGTTTGACCCTTTTATTGAAAACATTGTGCGAAGGCATCTGGATTTCTAAGCAAAGCTTCTTCAATTGCTTTTGACCTTTCTTGTGGATTATCGATTCTATTTTTACAATCTTAGCAGTTGCAGCTTTGTGAACAAACCTTTCGTTATAAATAATATTAATTCTTATACCCAATTATTGGCAAAGCATTCGCAATAGAGTTTGAGGCATTTGCTTTTTTTGCAATTACATTAGAAATCCGACACTTTTTGATATTAAACTAACTGAAACACTTTGGATTGCAATTCCTTTGAAACGGTATTTTAGCATTGCAGTCCCTCATACTGAGATTAGGGATAATAACAAAATGGGGGCATCAATTATTATTAAGGTCTTTAATGATACCATGGACTGGGTGGAACCATATATGGCTAACCTTGATGTGTGGGTGGTGGATATTTCATAAACATTGTTTGTGGCGGGTATTTCATAGGTGGATAATAACTGAATGGATAAGGCACAGGAATACGATGTGGATCGTCGTCAATGTGATCCATTTGCGGAACTTCACCTAAAGAATGCTTTGGATAAGGATAGCTACTTTGCCCTTTCCTATCGCTGTTCATTTGTGGATATTTCTGTTGATCATAGTCATGATAGACTTGCATAGGATTTTAGGGTTATACCTTATTTCTCTAATTCAAATGGAGGAGGACACATGGGAGGAAACAATTATGGATAAGGCATGGGCGTAAATCGTGGCGATGGGTTCCCTTAATACCCCCAATCCTCTGTAAAATCCTGCACTTTCTTATTGTCAGGTTTTGGTTACGGGTCATTTGAAACATCCCTTCATTATCATTTACATGTTAATATACCTATTCTGTTCCTCCGAATCAGCACTCATAAATTAAAATATTTAATCTCTTAAGATATTTAAATTAATGATCAAATAAAATATAAATTAGATGAACTCCAACTTACTCCTCTTAATGATTTTAAATCAAGATTTCAATCTCAAAATAATACTCAATTACATTTTTATTCATTATTTAAAATTTAAAATTTACTTACCAATTAATTTGAATGTTATCAATACTCTTCTTTATTGAAATTTGAGATTTAAATTCAAAAGAAATATTTAAAATTGAAAAATTGATCTTTTTAAATCTAAAGTCATAGATAACTTCGACTAAATTATAACTTTATTGGCAAATTAATAACTCAGTATAAATCTGTAAAATGCAACTCTTATTTTATGCATACAGAGAATAATCAAACTTATATTACCCTGTAAGAAGGTAAAGAATTACTATTCAATCTAAAGTGAAGACTAAGTACCAAAAAATGATATTCAATATTGATAAAATTCCACTAAGAAGAGACTTATGTTTATTAGGTAGATATTAAATTGTGAATTCAGAAAATCCAAAGTAACAACATTACAAATACCTATGAATTCTACATTACAATTAGAATCCTATGTCTTTTTTGAACAGTAAAGTATTAATATATATTAAGTATCTTTCAAGTATCAATTAATCTTAGCGCTTTTAATTCAATTTTTTTGGATTTTATTCTAGGTTAATGCCATTTTTTTCAATTGAGGACCACCTACAAATCTTGCTTATTGGCATCAATAAATTGATTTTCATAGAATCATCAATTTTCAAAAGCACTTAGAAATTAAAAATTCTTTTTGCATTTTCATATCTTTCAAAATACAAATAGAAATTTATTATAAACCAATCTACTCATTCTCTTTAATTATGGAGGAAGATTATAATCTTATTAATTACAAAGAAACTCTTATGATATTTGATATTAACCCAACTCACTTGTTTTCAATTTAAGTAAATTTAATTTTATATATATTTTTATTTCAATCTTTTTAATCGTAAATAATTAATAAGGTTATTTTATTAGAAATATTAATTAATAGAATTCTAGAATCTTTTCATTCTCCCAAAAAACCTTGGTCTAACTAATTACTAATAAATGGTGTTTATCTAATTTGGTATTATTAATTCAATTCTGTTTGCTAAGTATCAGGAATTTAACAAAATTTAAATAATAATTTTCTATTAGATATTAAGATTTTCAGTTCTTTAGGCATATGGACATGGAGTAATGGAATCACATATAAATATGATAATTAGGCTAATTTTTAAAAAACAACTTTGTTTTAATAATTATTATAAATAATATCATGTATAATTAAAATAATGAAAAGGTCAATTCTCTGTTTGATTTAGTTGAAAATGATTTCATCGTCAATTATTTATAGGATCCACCGTAAGTGCTTGATTTTATTTTATTAGCCATGCATTTCCAAGAACTAATAGCAACTAAAATTTTATTGGATTATAATAAAATTTCTCATTATTGGATAATTAATATGAACCAATGGATATGAAATAAGACGAGCCAATTGCAGATGCATAGAAACAAAAATCGAAAAAACGAAAAACTCAAAAAAGCAATGTAATGAATTTAAAACCTATGTGATTTAGGAATCTGAACCAATAAAATAAAAGGATCCATTTTAGTACAAGAATAACTTAAAGAACACATACATAAATAAGATTACGAGTTTGGTTTAGCAGGATAGTCAGAAATTGTTACAGCAACAATCGGCAAAATTTAGAACTTCAGAGGATGATAGAATTGATAAAAATAACAGTGTTTCTTATCAGGACATTGAGGACAGCACTTAGGCCAAATTGTTAAGGAACAGAGAATGTGCCAGGAATTCAAGGAAGAGGAAGAAGATTTACATTGAATTGTTAGAAAATCGAGTAAAATAATTAAATGATGAACTTGAGAAACAGAAATTATTGAATAAGACAAGTGCAGGTTACTTGAATAAGATGAGTTAGAATCAATAAGTATTTATTTATTAGAATATTCTCATAGTTGCAAGGATTCTTTTTGGGAAGGTAATAATTATATGAGAAATTGGAGAAGTCCATCCAAAACAAGGCAGATGATAATGAATTAAATTTATTGTTAGACTCAATGAGATTTAGAGTTGGTGGAGGTGGCAAAGAAAGAGTAAGTGCATCCAATTACTTCTTTAATCAAATATTGGAGATCTGCTTTCCTGTTCATGTTCGATACATGTTATGGGCTGCTAGTGAAAGCAAGGACTTATTTGCTGATCAATAAGATTAATAATAATAGTAGGAAGGGTAGCCTTAATGGTTGTTGGATCTGACCAGGGATCTCTAGATAAATGAAATCCAGAAAAAATAGATGAAGAAATCTTAAAGAAGGATCATAAGTGATAAGAATAAATTATTAGAGTAATTCATATCCAATAACTTCTAGAATTTTGACTTAATTCCAAGAAATCAAAGAATAGCTATATAATAAAACTTCCTAAGTGGAGAACTTTATTGATGAACTTAGAAATATTTTAACTCCTACTCAAGTTGGCAAGTTTTTAATTGGTTTAGAGAAAGTATGATCATAACTTAAAACATAGAACAAATTTAGGAGAGAAATGACAATATCGAAGATATGGAATATATTTGATGATCAGAGCGACGACGAAGAAGAGGAAGTTGAAGTTAAAGAGGAGGATTCTGTAGAAGAACCAGCAAAGAAAAAAGTATAAATTTGAAATTTGTTATGTTACATGTCTCATCAATAAAATAATATAATATCTATATCATTGTTGCATCATCATCATCATTAGTTTTTGTAAGCATAATAAAAAATACTTCCACCTAAGATCAAAGATATCAACAACATTAGTAATCCAATCTTAGGACGATAGTATAACCAGCAAAAGCAAATGGATAAAATAGTGATTGGTATTGCACCAATGAGGCCATAAATAATATAACCAAATCCACTCAGTTGATCTGTTTTAATCAATTACGATAATTATGATACAGGAGATAATAAAATTAACGATCCCACAGCCTATGTTATTCCATTTTTATATATACTATCAAAATATAGCCAATACTTCTAAAGACCCAAAAGAGCAAAGCATTTTCATTAACTACTTTTTAAAGACACTCTTCAGGAGTAAAAAGGCCTTGAAAAATCCAATAAATTTCTTTGATTGGTTTGTTCTCATTAGAAAGTTAGATGTCACAACACCCCTTCTCTTGCACTTGATTTTATCCAGATACAGTTTGATGATATGTATCTTCAAATTACCAAACCAAAAGCGAATTGATGATCCCTTTAGCAACTATTGTGGCATCACTACAAATTACTTATTTGAAACAGATTCTCAAATCCCCATTTACAATTTGATCTTCAACCTAATGCATATATATGTAGTCATCTTATAATAAGCTTAATAGAATCAATAATATATACAATCTTCTATATCCTTTATCCTTGTATCTCTATTAGAAGATCTGAACATTTGCCTAATTCAATTTGACGGTCTCTAAAGGCGTATTGAGTTGGGTTTTCATGTCTTCAGGCAATTCAAATTGATGTAATTTAACACTTATATTTACGAAGATCTCTGAATTTAAAATCCATTTCGATTTATCATTGTTATATCCAAATGAGTTTTCAACATAATGATCCACCCATTATTGCTCCTTCTACTTCTCTCCCACAACCCATTAATACATTTCCACATTCCTATACAACTTTACGCAATTTATTTAAGAGACTCCAAATACTTTATCAGTTACTAACTCATCTGTGATCAACTAACCGGTGATGTGAATTAAATCTTCTGGGTTTGATTCTTAAAAAGGTGTAAGGGATATACAATTCTATCTTGCATATTAAAGTCGATACGAATTGATAGCTGCTTTTCTTTCATTGAACCACAATAAGATAACTGAGATTGCTATACATGCTATACCAGCAAATATCAAATTTGTTTCCAAGTCTTCTTAACCTGATCTAAGATGATGAATATGCTTTTGAATCTATGAACCTAATGTAATTGAAATAAGGGTAAATAATTTCAAATATTTCATTAATTAATATGTTTTATATTCACTAAACCATTATACCAATCCATCATATGATCTTAAGTATGGAACAGCAAATCAATTGACCCTTGATTTAGAGTGAGAATTTGTAAAGGCCAATAAGAGAGAATTGGAACATTGTTTTCTTTGTCCTGCATTTTGCTCGGCTTTTTCTTTAGATATCCCTGTATTTACTTGGGAATAATCACTCTCAAAATTTGAGATAGAGGCAACGAAGAGTCGATTATCTAAGGTTTCAATTGATTTCTAAACTCAATTCTATCCTAGCTCAATTATGCCATCCTTAAACCATAACCCAATTAGGTAGGGTTTTGATGTTGAAATACATCAAATTCCCTTTTTGATGGTTTATTTGAGAATTTTTTGAGTAACAAAGTCCCTTTTGTTAATGATCTCTTTAAAGGATTGTCTCTAAAAAAGTAGGACTTTGACATTTAGGGACTGAGTTAAGCAGTTGAATGTTTATGACTAAATATAGTTTTGCTATGATAATGTTATCTGATAGGTTGATTGCCATTTAATAGTTATTCTTCATAAATAGTTTGTAATTTGATTGAATGAGAGGATTTAGTAATAATGTTATTGAATTCATCCATGTGTTGTATTAAGGAATCATCTTACTATAAATTAACTATTTATTTGGAGAGCTCTGATGATTGAATGCTTTTATAATAATAATCAAATTACATTTAGGATATTTGGAGAGTATCATCTCTCTTCTGAAGGATTGATTCATTAATCTTATTTTATTGCTGATTTAATTGGCTTGACAAATCGTTATCCACATACGAAATATTGTATTAAATGGCCTGGTCTATTTAGTTGAATTTTTAGTATATTTAAGTTATCCCTTATATCTTTTTGGTGTACTATGTGTATATCATTCCTTTTATCTACTCCTTTTATTCAAGTAATAATTGCTGATACTTCTCTTCTCCATGTATTACTCTAAACCCCTTAAAATCACTAACTTAATTTAATCTACACGATTACTCCAATTAGCCATATATTATTCAAAAACTTGGAGAGTTTGCTCCTCCATCCTTTTGTTTAGTTCTTTATGCAACATTTCTCTCTCCTTCATCAAGTTCTTTATCTTTTGATGCGAAGAAAAATTGTTTTGAATTTCTTAAGCCAATTCCTCAAGTTTGATGGCCAAACTATATTCGAAAGAACTATTGGCTTTGTGAAACTCTAACAATTCTTCGAGTTCTTCATAATGCCCTATCAATTCAGCACGCTAGAGCAATTTGGCATTCAAATCTTCCATCAACATCTGTTGCCATTCTGAATTCATTTTAAAATATTATATTTAACTGTTAGTATAAATTAATAAATATAATCCAGTCATTTTTATAAAGTTACGATATGGCTTTTCAATTCCTGTATCTGTTTATTCGATTTTTGATATTGTTCATCCATAAATTAGTAATCATGATGTCTATTCTTATAAGTAGCTAACTCTTATCTTAAAGAAGCTGTTTGAGCATTCAATCTCTAAATTTCCTTTTAGAGACTGTTGTTCTTTTCATCATTCAATTCCAAAAGCTTAATCCTATTCTTCAAAGCTTAGACCTCTTCCAAATCCACATTGGGCTTATTTGATTAGTAAGAAATGATTTATTCCTTCTCTCTCAGCTTTTTCAAAGTGTCCTAAAACATTATATTTTATAGTTAAAAGTCTGTTTCTTTCTGTTACAACTTGTCTTATAGCTCAGTAGTGATGGATGTCAATTAGGCATTTTGTTCTTAAAGACACTTTAGTTTAAATTGATCTTCCTTTTTACTATCATTAAACACTTATTCCATTCTACTTTGTTTAGACTTCCATTACTCTATTTCTAATTTAAGTTCATTGATGAGAACATTGTTCATTTAATTTTGTTAGAGTCTTTAATTGTATTGCATGTTCGTATTCTTATTGACCTCTAATTCAATTTATTTTTGTTTTAATAGTTCATTTAATTTATTGTAATCATTTTCAATGATGTTGTAGTTTTGTTTTAGGTGATTGTATTACACATCTAATTATGCTTTTTCATTGGCTACGAATTACAACTCATTAATTTTATTAGCCTAATCTTATATTCTAGCACTAGCATATTCTATTTTTGATCTTTATTCATTTAATTAATCTATTAATTAATCAATGTATGAATCAATTTATTATGACTTGTTCAATTCCATAATTAGTTTTTAATTTAAGGCCTTCTACTATTCAAAGTTCCTCAACAATTCCTAATTTTTTTCATGCAATTGCATATTCTCATGTCTTAATTACATAAAACTATTCTGTTCTACTTACAAAGCAACAATCTCTTATTTTAATTTCAAACAATTTCTTTTCTGCTATTCCAATTCTTATTATAACACTTAATTTTATCCAATCACTCTATTGATTTCTAATTGTGCTTATTGTATTTCCTATGTCTTTGATTATAAAATTTGTTGATAATAATCGATCTCTTATTGCAAATTTCTATATTACTCTTACTTTTATTGTAATTACACTTCCTATGTCTGAATAGTTGAGTTCAATTGATGCACATAAGTCTGTTAATTCTAGTATTCAGCAATTTATTGGTACAAATGTTGGTTCTCTTGATTTGATAGCATCAAGGCTTCATTAACCTTTTCCAATTGATTGGTAACGAGTGTTAGCTTCTCCTGCAATTCATACGTATATGCCAACTGCTGTCTGAGCTTTTCATTTTCAATTGCATAGTGTTGCTTCGATATATGAATGTAGTGATACCAATTTTTAATTCAAAAGTTCTGTCTAACCAATTTATGGCCTATCTGACAACTATCTTAATAATTAATTATTCTCGGTCTATAAATCTTGCTAAATAACAAATCACACATTGATGCATACATATTTTTTAGCCAAGTCTTGATATTGATGTTAAAGTTGAGAATCTCTATAGCCATAATCCGTACTTGGAGATTGTTGATATCGAAGTGGCTATTAAATGATTGGCTACGAGTATTTGTTGGGATCAACGTAAATGGTGGTAGTAGGTATGTTTTGATGAGGTACATTCCTGTAAGGACTTTGATTGAGATACATAAATGTCGAGCAAAATTAGTTGTTACAAACAAAATTTATTAATAAAATTAGTTATGTTTCATAAATCAAATTCAGAGCACTCACTTGTTCAAATTATGAGAAGCTATGGTGGATCTGAATTTACATAAATAAGATAATAACATACATGATCATAATTAGGAGTCACTACTAAAATGTCCATCAGATTTTATAATTGTGAAATTTATTTATAATTTTAAACAATTTCATATGAATAATTTTTTATTAATTAGTATCATAATCAATGATGTACTTTTGGTGAGAAAGGTCGTGTGAAATCTTAAGTTTTTTTCTCTGAATTCTTTACGGACAGAGGCTCTCTTATTTGATGAGCATATGATCTTTAAGCTTCTATAATCTGTCTATCTTCTAATGCAAAATTTAGGATTGCACATTTGATCTAGATTGAGTGTGGAGGCATAATTTAATTAAAATGAGGGAAGATCCGATTGAATTTGTAGAAGATAAGCATCCTTGCCTGCAAAGATTAACACTATTTTAATTAGTATATCAATTTTACTTCTTTATAAAGTTCTAACAATTATTATTTGTTACTTATGAGATTGGGATTCTTTTCGATTAAGTACTTTACATCTTTCAAGATGAAAATGTAGATGTCCTATATATCAAAATACAGAAATTTAACTAAATGAGCTATTATATCATTAGGTACTTGTTCATTATTAATTGTCTCGATCAATCTTTGCATATTCATTCCAATATAACATTAATTTGAGAGAGTGAAATAAATCATTAAATCATCGTAAGGCTTACCAAAATCTTCGTTAATTAAAGTTGTCTACGATGCCAACTTGTATATGTAGCAATAATAAGATTAACACAATTGGCCGATCAAATTATCTGTTCCGTCATTTTATCTAATGTTTATAGTTAATTTTGTATTTATGATCATTTTAGAAAAGTCTGCTCGCGCTACTTAAGAACTAATAATTATATGGACTAAAAGCAGCATTTTGAGTTTTACATAAAAATTTTCCTTTCTTTATAAGTGATCTCCTACCACTTCTAACAATTAGTTTAAAAATAATATCTAAATGAAGAATATATCCCTACTTTAGTTTGATCATTTAAAAAAAAATGCTTAAGCCGATTGCTAATTTCGAGTTAAGACATAAATTAAGTATCATTAACAACGAGTTTCAAATCAGATAGAGCCATTGTGACTTTATTGATAGCTTGTGCTGCAGTATTGTCATTTAGAAATTGTTTAATTTTCATGATCATAATATTATAATATATAATCTGTTAAGTTTTTAAATACATATATATCTATTATAGTCAATTAACAAATGATATGCTTTTATTCATTAATTTATGATTTAAAGCATTTGCAATATTTTCAATATTATATGAAGGATAATAATATTCATAACTACACACTTGATCTAAATTATCCTCATTCTCCTCTTATTATGGTATAATAGAACCAGTTTATGATTTTGGTTACTACATAATACTTGTCGAGTGCACTTTTTTATTTAATGAACTAGAAGAACTCGTTTACCTATTCTTTTGGGTTCGTTTAATCTATAATTCATTGGAGTTAGTAGATTTAACTAAATTCACTTTGATTGAATTTTAAGTATGAGAATAATCCATATGTTTATGCACAAATTTTCGACTATTATAAGAGGATTCCTTTTCTTCCAGCTTTATAGGAGGCAAACTACTTTATTGATGAGTTAGACTATTTAAAGTACCCTATGGTGAATTAATAGTTTTGGGGGCTTCTATAGTTCCCAGTTTTTGATACAATGAATAACGAGAGGATTTCTCATCTTAAAAATCATTCAGAATAGAATCTTCAAAATTATTCATACTGCCTTACAATTTCCCCATGACTTCATTTGTCAAATCAGTTTCTGAAGATATCTTATTTGTAATTGCAAAGCTGATGGCTGTAATGCATATAAGATTCTTATTCTGTAAAGAGTTAATCCTGTTTCTGCCATTATCTCTATAATAACTAACTCTATCGTTAGGTTCAGAAGTGTTATGAATAAGTATTAATTCTTTGAAATTGGGAACATAAAATACATGTTTACATTTAGAAAGTGTGTGATTCCTGTATCCACAACAAGGACAGACTTCTCTACTGTAATCTCTAAGCATACAGAATTTTTGGAAATCTTGACTGTGCATCTTAATCAACCTCAAAAAATCATCGATGTTCACATGAGCTATTAATGATTCACTTAAACATCTCAGAGTCAAAGGGCATTAGAGTTGAACATAAAAGTATTAGATAGGAAATATATTGATTCTTAGTATTTTATTCCCTATGCATTAAGCAAAGTTTCCCTTCATCAAAAAGAATAATTTATCCATAACTTAATACTATTGATGCAATATTGTTCCATTAGGATATGTCTAAGTTTTTAATGATTAAGATAAATCTTACAAAAAGCCTCTAGTAAATGGGAGACTTTCCAATAACGGCATAAATAGCTCTTGTTTGATTTGAAATTATAAATCAGGTCTCAATCCGCTTAAGTCTATAAGTTCCAACTTATTTCGATTTTCATATCTTTATAAATTTTAACTCAATTGAGCACTAATCTTGTATTTCTATTAAGGTTTGTACCCTAAGCATAAATTAATCAGAAATATAGTAACTAAATAACCAATGATCGTGACTATTATGGAAAGTACTCTCAATGGTATTTTAGTATCTCCATGAATTTCCAGTTGTCTATCATAAGGATTGCCACTATTGGTCAACTAGAATATTGTCCATTAAAATGATGTTATGTACATTGAAATATTACTCTCTGAAAATCTAATTATGCAAAATGTTTTACTAATCTTGAGACAGTCTTGAGTAAAGCGTTGAAACCGTATGTATTAGCAAGAGAGGTATGAAGCAATACGTTACTTATGAATCAATCATGCGAAGTCTTTGTACTCTCAATAATAACAATACAACTAATATCACCATTAAAATTGTTACTAAAGTAATTAGACGCAAACAGTGTAAGCAAGCAAATCGTTAGATAACCAATGTCTTAGTATAAGTATTACTGAGCGATACTCCATCTATTCTCAGTGTACATCTCATCAATGTACACTCCAATAAAATAGTTACTTAAACTTTCAAAAATTGATAAAGCAACTTTAATAAATTGATATCAATTACAAAAAGCTAAAATTAAGTGTTAAGATTCACTGAAGGCGAATTCCCAGAAGATTATCAAAAATCCAAACATATACATGATGAGCATGATGTAACGGGCCCATAACACTTTTGGTGAATATGGATTAAAAATAAAACAATTTTAAACTATGATATTAGCCTTATCATCTATTAACATTAAATGGGATTATTTAAGAATGTTAGGTTAAACACACATAATTTTGCTGAGGAACTTAATAATATAAAACCATCTTTTGGGCCATTTTTGTTAAGAGAGCAAGTCTTCTTTTGGTAGGAGTGGACTTATTTATATTTTGAATTTTGGAGAAGGTTGGGGGAAATAGGATGATGAAGCCTTTCTCAATTATTCGCTATGTTTACGCAAGCCCATATCACTTTGATCACTAAATTTTCGGCTATTTTTGGAAATCAACTTTCGGCCATTGATATTTTGCATCTCTATTTGGAACAACTTTAGAGATTTGTAATTTTCTTCAACTTCATCCACTTTGTTAATGTTTCGTTTTTCAATTGACAATTTGGAACCAAAGATATCCCCTTCCTCCAAACTTTCTTTATGTTCACTCTTCTACAACTGATTGGGGTCTTCGAAATTGACATGCTTCTACACACCAGTCTAATAGGCTTGGATTTCTTATTAGATTAAACGAGGAACAGCCAAAAATGTTTAAGATTGTTAGGAGGAATGCTGAGAGTTGCTTTAATCCAAACTGTATTACTAATTAAACATTTTTATTTGTATTAGAAAAACTTTAATTATTTGATATTATTGTAAAGGAGGCGATATATTGGACATTGAGAGCAAGAGAAGGCAAGATGTTGCAGAAGAGCTGAAATAAATTATAAAGAAATATTTATTAATAAAATAACAGAATTATGTTAAATAAACCAGAGTTGTCAAAGGAATTGAGTGTTTTCTTGGAATTGTTGCATCAAGACAATGGGGAGTATAAGGGATATGAGAATTATTTAATTGGAAGCGATCTTGATGAGATGGATATTCATAGTAAGAGAGGATTCAATAAGGATCTCTCAATAATTTATAGTTAACCTGAAAGTGAAGTTTCCACGCAGAGAGACAATGCCTCTCTCAATATTGGAGACTTGTTTTCAGTTATTTTTAGAGATCTAGAAAATTAAGCCTATTCTACATTATCTTAGCGAATCAAATAATTATAAGTAAGATGGTTATTTAAACTAAGTAATAAATTCATATTTATATGATGAGAGTATCTGAGAAATTGAGTGAGTTCTAACAGCAGAATCAGAGTCTTGAAACTAATAATAAACTATTGGTCTAAGCTCTGAACTCATCCCAACAGGAGATTTAAGTTTTGGCTGTATCGCATGAGGAATCTTCCAATAAATTGAAGAAATCTATTTAAGACCTAAAGAAATAATGCGTAATCTAAATTAATATCAATTTAGGAGGAATTACATAAATCCTTGGCTTACACATAATAAATTAATTAAAATTTGTTATCATAAATTGACAGAGAATAATCAACGTACAAAAAGAATGAGGAGGAATTTAGAGACGCTTCTCAAAGATTGATCAAAAGCAATTAGGCATTACGGTATTGCATTCAAATTGAAATTAGCGAAATAATTGTTAATATAGGCAACATTTCTCCTATGCACAAAAGTAAGTTGCAAGAAGTCATTAAATACCTGACTGATGGTATAGATACAAAACAATAAGAACTCAGAAGTGGTCGTAGTTAATCTAGAAAACAAAAGGAGAATAACAGTCTCCATTATTGTATCTCAAAATTATCATCTAGCCACTCTCAACATAAGTAGTTCTAGAAACAAAAAATCAATGTCTCCTCAAGGATTTACATCCACAAGAAAACAATAAGGTGTTAATGTGTTGGATACAAATTATTAAACATCTTATAAAGAGTTATTTTTAAAGAGTTTAAAAGTAACAAAATAAAAATGAAACAGTATAAAACTATTTATTATTATTTTCACATCTATCCGAAATTTTAAGTGACGTTAAAATTATCATTTTCTTAATATTCTAACTATTCAATATAGAATTGTTAATTCTGATAAGATTCTTGAAGCTAAGTGTTTTCAACAATCAAATTCTCTAATTTGTTGGTTAATTAAGTGATTTCATCTTGAAATTAATCGAGGTTCACTTAAAATTAAAGAGCTTGTTCGGTTTTTTCGCCTTAAATTTTCTAATTAAAATAGGATTGAGTACATCTAACTATTTCTAGAGGAGATTGCTTTTTCTAATGGCTTCTGCTAAAATTTAAGACATGTTTTCCTTTTATTTAGTTAATTCTTAGATTTAGTTCTACATTTCCTTATTGGGTTAATTTTGACAGAAAGAGTTGCCATGAACTCTATTGACGTTGTCTGGTTTGATGATGATGGATTATAGATGTTTATTTTCAACGAGTGGTCGAATTGGTTGTCTGTCATCCAGTCTTTGAGTAAGATTGAAGATGCTATTGTGATTGGATAATTGTCGAGTGGGAGTAATGTCTAGACAGACGTGGATTGGTCGGACATTGGTGGGAGTGATGGCAAACCTAGTTCGAGGGATGGGGGCTTGTATTAGCATTTTAAATTAAATAACAGTCACTTAAATAAAATTAAGTGGGTGAAATGAAGGATTTATTGATAGTAAGGAATAGATGGAAGATGAGGACGAGAATAAATGGAGGGGGAGGGAGAGAATAAGATTTGGGAGGTAGTATTTAAAAGGCAAAGTAATTTGGTTAATTTTGAATAAATTAAATAAAATTAAATTAATGATGAGATTTAAGCTGATTCATCTTGTATGATTTCATGATTCCAATTCTTTCCCCAACTGATAGATATAATCCCAATATATTATATATATAAATGAATTAAGAGAAAGATTGCTCTTATATGTAATAGGTTAAATTTGATTTGCGCCGTCGAAGAATGCACATAGTGCCTTCAGTGTTAAATTGTGAAGTACAGAAACGCAGAAATTCTTTCTCTCTGAGTTCTGATGCTTGTAAGAGTCCCTAGAGGAAAGCAACTAAATACTTCGAAAATCAAAATCCAGGTTAGAACGCGTATTTCTGGAGTTTGATAAAATCAAAGCGAAATGAGAATGAGTAGTTTGTACAAGTGCTCAAATCCATGTGTCCGATATAGGTGAATGAGGTTGAGGCAAGATTGTAATTTTTACTAAGAAACTTTGGTTATGAGGATGAGAAGTCTATGTTGGAGATCGTAGAGAATATACAGTAGGGTTAGAGATGTCAATAATGGACTTAGGAAGAATCACGCATCTTGATTTGGGCTATTTGTAAGTTGGGAGTGCAACACAATTAGTGGAAGGAGTTAGGCAATTTATTGAATCGTTCAGTTAAGGAGTTGAAAACTCATTGGACTGAATTAATCCACCATACACAGAGAGGGCTGCTATGGACAGCATAGGAGGATTAGACTCTATAAAACATGATAATAACATATTTGAATAATTCATAGACCATCAATTGGAAGTGTATGGCCAATGTTCTAAACAAGTCTGATAAGCAATGTTAAGATCGTTGGTACAATACTCTGGATCCGTCAATATCAAAGGAGGCTTTTAAAATTGAAGATGATTTATAATTGTTATAGTTGGTGTAGAAGTATGGGAAGCGATGGAAGAGAGTGTAGAGAGAGTGGTCATTGAATAGAAAGAGATCTCGTTATGACTTGAAAAAGAGGTTTTATGAATTATTAAATTAACCAGATTCAGGTTATGATAGTGATACATCTTCGAATTCTTCTTCGAAATATAGGAAATTGAATTAAGATGATATAGATAAAATTTAGAAGTTGATTTCAGAGATGCAAATTAGTGAAGGAATGCAATTAGAAAATAAGTTGGGGAAGGACAAGTTATTGAAGAACAAACTGTTGAGCATTGCCAAGAGTGATCTTGATAAGATGTTGAATTAATAGAGAAAAATAAAGATTTAATCAGCCAGTACACCAACTGATGAATAGAAAAATGATATTCAAGAAGAGCCTGATGAAGTCATAATGAACACTCCTTCGATAATGAACTCACTATCGAGATGTCTATTAAAGATCAATTTGGAAACTGAGGATGATCAATTGTCAATTGATAAATTGGCAGTTCCAAAGGTTCAATATAATGTCGATTCAGTAGAACATCTAAAACATGAAGATATTTTTGACATTCAATTTGCATTGGTTAATGATAAAACAAACACTCTATATTATGCAAATTTAGAATTCATGCAACAACTGATAAATCTGATTACCAACCAAAGGAAGTTGATGCAATTGACTGATATGAATAAATAACCCCAGAAAACTAAGAAGAAGTTCAGCTCTTAATAATTGATTCAAGTGTATCCCAACAAAGTCGGGTTGTCACAATTTAGTTAGGATGATACCAAATAATAATGATTAATTAATTTACCTAATTGTCAACTCTAATTTATTTATAAATGGACTTTTAATTGCCCAAGAGGTATGGACTCAACAAACCTACTTTTAAAGTGATGTACAGTATATCCTAATAAGGGCTGGCTAACATTTTGCCAAATTTGATTCCTCACTCAAACCCCTCAAAAATCTGAACTCTTTCATAGATCTCTCTAAACCCATTAAGGAACTCAATTATATCGAACACAGAAAGGTTCGTCAGATTATGCAGCATCTCAAATTCCAATCCCAGAGTCGCAGATTCATAAACCATTAGGATGAATAGATCGCTGTCATCAGTCAGCAATTAGAAATGGAATTGGAAAATCTAGCAAAAGAGGATTGTCCAACACCCCAAGTCGATTTAGTCAAACTTAAATTTCCATCTCAATTGCAAACCAAATTTGTACATGAATCAGCAGCCACTCTTGAAACCCATTACAATTTGCATAGAATCAAAGAAAAGATTAATCATCGTAACATCACCTTAACAGAAAGTGATCTACTCAACAAAATTACTTAAATCAACTTCTAAACTGCAAGGAATAGTGACACCAAAGAATTTTATCATAATTTTAATACTTCTCGTCCAAGAGGAAAAAAAGAACCGTAACTAAGTCTTGATGAAAAATACCAGATTCTCAAAGGATATTTGAAAGAGAGAGGAATAGAGATGGGGAGGAAGGAATCCATACCTAATGAAGGGTACTTGCAATTCTACCATGAAGCCACCAACAGATTAATGAAATAAACTAAGGAACAGTAACTTTTAAAGTTTAGAAAGAGCATAACGCTCAAGACTGCTCCTGATAATTAGGATCACTCTCCTCATAAAAAAATGAGTATCACCAAAATAACAACAGTACCTACAACTGTAGGAACCACTCCTGCCTTAAATGCTTTAACTCCAAGCAATTTGACTATGTTACATTCATCACTGCTTAAGTTGAATTCCGGAAACAATGGTTCTCCAATTGTCTTATCTCATAGACATCGATCGGAAAAAGAGAAATCCCCTGAAAAGCCCTATTCTGAAAAATGGCAGGATTTCTAGAATAAGGCTGAGGCATTGCAAAGCTATTACCTTCATGAAGGGAAGGAGTTCCTGCAAACTTTGGATGATTTAGAAAATACAATTGAAAAACCATATTTGAGACACTTTAATTAAATTATTAAGGTGGAGCAAGAGCAAGGAAACTTGGAAGAACAGCAAAAGCAAAACAAAATCATGCGAAAGAGAAAACAGAATTTGCCCAAAAAAATAAGAATGCAAAAGATCTTCAAATCTGAATTATAGTGATTTATGTGTGTTATTCGTATGTATCCCTTCCAATAAATTATAATTTGAGTATTTATATAGGATTAATGCTTGAACCTCAAGGCAAGTCCTATTAGTGTAAAGGTAACACGTGAGATTCCGGCTCTCGAGTTCGAGGTTCAATTCCTCGGTGGGACGATTTTTTTATATTGATAATATAGATCATCAAATCAATTGTGCATTCCAAATAGCTAGAGTTTGACTCGAAAATCCATAACTAATTTAAGGACCCAATTAGTTTTTTAACCATCCAGATCCATATACATTTTTGCCAATCAAATTTTATTCCAGGCCGGTCTAAATGATACTTAAATTTAATTTATCTAGTATTTATACCTTTCCAAATTCTTCAGACTCCAAATACCATAATTTGGTGCTTCTTGGAATTTCAAGAGGAGTAAACGATATTCCTTAATAAACTAATTTAATTAAATAGCAATGATACGAAGTCTATGTATTCTGAGAACTCTTTTATTGCTAATTTCATCTCAACGTCGATATCGAAACCTGTTATCAAAGTGCCTTGGGTAATGACTTAACAGTGATGTCCCAATTACACTGAAATACTATTGTTGATCACGGCCAAATCAGTCAACCCTATAAAACTATGAGTAATGAGTTTGCATTAAACTATCAATTCTGTGTTTAATTTGAAGGAATAGTAGGCTGATGGAATCATTGTCCTTAAATCTCCAGTCTTATAAGAGAACCCCTCAATTGGGAAGTTATTGTTAGTAATAGTTACATCGAACATCCCATTCTCAGCTCCATAGTTGAAGTAGGATTTGAGGAGATCCATTGAGATTCCGAACGAATAAGTGTTTAACTTGATCTAATGGACATCCAAGGGTGTTGTGAACTCGGTCTAATAGTTGAAGATTTCCACATTTAATCCGAGGACATAGTTCTAATCATTAAAGTTAAGTCCTTAGAATATTATGTTCTCTATGGATTCAATGATCTTAGGGTTCGGATCATCAAACTAGTAAAATTCAAACATGGTGAAACTGATTTTATTGGATATCAATTTCTCACTTACAAACAATTTCAATTTTGAACAAAATTTTTCAGAATGATCCTCATAATACTGATTTATCATGGGGTTTAAGAATTTGATAGAGTTCATAGCATTTACAACTTCCATCTTTTATACCTCTGTTAATCCTTCCAAATTCACTTGAGTGATTGTGAAATCCATTGTCATATTCGGACACTCATATAATTTATATGCAATAGTCTATATTTTTTATAAATTCCCATTTTTACTTTATTGTTTTAATGAACCCAAACAGAGTAATTCATTGATAATGGTTGAGTGTATAATGTACCATATACTAATTTATTTTGATAATTAGTAGTAAAATCAACTTAATACTTTAATAAATTGTTGTTAACATCGATTGTTCCAAATTCAGCATATGTTTTATCAGGACTCGAAATAGTTTGTTTGCTGGTGTCAACACTTGGTATCACTCTTGTTGGAGTAAATGTGGCATTTAAAAATGGAACACTCTCCTTAGGCAATACACAACCCTAACTTGTTATTGCTTGAGAAAATGCTTAAGTTGGGATGTCTTAAAATTATATTCTATAATACAGGGTTTCCAATCCACAGTCTGCATGTAATTCACTTCATCTAATTCAGTTTTTGTAATTTCTGCTGCTTTAAGCAAACAAATAATAAATATTATAAACATAAAAAAATAATACACTCTTTTCTAATTTACAAATATGCGATTTCAGATTTGCAAAAACATAAATATGTTATGATTTATTTTGATAATTGAATGAGATTTGGAACTCCTTAGGGGAGGAGATGAATAACCTGAAATTCCAATAATCTCCTTATATTTCTTAGCATCTCTTCATTATTTTCAATATATTGAAATTCCTCTACTCTAGAAAAGGATGATTGATTTTGTGAATGCAGATTTTATTAAATATAAATATAATTATTTTGGACTCTTTTCTTTGTCTAATATTTATTATTTTTAATATTAATTAATATGGATAACATTTAGCAAATATTTGACACTCTGTAGGAGGATTAAGAAAGTAATTTAGTTCCATTATGATTCTAGTCACCATCAAGGATAATAAATGTAGCAATTGTGATAAACCTAGCAAAACCAAAATTTCTATCAAAAATATACCTAATTTTTAACATATTTTTATAATCTCATTTAATTGTCAATAATGTGGCTATAAAAATGATGAGGTGCGATTCAGAAAAGAAAAACAAGAAAAGGGTATTAAATTGCAATTAAAAATCGATCATCCTCAAGTATTGCTTATTTAAAATAATCATAGATACTTTAATATAGAATAATCCGATCTCAACTATGCAAGGTCTCCATTCCTGAGTTGGAGTTTCAAATGTCAACCAATAAGAAGAGTTGCATCAATACTTTAGAGGGATTCATTGAAAACATTATCGATGAATTATCAAGAGATTAAATTGAGAGAAAGAACTGTTAAGGAGAGCTGTATTCAGGCATTCAATATATCATTGAGAACCTGCAACAATACCAATAGAATAAGAGACTGCCATTTCATTGGAATATGGATGATCCATCTGGAAACAGCTTTATAATTAGTCCTAATCAATCCCCTCAAGACGATTACCTAAATATCCAATATTACACCAGAGAAGAAGATGAATTCGAGACCATTTTTAAAAAGAAGGAAAATCCCTAACAAAAGGATCAAATCTAAGAGGAATCAAAGCCTAAACAGTAATTTTACTTAAAGATTAGAGGGCTACCATTTCAATGCACTAAATCAGATTTAATAAACTTCTTGGAAATGCCTCGTCTCAAAAAAGATATGCTGACAATGAAATTTTAATAAAATGGTTTGTTTACTGGTGAAGCATATGTTCAAGTCAATTCAATTGAGGATCTGGAATATTTAAGAACCTTTCATAAATCCCAAATGGATCATCGCTATCTAGAAATATTTAACAGTTGCTTCGACGAGTATAATAAAGCACAAAAGTCAAATCAGTTTTTAAAGAAGATTAATCCTTAAATTGCATCTGAGGTAGGTAATATAAATGAGGAAAATGAGTATCAGTGTTAACAACAAGGAGTGCTCAAGTTAAGAGGACTGCCTTGGTCAAGTACCGAATAGGATGTACGAACTTTCTTTAAGAGTATCAATTCATTTATATTATATTTAGATAATTCAAAGATCAAAACAATTAAATTCCTTTATGATGATACTGGGAAAGCAAAAGGGTAGTGTTTTGTATTAGTGAAGAACTTGGAGACAGCTGAGAAATTGAAATAAAAATTCCATAAGAAATCATTAGGGTCTCGCTATATAGAAGTAATATATAATCGTAACATCATTAAAAGGTTTTTATATGCAATTAAAGAGAATATCTTGCTTGCTTTCAAAAGACCTATACTGAGAGAAAGAGGAGTATCAGTCCTTGACATAAGAAGTGATAATTTAATAACTTTATTTTAAATATCATAAATGATAGATATTTTAATAAATTAGTATTTAGTATTTTGTTGATTCTACAGATTATTAACAAATTAAATACCAATAAATTATGATTGGTTTCTATTAGAATAATGTTTAGTATTTAAGGAGACAAATGAAATAAGTATTAAACTGCTATTTTATGAGAGAGATCAAAAAAGAATACAAATTACTTGAAAAAAATGAATACACGAAATAATTAATTGTTGATTTTAATTTTATTTCTCATTTATAAACTCTTTCTGGATTGTATTCCCAAATTGTGAGTTATGGTATATTGAATCTACAATAGTTTTATAGATTTCTTTTCCATCCTTAACTAAAGGGAGATCCATTTTTTCTTTGCAATTCTTATAAATAGGAGATCTTGTTCCAGCTATAAAATTCCCCTATTTTTAAATAGTAAATATTACAAGTAGTTAGGTTTTGAAATGAAAGAAATGTTTGAAAGCAGAGCAATCTTGTTACTAGGAAACCGAAAAAAATGGTATTTGTAAGAAAGTAAATTGAAAAAAATTTTAAGAGAGGGTTGTAATGATCGAATTCTAGATTTTGCAATGTCTAAAAACTAGTTTATTGTAATTTAATACGCTAATAAAGGCATAGTAGATTTCTTGAATTTAAAAAACTAAGAACCAATAATAGACACATCTATTTCTTTCTCCAATGCAATTGCCAGCCCAAGGACAATGATGGTCATAACAAGCTACGCATTTGTTGCATGACTGACAATGTTTGGCTCTTGCTAATTGATCAATTGAGCATATTGGACAATATCTAATGTATTCAAGAATGTTAAACCTTTTCTCTATGAAGACCTTATTCACTGCTCTAGTTGATTGAGTGATTTTGTTCCTCTCTGACATTCCTGGGGAGTACTATTCGCTTATGTATTCATTCTAAACAGAATGCACTTAAATCGAGAGTTGGGGTTCAATCTTGTTGTTCTTTCTTTTCTCTTCACTCTTACCCTTTTGCGATGCTTTTTTGCCTTCAGACCTCTATACATCTCCATCCTTTTATTCATCCATATTAGTGTTAGGAACAATAATTTCATGTTCATTTTGACTGGTGATCGAAAATGCTTGAGTGGATGGTTATTTGGAGTCGAAATCTTGAAATGTTTTTTATCCTTTGACAGGAGATGGGTACTTGTCTGGAGTCTTGGTGAATGATGGAATTTAATTAATATCAAATTCTGGTAATTGATTCACATCTATTGAGGCTTCACAGGGTAATTCTCTACAAATATTAACAATAGCTACTGTTCATTTTCAGATTTTTACTCTTGGACTACGTTTTATTATTCAATTATGGGGTAGGTTCGAGCATTGGAAGGGATGGCTTAAAATTAAAAAATTTTGCGTTTTTATGTTATTTAATTTGAACATTCAGTATTGCTAGGACTCCTAATGATAAGATAGCCAGGCTATTCATTAAATTGTTTGTTACATCTTTGAAGGAAGTCTTAGCATAAAATCCCATTGACAATATCACAACAATAGCAAAGTAATAAAAAGAAACAGTTGAAAAATCAAAGAATGAAGGATTGAGGATCCCATAAATCACCAAAGTACTTCCTTAAAGAATTAAATAAATGAGAGGGGCTATTTAAATAAGTTGGTGATACCTATCTTCATGATTGTTAGTGTTTTTAATTTTTTAATTTTTGGAATCTCTGTATCAAAATGAGCTTATGAAAATATTATATATATATATATTATATCAATCATCTTCGTCATTTCCACATAATGCAACTACATGACAGCGATTTTGAGATTCTTATTTTTACACTACTTCCTCTATAGTTTATTAAGCAGCAAATTGCATAAAGATCTGTTCCAAATTAGGTTGACTAATCTGAAAATCTTTAATCAATTGCAATTCCTTTTGCAGTTTCTCTTAAAAGAAATGAAAAGTCTAATGGAATTAGAATCCAGCCAATGGGAACTTGCAGATAATTTTGCCCGAATGCACATCATCCATAATATAAATATTGCCAAAATGCTTTGTAATCTCCTAAATAATGTTTGGTCTATTTTTCTAATAATCCTTAGAAATCAATTAAAGCATGGTTGCATTATTATCTTACTAATGATATTACACAAAAAATTACTAGATTATTTATTGGTTCAATCACAACTCGATATCCATCTCCAAATTTTTATCTCAAATGCTGAACCGATCCTAAACAGGCAAATCTACCATTAACCTAGATTGCAATCTTATTACAAAGACTTTCAGCTTCATCCATGGTGTGAGTAGTTAAAATAACAGAACTCTACCTTAATTTGACTCCTTATTGTATTGCATTCCATAAAAATCTTCTTGCAATTGGATCTACTCCTGAGGAAGGTTCATCAAAAAATTGCATATTGGTTCCACCCATCAAAGCCAATGCAACACATAATTTTCTTTTATTCCCTCCACTCAATTTCGAAGCCAATGTATTTTCATACGCTGTCAATTACATCACTTTCATAAAGTATTCTATTGTTTAATTCACATCTTCTCCTCTCAAACCCTTAAGATACGCCCAAATTTGTAAGTGTTTTCTAACATTAACTATATCATATAGACTATCAAATTAAGGACAGATTCCCACATTCTGATACACATCTCCCAACCCTTTTTTAACTTCCTAATGTTCTAATAAAATAGTTCCTGTGGATGGCTTCAATTTTGAAGTAATCATGTTAAAAGTAGTTGATTTGCCAGCCCCATTTGGACCCAATAGTCCAAAGATTTATCCAGGTTCTACACCGAATGATGTTCCCTTTACTGCCTAGAATCCATTGGCATATGTCTTTGATATTTTCCTGGCAATTACTCTGTCTTAACACTCCTGAACTTCAACTCGTTTTTCCTCTTAAATTACATCATCGTCCTAATTCAGGCTTAGGACTCCTCCAGATTGAGCACCTAAGAGTTCTCTATTGTCAATCAAATAAGTTATGTAGAAATAGAGACATGCTTAAAGGAGCATGATGATCATAAAGACAAATGGATAAACATTTTCAAATATATCTCCATCGGTTACATTATTATCCTTGGCAATCTAATTATATACTGCGACGAATCCACTAAAAGTAGCTAATGAAGGACATAAAAATGATAAAATCCAAAGAACTCCCTCAACTTTTATGCTCACTATATAAATTACTGAAGCAATCATAAAGAACCCAAATAATTGAATGAATACTAAGGATCTAACTGCTGATAAGAATGAAGTAAATAGCCACGACAAAATATAGCTTAGAGGTAAATATGCTAAGTAACAACAAAATACAAGTCCATAAACATTACCATTATTAATTGCTTCAACACCACAAATGTTTACTGCTATGATAAATAAAATCAACAAAAAGATGCAAACTGTGATATCATAAAAATAATATCCTAGCCAATATGGTAATGTTCTGCATCCCATCACATTTAAAGCATATTTCTACTTTTTTTCTCGTTCCTCAACAGGAGCACTTCCAATTTAAGAACTAGCCATAGATGCCCCCATCAATATGTAGACATAAGTATCAATTAAGGCAATTTCTCCGAAAACTACATTCTTATTGACATTGTCATCTAATGTTGGTTCTATTGCATTGTATGTAATTTTTGTAACTATCGGAGCTACAATAGCAAAAAATGAAGGCATAAACAAACACATCATATATCTTTTGGCTGTCATTGTATAATGTTTTTTAAGGAAACATGCCCAGAGTTGCAATCCAAAATTGTATTGTGGTGGTCTACTCAAACATTCAGGAGGTATGATTTTGTTGAATTCATCTGTTATGTCAATGTTGATTTTTGAATCTTCATTTGTTGTCTGTTTCCCTGATGCTTTATCAAGGAAGGATTCTTCATCCATACCGATATTGATAAATGCTTCTTCCAGAGTATTCATCATCAGATTAACTTAGATCGAAGGATCCCTTTCAAGTTATTCAAATAATGGCAAGAACTTCTCCTTCTATTTGAAAGGCACTTGAAATATCATACTATCTTAAGAGGTTTAACTATTCAATTTCGCTTGAGGAATGAATTGTTGAACCACATTAACAATTTTCTTACTCTTTTCACTCCACACTTATGGATTGTTTGTTTTATCATACAAACTCAAATGATATCCAATTCCAAAGTTCATCTTTATAAATTCAACAGATCCTACTGTGAGCAACCTACCTTTGGCCATGATGGCTAATCTCTCTGATAAGACTTCAGCTTCATCTAAATGGTGAGTTGTCAGTACCAGACATCTACCTTCATTTTTGACTTGTATTAAAATCTCCCAAATCTTTTATCTTGATATTGGATCCATTCCTGATGTTGGTTCATCAAGAAATACAACCTTGGATTGTCCAATCAATGAAATGGCCAAACTCAATTTTCTTCTCGTTCCTCCTGACAATTATTTAGCTAATTTTGTTCTATCGTTTAAGAGATCGCATTTATTGATTATCTAATCTATTTCCATTTGAAGTTCCTTCTCATCTATTCCTTTTATCTTCCCATAATATTACAAATGCTAATCACAAGTTAAACTATCATATAGAGCATCTTTTTAAGGACAAAATCCCAAATAATTTCTAATTACATCAAAATCGGTGTCAGTCCCATAATACGCGATGGCTCCACTATCTCTTTTTATTAGACCTGTCAATATTGAAATGAGAGTGGTCTTTCCAGCTCCATTATGACCTAATAAACAGAGAATCTAAGAATCATAGATTTAGAGTGTAACACCATTGACTGCCATAAGCTCATTAAAGCTTTTCTTCACATTTTTTATTGATATAGCTCTCTTAAAGCATATAAATTAATCATTACCTTGACTTATTTAGGATTATCAAAAACCTCATGGTAGATAGCTGAACTATTGTCTTCTTATATTTCAGATTATCTTGTACCAATAATGGGTTTATTCATATTGGTTAATTCGTATTGATTTGAAACATCCTCCCCTTGAATTTGGTAATTTTTCCCAATAAAGAACAAGGGGTGTTTATTTGTTCCATATTCATTTGGCAGAACTTACTCCAAATATAAATATAAAAGTCCATAAAACAGTATTTCAGCCCCTTATAATCCAAAATAGAGGGGAATTCCTATAGGTGGTGTAGTGCCTTTATTAATGGTTCCTAGTACTTAATTGTAAGGGTAGGTATCAAACAAAAATGATGGAAATATAATTCCGAAAAGGATTACTATCCAGGAATGCCTAGAGTTAATAATGAAAATTACTTTTAAAAATAGGGGATGCTAAGCAATGCTGAACACAGTGATCCAAAAATGTTGAGTAACATTGATAAATCTGCTCCATTTTTTGGTTGATCAAACAATGTTGTTAAAAAATATTGTTATGCGGTCAATCCGATTGCATACAACAGATAACTGCCAATTTATTAGATAGTATTAAAGAATTGGATCTCTATATCAATAGAACCATATGTGTATGTTATTGATTGGGGTCCAAAACATCCTGTGGGTACAACTAGAGCAAGAAAGAATATTGAGACAGCCATTATTCGAGCAAGGTTGAAGAGGAGCCAACCTAACTAATAAGCTGATTGTTTGAGACCCATGATCTAAAGATACTTGATGAAGAAGGATTACTTTTTAAATCTCTTTTTATCTGTCGCTTTTTTCTGAAATCATTGCTGTGACTATGTACCTCGAACTTATCAAAAGAGTCATTGGTAAAAACTCTGCCCCAATTTAAAGTAATGCAGGACTGGATGTTTCTTCTATTGTAGGATATGCTGTCTATTGTTACTTCCAACGAGGAGGATAATGAAAACAAGAAGAGCTACGAAGAACTCTTGTCTGAATTATCTCTCTTGGTAATAGATAGAGAAATTCTTCTGGAAAACAACAGTGGCTTGTTGCCAAATGCTCGTCGTCATTCCTTTAATGGAATATTAATTTATTTAACAAAAATTTATTCTATAATCTGAATATTTCAAATTTAATTAACAATGTGAATTCTGCATTCATTATTCCTTATTCGTTATCAATTAATATGCATGCACAAAGATGTCAAAAATTAGGTGTTTGCACTTACATTGTTGGAAAAGAATGGAGAAAAAAAAAAGTTGAACAAAAAAATTATTAAAGAATTTTCGAAATTACCACAATTTTTGGTTAAATTGAGATTAATTTATTATAGAAATGTTAAACATTTGAGAAATAAAATGATTTCATATTTTCATTCATAAGTGCTTCGAACTAAGAGATTAGTTTTGATTGCAATAGGATTCTCAATAAAACTCGAGCATGTCAAGTATTTGACAGGTTACTGTTGAGTGTTGGCTGATAATGCTCTGGGATGTGGCTTAATCAATTGGGCATCCTTATATAGCTTGAGTTGTGGCATTTGTTGTTTCGACTTCCCGTTGTTATTAGGACTATTGTTGTGTTTGCTTACATCAATTTATTCTTTTTTAGATTGTTAATCAGACTACTTATATACATTATTTACCTACTTTTTAATCTATAAGATAGACTTTCTGATGATGACTTTGTTTTTAATGGGGGACATTTTTGGTTAAACGGTCGTCTTCTGCATACAAGGACACAAACTGTCAAAAATGGGTTTCAGTTGAATATTGCAGAAATGATAATCTTGATTATTCTACAAAGTAGTGTATTTTTCTTTGATTAAATTGGGGTATTCGGTTTCAACATTTTAGACTCTAGAGTAAGAATGATATTACCTTTTTAAAGCATAGTTGGTATAATCAAAGACACTCTATTAGATGAGATTGTTTCTTAATCGAATCTTATCACAAAGAGCATCATAATTAGTTTTAAACTCCTCATAATTTTGAGATTGTCTCTTGACTGTCTGATAATCACATATTTAAATGTTCTGTTCATCCAGATCCTCAATGACAGTGGAGATATTTGCAAACATGGAGGTGAATGGAGCTTTTTCGATCTCTTTGAATTTGTTTCTGAGATATAATGTCGGAGTTTCAGTAGTTGGAGACAAATCACAGGAACTGTTTTATTTTTAGATAAATTACCTTTGTATTTTGGAAATAGTGATTTATTTTCGTTTGATTCTATCAACCTTATTGATCATAGTTGTGGTAGGAGGCTTTTCAACTAATTTGACTTCTTCGATCTTTTGTGTTGATGAACGAATGCGTTGATTTTCTATCCTGATTTTCTATGGAGACGGTTCTTTCTTGACTTAATTACTCAATTCTTCTACAAAGTCTCTGTATTGTTTACGAGAGGTTCCTAAAAGTGACTTAATTAGGTCAGTCACTAATGAGATATTTCCAGCTCTGACTGCTTGCTTGAATTGTACTTTTAATTGAGTATCCTAATTCAGATGCTTCTGGAAGCTTGAATGAAGTGTGTAATAATTTTCCAAATATTAATACATATTACATGTAGGTGTATATGGGATTTCTAAAAATTGATTGCTGATTGCTTTCATCATTTCATTTGTCTTGACATAGATGTGACTAAAATATGTACCATATATTACCACATCTGTTCTTCGTTGTATTGTTTGGTGTTTCGAATCACTCCTATGATCCAATTTTCCTTCTCTGCTCTTATTTTCTCCTCCTCCTTCAACTTCCTTACCATCGAGTATACAGTCAACCTCTCCTGCTGCTAATTGCCCTTGATCTAATAAATAGCCTCTTGAATCTCATTTATTTTGGCTTTTCTTTGCTATATAGCCCCCAATAGTTCATCCATTTTAGAGTAAAATAATTTTTTATTATTAGATGGCTTAAAAATTTAAAGAGAGGTTACTGTAAGGTATGCCATTCCTTATCACATTTTTAGGTACTGGAGTGTCAAACAAGAAATTCGAATCCGATTATGCAATGAAACTGATGCAGAAGATGGGATGGAATCAAGGCCAAGGACTCGGCAAGAATAAAGATGGTCAAACAGATTGCGTATAAATTGAGAGAAGAGCTGATTAGTTGGCAGTATCCTATCCATTCTAAACTTATAGCTTGGAGCCTAACAGTGCAGTCTTGGATAAAGTTGGAATGACTTGTGGTGGGAATAGAGTTATTCAAGCAGTCTCAAGAATCTTAAACCCATATCCACTAAAAATGTACTCCCTATTCCAATCAATATTAGCTTCCATAACCAATCTCCTCAGATGAAGAAGACAAATTCTCAGATTACGAAAAACATAAAATAAGTCGTTCCCAAAAACCAAAAACATATGCATAATCCGCTAAAGTTCTAATTGAATAAGATAGTGATTCAGAAAATGATACCTTCATTGCAATTCAAAAGAAAAAAATAAAAAAGACAAAATGATCATAAATAGGTCAACATTCAAAAATCTATAACTTATTAACAATTTAACTATTCCAACTCCTCTCCCTCATATATTTTCTTACTATTCTATGATAATAATTATGCAATTGTTGGATACTCATTATTAATAAATTGCTTTTCTTATTTTCCTTTTGATTATCTACTCTATTACTATGAGAGTTCTCCTTCTCTTTACTTAATTATTTTCCTCATCTATACAATCCTCTTAACATTTATATTAATATTTATTAATTTAAATCTATCACAATATTAATAAAGAATTTGAGAGAAAACAAAGTCAAATTAAGTATAGCTTATATTTATTATACTTTAATAACTCAAAGTACATTATTACTCTATAGTTCTTCTTTCTTTATCTTCAAAGCTGAATTTACTTTGGCTCTATCAAAATTGTTTATGAAGAACATTGTAAGTATAGTGTCTTCCGAATTGAATTCTCTTCCCATCAAATATCGGAGACGCTTTCTTTCCATTTCAACTTCAAGCTTCATATACTTCTTTGAACTACCATCCCAAATTTTCAAGTTTTGACAAAATCTTCTACATTTTTGAGTATTGATTGGCGAATTCCTGATTTCAGCTTGATAGTTCGATCCAATTCTAGGATAAATAACATTGCTTTGTTGCTTAGATATTTTCTTCTTGATGTCAACCTATTGTGATTTGAGATCGCTATCGTTGATTTCTTAAGTAGTTTCGTCTGTTTTGAAAGGTGTTTGCATGCTAGAATATTTAGTTAAAAAATTATTATTTTAAACTAATATAAGCTCACTTTGCTTGTTGAGGCAATTAAGTTTATTCTATTGTGTAAATGGTGCAATGTCCAGTTCCTTAGGATAATCCTATTTAGCTGCTCCTATCATCTTCTCTTACTGCACAAACCTTGACCAACTAAATGTCTAAATCTATAACAGTATTCGCTTAAAAGTCATACACAAACACCTATTATTTTTGTAATTGCTATTGAATAGAATAATTCAAAATACTTAAGGACGCGAAATAATAGCAATAGGAATCTTTGAGGATGTATTAATGCATTTGACTTCTCCTGTAATGTATTCATTTATCTTTTTGTAATCACCATTTCCTCTTCTTTGAAACACTTTAAGCCTATCCAATTGTCCTACCACTATATGATCTTCATAAGTATTTATACTAATAATGGTATTAGTTTCTGGAATATCGATAAATTTATCGTATTTACGAACCATGTCATGAATTCTTAAATATGATCTGCAACCAATATAAATAAATTCAGAATTTGCATGAAGAGCAGTTCCTGTTTCAGAAAGTTGCAATGAATATTTATGATAAAAAGGTTCTATTTGGAAGATTTTAATAACTATGCTATCGCCCAAAGTTACTAATACTTTCTACTTTTCATTAATTGAAAGAATTATGTTGTTTCCAAACTAGTAGATCTATTTTGGTTAAGGATTCAAAAGTGTAAAGCGCAATTCGGGATCTTGTGTTCTTCTTTATAATTCAAGCTTTCCTGCAATAGTTGCTAGAATGAGAATTCCATTTTAATTATTGGATTCAAAATATGCAGCATCAGTTATCCATTTTTCAACATATATTTTATGTTTATGTTTAGATGTTTTAAGATCATATATAAAACATTTCGTTCCAAAACATGCTGCTATCAATTGATCACTTAAAAACAATAATTTAGTGATCTCTTACCCTTCTGTTTCAAAAAAGGTCAAATCCTACCGATCAATTTTTAGCTTTGTTTAAATTTATTCTTAATTACTATCTTCAGTTGCATCTAATCATAAAACAAAGATTATACTTTGTAATGGCGAACATGATCGTTGAGTAGACCTTTGGTTCTAAGGAGGCTGACCACTTGAAGATTATCTTGTTTAATTTTATTAATTATTTTGGATGAATATTTTCTTTGCTGAATTAGATTCCTATATCTAAGCATCTTATATTTAATTGGGAGATGAAAGATTGAAATTAAGGTTTGATGACTTGATACCTGATTCATTTTGGATATTCCTATTAGTATTCTTGGTATCACTTGTAGTTGGTGGTTTATCTTAGACTCTAGGTGGTGTTCTCATTTGATTAAAGAACGAAAAGCTTACTTCTAAATTAGATTGTTCTTGTTTATTAGATCTTTTCTCTGGATTAGAAAAGCAATTCTGTAAATTTTAAAATATTTCCTCATTCTAATTTTTGAATTATTCAATAATAGAATTTGTGGCATTTATATATTATTTTACGTAGTTGTTCCCTTTTTCTATTCCATCTTGGATACTTATGGTTTCTAATCCTTATGTCCTTTTGATCGAGAATTAAAATCTATTAGAATTTGTTCTAAAATCCTCTATTTCTTGGACTAAATCTGCAAAATTCTCTTAATTCATGTTTTATTCAAATCTATCTAATTTTTCTTTCTGCTGTTTTTACTTTTTCTAATTTGGAGAATTATCTTTAAAATTTTTGATTACGCTACAATCTTAATTTATAATTACTTCTCTATAATTTTCTTTTATTCGTTAATTGTTTCTTCTACCTTTTAAAGCGCTTATACCATTTAATTCTAAATTTGATCATAATAGAAAATCAATCTATATGTTAAATATTATAGATACTCCCCAATTTAATTATCCTAATCTATGCCAGGAGATTGAAGTTATGATCTAAACTACGTCAAAAATGATTTTATAGAAGGTGGGTTGCACTACTAATGTTCATTCTCTGAGCAAATGGTGCATACAAGCTGATGCTTATTACATTATGGGTTAATGCAAGCCCTATCTAGACGATAATTGTCGTGTTCTGCTTTATCACATGGATAAAAGTTCCAATTACTCATTGTCTGAAATAATAAATTATCAAATCAACTTATATTTATTTATATAGATATAAAAAGATGAAATATTGTACTACGATCAATATACACCTTTTAAAAATGTTACAACTGGTTCATTTGTTTTTTTATTGCCTAAAACCGAGTCAGTTCGAGCGACTTTGTTCAATGGGCTTTTATTGACGCTGAAATTGATTGGAGAAGCTGACTTTGCAGTAAATGCATTTCCTTTTGTAGGTTACAAGTCATAGTCTTTCAATGAGAGTTCATTACTGTTCAAAAAGGTCTTAATAATCTGGTTCTCTTTTATAGCCTTAGCAGTAGTTGGTACTGGTTTCTATTACCCTTATTTATAATTGTAGAAGTATTGAGGTGGGTTGATTTCTTTGGCGTCAATTCGAGGTTGAGATACTGCTTTGTAGAGATTGTTAATTCTATTTAAATTGTCCATTAATGATGACTTTGGTTATTCTTCCAGTTCTTTAGGCTTCCTATTAAGTATAAACATTACAATTTACTTTTAGTTCTATTATGTCTTGTATTCCTTAAGAGGTTTCAATTCGAGGGTATTGGGATGATTCTTGTGATATTATTACACAAACCCTAAGCGTTATTATAGACTGGATTCCTATTGCTGCCTTTACATTAGTGAACGTTAAATTAATAAAAATTATATTTCATGAATTTGTTGAAATCCTCTATTTCCTCTACAGGTTTCCAGAAATAATATTCGGTTTCTTTTGTTTTAGGAAATTTGTGTCAAGCAGCGAGCAATTATTCCTGGCTGAACAAATCATTTTTATTTTTGGTAGAGGATATGTAGGCTTGATTACTTGAAACCTTCCTAAATTAATTAGGGATTTATTTTAGATTAATCCATTCATTTCAGTGAGACTCTGAAAACCTGTGTAGGTCATGAATGGATTTGTTTAATTCACAATATTATTAGGATTCATTGTTTGTTCTTTGGCTTACATTGTTGCTTTTTCGTTTATGTAAGTTTAGATAGAAGCGAATGGCTTTTTGGATTTTCGAGAAACATTTAAGACTACTTTAGATTGTTCAGGTTCTAAGACAAAAGATCTTAGTTTTTGTTTTTTCACTTCTTGAGATTAAGGAACATTGGGTTCATCATTTCCTTATTATTGTTATTAAAGTATGAGTAACTAGACTTCGCTCTCTCTCTAATTCCCTTGGTTATTAATATTACGAATCGTGGTTTGGTGTTTGAGGAGAATGCTAGACATTCTCTTTAATACAGTCCGTTTTCGTTCCTTAGTCCTTTGTAGCTCGTTGGTTATAACTTCCTAGTGTTTAACGGTTGTCTTAGGATACTAATAGTCTAGATGTAGCTATTATTTCATAGTACATGTGTTTTACCTACTTTTAGGATAGTTGTTCCGAACCACTTTTTCTTCTTTANTACTACGATCAATATACACCTTTTAAAAATGTTACAACTGGTTCATTTGTTTTTTTATTGCCTAAAACCGAGTCAGTTCGAGCGACTTTGTTCAATGGGCTTTTATTGACGCTGAAATTGATTGGAGAAGCTGACTTTGCAGTAAATGCATTTCCTTTTGTAGGTTACAAGTCATAGTCTTTCAATGAGAGTTCATTACTGTTCAAAAAGGTCTTAATAATCTGGTTCTCTTTTATAGCCTTAGCAGTAGTTGGTACTGGTTTCTATTACCCTTATTTATAATTGTAGAAGTATTGAGGTGGGTTGATTTCTTTGGCGTCAATTCGAGGTTGAGATACTGCTTTGTAGAGATTGTTAATTCTATTTAAATTGTCCATTAATGATGACTTTGGTTATTCTTCCAGTTCTTTAGGCTTCCTATTAAGTATAAACATTACAATTTACTTTTAGTTCTATTATGTCTTGTATTCCTTAAGAGGTTTCAATTCGAGGGTATTGGGATGATTCTTGTGATATTATTACACAAACCCTAAGCGTTATTATAGACTGGATTCCTATTGCTGCCTTTACATTAGTGAACGTTAAATTAATAAAAATTATATTTCATGAATTTGTTGAAATCCTCTATTTCCTCTACAGGTTTCCAGAAATAATATTCGGTTTCTTTTGTTTTAGGAAATTTGTGTCAAGCAGCGAGCAATTATTCCTGGCTGAACAAATCATTTTTATTTTTGGTAGAGGATATGTAGGCTTGATTACTTGAAACCTTCCTAAATTAATTAGGGATTTATTTTAGATTAATCCATTCATTTCAGTGAGACTCTGAAAACCTGTGTAGGTCATGAATGGATTTGTTTAATTCACAATATTATTAGGATTCATTGTTTGTTCTTTGGCTTACATTGTTGCTTTTTCGTTTATGTAAGTTTAGATAGAAGCGAATGGCTTTTTGGATTTTCGAGAAACATTTAAGACTACTTTAGATTGTTCAGGTTCTAAGACAAAAGATCTTAGTTTTTGTTTTTTCACTTCTTGAGATTAAGGAACATTGGGTTCATCATTTCCTTATTATTGTTATTAAAGTATGAGTAACTAGACTTCGCTCTCTCTCTAATTCCCTTGGTTATTAATATTACGAATCGTGGTTTGGTGTTTGAGGAGAATGCTAGACATTCTCTTTAATACAGTCCGTTTTCGTTCCTTAGTCCTTTGTAGCTCGTTGGTTATAACTTCCTAGTGTTTAACGGTTGTCTTAGGATACTAATAGTCTAGATGTAGCTATTATTTCATAGTACATGTGTTTTACCTACTTTTAGGATAGTTGTTCCGAACCACTTTTTCTTCTTTATTATTATTTTTTTGTATTCCTCACATTTCTTAATTCAAAACTCTTACTAATTCTATTTATTATCGTTTCTTTATCTTTGATTCTCAGATTTATCAACGTTCTCACTCTTTTCAATGGAGATTCAGTTTGATATAATTTATTCAAGCATGGACTTTGTTAAGCTATTAGTGTTTATGAACACAGAAGTTCTCCATTTTATGAAGTCAGATTACTATTGCTTTCATAATTTCTGGAAAGTATCATTTAATTCTAATTTTAAGAATTAATTGAAGATTACATAATCAAATATTTTACAAAATAAATTAATTCGATCAACCTGAATCCTTCTTTATAAAAATAGATTTACTATAGTGAAAAGAATGTCCTCCAAAATCCATTAAATCTTCTGAGGTTGTGAATGCTTTCATGTTCTCAAAACAATTATATAATACATAATCTATAAATCCTATTAAATACTCAACCATTGATTGACATCTTTGTTAATTAATTCTCAAAATATATTAACACATATTCAAATATTATTCATAGAAACCCATTATCACTAGAAAAATAACCAAATAAAATGGCAGATAAAGATTAAAATTTGTGTCAAAATTATATTATTCCAAATTGCTTCTTTGACTTTATTTTCTAATATTTTAATCTAGAACATATATCTAAGGAATTATATGTCTAAGATTTATATTCAAATTTTGTAAATATTTATAGAGTAGTTATAAGAATAATAAATTTGGTGAATTCTTGCAGCTAAATTTACTCATTTTCTTACTCATTATGAGATAATTAAAGTCTTATAATATTATAATTATAAAGTGATCCTCCATTAAAATTTATTAAGTAAGGAAATAATATATTACTGATTATTATTTATTGATTTGATAAACTGTTAAGATGAATTACGTACCAATAGAGGCCAATAAAATTATGTCATTTTGGGATGTAATGATTTTTGGAGGTGTGGAGTGGAATCCAAGATGAGTGATGAACCAATAAGTCCTATTGAATAATGATTATTACATAGATTGCTATTATAATTGTAGAAAAACTTTCTTTGCTCAATATTAATAAATTAAATAATTGAATGGTTAGAAATATATAGAAATCATCACAATTTTATCAAGCATCCATTTTTGATTACTACTAAGGAAAATTCAAAATCTGTTCTCAAAAATTCACAACAAGAATATTCTTGAGTCAGAGTCTTTTGTTATTTTTCTTAGATAATCTCGATTTTGGATAGGATCATTTCAACTTCCTATATGTTCCAACGTGGACTGATTTCGAAATCAGTCTTATTAAGTCTTTTAGCTTTGTGACCTAAAATATGGAATTAAGAGAATACCATAATATTTCTAGAGTTACTTGAATTTGTGTTTAAGAGCAAATTCAGTTCTTCTCTTGTATTTGGTGATCATTGACAATTTTAAAGATATGTCAGCCCACCTTCGTCCATTCTGAAGAAGCAATTGAAGAAAGTGTAACTCCTCAGATCTAGACCATGGTTCTCTAAGTCGATTTAAATATTAATAATTACCTATTAATTTATGGATCGAGTTTGTTGTTCCATCTCTCTCGACATTGTTTGGCATTTCTAAGAATCTCAGATTTGCAGAGTAGATTGTATTAATTAGCAATAGAGCTCCATTTTTTCTTGCAGCGACTGGTATTGTCTCTAAATATAGAAAATAATAAATACAAAATGATTTACAACAAAGCTTTATCTTCAAAGGAAGACCAGGGTTGTCTGGGAAGTTGTGCTTTATAGAAAGATTAGAATTTAAAGCACAATTCAGACAGACTCCTGTACTTTGGCATTAACTTTTGGACCTTCTCCCAGTCGAAGCGATTCTTTAAAAATTAAATCAAATGTTGTACCTTTATGCATCTTGGATTAAGACTTAAAACAATGAGTTATAAAAAAATCTCTTCATTGTGATTCCAAGCCTCATTGCACCCTATTTTAGATGACTCGTAAAGTTTGATAAAGTCATCAAAATTGGGGATAGTTTTGAAAAGTAATTTAAGCTTCAAAGATAGATACTCTTGTTCGATGGTTTGGAGATTTTAGTAAACTAAAGCCCAATCGTTAAGATCAGTAAATGAGCTTTGTGAAGAATTCATTTGTTTGATAAGATTAATAATGTATTATCTGAATGCACATTTTATGATTTAAAAGCGTGAATTTTAATACAATATACAGATACAATCAATATTTGATCAGATAATATTAATAGAAAATTAAGAACTTGTATCGGAATTTCCAAATTCAACCTTTACTAACTATTCTCCTGAATATTTGATAAAGTAGCCGTTTCTAGAGTAAACATATATATTAAAGTATTCTTATTTTCATAAAGTTATAATAATCATAACTTCAATGCCTTATAAATTTAATCTTATATTGATCTATCTATTAATTTAACCAGCAGTTAGTATGTCTTAAGAATTAATTTCATATTTCAACAACTATTCGGTAGTATTGACAAAGAACATCGATTCAAAACTATTTTTTTTACCCATATAGTTTGATAATTGCATTTTCATACTTAAATAAGAAGAGAATAAATAATTTAGTATAATTTATTTCAACTCTATACTTAAAAAAAAATGCTTTATTATTAAACTATTTTATTATTATTGACACTTTCATTTTTTTAATTTAACATTTTTCCAGACACTGGAAGCACGATAAATATTTGATAAGACTAATACTAATTATTGATCAATTGTAAATAGACTTTCAAGACCTCTTGGTAACACTTTCAAAAGTTTCCAGATTTATTTTGAAATCTAGTCAAATCATTATCACTTCTAAGTAATTTTCATATTTCCCTTTTTCATCTAAAATTTTCCTTGTTTATGAATAAATCTTAAAAAGATAGACTTTTCCATTTTTAAACTATCGTTTAATCTTCCATCTATCAATCTACCTAAATTATAGTGTCTAAATTACTATATTAGCTCAAATAGTTTGTTATTAAATCAAAATTGTAGTTATTGAGTCACGGATTTAAAATGGAGATTGTAATACTTGCATAGTGAATGTCTGAATTTGTTGATCACATTTCAAATTTGATTGGCACTCTGAAAATTTGGATATGAGAATCAACATCTTTATATTAATATAATTCAATTAAAAATAATAAAAATTCATATTCTAGAAATCAATTTACCCTTTAACCATAATCCATTAAGCTTTTCTCCATTTTTTTTGGTTAGTTATCCCATTCCGTTTCGACAATCAGATTCAAAATTACCGACATACATTGAACCGTCTCTGTAATACTCAATGGCAGCTCCATATTTATATCCATACTAGAATTGTCCAACATATTTGGTGAATTAAGAATTTACTTCGTGATTGTACAGAATTCCATTGCCATGTTATTGATCGTTAAACCATTATCCCTCATACACCAAGATGCCTTATGCATTAAACAATTTGCCGAATCCTTCTCTCACTTTTCCATTATAAGAACCTATATATTACGATTCGTCTTTAATATCCTTTATGATAATTTTATCTGAACTTTTAGAGTGGCTTTTACTCAATTGTCGATTGGGCTTAATTAATTTAGTGGATTTAATCAATTTATCGTCATGAAAGGGTTTCACTTATTTTATTGGAGAATCTTCGACTTTGGAATTCTTTTAAAGAGTAGTAAATGGAGCATAGGTAGTAATAATCTACAAGAGATATTGCAATATAAAAATACAGTGCGATAGGGTCCGATGGATTTACCTGATTTTATGTAAAATAGTGATACTTGGGGAAGCAGTAGATGGTCTAAGAGGACTTGAAGGGTTGGTCGATTGCATTTGATTATATATTTATATATTTGTGTTTTAAGTCTCAGAAAATCAATTTCTTTGGTGATTGATAATCCTGTGGATCAACATAATAGTCTTCTCCCATTTTCTGTGTCTACGAAGTTACTGCTCCTCTGTAAATCAAGAATGAGAGAATTAATGTTGGAATTGCTATATGCACTGAGTGTCTAAACCATTGTCTATTGTAAAGCCAGGCATCACTCTAGAGACATTCATGAGATCATTAATACCAACACATAACGAGGAATTGGGTACTTCTAAAAACCTCCCATTTTACAATATATAAATTAATAATAATTATTATAGTAATATTTATTTAAAATAGAATACGGTTAGAGTAAAAAATCAAAATATTTATAGATGAATTTAACAAGTAGAGAATTTTAGTACTAATTTTAAATCAATAAAGATTTGGCTAGGGTAGTAAAAATAAATACTAGAGTGAAATAAATGAATTAATTATTAATAAATATTATCAATAAATAATGTTCGAAATAAAAGATTGAAATTATTTTTTTTAATTTGATATATTTTTGCTCTCCTCCTAAGAAATGTATTGTGGTAGCGAATTAAACAATCCATTAAATTATTTTTAATACATATTTTGCTTTATTAAATATAAATTATCTTTAAAACCGAATGACTACAAATTTGGGGCCTAAGTTAAAGTTTGTGATGCCTCTAAAAAAGAGTCTTTCATTTGAGGATGTTTTCGAGGCGAATTGCGATCCTGAATAGAAATAATGGAATAATTCTAAGATGGATCGGAAAGTAAGTTTTGCCGTCTCCACTCTCGTATTTCTCAGATACTCGGAAGAAGAAATACTAAATTTCAGACAAAGATTGAAATCATAAATCCATAGTAGTATAGAGTTGATTGAGTCCTCATATTTAAATCCGTAGTTGTGTAGTCCTGGTAAATAAAACAGAAGGAAGTCCTGCTTCAAGGAAAACGAAGAGCATATCAACTGATTACTTATTTTATGAACTCTACAACTCTATAATAAACTTCAGTAGATATTACATTATATTTTCAAAAATTTTATTCATTAATTTAATATGTCTCTAAATGAAGTTGAATACGAGAAGCAACATAACATTCATATTATATTGTATTAGTGACATAAAACTTAACTATCATCATATAGTTTTCTGTTTCATCGAATTGAATAGGGATTCAAACTTGTACACTTTTTAAATTACTCGTTTCAGCAAGAATCTTTCCCATCCATCCAACCATCTAGATAACTATTAATAATTAGCTTACTTATTCATTTCCTCTTTGCTCCCCTGTTGCTGTATCCAGTTCTCCAAAGTCCTGTTCAATTTCTCAATCAAAGGTTGGAATATCATGTCAATATATGGTTCAATTTCATCCATCCACTTGAAAATTTCCTTGATCGGTTGCACATTCTAATTTTGAGGGTTGATTTCTAAATTGTGAAGACAGAACAACATCTAGGGTAAAACTGACATGTATAATAGATTTTTCCAATTTTCTCCCAAATATATAGCCCAAGGTTACAGTACACTAAAACCAAAGTCATCTTTATCCGTAAATTTTAATTGTTTTAACTTCTTCTCCACTTCCTCCAACAATTCCTTACTGTTTAATTTTGAAGTGATCCAAGGTTATAGCCATTAATGTAAGGATATTTTTGAATTCAGATTCCATTCTTAAATCTTCAGTTTTAATTTAGACGTTACTATACTCATAATATCTTTTTATACTTATTAATCCAACAATCTAATAGTCTGAAATTGATTGACTCCTGTTTCATCTGTTTCAACTAACGCTAAGTCTTTCATCCATAATCCTAAAAAATCTATTAAATAATTTTCTTAGGTTGGATCAAATGCTACAGAAAGATAATTTCTTAATCTGATTAGAATCGGAGCAATCAATAATCCAATGAATCTCTTTAGGGTGTTAAGATCAGAGGTTGAAATCGAATTATTAACAATAAAAACATCCAATTATTCAGCATATTTGCTCAGATTTTAAGACTTCTTCTAAATATACGTCTCCTTGGCCAAAGTAATAACATCAGAGATTAATTAATATTCATATTATAAGATATCCACTTTTGTGATAGGCCCTTTCCATTTAGTTGTCAAGACCTTAATCTCTGATTCTGCATTCTTAACTAATAATCCAATTAAATTGAATTAAATAAATTAATCGCTAAATTTCCTAAAACATTCTTCAAACTTTGCAAAAATATGGAACTAATCATTTGAAATCAAGATGTCATCTTCCTTGAAGAATTTCAAATAATTTAAAAAGTCTTATTTTCTCTTAACTGAATCATTCCATTAAGTAAATTACATCAACTCTTCTTATTTTTCGTGCTCCAAAATTATCATTTTATCCTTCTCCTTCTTTATACTCTATTCATTATTCTCCCACTTCCCTAAACGCTTTTCTAAAATTGTTTTCACTGACCACGTTATTTCTTGAATTTCTTTCAAATTATCTCTAACTGCTTTATTACTGTACACTTATGCATCCTATGTCTTATTTAAGTAATCATTAATATCACTACCTGTCATATCAATTATCTTATATTTATGACTATTCTAGTTCTCTTTATTTAGATTGCCCATTATATGATTCCTATCCAAATTAAGTACTTCCTCCTTTCTCGTGTTAACAGTCAATTATCCATCTTCTTTATTCTACTTTTTTCTCCATAGTTTTTCATATTTATTCAATTTCTTAGATTCGAAAAAGGGTTTCTACTTATTTTCTTAAGTCGAATTATTCTCATTTTCTTGCTCCTCTTCTTAGTTTTAATCTTCATATTCCTGCACTCCCTCCCCTGTGAATGATTATTTCTTCACAGCTCTTACTGGCTCGAGTCTACCCTATTTATTAGCACCTAAACCTTCTCCAAATTTGTATCCTAATTTCTACAGGAACTTCAACCCAACACCATAATCGTGTTATTCCACTCTTTTTTCTAAATTCTTTTTTTCTTTTAAACTTAAATTTTTTTTATTTCTACTATCTTTAAATGCAACCTGCTCGACTGTGATGGTTTTTTTGCCCTCATCTTCTTGAAAGACTTTGAGATTCTTCTTTAAAATTCCCTTTGGATGATTAGAAGAAGCTTAACTGACCACCTGAACAATGGAATCGTCACTCTCATCATCTTGAGCTTCTACTTTAGAATTAGAAACAACCATGTTTGATAGCAAAGCAGACCTGATGTTACATTCGAAATTAGGCTTTTTCTCCTCGATTAAATGCTCCTCTTTGTGTTTAACTATAGGATGAACAACATTATTTTCAAGATTGAATTGCACCGATCGCTTCGATTTTATCCTATACTCAGTTTGGTTGATTTTCTCATTCTGTGGCATATTCTTATCAAATATCTTAACAGTCACACCCTTCTCTACGTTTGACAGAAGAGATGCATTGGACTTTTAGAAATTAGCAAATGCTTAATTTCTTTGGTATTCCTTATATATTTATTGATGCTAATTGTTTGGAGTGTCCTAAACTTGCGGTTTTGGGTTTTATTCGAACTCCTCCTAAAAGAGATTTAATCGAGCTCTCTATGGTTATGATTGAGGAATCTTAAATTTGGGTATTTCTATTTCCATCTCATATTCTTCCTCATGATTTAATTTAGGTTTCTTGAATCCCAAGCCTGTATGGAATTACAAGTCATCATCACTACTAAGATTGTCTAGATCAACTTTCATTGATTTTAATAATTTATATTATGCATATATATTAACCTCATCAAGAAGCATAATACTCCTTGTTTGGTCTTTCTTCTTGCTCCGTTCTTCTCAAGTAAGCCAACTCATAAGAGAAATATGCAAACCAAGAAATGCCCATGACTAACCAGAATATACCATCCTTTCTATCATAGTTGTGATCGATTTATACTTATAGTTAATTGTCCAAGGTCTGTAGTCCGATGGATAAGTGAATTATTCATTATAAGCATTTGGTGCTTATTATCCTGGATTGAAATTTCTAATTGGTAGTTAAACTTGATTTACCTGTGTGGTCTGGATAAGCTGACACTTTTTGTATGGCTTAATCCAACTTGCTCAAGTTTAGAGAGATTGCTTTATCCATAACGATAAGCTGCCCTTTGTATAAAATTCATTTTTAATATTAATATATGTATTATTATAAATTATATTTAATTCTAATCTGTAAACTAATTAATCTAAGTACTACTTCTGTCTTGTTTGGAATACAAACTCCTGAATAAAGTCAATCAGAAACCTCAGTATGAATAATTTTTTGTATTCTAACTCTAATCAAACGTTAGATTCACATGGAAATTCAATGAGTCATAAATAAAAGTAATATTATTTATCGAAATAAGGGAAAGTGAACACTAAAATTAATCAGACAACCCATTTAACATATATTCAAATTATCTGTGTTTCATTAATTTATTATTTTCCTTTTAAAAAGTGTTAGCTTTTTATTTTTCCTTATAATAAATAGACAAATAGATTAAAATATTATTTATTTTATACTTTGACCAAAATTATTTGAAATGTTTCTGCAGTTAAATCGAAGTTTCTTTTACTTATTATGTTCAATGATTCTTAATCTATAATCAAATTGGTTACTTCTTTTAAATGTATTGTTTTCTGAGAGTACTTAAAACAAATTAATTAATCAATTTAATTTTTTATAATGCCACTTTCCAAAATAGAATTAATATAAAATAATTTAAAATTATTTTAAATATTGACTCTATATATTAATATTCTATGATAAAATTCAATAATATCTGTAGGTCTGATAAGAGAGATTTAAGAATACTGATATTACTAAAGCATATAGAAACCCTATTCCAAAAGTACCAGAGATCTAAGCAGAAGTTATGATGGAGAGAAATTTGAATTTAGGATATTCAAAGTTGAAGCACATTATCTCAATTAAGTAAGAAAAGAGTGAATAAATAAAATAGATACAAATCAATAAATAATGAAGGGAGTTTCAATTAGTTGAGATGGAATGCCAACAATTTCGTCAGGCGAAGACAAGACAATAAATATCTGTTGAGTATAAAAAAGTAGAAAAATGAAATGAAGGAATCTAAGAGTAGAAAATAACGAAATTCAGCAACTAACAATTCAAGCTCAAAAATTAAAGAAATAATAAAGAGTTGAACAATTTATTTAGTGATTTACAAATTTGTGTTAACATAATTTAAAAGTTTAATAAGTTGTTAATTAATTTAAATATGAAGAGAAAACTATATAAATTATCATTGTTTAAGGAAATAGATGAATTTAATTAGAAAGATGATGATGGACACTATAGCGATGATTCATCTGTGTCTGATGAATTTTTGAACACAACACTTGAAGCATATTGTATTGATTTATTTCATTATTCAAAGAATCTCAGATCTTTATAAGCAGTAATCAAACTTTTAGTTCGATTCACTCAGAACAACTCCAATTTATTCAAGGAGTTTTCGATAAGTCTGAAGAAAGTGAATAATCAATTGACTTCAATATTACAAATGTATGAACTCAAATATTAATTGAAGATTGATGGTGACAATAGAACTACCTTAATGATGAGAAACATCCCTCAAACCTACACCAAGGAAATGATAATGATGGAAATAGATCCAAAATTCAAAAACAAATTTGATTATTTCAACTTTCCATTTGATGGTACTTCCAATCCTGGCTATGCCTTCATCAATTTGAAGTCCAAATCTTATTTAAGAGATTTCTATAGTCACTTCAATGGGAGGAAGTGGAAAAACACTCCTTCAAACAAAGTATTTAATTACAATATACATAGCCTTGCTATTTGAAATACGCCAAAATTTAGCATAAAAAATTCAAATAAATTAATCCTTAGATTTATTTACAATAAAGTAGTGTGATAAAACTAGTCTAGAATTAAAAATTACAATACAACCTGTGAATTAGAGTATCACTTTTTTTCTCTATATATATATATCTATATTGTTATGCTTTATATTAATATGAATATTTAATGAAATATCAATTTAATTGTAGTCTCTCTCTTAAATATTCTTTGAGTGTAACAATCTTATCTTAGATGTGATCTGATATTCTTGATATGAGATCTTAGGTCGAAACTCTGGATTGAGTTTCCATCTAATAGATGTCTTGTTGTTATCTACACCATTGATCTTATCCTCCTAAGTTATTCTATTGTATATGTTTCTTCTTACCTAATTTCTCTCTACTTCAACAGCATGATATTCCACTTTACCTGAAGACTCTTCGATGATGCTTTGATAATTCAGGATAGCTTGTTCTAAGTTCTACCTCTGATCTGATCTAAAGATTATTCAATATAGAAATGTTACAATGTATTTTTCTCATTTGTTAAGTCAGCCAAGAACTATTACCAATTCAAACTTTATTGCTTCTCAATAGATTCGTCATTTCCTTTGCTTTCAACTATTTGGACTCTCAGATTGGCCAACAATTGAAGCACCTTCTTGGCAGTGTCAGAATCTGACTTTGAAGACAATTGAGTCATCATTGTTAAAATTGGTTAAAACAATAAGCCTGTTGATTGACTAACAATTAATTAAATAACAAAACCTTTATAATCTCTATAGAACCTTGTTGAATCTTCCCTTAACTTGAATAAATGAAGAACCTCCAGACAAATGTTCAATGAGTGCATAAGCTTCATCAATTGCTGAAATGGCTTCAGTATGATCCTTGATTTTAGATTAGAATTCTGCATATTATAGATCTCTTTCGCTCTGTCCTGCATTGGTTTTCTTTGTATTTTCTTCAATCTCCACAGACACTTCTGCAATTTTGTTAAGTGATCTTTAGAGATTGTTAGTGTTTTCCTAATATGATTATAATTTGTCTAACATCGACTATTTTTTAGTGAGCCTTCAATTAGCTTTGATGATAGGCTAAGTTCGTAGAAAAGTCGTGCAATAATCTATTACAAGAGGCTTATGTATTTTAAATGAAGAGATCTGCATCTTTTTGTTCTTATTCGAGCATGAATCTAAAGTAATGCTTCTTAAATACCTGATATTATTGATATAACTTTGAATTTCATGAACTGGTGAACCAGTGGCAAGACTGATTTGGATAGCATTCAAGAATGTTTTGCCCATATGATGATCATCAATTTCTGCCAAGGCAATCTTTGGATCTGTGCCTGTTTTACATAATGCCTATTATCCTATTTGAATACTACCAAGCTTATTAGAACCAATAATAGTATTTTCATTATTATTATTATTATTAAAAACGAATATAAATTATAAATTGATTCTTCTGCAAGTGTAATTATGATATAATACTAGTAAACATCCTTATAAATCTATCAATCATTACTCATTTATGACTTCTACAATGAATAAATTTCTAAACAGCACCCTAAAGTGTTCTCTCATATTTAAACTATGCCGCAGTATTGAAAATTATGATATTGATTACAATCTAACTGAGTATTATTAAAAATTATTGTAGATTTTATTTTTATAATTGAAGGAAAAAGATATAGAATTAAATTTAGCTTAAAGTATTGCTGTTTATGTCATTTTGATCACATAAAAGAAAGTGGGAGACTACTTAAGGTTGAAATTAAGTACTAGAAGGATAAGTAATTCAAATGATGTGAGTTGTTTATATATTAATAATATTAAATATTTATATATATATTTCATTCTAAATATCAATCAGATTCATCGTCACTAAATGGATAATCAATGTGATAGACGTGACTTGAATTTTTATCCTTAACTACTTGTATCTGTTCAGTAGCTTTGAATGAAGTGATGTCTATGGATTTGAACTTCTTAAATTCCTCTGATATTGTAGAGACTGATGAATGTTTCAACGAATTTCTCTTCCAGATTTCCCCTGCTCCGAAAAGGAAGCAGAGTTATTTAATTTTTTTGGCATTCATCTGGGCTTCTTGGGGCTTCCAATTCAAAAACCTAGCCATATTCTTTTCCAATCTATCCCTAGGTAAATTTGATTCATTTTGAGCATTCTTCACCCAAGGATGATCCAAAGCCTGTTATGGAGTAAGTCTTTTTTAAGGATCAAATTGTAATAAGTTGCTTATCAAATCTTTAGCTTAATAAGAAATCTAATCCCAAATGGGGCCAACCATTTCATATTTGCATTATTAAATCTTGTCGATCAAATCATTTAAATAGTCAGAATTAAATGGTAATTCTCCACTTAACATCACATATAAAATCACTCCTGCACTCCATAAATCCACTTATTCACTAAATAATTGAATGGTATTACTTGTACAAACCTCCTGAGAATATCTCTGGTGCTGAAAAGGCAACTGTCCCTGTGTATGTCCACATCTCGATTTTTCCATGTTCATTGAGATTGCCAAATTCTTTGTATCCATCTGTAAACTTGGAGACCTGAATTAGATTATTGTATTGTGTACATTGAAATCAGTAATCTTGATGGATCTACCATCTTCGGCACATAAAATATTATTTGGTTTCAAGTCTCTGTGACAACAATAGTTTTCATGCATATAATCAATTGCCTCCAATACTTATTTGAATAAGATTCTAGCAGTGCACTCTACTCTTATTTATTCAAATACCACTATAATTCTTCTTTTTTTGAATCACTTCAAACATCTCGCTACCCTTCACCTTCTCCATTACTACATATACAATCCCGGTTGATTGGAAGCCTTCGTTCCACTGAATGTATAATTCCTCCATTTTTACTATGTGAGGATGACTCAACTTTTTTAGATTCCTGAATTCCAATATCATCTAACTCATATATAAAGATCATCTACATTCTTCACGATTTCCTCAGCATCTGTTTTAACTGTCTTACATGCCAACTCCTATCCATCTAGCTTTCTCGTAATACTCTTCACCAATCCAATGCATCCTTCTCCTAAAACCTCTCCTTCTGTATACTTCTCCTAAAATTGGCTCAGATCAAATTTAATATATTTATTATCTTCGTCATCTAACTCTATGTTAATTCGATTTAAAAATTATTGTATTTCCTATTCTTTCGTATTTGCATTCTCGCTTTTATTTATCAATTGTAGCATTTAGCCTAATAAATTATTCAATTAACTCCTACCTTTGAACTTATTCTTAAATTGTTGCAATGTATTTTGTTAAGTATTATCAGAAATAGGGGCCCGAGAAAACGAAAACTTACTCTTTCTTCTCTAATTTTATATATCCATAATTATTTAATAATACTTATAAAATCAATAATTTCATAAGATGCTACTATAAATAAAAATCACCTAATAAATTTATCTTAAAACTGAATCTAAACAATCAATAGCGTTTTAATTTAAATCTAATATTTTTATCATTATCTATATATTAATTAATATTTAATTTAATTTATTCTATGGGAAGCGTTGAGTGCTGTAAACACTATCCTCGTGTTGATACTCTCAAATTTGATGATATTGATTCCTCAAGCCAAGAATCAGTGTTCTACAAAAGAGATGACTAATTTTCACCAAGAGCCAGTTCTCCTGGTCAAGAAGCAGTCCCTTTACAAGTCAACCAAAGATAACCTCAAATGTATTAAAAACATGCTTGTGTATCTACTGCCTTATAATCTTACTCATTCAAAACAATCTCATCAGAATAGCATTTCTCTAATTTTATAACATTTTAAGCCCTCCCATCCTCTAGAGACTAGCAATCAAGTAAATTTTAGAACATCAGGTCTAACTTTTTAGATGACTTAAATGAAATTCAACATTAATTGAGTTGCGATTTATAAAGCAGTGAATATATTAAACAACAATCACAATATAGAAAAAATATCTGAAACTTCATATATATAATTATGTTTGTTACTAAATAATTTTAAGCACGAGAATCAGAATTTTTTACTTATTAGCTCAATCAAAAATGTATTTTGTAATAGAGAAATTATAAATCAAACTAAATAAAATTTTATTAAATATTCATCTACTCAATAAAATTATATCTATAAGACTTCAAATTATTAAAGCTAAAGAATTTATACTATCAAAGTAATTTATTTTAACTTAATAAATCGTTGCTGCATATTTTAAGTAATATATAAATTTATTTTCCTCATCTGTTCATCTTCCATCAATGATCGTTCCAATTTTTTTTTATTATAATACCATACTCACCATATTCTTATTTTCTGCTCTTTTTTATTCTTTCTATTAGATTGTCCAAAATAATTTCAATTATTACACAAAGTTAACTTATTGATTTTTTTTTAAATATACTTTGAAATTCTGAGTAATATAATTGATTTGATTATTTTTAAAATTTATGCATGAATGAGAATCTAAAGTTTTTGCTTTACTCTATCTACAAATCTATTAGTAGTTTTTTTTTAAATAAAATAAATCTATAATCAATTCTTAAATTCCTGTAAAGCAATTATTAATAGAAAATAAATTTTAGCCCTCCATATTCTCTAAATGATAGAGTGATCAAATAAGTTGGTGGATTTTGTTTTGTGATGATTCATTCACTTTCACTAAAATAGGAATAAATAGTTTTTTTTTCATAGTTATATTTGAGCTTTGATGAAGGATACTCAAACCAATTAAAAGGACGAGAAAGCATCAAGGAATTGAATATAAAAATATATTCATAGTTTAAGTTTATTCTAATTGGGGCTATTCTCATTCTAAAAATCTAACCAACGATTATTTAATTAAAAATAATGTCCCAACAGACATCATAGTGTTCAAACTGTAGAGCCTAAATTGCAGAGACAGTGTTTGCATTGCATGAAATCTATTGCATTCGTAACAACATAGAGTGCAAGAAGTGCGGATAGTTCTTTGATAAGAATGACCCATAATCCCATGAGGAAGAATTTCACAAAGGCACTCCATGTGAATTTTGTAAAGAAATATTCTAAGGTACTTTTTTCTATGAATGTAGATATTTCAAAACACACAAAATGTCTTAAAAAACCAGTCTAATGCATACATTGTGGATTAGATTAAACTAAGGATTAAATATTTCAACATGAAAATATTTGCGGTAGTAGAACAGAAAAGTGTGATATCTGCAAACAATACATTATGATTAGAGAATTAACCAAGCATGTAGCTACATGTGTACCTCCAAAACCAAAAGAACAAGTATAAGAAAAGTAACCAACTTAAAAAACAGTTGAAAATAGATAAATTTCATAATAACCTTAATAAAATGTCCAGCCACCCAAACCTGACTATAAGAATTTTGATTATAAATACAAACATCAAGTCGAAGCTGAATAGGTTAGTAGACCTTAACAGTAAGTATAAGCAAAACATGAAATATTTGGATATGAAAAACCATCACTACCTTATAGTTAATAATAATAATCATAATAATAATAATAAGCATAGTAAATTAGGTAACCTATTAATAAGTACGAAAAACCAATTGAAGTTAGAACAGATAATCATTCTTAAAATAAAAAAACTCCATAATAATATTACAACCCTAGTTAATAATAATAACAAATTGCTGTCGAATAAAAATATAAGCCCAAAGAATATCCACTTCAACCAACAACAAATGTTATAAAAAGATAAGCTTCTGGCAATCAAGAGATTAGAAATGTTTACCCTTAATAAGAAAAATTAACTGATAAATATTCTTATTAATAGTCTAATTAATAGAAGTGCCCTGATAGAAAGCCAAATGAACTAAGACAATACGATCCCAATGCATATTTAAATAGATAATAGGAGAATAAATACTATGATAATAAGTAATTCGAGGTGAGAGGAATTGATAAAAAATAATCTGATCAAAATTTACACAGATAATATAGTTAACAACCCTAATAAAAAAAACAGTATAATAATTTATAATAACATTTTAGACAATAACCAAAAGCTGTTGATGATGACATAGACTACCTTGCTTTGGGTTTGACAAGGGAAGAGATTGAATAATAGAAAATTTATTTGGAAAGTCTTTAGCAATAGAGAAAGCCTTAGGAAGCTTAACCAAAACCTTAAGAATATAAGCCAAGATAGGATTATTATTAGGCAGCAAGAGCATATAAATGATATTGTTATGTTTATTACTTATATAAATATATAGAAAAATGTTACTCAAAATCCATTCATGTTTCCTTAGTTAGATGAATTGGTATTTGTTCTGTTAGAATTGAAGGCTTTTAATTAGTCTAACAATTTAGCATTTTATTGTCTCAATCCCTCCGTTTCCTTGCACATCAACTCATATTCTCTAAAAAAGTCTTTCTTCTTTAACTACTCTCTTTGTTTAATATTGAGCTGAGTAATTTCCTCTATCTAATTAAATTTATTTTGATACTTCATCTGATAATTGTTTAATGGTATTTTCAAGATTTTCTATTTGTTCCAATCTTTGTATTGGATTCAAGGACCCTCTATAAACATCATATTCGCTATCATCAATTTATTATTGTTATTATGATTATAGTTAAAGTTATGATTAAGACAATTATTGTTAAAGTGAACTGGTTGTGATTCTGAGTTAATTAATTTCAGATTGCAGTTTCTAGGCCTCGTTAATTCTTTACATCTATTCTCCTTCAACTTGTTGTTTTAAATAGTAGATTTCATCCAATAGCATGCTAAATCTTTTATAATTTTTCGATAGGAATTGTTTTAGATCAAAGAGTGAATTTGTTTTCTCGTAGTTGTTCGAATTCTCAATAAAATCTTCCAGATACTTGATTTTTATTTTCAGTTTCTCATTCTCGAAACTATATTGAGATTAATTCATATTCATTATATTAAATAATTAAAAACCCATAAATTATATACGAATTTTGTTCCAATTTATTTAGAAAACTTTCCTAAAAAGATTGTTGTCTATGTGATAGGACATTTAATAATTAACTTAATAGATTTCCCTCTGTTGAGCTCTACAAGGTTGATTTGGGTTGCCAATATCTCCTTCGGTTCTGTGATCAATTCGTCCTCCTCTAGTTGTTGTCGCTCCGCCCAGCTACTGATCTACGTGGGATTTTAAAGTAAATGTTTATTCTTAGCTCCTCACAATTGTCTTAATAATTAACAAAAATATGAGTAAATGAAAATGAATATGAACTAATCGTCCTTCTCTTCCTGAATTCCATAATCATCTCCTAAGATTCCAGAAATTTCAATCTTCAGACTTCAGTTCAATAATGTTCACAATCAAGAGATTAAATCATTAAAACGTTAATATATATTATATCCACACTAACTAGACAACAAATGGCCCTCAGCCATTGTCTTTTTTCTAATAACAAATGCTAATTACATTTACATTCCATTCAATACGCTTTAAATAAAGATATATTATTTCTATTTAAATATAATTCATTTTCTTCTAGAACTCTTATGGTGATGATTCATTAACACATGTTACTTCTTTTGAAGATCAACATAAATACTATTAATTTTATTATCCGTGCTTTCGGATTAAATAAATCTGTCATATTTTTGTTTATATTCTTTCTATTTAGACTAATAAAGAGGAACATTTTATTTCTATTACTACAACTATCTCTGATCGAGCAAATTTAATGATTCTGTGACTTTTAAATTTTATTCTCCTTAAACTTATGGTAAATTTATTTGGGGCTATTCAGTCTAGGGAGGCTATGTATTGAGTCCCTCATCAAGAGTATCAAATTATGACTTATGTTGAATTTATTGATCTTATGGAGACTCTTCCGATAAAGGCATCTAAACCTCATATTGTCCCAACTCCTTAAATTAATATAAATCATGAAGACTCTCTTAATGGTTGTTAAGTACATAATTCAATTCCAACATCTCCTTAAATAAAGGATCTACTTTAGCAAATTTTTAATAATACTCCTTTGGAGGAGCTCTCAAATTAAACTTGTCTAAAATATTTTAAGTATATTTGATGTCTTATTTTTTCTAAACTTAGGGTTGATTATTAAGCAATCCAACAAATTTAAGTTTTTCATCTGACTTTTCAAAGTTATGCTAGAGCATCTTTGGTCTTGAAAATGGAACTTGAGGTTTGTTCATATGTAATACTAGTTTTACTGAGGGAGAAACTTGATTCACATTTAGCTAAAGATGAGAAAGTAAATATTTAGTTTACGCTGATACTTACACATTCTAGTCTTCAAATTATTCAATTTTAGTAGAATCTTTTCTTTGTATTTTTTGTGGTTTCAATTTTTCACTTAGATGTTTAGCAAATGTTAATCCATCGCCAGATAAATTAGGAAACATAAGCTTCCTTCCTAAAAATGTTTTTTCCTAAGCCTTTCTCTTTTATTCCAACTTCTTTTACATTATTATCTGATCTTAAATTCTTTCATACTCTAAAAATTTAGATGTGAAAATTTTATCTATTTATCCTCTTATATATGCATCCGAAACATATAATCCATTCGAGTAAAATATCATAATATGATAACAATCATATACAAATCTTCAATTATTTTAAAAACTACCTAATGTTCACTTGTTCCTTGTATTATGCGTCTTTCCATAAATACCAATGAATATTATAGGTTATTAAGAAAAGAATATAATTGATGATCTCATCTTTTGGTTAAGGCAATTATGCGAATAGCTTAACGTAAGTTTTTGAATATTTATCCTTTAGTTGTGTAGCTCCTCCTCGAAATTTTAAGTCAAGTACTTATTTTAATTTATAACTTTACTTATGTCTATGCCAATTATTGTTAACTTTGAAACTCGTTTCATCAAAAGACTTTAAAGAACTTTATTCTTAAGTTAAACATTTTCAATATTTTTTAATATCCCATTTTCTATGATTTATTACATTTAACTTTGTAATTCTTCTTCCGGGTTATTAGACATTTTTTGTTAAAAATTTAATTAAATAATCTATATATAATAATAAACTGATCTAATTAAAAAAATAGGATAAGCATTAATAACATATTCCAATCATTTATTTTTTTTAATAATAAATCATTTCCAAATTCATTGCAAATAATCAATACAATAATCGTTTATGCATCTATATAGATTGAATGCTGTTTTACTGTCAGATAAACAAGAGACATACTATAAAATTAAAAATAAATGATTACTCCTGAGATACCCTCCTCATCTCCCACAGATTTACAATTTTACATAGCAGGTACACAACCTGAATCTTTAGCACAGGCATTCACCTAGCTAGTGCATTCCCATTCTAAGCATTATTTGAAATCAGCAGGTTCTTCACCCTCTTCACCTTCTTCAGCTAATTCTCCTAAATCATCTGATTCACCTTCTCCTCCATCTTCACCTTCTTCTCCTTCTTCGCCTTCGCTATTACTTTCGCCCTCACTATCGCTATCACTATCGCTATCGCTATCACTGTCGCTATCACTGTCACTATCACTGTCGCTATCACTGTCGCTATCACTTTCGCTGTCACTGTCTTTTTCGCTATCACTATCGCTTTCGCTTTCACTATCCTTTTCACTATCACTTTCACTATCCGTTTTGCTATCACTTTCGCTATCCTTTTCGCTATCACTATCCTTTTCGCTATCGCTTTCACTCTCTTTTTCGCTATCATTATCACTTTCACTGTCTTTTTCACTATCGTTATCACTTTCTTCTTCTCCTTCTTCAGATTTAGCCTTTTTATCTTGGGCTGTGTCTTGCTTGCCTTTGGATTCATTTTAACCTTGATTAGGTTTAAAAATGTTTATACCTTAATCAGATTTTGGATTTTCCTCTTTGGCTGGGGTTTTATTTTAATCTCCTTTTGTATCTGTTTAGCCTTGTGTTTTACCTTAATCAGGCTTAGGAGGCTCATTCTTTCCTTCACTTGAATCAGATTTTGCGTCTGACTTGGTTTATTCAGCCGTTGGAGTTTTATTTGTAGCAGGTTAGGTTGAACCTGATTATGTTGCAGCAGCAGCAGTTTCTCCAAATACCATTGCTTCCTCTAGCTCACTAACTTTACTGCTAGATTAAATAAAAATGTGCTACTCTTTTTATTGATCAACAGATGGGTATTCTCTTCTTTCTCCTACTTGTCGAGCTAGAAGAATTGTACATAAACACAAGAATAGGGTTAGCGTTTTCATTATTAAAATAAATTTATAAATAGTGGATAATCTTTTCACGGTTAACTAATTTATATCTTAATTAAGAATTGGTGGTTTAAACACTTAATTTAACGAACATAAATGTTTTCATTTTTATCACTAATTATATGATATGAATTTGTTTAAATTTAAAATTATTTTCATTCCAAACATTTAGATTAAACACACTCAAGTAAGGCAACTGCAGGCTTACTTTAGTTGATGCAATCCAAATACTAAAACATAATTTTAATAGATTTACAGCTTGATATCCAGCAACATACACTACATCCTTGCATTATGCCAATTTTGAATTGCAGTCCTTGTCACATGCTTTAGCTTGTGATCCACATTTATCCTCAATGCATGATCTGAACTTCTTTTCTTCAGGGCTCTATTTTGGTTCATCCTTTTTCTTCTCATCTTTCTTCTCATCTTTCTTTTCGTCTTTCTTTTTATCGTCTTTCTTTTCATCCTTTTTCTCATCTTTCTTTTCATCTTTCTTTTTATCATCTTTCTTCTCATCTTTCTTCTCGTCTTTCTTTTTCTCATCCTTCTTTTCATCTTTCTTCTCGTCTTTTTTCTCATCTTTTTTCTCATCTTTCTTTTCATCTTTCTTTTCATCTTTTTTCTCATCTTTTTTCTCATCCTTCTTCTCATCTTTTTTCTCATCCTTCTTCTCATCTTTCTTCTCATCTTTTTTCTCATCCTTCTTTTCATCTTTCTTTTCATCCTTTTTCTCATCCTTCTTCTCGTCTTTTTTCTCATCTTTCTTTTCATCTTTTTTCTCATCCTTCTTCTCGTCTTTCTTCTCGTCTTTTTTCTCATCCTTCTTTTCATCTTTCTTTTCATCTTTTTTCTCATCCTTCTTTTCATCTTTCTTCTCATCCTTTTTTGTTTCTTCTTTCTTTGTTTCTTCTTTCTTGCCATCTTCTTTCTTTGTCTCTTCTTTTTTAGGCTCCTCCTTCTTTGTATCATCTTTTTTTGATGTATCTACAGCCTTTTTGTCTTCTGCAAGGTGATTAACAGCCCTACAAGATATTAAAGATATCAAAAGTAAACAAATAAGGATTCTTTTCATTAATTAAATTTTATTTATATTTAATTAGGAGTTGTTTTTTAGGTTAAATATATTGGAGTCTAATTGTGATTTTATTTGGATAAAATCACAATTTTAGTGGACCAAATAGTTCAATTAAATTACATTTGGAAATAAATTATTGTTGTTTAATAAAATAATTAATCGTTTAAGTAAAATTATTTTCTTTTATATTTAACATGTAAAGGTAAGTTTATACATCATTATTTGAGCTTGAAATTACTGATATTTTTTAATAAATATACAACTGATTATAGGATAATTAGAAATGAATAAGTTCTTTTTGAAATATAAAATAATTTCATAAATATTAGGAAAAAATAATTTAGAAAACAATCAAAGCATTTATATATTATTTAATACATACTAAATTGAAGCTCAATCCCTTTCCCTATGATGAAATTTTTCCTTAAATCTTAAGGTGGTAATTCCAAAAATATTGTATTACCTGTGCTTGATAAACTTTATAATGTGTTACTAAACTTAATTTGTAATTTTAGATAAAAGGTTTTTTGCAACTCTTTTCAAATATGAATGAATTGAATATGGCAATCAAAAAATCATTACCTTAATTGTAGAGGAGTCTGTAAAATATTTAGAATTAGTCATCTGATTTTAGTTATGAAATAAGTTGAATTTTTCAGTTAGAATTTTTAATTGGATACCTGAATTCATTTCAATTTGCATATTGAAAGTTAATTTCTCATCTTTGTTAGACTTATTTTTTAATGCAATGAATTTCTACAAATGAGTCCTAATAATCTATTATTTCTTAGGAATTGATAAGTGAGTTTAATTTAAATATAATTATTAATTAAAATACTTTGAACAATGAAAAATCGATGTAGAATGCAACTATTGCTTTTATCACACTTCTAAAACAATTAAAAGATCATTAAATTTTGAAAATTAATATATATCATTTACTCTAATCTTAAAATTCCACTCAATAATGCCCACGATAAATTTTTATCAGAATTCAACATTAGACTGTTTACTCGACTTTCAATCGTCAATCATTAAAGATGGAAATAAAAATCGTTATGAAATTTACCTTTAATTAAAATATTAAATTAGAGGTAGATAATTTTTTTTCTTAGCTAAGAGATAGGAAGATATAATAAATTAAATCCGGACTATTAAATTGATTTCATTTATTTCCCATATTTAAATGAATTTAATTAAATAAATAATTTCATTTAATATAACCAAGCTTTTGAAGTAACTTTATCGTATTCTCAAATAATATGTTATTATCTTCTTTTCGATATTTTGGAAAGCAATCCTTATAATAATATCCATTTATTAGCTTTTGGTTTGGCTATGTAGCTAAAAAGTTTGATGTTACTGATCCTTATTCAGGGGTCTTTGTGAAATACCATATAAAAGGAGCCAAAAGTGAAGAAAAATAAAATTAATTTAGCATATTTGTTCTAACCACACCAGGATGTAAAGTATAAACCTTAATCTTAGTATTTTTTAGATGGTTAGCAAATGAAGATGTTTGATACATATTGGCTAATTTAGAAATCGCGTATATTTTATACCATGGATATGGTATAGGTTATTGATTTAAATAGATGTTGAAATCAACTTAGCGAGGAGAATTCGCATGGGCACGTGAAGCAACAAATATAATCCTTGATTCTTGTTCATTTGGAATGCAATCAAGCAAGTTATATGTTAACAAAAAAGGAGATAGATAATTAACACCAAAATTCTATTCAAATCCTTACTGAGTGTATTTCAACTCTAAATTGTAAATCCCTGCATTATTTATCAAAATATCCAACTTTTCATAACTATTTTTAAATTTTTAGCAAAATTCTTGTACCTTGTCCAAGTCATTTAAGTCTAAGTACATGTATTTGATATTTTTGTAATTAATTAATTAAGATTTTATTCTTTCAACATTTCTTCCTGCAACAATTACATTTTTTGCTTTTGAAAGCTTTTTTGCAGTTTCCCAACCAATCCCATCTGTTCCGCCTGTTATCAAGATTGTTTTATCATCCAAAGTAATCTTATATAGATTTATTAATACCTCTTCATGAGTTGTAAAATAATTAATACCCCCCATTATTTTTAATTTTCCTGCTATCAAACTTATTGATCCTATAGAGAGAGCAAGAATTTTATACATTATATTAAAATAATAAATACAATTTATGAAATAATCCTATGTTTAACTCTTCATTCTATATAATTGATAATACATAAATTACCAAATAATAATCTTCCTTAGACAATTGAAGAGTATTAAAGAGATCTTTATACTTTATTAAGAGGTTACTATCATAATTAAATAATTTTATTTTAAAACATAAATGGAACTAATTAATAGCTTCTTTAAAAAGCATATCTAATTTAGATCATAATTATTATCTAACTGGATAGGAGGTCATTGATATCTAATTTTAATTTGAAATTAATTTAATGTAGAGATCATTTAATTTTTTATAATTGTTTATAAGTTAATTAACAATTTATTTTTCAATATCAGCATAATTTACAGGCAGAAAATCCTTGTTTTATTGCCACATTTAAGGTCGTAGGAATTTTCGAACCTTATAGACTTTTACAAAATGAATTATGGTATTTAACTCCCGTTTTAGTTATATAAACTGTTTTTTGACCTTAATCAAATTTTGATACCAAAGGATTAGTAAATTATTGTGTTTCTTTATTTTATTTAAGAATATTTGATTGCTGATGAGAATAATCATTGAAACTAATGCATTTTTTTTAGTCGCTCAGATCGATGGTTGGTGAATACAGATTGAAGAGATGTTATTGAAAATCTTACTAAATAGGGAGACATTATTGTTATTAAGGTTTGGGAATTTCTAATGAAAAATTCTTGATTATTTCATCAGCTTAGATTTATGCTACTTTAATTTCTTTTAGTAGGGAGTCGAATTCCCTTTATAAGTCCTATTAATTCTTTAATACTTTAGCTATTTGATCAATCAAGCTGATTTCTTATTCTCTTATATTTTCGAAGAGCTATTTTTATAAGTCTTATATCTTTAAGTCTATTTATTTAAATCTTTCGTCTAAGAATTCTTAAAAAAACCCCTTTAAATCTTCGGTCATAGAAATATGGCAAAAAAAATAATTATTTTAAATTAATAATTAAAACTAAAATATCATTTAATTTAAAATAGATCTATTCTATAAACTCTAATTGCTATTAATGAATAATTTATTGTGAAGGATTCATTTTTCTCGAATTAATTCAAGGAAAGCATTAAATAAATAAAAATTAATTATAATTTCAAGAAATTTTTAAATACTTATGTGATATAAAATAAATGATGTTGAGAATATTGTTCTATAGCTTATAGTTGTCCAAAATTGCTATTTGTTTAAGTTTTCAATTTGATTATCAATGTTAATGATTAAATTATATATTATTCTTAATTCATTGATTGCATTGGTATTAAACCAATAGGTCTGTCCAGAGGATGAGTATAGGTTCAAAAATGAATGCATTCCAAAATCATGCTAGTAATATATTGAAAAATTGACATCAAAAAAGAAGCCAAGTGGAAAAAGATTTTTATCATTGGACATGAATGGAAAAGTGATTAAGGAAAAAGATGATTACAGAATTGAAATTGAATTTAATGATGAACTCGTTGGAGTATTTAATAGAGATAATAATCAATCCTGTATAACAGATCAATTATATCGACATGAAATGAATTATGTACATGAAAATAAAGATGATACTGCTATTGCTAGTTCCTTTGATTAAAAAAAGAGGAAATGGAGTTTCATGATTAAGTATTGATTTAATTAATAAGTAGTGATTTAAGTAATAAACTATACTTGGATAAATAATCAGATAAGACAATATATAATGGATTTTACACAATAAATTATTTGGTCAAAGATTATGTAATTTTATAATACATGTTTGATTTTCAAATTGTACTCGACAATAATAACCATTTGATTGAGACTCATTTTAATGATTAACTGTTGGATGACTAGGTCTCATGTAATTTATTTGGAACCTGTGTATAAAAAGTTTATACAGAAATATCATTCTGTAAGGATAAAGATTGCTTGGAGGTAGCAGATGAGGCTAACATCACACTGAACACTCCAGTATATCTGATAAGTGAGATAAAGGATGAGGGATTTTAGGATTGGTACACACACGACTATGAATTAACTTTTTACAGCTACTAGTTGGTTAAGAAGTTTAAACCAGTTTTTGAATAGCAGAAGCCTGGAAAAACAATTTTTAAATTACTTGTCCCATTTATAGCAGACAAAGGCTCTCTTTATGTGTCAGCTAAATTGACAAAATAAAGTTATTGGAGAAGAGTATTGGAAGATGAGATTGGAACTTCCTTAGCTATTAGCATTTATTAGGATGCACCGTGTATTAAAATGGACTCAAATAATTAATGTCCAAGTTAAGAATAGATAGAGAAAACAAATTAATTGGATTGCGGATGCGTTGATATATTGTATTGCAATGGAATATATATTATCAATGCCATGATGCTTATATTAATTTTATTGGTAATTTGAATTCGTCGTATAAATTTATATATTAAATAAATGAACACAAGTGAATTGGTCGAGTATCAATAAAAAGTAGAGGCTTACATAAAAGAGCACAAAATGACTGATTTATTCGAAAATCTCACTAGATTGTTAGTGCTTTCGAGACCTTAGGATCCTATGACATTCTTGATAGATATTCTTGAAAATAGAAGAATGCAACGGCTTATCCTAGTAGCAGGAGTAGTTGCCACAACTAGATAAGAAATAGTAGTATCCCTTGCGAATATGTTCAATTACAAAGTTATAACAGTAGATGATCACTTTAAATCTCATTGGATAAATGATGATTAAGTAAATCAATACATTCATGCAGAATTGAAAAAGACAGAGAAACACTTCAGAGGTATCGTGATATCTGGTTACCCCAACAACATTACACAAGCATATTATTTACAGTCGTTGGGAATCATACCAGAAAGGTAGAATATGAAATTATTTTAGGTTCTTTTATTTGGAGAGCGATATAGATTTTTGCAGATAGTATTATGAATAAATATCTGAATCTCAAGAGGAAGTGACTAAGGCGTTGACTAGAGATAGATTAAATAAGAAGGATTTGGAGTATATCTATGGATCCTATATGGACATATTTAATACATCTAAAAGGACCAAAGAAGACATTATTGAAAATATCAAATAGATTATTCGTTTGAGAGATAGGAAGTTTCCTCCTCTTCGTTATCCGAGGGTGGCAATTATACGACCTCCTGGATTAAAAGAAAGAGCAATTTAATTAGCATAAATATTTAGTAAACGATATGGTTTAGTTTAACTGATTACCTTCGATATGATTCAGCAATAAATTCAAAATAAAGGAGCTTTGGGTCCTTTAATTTATAGTACACTTCAGAAGGAAGAAGATATACCTAATGATATAACGAATAGCATAGTCTATACCGAACTTCTATCAACTGAGGCCAGAACTAAGGGATGGGTTTTAGAGGGATTTCCTAAGAATGAAGCTTAATTGAAGTTTTTGGAGGCACAAAATGTGAATTTATTTGTAATTTTAAATGAAGATGAAGATGTCTTAATTAACAAGTCTAAGTAACTGAAGATTGATCCTGTTACTAAAATAAAATACGAGAAAGTGCCATTAAATAATAAACCATTATTAGACAGATTACAGAATTATTAGGTAATTGAATAAGATAATTTAGGTTCATAATGAATAATTGTTTAAGTCTAGGATATCTAAATATTAGGCATTTGTAAAATTGATTGAATAGAAATTTGGTGAACGAGTCTAGGTATTCAAATTAGAAAAGGATTCAACCGAGAATATCATTAGAGTGACAGATGTATTTTTGAATAATCCAAAAATTTATAATTGATAGATAAATTTATTTGTGCTCAATATTTATTAGAATTTATAATAAAGTCATTCAGATAATCCATCATCAAATCATATGCACTCTATTAAATATCAATATTGTTTAGTGCATTAGTCAATAATTCACTAATCTATTCTTATATGTCATGATAAGCATTTTCATTAACAAAAAGTTAGCAATTGTTCTCAAATTTAGTGAGCAGATTTTCAATTGCCAAATGTAATTATCCTTAGACAATAATCATCGAACTTTCATCTTTATAAAGTGTTAACTCTCTGGATTTGTACTTTGGATATTTTTTTGCCAAAACTTCATCAAAAGTACAAATATCATCAATCAATCCATTCTCAAGTGCCTATTATGCTGTATAAATCTTGCTTTCCTCAAATTTCTTTATCTTACCTGCTCTATTCTATTTTATCTGATCTAAAGCAAATTGAAATTCAGTTTGAAGTTCTTTATTTACAAATTCCAATTATTTTTCACTCACTTTAGTAAATGCATCTAATAAAATGCTTTCCCTTCTACTCTTTCTATAATTAATTTTTAAATTTTCAAGCACATTCTAAAATCCAATGGACTTCTTAGATGGTTAAACCTCTCCAATTAAAGAGAATGGATCTATAATTTTAAATCTTTATTACTTGCATATACTTCTGTACCACAACTTGCTAAGTAGTATGCTGACCCTAAAGCATAGCAATCGATAAATGTATAAAATGGAGCATCTAAATTTTGAGCAGCCTGCTGGAATGCTTCTGCTACAATTTATGCTTATGTTATATCCCCATAGGCTATAATGATATTGATGTAGCGAACCTGAGTTGATTGATAGCATTAAGACTTTGGGTTTTTCTTAGATATGTTTCCTTAATTAGAATAGTATTTTGGTAGCAGATGATTCGGTCATAGCCTTTGAAAATACAAAGTGAAATATTTCTCTTTTGGGTCTCCATGGTTTGAGCATGAAGCGAACGCTATTATAAAGAAATGCACTCATTAATTAGAATATAATATAATTATTCAAAGAATCCCAAAGAATTTTCGAGTTGCCTACTTTTTGGTTTCACTTTAACTCTCTTTGATTATTTCATTAGTCAAATCATAAAGGTTGTGGATATCCTTTTGCATTTCCATCAGATTCTTGTATAAATTCTAATATTCTTCATAAAATTCTGGGATTTCATTCAAGGTTATGTTCTAAATTGAGTTATGAAATGATACATTTAACTATTTCTGGTTGAATTTTAATTTATATTTCTTTGATTGTTCATAGAACTTTGACTTGCGTTGAAGATCCTGTATTTTCATTTTAATCATTTACAAATTGACATAATTTTAATGGGCATCCATATTGAAAACACCATTTTGAGATAATTCCTATGATTATTATGGTAAAATGGGATTACATTTTATGAATTTTTGATAGTGTCTAGACGTTCTTTGCTTAGATCTTGAAATTCTTGATGATTGATATTTAATTTGTGATAATCCAATTTTTCAATAAATTAGAGAGTTGATTCATAAGTAGTAAAGTAGTATTCATCTTCTCCAGTTATTCTTTTGGGTGATCGATAATAACTCACAAACAAAATATTAGAATAAGCTTTTTAGGGTTGGGCCTTGAGAGTGGCGTATATTAAGACAGGTAACAAGTTGTCAGCCCCAGTTGGTTGATTGTTGGCCATTTGATTGACAATAGCTAAGTTATGGTAATTAATATTACCACTTGTTTGTTTGCCTGCATTAACAATACAATTTAGTTTTTCTCTTGGAGTTTCTACTTTATCAATTTTAGATATTACTAAGAATTTATATTCACTATATTACAATCAACTACTTGGTTAAACATTTTATGTTTTTCAATGTTTTCATCGATTTCAAGATGTTTAGCTTAAACAAATGAATATGCTTTCATAGAAAATTCAATTTCTCTATCTTTGACTGGATCGATTGAGATCAATCTAGAAATTAAGAGAAATCGAAGTACTTAGAACAAAGTGGTTTCATAACAAGTTTTTCAATGGCCTCTCCATTTTCCCTCAGAAATTCATCTGACTCTTTCCATAGGTCTTGAAATTCATCTTCAAATTCGCTTATTTTTTGTTATACAACGTTGGGTAAGGAATCAAATGGCATTTTGTTTTGTTACACATCTCGAATGAAACTTAACTTTAATGCATGCACAATAGCTACTTAATAATTTTTTATTTGAGTGCAATTGATTCTGTTCTTTTCATTTTATCAGACACGGTTGGTTCCACCCTTCTGGATTATTCAAAAGACTATTCTGAGTCATCAATCAAAGTTGATTAATCCATATACGTGTAAATAATTTAATAATGTCGATTGTCAATAGGAATTATTACTATATATAAAAATGACTTCGCAAAAAATGTATAATGTTATGGTATATAATGACAGAAATATTAGTATTCATTTAATCACACAAGGTCGGTATTGCAAATTGAGTTCTTTCAGCAATTCAATGGAGCAGTAACATAAAGGTGTTTTTCCTTCATTATTCAATTTATCAATATCTGCTCCATTGGACACGAATAGGTTGATGATCACAATATTGCCTGATGCAAAAGCAGCAAAAGTGGGAGTTTCTCCATCTTTGCATGGCATATTAACATCGGCACCATTAATGAGTAGAAAATTGCAGAATAGAACACTTTGTTATTTGGCAGCATAATACAAAGGACAGTACATGTCAACATCATAACAATTCACATCACTTGCTTCAAATATGAACCCTGAATGATCAATCCATAGTGTGTTATTGACTTTCAAAGCCAAAAACAATTTCCGTTATTTCAATTTCAATTATATCATGGTTTTTGGAATGGCAACTTTTGAATAATCAATCTGTGGCTTTTTTATAGTTTTCTTTCTATATTACTAATGATGCAAAGCAATCTTTAGACTTTTATAGCATTCTTCAACATCTATTTATTTTCTTTTTTCATTCAATTTCTAGACCAATCTATAGAACTTAGCTGGTTGAGGAGTTAGAAATTTCTTCTGGGAAACAGCTCTTTCAAATCTTTTCTTGGAGATATAGGCTTTGAAAGCCTTCTTAATTTTATTAGCTGCAGCCAATTCAATTTCAGGAGTTATCCACTTGTTTCCATAGGGTAAAGTAGTATCACTTTCTTCAATAGTGAGTGATTGATGTGCATAAGGTCTTTGTCTAACAGGTCCTCCTGAATAAAATTAAGAGAAATTCTGTTTGTTCATTTCATAATCCTTCTTTTTCAATTTGAGTAAGTAATCCTATACTTTAGTTGGATTAGGTTGATTAGAGTGCAAATCAGGTTAAGATTTAATTATCACTTTAGAACTGGGATGTGTTTTTCTCATGACTACTTTTAGTGTTAGACTTTCTGTTTTAGATGGGAAAATGGGTTTATTTGAATCATTGGTCGTAGCTAATTTCTTTTCTCTCTTTTCTCTTTTCTAAATATAGATGAATGATACTTTTCTTTCTAATATGGACATCATAATGTCTTTGAATTTCCAAACCAAAGGATTTGCTATGGGATTGCCTCTTCTATATTCTTGATAGAAGATCTTGTATTTATCAGTGTTTTCTTTGAGAGTGTCTTTTCTATCTTCCTTCATTTCTCTGAGCATTTTCAGAAATTTGAACTATAATAATAGTAGTGATTCAGATGTACCTTTAATTTCTTGATATCCCCTTTATTGGTTTGTTGAATGTTAATTTCTGATCTCTCCTTTTCCTTTGCCTTTTAGTTAACTTTTAAGTAGAGATGTCTACTCTAATTCATTTCCTTAGATATTCTATAGTATTGATTTAGGATATTCTCGGCTATTGTTAATTCGATATCACTAATCACTTCTGAGTCCAATTAATTGATGACTGTTTATAACAATCTGAAAATAGATAATCATATACTTTTTATTCGAACACTTATTCAAGAGATTGCTGGTGTTGACCAAATACAACAACTCTTCTTCTGTCATGGCTTATTGAGTGTCATATTTAAGCAAGAGTTCTTCTCTTCTTTATTGATCCTATTTGTCTTTGTCATGAGTTATGATGTACTCTCCCATTCCAATAGTATTAAATGAATTGCTATTAACCAACATACCCAATCTATGTTTTGCTGAGTTCCTTTTTACTTTGAAATCGGTTTCTTTTTCATTAGACCATTAGATGTTTGTGTTCACTTTGCTTTGTTTCTTGATTTTGTGTAATAAATTGTTTAATTCATCGATAATGGATTGCATATCAGGTTTTTTATAAGCAATGTTGGTCACATTGTCAGACGAATATATTTTCTTGGTATTTTCCTTGGAATTCAGAATTTCAATCAATGCGAATTTGAGTTTCTTCTTGAGACTTCTGAATTTAGTGTGGATTTCAACCCAATTGAATATGTTTAGATTATTCTCATTTTCATGAATCACCTTGGTTTTAGTGCGTTGAAGTTCTCTCTACTCCATTTTGATTTTCCACTACCTCAATTACTCAACCACCTAATTTTAGAGTTGTTTTATTATGAAATCCTCTCGCTCTTATTGAGAACCAAGACTTTAAACCTTATAAAAGGATATCCCTAATTCCAAAGCAATGCGAACACATTCATTTCTATCGGACAACTCATTACAATGAGATACCAGATAATGGACTCTCTCAACAAAAGTATCCAGAAATGAAACCATTGGCATTCCATCACCTATTGTAGATTTGAGACTCTTCAATGTGGAATTGTGAGCAGTACTAATTTGACTCATGGAATGTCGTTTCTGATGAAATAGTTTCAATTTAGCATCAAATTGTTGGACAGAAGTCAATCCCAAAAATATGTCATCTGTCATAATAATTAGCGTTAAAATATAATATTTATATAATGAAATCTGATTCCTAACATGACAATGGAACTTTATAATAATTGGGTCGTTTGAGAATACCAAAAGTACTCTTCTTACCAGGCGAACCAATGGCCAAGAAGAGAGTCTCCTCCCTTCCATCCAGTCCTGTGAAGGGTATTCCAAATCAAGCAGATGTCCAAGAGAAACTTAGGGTACTTCAGGCTGAAAGGGAGGCAAAACAGAAATTGCAAGAACAAGAAATGCTTGAGAGGGGCAAACGCTGTTCATTCAATAGATAAGCTCAGATCATAAACAAGTTGCATAATGTCGAATAGTAGTTAGACAGGTGGAAGAAGACCAGACATAACATTGAATTGTAAGTAATTATAGTAAGGAAAAGCATCAACAAGACCAAGATGAGTTAGATGTTTGAATCTCATTAAAAGACTGGACTTGAATTTCACCGTCCAATTTAGTAAAGAAACAAGAGTTATTCTGAATTTGAACATAGAAGCAGTGGAGCGTAATTTAATCCTGAGCTTTTTTAAAGAAAGAAGGACAGAGAGAGAGAACGATCTTAATTGGTAAATTAGACAAGATATCGAAATAATGTAAATTAGGTATTGATAATCTAATATCTCAGATCGATAGAAATGTAAGAGTTATGCAGAAAAAGTATAGAACTGAAAAAAAATGTTTTGCACTCAGAAAGCCCTTTTATAATATTAATGATATTAAAAATTATTCTCACTTCTTATTATTTTGATATTTTTAACTATCCCATTTAATAAAAAAACCAATCGTTTTGTAAAATATGAAATGATTAAATTGTACTTAATATATGTTAAATTTTATCATTATTCATTATGATTTCTATATATTCATAATCATCTAAATGATAGAATATATAATATGTAATTATCTAAGTGTTATTTATTCAATCAAATGATAATACTAGTTGTATTATAAAATAATTAGAATATAAGATAAAATCATTTCATTAAGAATTCACTTAAATACATCCATAAAATAATCTTTGTTTTTAAAGAGATGATATTTAAGAATAATTAATCTATCTAAGCAATTATTGATAGCACAAAGCATCGCATTAATTTTTATATATAATTGGATCATAAGCCAAAATTTAAATTATTGAATTATTAGAATAGCTGATCTGAATCTTTGAATTTGGAAATACTAAATTTATATTTTAGATTCTTATTTTTCAATTCAGTAGTCACTACTAAATTATTAAGAATATAATTAATATTGCTCTTATAGTTTAGTAGGATAGGATTTTATTTTGGTTTAAGATTGATATTGAAGATTAATAATTGGAAGAGTGCAGAGAATTTTATGTAGTTGTAAAAGGAAAGGGATTCTTAAAGAATGAGTTCAAATAAGGATTTTAGAGGTTTAATATTTAATGGAATTATATACAAGGAAATTTACACTATTGATTACTAGATTCATTAATGAAGGTAGTGAATATATCTGGAATTAACACTCTTATATATGCTTTAATCCTTTTATGTGTATATATATAAAATTTGTTAATTAAATGGAATTGTATTTGACATTCTAGATAATTTATTTGATCAATTGTCATAATCATTTAGATTTGAATTCTAACTGAAAGTTGACAACTACTGTGGATATTTTCAGAAATGAAACATTCAATAAAGAGCAAAGTCTTACATTTGTTAGGAAATTTAAAATGAATAATTTTTTATTTTTAATGGCATATCAGATTGATTTGTCCCAATCAAAATTTATTGTAGATGACACTCCTCAATTGAAGAGGGAACCTCCAGCAATATTCGCCAAGAAGGAGTCAACAGATTACTTTGATGGAAATTCTACGGTTTGCGAATGCAATGAGGAAATAGAACCTTATGCGTTTTAATTGAGATTCAAAGTCGAATTGAAGTAGGATCCAATTGCATAAACATAAGAGGAGAAGGAACTTTGTAATATGGGTTCGAGTTTCGGAGTCTATGATGGTGATAAAAACAATAATTTCGATAATCCTATTGATCACGTCAATCAAAATACACAAGATCCAAAAGACAATCATCAAAATCTTGGAGAAAGTAAATAAAGTTTCAATCATATTCAAAAACGCAATGTGTTCGTATAAACTAAGAAGTTATTGCTTAAAAACCAATAATAGCTATTTAAATGTAACTAAAAGTACGTCAATCATGCAGTTTATTAAGAAACTCTACTCAGTTTGAAGTAGAAATAAAGTCTGCAAAAGTTCGTAAGTAAAAAGAATAACAAAAATCGATTATTGAATTTACTCATACCATTGATTTTATTTATAATACTAATTATGTGTTTATGATTAATATATAATTAGATCAGAATCTTAATACTCTGTCTTGGACATACAACATCTCATATCTGGTGTTGTAATCCATGTCACCTGAAGGTTTGCATGCCAAATCCCAATAAGAAGTATTAAACACCTATAGATTNATAGCACAAAGCATCGCATTAATTTTTATATATAATTGGATCATAAGCCAAAATTTAAATTATTGAATTATTAGAATAGCTGATCTGAATCTTTGAATTTGGAAATACTAAATTTATATTTTAGATTCTTATTTTTCAATTCAGTAGTCACTACTAAATTATTAAGAATATAATTAATATTGCTCTTATAGTTTAGTAGGATAGGATTTTATTTTGGTTTAAGATTGATATTGAAGATTAATAATTGGAAGAGTGCAGAGAATTTTATGTAGTTGTAAAAGGAAAGGGATTCTTAAAGAATGAGTTCAAATAAGGATTTTAGAGGTTTAATATTTAATGGAATTATATACAAGGAAATTTACACTATTGATTACTAGATTCATTAATGAAGGTAGTGAATATATCTGGAATTAACACTCTTATATATGCTTTAATCCTTTTATGTGTATATATATAAAATTTGTTAATTAAATGGAATTGTATTTGACATTCTAGATAATTTATTTGATCAATTGTCATAATCATTTAGATTTGAATTCTAACTGAAAGTTGACAACTACTGTGGATATTTTCAGAAATGAAACATTCAATAAAGAGCAAAGTCTTACATTTGTTAGGAAATTTAAAATGAATAATTTTTTATTTTTAATGGCATATCAGATTGATTTGTCCCAATCAAAATTTATTGTAGATGACACTCCTCAATTGAAGAGGGAACCTCCAGCAATATTCGCCAAGAAGGAGTCAACAGATTACTTTGATGGAAATTCTACGGTTTGCGAATGCAATGAGGAAATAGAACCTTATGCGTTTTAATTGAGATTCAAAGTCGAATTGAAGTAGGATCCAATTGCATAAACATAAGAGGAGAAGGAACTTTGTAATATGGGTTCGAGTTTCGGAGTCTATGATGGTGATAAAAACAATAATTTCGATAATCCTATTGATCACGTCAATCAAAATACACAAGATCCAAAAGACAATCATCAAAATCTTGGAGAAAGTAAATAAAGTTTCAATCATATTCAAAAACGCAATGTGTTCGTATAAACTAAGAAGTTATTGCTTAAAAACCAATAATAGCTATTTAAATGTAACTAAAAGTACGTCAATCATGCAGTTTATTAAGAAACTCTACTCAGTTTGAAGTAGAAATAAAGTCTGCAAAAGTTCGTAAGTAAAAAGAATAACAAAAATCGATTATTGAATTTACTCATACCATTGATTTTATTTATAATACTAATTATGTGTTTATGATTAATATATAATTAGATCAGAATCTTAATACTCTGTCTTGGACATACAACATCTCATATCTGGTGTTGTAATCCATGTCACCTGAAGGTTTGCATGCCAAATCCCAATAAGAAGTATTAAACACCTATAGATTATTGATTGATTGATACTTAGCAAGGATCTCCCAATAAGAAAGTATTCCAAATTAAAATGTAAGCAAACAAAACCCAGCCACTTCTGTACATAAGATTCATGGCCATCACATGCATCTTATAAGTATAACTGTGATCCTCTTCCATTCCAATGCTATCTCCAGCTTATCTTAGCACCAATGTCTTGAACAGCCCTCTTTCATAATTGTGATTCAATATCTTACTATCTACCAATTCCATGATAATATCCTGTCTAATATGTTGCTAACAATTTTGGATCAAATCTATTGATGTACTAATAGTAAGCATGCTTTGAACATGTCTTATAAAATCTCTTCTCCATTTTTATTAATATATATGAAATCCCCCCTTTCAATAATTATTTATGTACTCAACACAATAGATGTCTAAATTCCCCAGCACCTACTCTACTCATTACAATGCCAGTACAAGACGATATGTCTCCAGTGCCAAGACTTCCCCAATGACTGGACCACTCCAAAAATTAATTGAAACCGACAATGACACTTATTCAAAGAGAGACAAGAATCCATAAGTACTTATATATTTGAATTCTTAAGCATCTTCTCTAAGAAATGCTCAACACCAATAACACAAACAAAATCTAGAAATTGATATCTTCAATTAGTCAACATGATCTCAACATGGATAATCTGTCCCAACAAGAACTACTTAACCTAATCCTGAAAGTATATCAACTCAATCTCTATGATGAAATCAACTTCATTAACATCCTTTATGAAGCATATACAGATAAACAACACAAAGATGTCCTGAAATATCTAATATTGCACTGCCATGAATAACTTATTGGGAAATCAGGAAATGCAACAAGACTGTTAGAGATATTCTAAGAGATGCTATCCTTAAATCCCGATTTTACTTCATTTTAATTGGAGTATCAATTAGATTCAATTCCAGTTTCATTCAATCGTATTCAATTACGTTGTATGCTCCTCCTGAACCAATATGACGTCTTGCGTTCTTTGAAAGGAGCAGTAGTCTTATTCGAACAATTAGAAGGCTTTATATTTCAATAATTTAAGTCCAATGCCATACCAACTCAAAATGATATTAGTACTCTTGTCATTGCATATATATTATTGAGTGAACAATTAGAGTTGTCCACACGCCTTGGTTTGAATAAATAAGCATTAGAGATTATGGGAAAACCTTCAGATTGCTCAATTACTGATCTCAAAAGAAAATTCATCTATAATGCATCAAAATTGTCCCAAAAATACCTAGGCCAAATGATTTTTGATTAGATCAACGGATTACATAGAAAGATGAGTCCTGATGTGAATCGATCCTAATCAGTTTCTCAGGATACTGTTCTGCATTAGTTTCTTGTAGATTCACTTGATATGCTCTACCTCAAAAATTATAAGGATATGTTTGATATTGATCGTTTAAGTACTAATCTAATATCTTCCCCTTACATTTTTACATTGATGGAAAAGTAAGACAGTATTTAGTTATCATTTTAGAATCCTACCTGAGAGCAAGAAAAAGGATAAAGGTTTATCCATACTAAGTGATGATCAAATGAGACCAAATTCAGGCAAACAGTTTTAAATTAAGCAAATTAAAAATGATCTCAACAGTCCTAATTAAACCAGATTCAAATAATAAAATTTCAATGTACTTTCCAATAACAATTCCTAAACTCAAATACCTGTAAGCACAGCAAGTAAACCTACATCTAACAGACCTCCTTTGAATCAATAATTGTCATCTGGCTCATTGCATTCATCTGGTAAGATTAATCAATTTGATTCCCAAGAGTTTGAGATCATCTAAAACAAACTAGTAGTACAATAAAGAGAACTGGATGAATTAAAATAATTATATGCTCAATCATCAGCCACTAAAAAGTAGGAACCTGAGAATAATCAATTAGCTGAACAATTAAAGAAAAAAATAGATTTATTGGAGAATAATCTATTTTAGATCAAAAATGAAAACTCAACCAATAAAAAAGAAAAAGAATAAAAACAAACTGAAGTCATTGAACTAAAGACTTAATTATAAGATTTGATTACTAAACAATCCTAATTAGAGAAATTATTACAATCATAATCTCAATAATAATAAATGATAATCTATTAATAAAACCTATTGTAATAATAGGCTGCTTAAACAACACAGACCTTAATTCAATAATAATCTAAATCCACCATTTAAACACCCACTATGAATATTCAAATACCACCAAAAGGGAACTTAAAAGATTAAAGAATCCTTAATCAATCACCTGATGATGACTTCATTTAAATGGATGAGACAACACCCTATATATATAAGTAGAATCAAAGCTACATCATATAATTACTTGAGTTACTGGATGTAAATGTGACCTTTTGTAAAATGTACACAAAATATTAATCAACATCTCAAGATGAAAACAATTAATGGAATAACGACATTTTGAATGTTGCCAATTATAGAGTAGAAGCCTCTGTAATTGAAACCAAAGATGAAGGCAAATCTATTCTACTTAGAGCATTCGACGAAAAGAATGCAATGATGTGTTAAGAATATATAAATTTGGAATTACTGAAAGGCTTAATTACATATGTAGATTTCTAAGAAATGCTACCAACCAATCAACCTAGTGTTAACACTACTCATCAATTCTTCAAATTCTTGGTTCTACCATATACAGCTGTAGTTCCAGATGAATTAACGCAAGAGATGAAATTATAATTCTGGCCAAAACCATATGGATTATTAAATGGATTGACATTGAGAGTAGATTTCATGGATAGAAATTGTCTGATTTATATACATCATATTGAAACTGATTAATTCAGGATTTCAATTTGTGATCCAAATAGTAAGGACACCTTGAGATTAGATTTAGAAATGGATTATTCAACAATGGATGCTTTCTTTAAAGATGCAAAATCTATCAAAGATCAATATGCATTCTTTAGTAAGACTACTCTGTTAAAAATGACTGAAAAGACTCCTAAATTTGGGGACGATGATGTAGCTGAAGCATTGCAAGAGAGACATTTTGATAAAAGTAAAATTAAATAAGTGTAGTAATCATTATCAATAAATCAAACTTATATGACTGAGAATCTGAGTTTCAAGAGTCCTTTTGAATTTCTGAAGTATTTAAAGACCATAGTTATGTTTTTTGAGTAATTCCTGAAATAATTAGGGATTTCATTTTCTAATTCTTTATTTGGATAGAAATATTTCAGATGTAAAAGTTGGAATACTGGAACCAAGAATCAACTGTAAATCGTAGTAGATAATTAAGATCAATAAGTCGTTTAAGTGAGTCTATTAAATTGTTTTGAGACATTTGGGCCAAATAAAACTAAAATAAAAGCACAAGGGTAAACTACTCTTCCTTATTCATCAATTCAAAGAGAATTCTCAGTTAAGTATGACAAATTAGCAGCAGAAGAAAAGACAGCAATATTTTAACAACTCTTATACTCCTTCAATCTCAATGTTTTTGAGAAAGTCTGTGAACAAAGTCAAGAGTAATTTGATAAAAACCCCATCATTCAAAATTCATATGATTGTGGTTCATATAAAAGGTATTAATATATCTAAACTGATTAGAATGATATTATATGATAATTCCAAAATATCAGTGGTTACCATTTAAGTGATCGGAGCTAATAGAAGGATGTGTGGAGTTAAGTTCTCAGTTTTCAATGTGGACACATCCCAAGAAATCGGCGTTTATCTTCCAACATCATAAGGAGAATGGGATTTGAGATCCTTGGATAAATAAAAGATTAAATCATCTGTAGAAAATGTCCCATTTGCAGAGTTTTTCCTTACCCAAATCCTCAAATGTCCAATTACCACTTAAGTAACAGTTCCTATAATTCTAGATTTTGTTTAAGAAAATATTGAAGGCAGACAGCAAAGGCAATCAGATTAATAGCAATGAGATCAACAATCGAAAAGCCTTCATTGAGAGAGTGGATAATCTAATTACATGGTAAGAAGTATTGGCTGCTGCTTAAAACTGATTTTGTTAACAATACTTCTGAGTTATTATATATAATTGTATTTTTGATAGAATTAATAAGATAATAAATGAATCAAATCTTGAAATACAGTTTATCATATACTTTTCAATAAGATAATTTATTAATTTTATCCTTCCATTGAACTAGTATGATATGTTCAATTTAATGCATGTGATTCATCGAATCAATGCAATTAGATTTTGATTATAGTTAATAAGATCAAGGCATAATTATATTAAATTAAGAATTAGATAATGCAAATAAAAGTGAATATTTAATTAATATACAAATCTGAATGCTATTTATTTTTTTGATTGGACTAAGTTGTATAGTAGCAAGAGATGCTGATTTGATCGAAACGGAGATAGCTTAATTGGAGCATTTAATTTAACTGCAGACTGAGAAATTGCATTACTTAAAGGAATTAAGGGAGATTTCAATAAACAATTAATAAAATATTCCTGTATTAATGATTAATATTGGAGTAGTAAATTGATTAATAAGTACTCTAAGAAGTTGTATAAAAGAAGCCTTACAAGACTTAGAGTAACGATAAACAGAATTTAAACAAGGAGAGATCATTCACAAATCGAATGCTTAAGAAATATTAATTTAATATTACAAATTCCATTTTGGATGCCTCCTTGATTCAAACGTAATTGCATATACATTTAATAGTTTCTAATACAAATCTACAACAACTGACAACTCCTTCACCCAAATGTTGTATGTTGTTACAAACACAAAGGAAATTGAGATTTATGATTTATCCAATGCATTGATTGTTAATGCCTAATTGGGTATTATATACTATCATATTAGATTTCTAACCTCAATACGTGTCAATTAGTAATCGTGCAGATGATCCGATATTGGCTTTGGCAAGTACTCATTGAGCATTTATATTTTTAGATAAGGATGGCAAATTCGCATTGTATAAAATAGAGAATTCCAGAATGGCTATAGAATCACAAGATTCCTAAAAACCCAAAACCAAATTAGTTATTTAATTGAACAAGGAATTTGAAATGAATATTGAGAACTAGCAAATCACATCCATGATATATGCAATGGTTAAAGGCACAAAATACATCCTATTTGGTTCTAGCAGTGGAAGTGTTTAGTATTGAAATGGTGTTATACTAGTGCTTATACTCGTAATGGTACATTAGTGGGAGAGAGGAATTTCAATAGTCCCATCATTCAAGTGATCAAATCTTATCCGAATATGTTATATTTAACATCTACTGGATTTGGATACATCAATCCTCTCAACTTGGAGATAGTGCAACCAATTTGTGACAATGTACATGTATTTTTAATAATCAAAGTTGCCATTTTAAATAGTTCATTTGACATTGGATATTCAATAAACCAATATTGTCTATGCACTATCTGATTTAGGTGAGGTATATGTTTTTGAAATCAAACAAAATGAGTAATGCAAAATGAAGTTGAAATTAGTGAATAATCAATAAGCTTAAGTGATATTGAACAACGCCAAATTATATAGTTTAAGACATTATCTTATAGTTTATGATTAGGACACTAGAGAATCATTGTTATATAATACAACTGATGTGTTGACTGAAGTGGATTATGATCAACCTTTCCATCTTGAACTCTTCAAATAGATCAAAGGTCAATAAGTTGTGTTACAATCAATCAAAGGGAATGGGGCATCACATTATTTGTTGACCAGGGAAGTATAGAATGATCACGAATTGATCAGTTATTATGAGATAACTATGCCCTAGAAGAAGGATACAGACATCTTCTCCAATTTCAGGTTCCCCATAATCATCATTGCAATCGTTATTGTGCTCTTGTATCAATTCTGGTTCAAAGGCAAGAAGAAGGACAAGAAAGAGAAGGGATCCAAGAAGAAAATAAGAGGAGAAGATGAAGAGATTGAATAAATCCTAAATTAGGCAAAGAAACCTATGGCTGGTCCTGCTGGAGGGGCTTCCACAATCAATAATAGATCTCCAACCAGATCAGAAGTGTAGAATGGGTAGAAACAAGTCAGATTTGATGAAAATCTAAAGAGAGCTGACAAATTCAAGGAGCAACTTGAAAATTTAGATTAAAAAACCAAGTTACTTAATGAGAGAGTAGGAGTCACAAATAATATTGAGGCCCAGAGACAAAGTAATTATGTCTATTATAATTAGAGTTGGCATAACAAGCATTACTGTAGAAAAATAAATATGTATGATAAATCATAAAAATAAGATCAATCATTCTTACTGTTTCCCATCAATATTATTGTATAATGTATCATAATATTACTGAAGTTGTTTCATGAATCCTGTGTTCGGTTAGGCTATTGGTCTTTTAGTTTTTACTAATTCCAAAGCTTCATTAACAGTCATTTTATGATTCTTGATTAAGTATGCAATAATGAACGTAGTTGATCTCGACTTTCCAGCAAAACTGAATATTAATCATAAATACCAATGAACAAGGATGTTTTATTGAGTGTTTACAGCATTTTCAATAAATGCATTAGACTCATCAAATTTTGATTTGATGTCTTGATCTACGCTATCGTTGATGTTGATTATCAGAGATCCAAAATCATTAGAAAATGGCGCCTTTGGCATTTCACAAGCAGACAGAATAAATTTAATGTTTGCTATGAATATTATCTTGCAGATATACATTCCAAGAGTTTCTTTTTATTTAATGCACATCCCAAACAGCCCAAATACAGATTGGGAATGATCTCAATCGGAATGCTATCCTCTTTTAATTGTCTCATTATTAAAATGATCTTTATCTTGTCCATCAAATTCTAAACTGAAATATTATGAGACATCTCATTTTCTTTTTTCTCTTATGTTTCCTCAGCTTATTACATAATTTATATTTATATATATATATTAATAATTAATGGAAAACTTGGATCAAAATACAAATACAGATGATCGCAATCTCCAACTCTCCTAATTAGTTTTGCAATAGAAAAGGGACAAAATTATACTACAGAAAAAGATCTAGACTCTGGAAAGATAAAATAAGTATGTATCCATTTGATTAGAAACTTGTCTCAACAAATGGAATCCTATAAAAATGAAAAAGAAGAACTAGCAAATTAAATTAAATCACTTAAAGAATACATAGCTAAACAAGACTCTGTGACTACTAAATTAAATGGATTAATGTAACTAATCAATTATAATGAAGAAAAAAATTGCTTCAAAGAGATGAAGAGTCCCAACAACATGATCATTCATTGAGTGCTCCTAAAACTGATGCAAAATCTTATAAATAAGACAATTACGAGAGGAAAAAAAAAGATAAAGAGTAATCTGATCAATAAATTTTCTAGATATTTAGAAGAACAATAAAAGCTGGATCTTAATGAACAAATTATTGCTTAATATAAAAAACAATCACTTAAAGATCAATCAGTTTCCAGCAAACTTCCACCAATTGAAGATACAAAGAATAAACCAATTATAGTCTAAGTTCCAAAAAGCTAATTAAAGAAAATTAACCCTTAATATTTAATTGAACAATTGCAGAAGGAATGATATTATACAAATCAATCAATTTTTTGTTAATTGTTTCTATAAAATTAGAACATTTCCTCTTCAATGGGATGCAATTCCTTAGCACAGATTACAAACGAATGTAAAGGTGGACCCATTTCTATATCCAAAAATTCATGCAAAAACCCAGAAACAATCTAAATATTAATCAGCATCTACCTTTTATGTTTCAAACCCTACTCTTGCTACTCCAAAGCACTTTGTTTTTTCATCAATTGCATTTAAACCCAATTATTTATCTGATTCTATAATTTATTCTACTGCTACTTGAGTACTCATAAATCTAGGAGCTTCATAAATTTTTTTGCCTCTAGCTAAATTTTCCTCTGAAATTTCCTTCACTTTTATATCCAAAAGGACTAAAGTGTGTAAATTATGATCTAAATTAGCCTTGATTTTTGGATAAAAACTGTAGGGTTTCCATTTCTCAGTAAAAAATGGTACAGATACGGTTTCTCCAAATCTATACACTTATAATCCTGTGCAACCAATAGCATTAATAATAGAAGCATTATGAACCACTTCTACTTTGATTCCCAACTTTACTGCTCTTAAGAATAGATCTGTATGTGTAGTGGCACAAAAAGGATCACCTACAACCAAGAATGCATAATTATTTTGAGGGTCTTTTGACACATTCTCAAGTATTTAATCTATTCCAGTCTCACAACACTCTCTATCTGCCTCAATAACTTCTTTTCCATAGAATTCTTAAAGTAATAATCTATTAATTCCTAGTATAGATGTGTAACTTTCTAAATAGATCTCCTTGCATGTTTTTACAGCCTAATTAATATTTAAAGCTTACTTCAAATCCTTTAACCGTAATATCTCTATGATCACCAAGTCCTAAACCGATTATAAAAAAAACCATTAATTAATATTTATACAAAAAATATTACTATATATTTCAATATTATTATTATCTTCTTACATTACTTTACTAGATTGAGGTTGTTTTCTCAGTTGTGGTTATAGTTTTCTATTTCTTCAAAGAATCCAACTCTGCTTAGGCCATCATACATTATTCTTATGCTGTGTGATAATCTTGATTGGCTTTCATGAATTTGTCTTTCCACACATTAGCCTCATTGGAATAATATTTCAATTTTTCTGTTGTCGACTAGAATTCTCTCATTTCAGATTCCAAATCCCTTATCATTTGCTTATATTATCCAATTTCTTATTCTTTATTTCTAAGATAATAACATAATATAAATACTAGATTACTCTATTCTAATTTTGCATTTCCATTGCTTGTTAATTTATAGCTCCTTCTAATTTCAAGATTTGTCTTTCCTTATCTGCCAATGCATCTCTTAATTATCTAACTTCATCTCCTCCTTGCAATAATTACTAGTATTCTAATTGCAATTTCTAATATCTTTATCTCCATGAATCGATTTCACTTTATTAATTTTGTATTTCTTTTCTTAATCCATCTTCAATATCTTTCATCATCTTAATTTTGGCTTCCAACTCCCTGACTTAAAACTCTTCATTTGAAGTGACCTTTAATTCTTAACCTTGATTTTTGTATCTAGCCAATTCAGTTTATAAGTCATAGATCTTGACTTCTAATTCTACACATTTCTTCTTCCAAGGTTCTTCGACATCCTCAACTGAAAGCACTTGCATCTCTCTTTCCACATGATATAATTCATTAATTTCTGGTTATTGAGGAGGGGGAGTAGCCAATTATTATGGTTGAACTTATTAAGGAGAGCTTTATTAATATTGATATTAGGGGATCTTGTACTCATGTGTATGATGCCTACAATCTTTTCATTCAGTTACATGTGATGAGTTTATAGTGTCTTAACCTATTGATTCTGAATATACTAATTCTGAAACCCTTATTAAGTGTAAATGGATGGTCCAGTGGGAACCTTAATCGGAGATGAATAAGGTTGGAAAGGAGATCTTTGATTTCCACTTGGTCCCAATATTATGGGTTGCACTTGTTATGGATACATATTTTAATATAAATTTAATAATCCTCTAAAAATTAGTATTCTTTATGGAATAGTTCATTTATACAACAACTTTCCTTTTTTGATGATCATCCTGTCCTTAGTAGAAAAGCTTCGTTTTTTATCAATTTAGTGTAAAATGTCCTAATATTCAGTTTAGATTGTAGTAGGTTCCAACAATTATGCAACATGAGAAGTTGGAAATAGTTTCTGATGTAAGGTTTGTAACAATTTCTCGTTCATTAATACCAATTCTAAAACTTTGAATTTATCCTCTTTTCTAAAAACATTAAAATCTGAAAATTTGTTATCAACTTGAGCATTCTAACGACGGCGCATAATATCTTTTCGAACTTACTTCTTTATTTAGTATTCAATACCTCAACACAATCAATAAAAAACTCTTCATACTCACTCCTTGTTGCAAATGCTTTAGTCGATTGACAGATTGCTTAATTCATTTTCTAACGTAATAATTGAATCTACTTGGTCTAAGAGTTTTCAATAAACGAAACATACTAGGCAATTTCATTTATTATTTAATTTTAATCATCATTGGCTACTCTATCAAAAATATCTTATAATTATTTCAGATGTTTTGGCTGTGCTTAGCCTGACATAATTCTTTTTGGTCTAGGCTAAGTGCAAAATAATTATTGTTCTTTAATCTATTCTGCTTACTCTGTGACAACACTCGTTGTATGTCTTATAACTTCGTATTTCTTATTCTTTCTCATCAATTATTTTATTTATTCTTCAAGGAACTCATTCTCTTTCTGGACCTCCTGCAATCTAAATTTCAATTCAAAGATATCTTTATTTTTTACTTCGATCTTAGTATAAAGTTTAACACTCTCTTCTCTGAACCACTCCAGTTATTACTCCATATTTTGAATGCGCTTGTTATCCTTATAATATTTCTCCATCTCCACGCTTTTCTCCTTTAAATACTTCAAGTCTTCCTTCACCTATCTCATATAACCATTATATGCTATAACAAATTCAGAAAGAGCTCTCTCCTTCACCATAGTTACTTTGGATTCCAGCATATCTAAATAGTTTTCCACTTGGTTTTTTAAATCGTTAATCCTTGTGAGTTTATGGGGGGATGATGCCTAGGATTGTACATCTTCGTAATTCTTTCCTGAAATAAATGATTTATGAGAATTTCTAATAGCAAAACTTTCACTATCGAACATAAATTAATTAATGAATAAATAGATCAGGGACAAAGAAAACAAACCACTTATTGACAATGCCAGATTCAAAAGAATAGGCACTACTGATAGAACTGCATCGCCCATAAATCAAATATTATCTAAAATGAGAAAATAACAATCTCCACATTTATCTGCTAGAACTCCAAAGGAATGTTAGAGTAGAATATCTAATGATTGTGAACAATAACTGCAATTTGATGCTATTTTAGAGATGGAAGAAAGAAAACGTAAAATTAGAAAATTTAAATAATGCTTAACTGAAAATATTGAAAAATTAAAAGAATTTGATGCTATCACTCAATAGCTTCTATGCTTTGAGGATTGCCTCACTTAAATTCTAAAAAATATTAAGCATATCAAAGTAAGAGATTGATTCCTATTCATAGAGTGAAATTTCAGAATAGATTAAGTAGCAACAAATCAATTAAAAAATTAACATTCATCAAATAAAGGAGTCGATAAAGTAGATGTCTGAGGACATTTCATTGAATGAATTTAACATAATAAAGGAGATGCAAATGAAACCATTTAATAACATAATGTCTCATTACATGAATAAATGTGAAGGGCATTTGGATAAAATTGAGAATATGATCAGCACAGCTAAATAATAATTAGAATTCAAGGAAATGTGCAGATAAATTGAATAGAAACTATTGACTTTAAGAAATTAATCTCCACATTTTAAGGAGGTATGAATATTGATTGTAATCATTCTTATTGTTCTTTGTTAATTTAAAATAGAAATTTTTCAGGAATTATCCATCCTGTTACTAAAGGTAGACCTTACTATTAAAAAATTATAAAACACATACTTTCATCTATTCACAAATCAATTTAAAATGTGCCAAAGCTATTTAAACTTCATATTTCTAATCTTATTATTATTACTGTGATTGTTATTATTACTACTGTTGGGCAACTGCTTATAAAGATATACGTGCTGATTTATTTGGATAGTCAATTAAAACAGTGAATGTCAGATTGCCCTTAATAGTCTACTCCTCTAGCTTGATTTCTGGACTGGCTGACAATTGATCACATAAATCTAAGATATAGCCACAGTTTTCATAGCTAATTGGGAAATTCAAAGATTCCTTATTATTGACCTAGAATTGGTGAATTTCTTAATTACTTCTTTTCCTATATCTGCAACAGGTTAAAATCTCCACAAATAAATATAATTTCTTGTATATTTCATCTTGACAACGACTGAACCTTGTTTAGTGACTTGATATTGAGGCTACATTATATTTTATCTTACATAACAAGGCATAAGTGATACAATGGCTCCCTTCCCTTTAATTTTGCTGATTTAATCATAGTGATTAATCACATCGAAAGTATATGAATAATTGGTCGAGGCAGATTTCATACCGGGTTTTCCTTGATTTTGTCTATTCAAACTACAGAAGCTGAACCTGAGATTGCTCATTCGTCTTAAAACATATCCAAACATTAAATAAATTATATCACTATTAAAATTTATGATCCAATAGTTTATTCATTTTATCAATTCCTTCCCAAATGCCTTCTCCTGTCTTTGCACTGCATCTCTGCATTACTATATCTGATTCCTGCTGTTGAATGTCTTTACACAATTCCACAGGGCATGATCTTGGCAAATCTATTTTATTCAAGTATATCAGCAACACTATCTATTTTAGATGACTAAATACTTTATATTTGATTTCGCTTCCCAATTTCTTAAATTCGTTTTTAACAATTTCAATTCTCTCTTAATCTGTTGTATCTACAACAAATACTAATCCATCCAAATTTTCATAATAATGAGACCACAATGTTCGAACCTTTCCCCCAACATCAAAAATTAAATAATGCCTTGCTTTAAATTGAATTGATTCCACATTCAAACCTAATTTCAATTAGCAGTACCTATTGTAGGTTATGTTTCTGTAAATTTCCCATTCTTCAAATATTGAAGGATCGACGTTTTCCCGCTTCCTTCTAATCCTACTATTACAATTTTAAGTTTCTTAGAACTTTGCAAAGCTATGCTCATATCTTCTTCTTTTGAAGAGGAAGTAAGACAACCCATATATATATAATAAATAAATATTTATAAAATTAGAATAGACTTATATCATATTAACGATTTTAGAGTTAAATAATATTCACTCAAATGCATTCAATTCATATATTTGCCCTATAATTATATTATTAATTATGACATCATCTGTCGAACAATTTGATTTATTAATGTTAGAGAGAGTTTAGGAGTTTAAGAAAATAAATAATTCTTAATTGTTTTAACTTAACTAAAAAATATCGAAAGGAAAATGATTAGAAGATTCTTTTATTGGTTACTGATTTTCGAAATATTTATCAATTAAAGTAATAATATATGTTAATAATTAGCTTAATGCTGTGTTAGTTAATGTACGAGTTGCATAGTGGTTTGTTTAGCATGCACTGGAGGCTATTATGTAAAGAATTTATCTTGTTCTGCTTGCCAGAAGCCTTGCCAAAATTGTCAAAACTCAGCCACCTCTTGTACAAGTTGTGTTGATTCATCACATCAATCTACTCCTTCATGTAATTGTCAATCTGGCATGGGAATGGATACAACAACATATATGTGTTTTAATTGTTCCAGCAATTGTGATACATGTACATCAGGAACTGTTTGCACATTATGCTATAGTGGTTACTATTTGAACGCCAATGCTTGTTCTCCTTGTACTAAACCTTGTTAAGATTGTTCATCAAGTGGTACTAATTGCTCCTCTTGTGTTGATACTACTAATCAAGTCACTCCTACATGTGCATGTAAGGAAGCCTAAATATTGAATACTTCAACATACTTATGCGACAACTGTCCTAGTAATTGCAAAGTTTGTAGTTCGACATCAGTATGCACCCAATGTTATGATGGATATTTACTAAGTGCTACAGTTTGCATACCTTGTACAAAACCTTGTGCCAAATGTTCATCAAGTGTCACGACATGTGATACTTGCGTAGATACTTCCAAACAAACACCTCCTTTATGTAGTTGTACATCTGGATATGTGATTAATACAACTAGTTATTTATGCGATTAATGCACTTTCCCTTGCGCTACTTGTTAAACTACAGTAACTTATTGTTTAACTTGTGCAGCTACCTACACCTAGAACGCTAATACATGTTCATGTTAAAATTTTTAATATGAATTAAGTGGTACACCTAAAACTTGTTAATTATGTACAAGTCCATGCTAGACCTGTTCCACATCAGCTACTAATTGCAACTCTTGTGTAACAGGCTTAAACAGACATTTATCGAGTAATTAATGTATTTGTGATGATGGTTATTATGAGAACATTGTTTGTCAACCTTGTTAAAAACCATGCATTAATTGTACTTCAGCTTCAGTTTGTACATCATGCAATGATCCTACTCATCAATCTGGACCATCATGCGCATGCGAATAAACATATTATATGGATTCCTTGTTTGTGTGTCAAAGTTGCGTTAGTCCTTGTTTAAATTGCAATTCATCTATTGTTTGTACATCTTGCGTAGCCAATTACTACCTATCAGGAAATACTTGTATTTAATGTACTTTACCTTGTTATAACTGTGTGGATTTTGCTGCTAAATGTACATCATGTGCTTATAGTTATTAGTCAGTATCTAATAATGCATGTGTATGTGATGATGGCTATTACATGAATGCCACTTTACAATGCTAATCCTGCATTCATCCATGCGTTAAATGCTAAACAATTGGGAGTCATTGTACAGAATGTGCATCAACATATATAATGAGCACTACTGTTCCAAATACTTGTGAATGTCCTACTTAAACTTATGAAGTAGTAGCACATAACCCTTCTAATTGCCAAGCTTGTACATAACCATGCGATACTTGTACAGGATCAGCAGATTATTGCCTAACATGCATCGATGTTCATTAAATTTTGAATGCATCTCATCAATGTGAATGCGATGATGGTTATTTAATGAGTGGAGTTAATTGTGTAGCTTGTGTCAATCCTTGTGTCCAATGTTCTGGAAGTACAAGTTATTGTACTCAATGCAAAGATGCATAACATCACATACCTACTGGATCATGTATCTGCAATCCTGGTTGGGTTAATGATAACAATTATGATTGTGTTACTTGTTAAAGTCCTTGTGTCACATGTTCAATTAATGACACCCATTGTGATAGCTGCACGGATCCAAATCATCAAATAAATGCATCTTATTAATGCATTTGTAAAGATACATATTACTCAGATACTGTTAATACATGCGCAAGTTGTACATAACCATGTAACAATTGTGATATTAATGGATGTTTAACATGTATTGATAGTAATTAAATTGTTGATTCCTCTAAAAATTGTATATGTAAACCAGGCTATTATGCCGTTGGTGTTAATTGTTCTTAATGCGCATTGCCATGTTAAACTTGTGAAATCAATTAGGACCATTGTTTAACATGTGTTGATGCCAACCAAACTTTAATCGGCAATTAATGTATCTGCAATGATGGATATTTTGAAGTCTCACATTATTGCTAATAATGTTAACTTCCATGCACAAAATGTGAAATTTCAAATGATCGTTGTCTCGAATGTTTAGACCCAAATCATGATTTGATAGATCACAAATGTGTATGCACGTTTGGATATGGATAATCTGGAAATGGAGGAATAAATTGTTCATTTTGCTAATATCCCTGTCTTGATTGTTCAACTAGTGTAAATACATGTCTATCCTGTTTGGATAGCAGCTTATTTCACCTCTAAGATAATAAATGCTTATGTTAGGAAGGTTATTTTTCAATGGAAACCCAATGCAAGAAATGTTCACCTTAATGTCTCACCTGCACTGATGAATCTGAAATCTGCTTAAAATGTTCAGATCTTAATCATGATTTTATATAAAACAGTTGTATTTGCTAATTCGGCTATTATACAGACACATAGATGAAATGTTCAAAATGCTAACCTCCTTGTGTAACATGTGATTTAAACTATGATTATTGCACCTCTTGCCATGATGATAATTAATCGATTGTTGATGGATAATGCTTGTGTGATGATGGATATTATTTAACTAATTTAAAATGTGCTAAATGTAAAAAGATTTGTACAAAATGTAATTCATATTCTGAATGCACAGAATGTGCAGATTAATATTATTTGCATGATAACTCCTGTTTGTAATGCTAAATACCCTGTGCAAACTGTTTGGATATCAGCACTTGTATTTCATGTGCTGATAATTACTTTATGAATTCTATAGGAGAATGCATACAATGCATTTCGAATTGTAATTAGTGTCTAGACACTACAAGTTGTATGATTTGCTATGATAAATTCTATTATGATAATTCATCATGTATCCCTTGTTATGATAATTGTAAATCATGTGAAAACTCTTCTAATTTTTGTACTTCTTGCATTGATATTAATCATTAATTGATAGATAATAAATGTATTTGTAGAGATGGATATTATGAAGAGAATAATATTTGTAAACCTTGTGATCCTACTTGTAAGATCTGTGTTAGTTTAACTTTTTGTATTGAATGTAGTGCTTGGAATCATATCGTACTATTGAATAATCTATGTGTTTGTGATGATGGTTATTATCAGAGTCATTTTAAATGCGATCAATGCGATAAAAGTTGTTTAACATGTTCTTAAACTTCAAACTATTGTCTAAGTTGTAATTCATAGTAAAATAGAATATTATAAAAAAATGCTTGTGTTTGTCAGAAGGGCTATTTTGAGAATGAATAAAATGAGTGTTGGACTTGTAATTCAAATGCAGGCAAAATAATTAAAGATTGTCAATATAAGGATTGTTCTGATTCTCTTTGGACTTATGGAGAAGATTGTGATGATGGCAACAATATCTCTAGAGATGGGTGTTCAAACTGCAAAATAGATACTAATTACTCCTGTCTAAACACTTTGCTTGAACCCTCTTTGTGTTTTCAGTGCAGTGAAAATTGTATAGAATGCTAATTGAATGAAATCTAAAAGGTCTCAGAATGTATTAAATGTAAAGATGGCTACTTCATATTATAATCTAAATGTGCCAAATGTGCTGAAAAATGTTTAACATGTGATACTAGTGCTTCAAATTGTAAAACTTGCAGATATTTAAAAAATGATCTTGGAGAGTGTCAATTATGCGAATCAAAAAGTGGCTATTATTCTGATTAAATTAATAATCAATGTTATTCGAAATGCGGGGATTCATTAAAGGCTGTCACTGAAGAATGTGATGACGGTAATTTATTAGCAGGAGATGGATGTGATTAGAGTTGTAAAAAAGAAAAGAAATTCGTTTGTAAAGATGGCATTTGTATAACTCCTGAATATCCAATTCCAACACTAATCAACTCTGGAGATACTTCATTATATAATAATTAGAGATCATTTAAATTGGAATACAATCTTTAATTAAATATCACACAAGATAGCATGGTTGAAAACGAATTTGATTTATATATCAAAAATGAAATAGCCGAAAATCCAATCGATTGCTAATACCAAAAATAATTATTGTTTACCTTAAATAATTAATCCAAAATTGATTTCTCAATCAGTTTTGATTTGCAATTTAATAGAAGCTCAACTAAGGAACATCTAGTTGTCAAATATCGCAATATTTCCAAATTTATTTCATATTAAGGCTACTCTTAATAAGAACTTTAGGTTGAGGCAGCCATTTCTGATTATACATTCATAGATTAATCCTCTGTCGCTTAAGTCTAAATGGCTACAAATAGCAATTAATATGTCCTATATGTTATGGCTGTCATGGGTGGAGGAGCAATCCTATTTGGGGGCATAGATATTTTTTATAATTTGTTGGATACAATTTAAATGTTATCTTATTTAAAATATGTGAATACTTAACTGCCTTATAATCTGCAAGAATTTTTTGATTTTTTTGGTTTTGCTTAACTCAATTTTATTTCCAAATATTTGAATCTTTAAGGATTAATTGAGCCTTTTATCAATTATCAAAATCTAACACCCATTCCTCAGAAAATTGGAAACGACGATTTAAATTCTTTATTTATTATTAATGGATCATCCATCTTGGTAGTGTGGTTATCACTTCTAGGACTTTATGTCCTGTCTACATTTGTGCCATAAATATTATAAAAATTTAAATTTAAATATTACACCGAAATACCTGGTGGAGAAGACTTTACCATTAAATTTAAGTTGATGTTTTTAGCTGCAAAAATATTCATCACATAATTATGTTATATCGTTGTTTCAGAATTCTTTTATAGCGGAATATTTAGAACACTATTAGCTACAGCATATGATTATTCATTCTCTATGACTCTTTAGTTATACGCATTAGAACTACACTCGACAGACCTTCTGGTCAGATTAAGTTCATATTTAGCTTTGGCAGCCTTAGGAATCTATTTATTAGCTATTTATATTGTAACTGAAATTAGTGGGAGCGCTTCAATATCTTAAGAATAATTTTCAAATAAATAAAAGTATGGATCATTAATTGAAGGAATAAAAAAGGATAAATTCAGCAAATACTTCAATGCAATACTTCTTGCCAAAAAACTATTATTTATGCTTATTCTCATTTTTTGTTATCCCTCTCCATTTTTTCAGGCCATTAATTTAACTCTGTTGTCAAGTTTACAAACTATATTTTTGATTTTCTTTAAACCACTCGAAGATGATAAAGAATATAAAAAATAATTATCCTGTGAAATTAACACAACAAGCTCTTTAGTATTGATTTCAAGCTTAGTTTTAGATTAGGAATTAAAAATTTTCAGTGATGATTTAAGGACAAAAATAGGTTGGTTTTGCATTGCAAATATCAGTCTAATTTTTGTAATTCAACTAATAATAGATGCTATTTAATAATGGATAATTTTAATAAAAAAATACAGATAACTCAAAAGACTTGTTGAAAAAATAAATCAATTATTTTACTCTCGCACTCCTTAACAAACTAGTCATGATATCTTTATTCGAACAGACAATCAAAATAATTGATATAATTTGTGAATAAGATTTAGTTTTATTTTAATTTGTATTTATAATATATTATTTTATCATTTCACAAATCAAGTAAACAGAAAACACAATTTAATATAAATTAATTGAAATTAAGATTTTTAATAAACTAAGTTTAATCAAGATTTCTGTTTAATATGAGGATATAATTTATATTCACAAATACATCAATTATTAATAACATGTAAGATAACTTAATAAAAATGAAATTTGGTACATCGATGAATATCCATATTTAAAATTCAAGAATATATGATATCTTAATGATATCAAATTACTGAATTAATTAATCTGGAAATTCACCAGAATAAATGATTAAATACTGTAATACAAATTGACAAATTTAATCCAAACGGATAAATTGTATTGTATGTATTTATTTTAAAAAATGATTTTATCTATCATATGTTGTATGCATTATTTTTACAAAATTAATAGATAAAAATAGAAAATATAATGAATTTTTAATTGATAATGCCTATGATTAATGTCTTAATTTATTATTTTTCAATTCTTACGTCTTTTTCATTTTATGAATATTAAATACATAATAATTATTATTTTATTTTTGTTGAATTTTGATTTAAATATTATATTGGATAATTTTAATAATATTCCTCAACTTTTTTAATCTTGTTCAATTTTTCGTCCATTTTTATATTAATTTACAATTGTATCAAATTAAAAGCTTGAAAATATTGACTATAACTTAATTAATTTACAAACAAAATTAATTGGATGGCTCTATCCATTACCCATCTTTTAATCCATTTTCATCTAGTATACCTCCACCTCTATCATATATTTATTAAGTACATTTTTTTTGATTCATTTTCATATTATTTCTTATATTCAATATCAACTTTTCCAATTTTTATTCCATTTTTGTACTATCCACTAATAATTATTTATAAGGTACTAAAAATATTAACTTTAAAATACTCGCAAAAGTATTCATGCAAATCCATCCAAAATCCAATTTTGGTTTCATTTTTATCATAAATTCCACCACCGCTTTTAGTTGAATGTAAAATTTACATCTTTCTAACCTCTTTGAGATTTGATTCCATATACAGAGCATCCCATTAACCAACTTTTTTATTATTTAAATATTCTCCAACTAAAGTAACTTAGCATCCACTTAAATATATTCATTATTCTATGTTACTTATGAAAGTTGTCATGTAAGTCAATCCACCTTCCTTATTTTTGACCAAATTCATCATAGTTTCCACCTCCACTAAAAGTCTTTTATAATTATTACATTTGGTTTGAATAATAGTTGGATTTCCATTATTTTTATTTGATTCCATTTTAATATTCTCCTAAATAAGTAACTTAGCAAAATCTAAATTTTGCAAAACTATTACTGCCAATAGTCATCATGTAAATCAATCCAATTACTATCCTTCAACCCATCCTGGTTATAAACGCCACCGCCTCTAATATTAATATTTTCAATAATAATACATTAATTTCTTTTTGTCATACGAATCCCACCTTCCATTTTTCTTACCTTTGATATATTCTCCTTTGTATGACACTTAACAATATCTAGAGGAACCAAAATTATAATACTCAAAAAAATTGTCACTAAGTTCTATCCAGTTTCCAACTTTCAAACCATCTTTATCATATTATCCTCCTCCTCTATGTTATGAAGTAAAATTTACATAATTTTATTCTTAAGAAATGTATCCCATCTTCCAAATTCTTTTCCATCCTTATATTCTCCTTCATGTTTAACTTATGATCCACTACAATATTGTTTTGTTATACTTATAGAAATTCTGATGCATTTCAATCCATTTTCCTTATTTTATTCCAAATTCATCAAAAAGCCCTCCTCCACTAACTAATCTCAACAGTTTACTTGATTTTTTCATCTAGTTTTGTATTCCATAATCCAACTTTTATTCCATTATTGTAATACCCTTCATGTGTCATTTTACAACGGCTAGGATATCATCTTAAATACTCCCAATAATATTCTGATAACTCGATCCATTTTCCTACTTTTTAACTATTTTCATTATATCCACCACCAACTATTAAATAATGTCCATTCCATTTTGCTAACCACAATTCTATTTGATTATTCTTTAATCCGCATTCCCAATCCAAGTATTTTAGATGCTCTATATTTATAATTTTTTGAGGGTATTAAATTGAATTACTTTGCAATTCCCTAATATGCTACTCATCATACTACCTTAATATTTCTCCATCCTTAATATATGTAATCTTCTGCTCTTTTTCATTATATTGAAGTTAAATTTTTGTTTTTTTTAACATCAGTTCCTTCCTTTGAATTCCAATTTCTTCCCATATTTTTAAATCGTTCATGTTAATATATTGAATAAAACTAAAAGTTACAAATAATTTGCTTTGATTGGTTAGGAAATTAAGATTAGAGACTAAATAATTTATAAGCTAAAAATAAATTCTTAATTAAAGATCAAACTTTCCTGAATTCTAAGTTAAATTTTAAAGAAAAAATGTTTGCAATAATAAAAAAAAATTTATTATTTATATTTTCAAGAGCTAAAAGAAATTTCTATTCTGAAAGTTGAATCTCTCTCATGAGGAATCACAAATAAAAGAATATTGTTTTTTTGGATATAATATAAATGAGTTTACTAAAAATTTACAAATATAGAAATCAATTAAAGAGATTATTATCTTTGAGTTTGATATAAATTTGAAAAAATATAACACTATAAGGATAACTGATATATTTAGAATCTTTAATAAAATAATTAATGGTTATTCAACAACAATCAAAGTATTTAAAAATATTTGAAAATTTATTTTTTTTTTTTTAATTGCTTGTTTCTTTGTCTAATTCTGTTTTTATATATTATCCAACCAATATATTTCGTTAAAATTTACCTGTTAACGCTATTTTCTCACCCCACTTGTCCTAAACTATTTTTTTCATCAAATAAGCAATTCCCTATCCATGAAATTGGGTTTCATTGAATTGTCCAATATATTTCCTGTATTGTAATTTTCTTTTATCCTATTGACGTTCTTATAATTATTGTTCATTTGCTTTTTAATTTAAATTTTCAAATATTCCAAAACTATTTAAGAATCCATCTTGCCACCTACCTGAATAATAAAATTATATATTTCTTTCTTCCTGATTATTATATTAAATCATAATTCCGTTGCCATTTTATTTGTCGCTGTTAAATTCACCCCTATAATATCTTTTCATTTTGAACACAATAGGATTCACCTGAATAGATATATAGCAAATCCTAACATCCTCACCTAATTTCTCTCCTTTGTTATTAACTTTTATGCTGATGTAATGAATTAACTCATTCCTTTACTTATCAAACTCAATTAATTCTCCTTGAAAATGTCCATTTTGAAAAAGTCCTTTTTTTAAGATGCAAATATTTTCATAATCTTGTAATTCAAAGCCATAGAATTCATCTCTCATTAGTCGTTGTACTCTCTCTCCATTCAGATGTCGAATTCTATAACTATTTTGGTACATCTATTGTTTTTATTCCTAATATTTAATAAGAGGAGGGTATGCGATTTCATCTAGAATTTTAATCCTTTCCCAATTAAATTTAGAAGGAATTAAATATTTTGCTTGAATGCCAGATATTTTTGACTATATATCTCTTACGATGCGAACTATCATGTAGACTAATTAATTCTCTTCTAGTATTTATTGAAGAAATTGATTAATATTAGCCATATTCACTTAACTTTTTTGTTTCTTCTTAAAAAAGAGCATTCCAATTATTAAAAAATGTAAAATTTAGATGTTTCGTAATCTAGGGTTCTGTTAAAAAATTATTAAATTTTTTTTATTGACAGATTAAAAGGAACAATCAGTTTGTATGTTACAATAATCATGTTTTTTTATGTACTTATAATGATTGAGTTTATCTATATTATTCATATCATAAGTGTTCAAGCATTTTAATTTTTCATCCCAAGTACGATATTGAATTTTAATTTTTTCTTGAGTACCTACTCGTAATGTTAGATAATAAATATCATTTGGGTCCCAAAGACTATACACTTATATTATTGGATCATTTTGCATTTGATATAAAAAAATAAATAATAATAAGATCTAAATGCATGGTAATATCTATAACCTAAAAAAAAGAAACGGATCATAGATATTTATAGATTAAAATAGCAGAATTGTGTATAATTGCTATCAAATTTCTTAACAGTTATATAAGATTTGATCAAAAAATTTCATATTCTATTACTTTTATTTATACAATATTTTCATTTAATTTTTATTGTTATCTCTAAATTATAAAACACATTTTAAATAATCTCATGATATTCTTCCTCGTCTCTCCAAACGTTGATCCTTGTGTCCTGCTCCTTAATTGTTATCATATTTGAATAATTCTTATCGTTATGATTTAAACTAAACTTAGCTTTTATACATCTAGATTGCTGAAAGAGATTGTTTAGATATTAGACTTAGTGTAAGAAACTTAATTATCAAAAATAGAGATCTTTTTAATTAAATTAGATGTAAATAAAATTTAAGAAACGAACTTGTTGTGCTATGAACATCGTTTTATTTTTATTTATTGATTATGAGTAATGGAAGAGTTAATGGACACAATGACTTTCAACCAAATATATTAAGCATATAGTATATGAAGTTATATGGCCTTATTAGTAAATTATATATTTAATAAGATAATATATTATCCATTATTGTTAATATCAAATATGTAAATATTACTCTAATTTTTTAAGTTGTATGGCATCATCAGGTAAGTATGTTTAAATACCTCTGGATAGCCAATCGACTTTGGTTAGTTCTGGATTCTTTATTATATCATAATTTAGTATGACGTGAGCCAGTATAATTCTTGCTTCGATCATGGCCATATGTTATCCTATGCAATTTCTACCTCCAGCCGCAAAAGGAATGTTTACAAAGCCATTGTCTATTTAGATTGGTTTTGGTTGCAACCATCTCTTTGGATTGAATTCTAATGGTTTTTCATAATGATTTGAATTGATATTAGCCAAAAAGCTGCCTAATAGAATATAGGAGTCTTTTTTGATAAAAAAATCTTTGATTTGAATATCAGATTTAGCTTATCTTACAATAGGATGAACAACAGATGGTTTAAGTCTCATAACTTCTTTTAAAAAGCATTCTAATTACACTAATTTTTTTAGGGTATCAGCTGTAACTTGTCCGTCAACAAGGGCTGATTTGGCTTCATTTCTCAAATCTTCCAAGTATGAAGTGTTTTCTGAGAGAAAAAGTAAGGAATTTGATACCAATGCTCCAGTTGTTTCAGTACCAGCTAAGAAAAGTGTAATAAATTAAGAAATAATATCTTCAGTTTAATATTAATAAGATTCTTGCGTATCTTTTGAGTTTGATAACTTATTTAAGTAAACATCCAGAAAATCTCCATTTTCCCATTTTCTGCCTTCTTTTTCAATTTTGGATTTTCTGTTTGAAATAATTTAATTTAGATCTTATTTGAATTTAATAACTCTACTCAAAATCTCTTTTTCTGCTTTTAAACAATAATCCCAAGATTTCATTCCGAGGAGCTTTTATTTAAAATAAATAAAGAAATTGCTAAATCTAACAAGAACAAAAGATTTTAAGATTTCACCTAACTCAATCTAAGCTGGCTTGTCATTTATTAGCCAACCTTCTGCTTCTTGCCCAAAAAAACTTCTAATAACAATTCCTCCAGTAATTGAACAAATATACTAGAATACCTTGTCTACAGTTTAATTGTTATTTATTGCATCTCTTGTAACTTAATTCATCATGGGGATTCTATCCTTGAGTTTCTCAAATAAAAAATGGTCACCAAGAAGAGATCTTTATTCCTTCCACTTTTCGCCTTCTGCAAACAATAAACCCTTGCTTAAAAGAAAACTAATGTTTACGATGAAAATATACTCTTTGATCCCACTTTAATCATGTTTTACCAATAGATGGTGATCTAAATAGAGTGGTTTGTAATATTCAGGATCAACTATGATGAATACGGGCTTAGTGACAGAATTGGAGACAATCAATTTCACTTCTGGATGCTTAGTTATAATATCGATAACCCATTATTAAGGATTACCTTTCTTAGCTGATGATCTATAGATTTAGATGACACCCAATATAGGAATGTAATAAAAATAAATTTGCTTACCAAATTACACTTTTAGTTTGATCATGATAAGCAATGGTCTCAGTATTAGATAAGTACCGATTAGAGCAAAGAATAAAAAAAAATAAAGAAACATTAATTAAAATATCATAAATCAAATCTGGTTATTGATGTATTAATTAATGATCAACCTAATAAGCGTTTCCTCATCAACACTTAGATCTTGTATAAGCAAACTTTTGATCAAAATTTAGAGGTACATTGTTTTATTTAAGTGTAATAACTTCAGATAAAATAATAATGCTTATTTAGTATATATAAACAAAATAATTGTTGATGATCAAATTGTTGAGAATAATTTATGAAATTTAGTATATAAATTGTATTCAATTTCATTATAATAAAATTTAATTTATGATTATAAAGAGAAATCTAATACAAGTTTATAATTTGCGGAAGTGTAATGCATATTTTTTGCATGAGAGTATTTTCAGAAATAAACAATATTTCAAATTTTTGTTGATTTATAGAATCTATGGTAGAGAGGTACTTCTATGTAGTCAAAGACAAGTGGATTCTCAAATATAAGTACACTCACCATTATGTAATTTTCATATTAAGTTTGGAGTCAAATTAATTAAGAAACATACATTTAAACAAAATCTTTTAAATTACTTATGGAATAAATAAAAAACAAGAATCTCTTAGTGCTCATCTTATTGATTAGTTGCCTCACATTAGGATGTAATTGTCACTTTCCATATGATTAGCATCTCAAGATTGCGTAGAAGGACAATATTTGTCAGGTTCATATTGTTCATCTTGTTCCACAGGATGTAAATAATGTAGTAGCTAGACTAGTATTCATATAATATTAATAAAGGTTGTTCATCATGCTTTGATGGATATATGGTTTACAATGAAACTTGCTAATCTTGTGAGCCTGGGTGTTAAAAATGTTAGTTATATCATAATGGGTTAAGAATCCTCTAAGTGTCAGGGAAATCTAGAATATTATCAGGAGCCCTTGCCACATAGTGTACGACTTGTTATGCTGAGTATTATTAGCAAGGACTTGTTTGCCTTGCATGTACAAAACCATGTTTAAACTGTAATAATAATTCAACAGATTGTACAACATGCATGAATGTGAATTAAATTTTACCAACTTGCGAGTGTTAATAGTCTTATTTTATGGATGTAACTACTTATTCCTGCCAATAATGTTCATATCCTTGTTTAAAATGCACTGCATAAAATACTTGTTAAAGTTGCAAAGAAGGCTATTTTTTGATTAACTCAACATGCCAGATTTGTCAATTACCTTGTAAAACATGTGAATTAAAATCAACTAAATGTTTATCCTGTGCTTATGAAAATTTAATGGTAGACTCGCAATCCTAATGTGTTTGTGTTAATGGATATACATAAGTTGAAGGGGATTGTCAATAATGTCAAATGCCATGTGTAAATTGTTATGGAAGTGCAGATTATTGTATTTCTTGTGCGAATCAACTTCAAATAGGCACGGATGGGAATTGTGTTTGTTAATTTGGGTATTTTTTGCAGATAGATGTTTCTTCGAATTACGAATGCTTATAATGCTCTTCTCCTTGTTAGAGTTGTTAAAATTCGCCTTCAGAATGCCTTACTTGTCTAGATAGTAATTAAATTGCTGATTCAAATCATTAATGTGTTTGCAAAGAAGGATTTTTTAAAGATTCTGGTAGTTTAAATTGTATCCCATGCGAAGTTGCATGTTAAAGCTGTGATTAAACAGGTTGTTAGAAATGTTTCGATGAGATGATGGTAAGGTAAGATCAATCATCTTGTGTCTGTCCAAAAGGATTTTACTTTTTTGAAAACAACTGCTTATAATGTTAATTACCTTGTAGTTAATGTATTGATAAGTCTGATAAATGTCTTGAATGTTCTGATCCAAATTCATCTCTTGCTGATTATCAATGCATTTGCGCTCCTGGATTTGGAGTATCAGAAAAATCATAATAATATTGTTCTCCATGTAAATCTCCATGTTTGTAATGTTCAAGTGATGTTAATCAATGCACTAGTTGTGCATAAATAAGTCTAATTTACCTTGAGAATTCAAAATGCAGATGTCCTAGTGGTTATTTAATGTAAGATTCCGATTGCATTAAATGTTCTGATGAATGTTAAGAATGTTATTCGTATCCTAATTATTGTATAAATTGCAGAGACTTAAGTTATGAATTCATGAACAACAGTTGTTTTTGTCCATATGGATATTATGTTGACAATGCTTTGAAATGTTCAAAATGTTAAGAACCTTGTCAAACTTGTTAATATAACTATGATTTTTGTTTATCATGTGTAGAACCACTATTTGAATTATTTAACAATTCCTGTTAATGCCCAATAAATTATTTATAATTAGTAGAAAATAATAATTTTAATTTATCAGCAGGATGTTATACATGCGATGAAATCTACTTGAATTGCGCAGTATGCAATTTATCTTATTGTTAATAATGCTAATAAGGATATCATTTTAATGAGAATTAGGAATGCTTGAATACCCTTTGTGGGGATTCGATTATTGTTGGAAGTGAATCATGTGATGATGGCAATGATAATGAATTTGATGGTTGTTTTTAATGTCAATGTGAACTAGGATGGATCTAAAATCAATTAGGTTGCTAGACTATTTGTGGAGATTAAGTACTTGTATCTGGGGAATAATGTGATGATGGAAATGAAATTCAATTTGATGGATGTTATTAATGCAAATATGATTGCAATGAATCTTGCATTGAATGCAATGAAGGAAGTTGTATCAAATGCAAAGAAGGATTTCAACTTGAGGAAAATGAATGTAACATCACTTGTGGAGATGGTATTTTAAACTTATTAGCAGAATAGTGTGATGATTCTAATAATACTCCTAGAGATGGTTGCAATAATTGTTATTTAGAAGATGGGTTCATATGTTATTATTAGAATGAGTTACTATTTCAATTTTGTGAAAGATGTTCAGATTATAATTGTTTACAATGTGCCATCAAGAATTAAAACTAGGTCTGTCAAAATTGTATAGACGGGTATTTTGTTGATTCAACTTAAGGTTGCTCACAATGTGATAAAATTTGTTTGAAATGTATAAACTCTCCCAAAAATTGCGTAATTTTTGATTCATCAGTTTATTAATTAAAGGATTGTAATGAAAAGCTTGGATTCTACTATGATTATCAACTTTAGGATTGTGTTTCAAAATGTGGAGACGGTATTATTAGTGGATAAGAATAATGTGATGATCTAAATACTAATGATTTCGATGGATGTAATAATCAATGTCAAATTGAAGTTGGATATTTGCTTAATTTAAATAGTCTATCTTTCATTAATGAACCAGTCATATAAGTCCAATCCCAGTCTTCTAGTAATAATCAATATTCTATATATGCTCAATAATTCCAAGATACTATCAATTGTACTGGGACTACAATCAATATTGAACTATTCGATTAAACAGACTACAATTATACAATTATAGAGCAAGGGCAACATTGTGACATCTAGATGCAGTACTTTAAAACTGTAGAACCAACAAATCTCATACATGTATTAATCAAATTCAAAAATCACTTCTCCAAAAGAACATTAGATGAATCACCTACTAAAGAAATTGTTATTGTTCCAAAGAGGTAGGTTTATGCAACTGAAGAGCAAAAGGAGTAAGGAGAAGCTATGGCTAGTACTTCGAAATCTATATCATCATCCATTGTAGTATTCGCCCCATTAGCATTATTAATTGGAGGTTTCAAGTTTATTTGGGCTATTCTAGATGTTATGAGTTGGATGAATAACTTTTATTTCTTAAATGTATAATACCCTGAAAATGTAAGACTCATTTTTCAATAAGCTGAATGGAGCAATATAATTAATTTTCCATAACTTGATATCTTCAACAAACCTTCTGATGAATATTACTTTCAAGCTTAAATTAAATTCACTGAAAAAGATGTCGACCCATTATTTTTTAACAATTTTTAAATTGTTATTATTTTTTTATTTCAAGTTCTTATTACTTGGCTAATTTGTTTTGTAATACGAAATACAATTTAGGGTTATTATAAAAAAAATATTAGGACCAAAATTGCAAATCATTAAATATTTTAATTGAAAACCAATAATAAAAATAATTTAGTTCTCGAAAATGAAAAACTGTAGTCTACAATTTAGAAGTAGATTACCACATTGGAAATTCCAAATCAACTCTAATCTATTTACTTCTCATGTTTAGATGTTGAAAGATCATTTGTTGCTAATATATTAAAAACTATATAAATAAGCTATTTGGATATTCTGTTGGCAATAATATTACAACTTACCAATTAATAGACAGCTAACAATTATATTGTTAAAATCAACGTCATATTAGCGAGTATTTCTATTGGGATTATATTTTCGTTGATTTATTTATCCTATCAAATTTCAGTTTAACATCATTTGAAATTGGAAAATAAACATTTTAGTAGGAGATTTAACTGCTTCTATGAAGATGTAAAAACTAACTCCTAAATATCTATGAATTACTCCTTTTTGAATATGTTAAGGAAGACTATTTTTATTACAGCAACAGTAATGTTCTATGATTTTCCAATATACTAAACAAGTGTTTGTTTTTTATCCTGCTTTTTGAACATCATCTTATTAATTCACTGTAATCCATTCAATAATAGATAGTAATATATTATGAACTTTATACCTGACTTTTGTATATGTATTATAGTAGGTTTAACCATAATTTTTGCATTTTAAGACCAATTTCAATTACTAGAAGATGATACAATTTATCTTTTAGGATGGATTGTTGGAGCCTGTATTTATTTGTCAATATTATTGTAATTAATGTTCCTAATAAAAGTACTTATACAATCAATATGGGATAAAATTAAAAACCTATTTGTATTTTTGAATAAAAAAATTGGTGTATGAATATTTTTTGTTTATGAAATAGTAATTTATTTTTTAATATTGCATATCCATGGTTAGTATTACAATACTCATATCCATGATTTAGAAATTCATAAATGAAATCATATACGTAGCCTGCTTTATAAACTTATATTCTCTCTCTAATAAATGCTATAATATAGTATATTTCTGTATTTACCCATTTTGATTATTAATTAATTTTCATGAATCCTCTGCCTATTTCTGTTCTAAATATTCATTTATATAACATATATACTATCTTTCTAAAGTCTTCATGTTAGTGAGATTTTGACACCAATGAGACTATGTTGTTTATGAATTTTTTAATTTCTCAACCTCCCCAAAATTCTTAGTAAGATTAAGTTCTATACCTTAAGTTTAAGAAATTCAATCTTTATAAATTATCATCAAAGTTGATTTTATATTATTTTAACTTATTATTACAACGTAAATTATAATGGTGGCAAATTCGTGTTATTTTTTACATTATAAAAATAAATATTGAGAAATAAAAATATCCTTTTTATAAATAAAATTTATAAATAATATTTATAAATGAGTAATTGGGCTTGATGTTCTTCATGTAGAAACTATTATGAACTTAATTGGTTATAATCATTCTTAGAGTATTGTTCTTGTTGGATAGAACAATTATGGATATTTACAGAGTAGATATATTTTTTTTAAATTTATACGAATCATCAAGCATAACGAATTTGATTCTCAAAAGTATCGATTTGATTAATAATATCGCTAAAATAATAATATTCAAAATCATTCTAACAAATTCTTATTATATATAATTGTGATTATTATATTATGTAATAATAATTGAGGTGTGAACAATAAATTTTGGCTTGAGAATTACATATTCCTTAAATTATACCAACCCTTGTAATTTATGCTGTCAATATATGAATCAAGAAGAAATTAGTCAGCAAGGAAAAAGACTTCAATTAATATATGCAGATTGTAATACCAGATATTTAAGTTTTTAGGTGAAACATATAGCTATACCATCAAGATCAGATTGTTGATGTAAATTCGTAATTACAGAACCAGCTGACAAGGAATATAGGTCTGAAATTTTTTAAATATGACAATCATATAAACCAAAAATCAACTATTTTACATGAGAGTCAAGGATTGCCAATATGATTAAATTCTTAAACCATGGGACTAGCATTATCCTGTAACATTTATCATAATTTTTTTTCATGTCTCATTGNAATAAAAGTACTTATACAATCAATATGGGATAAAATTAAAAACCTATTTGTATTTTTGAATAAAAAAATTGGTGTATGAATATTTTTTGTTTATGAAATAGTAATTTATTTTTTAATATTGCATATCCATGGTTAGTATTACAATACTCATATCCATGATTTAGAAATTCATAAATGAAATCATATACGTAGCCTGCTTTATAAACTTATATTCTCTCTCTAATAAATGCTATAATATAGTATATTTCTGTATTTACCCATTTTGATTATTAATTAATTTTCATGAATCCTCTGCCTATTTCTGTTCTAAATATTCATTTATATAACATATATACTATCTTTCTAAAGTCTTCATGTTAGTGAGATTTTGACACCAATGAGACTATGTTGTTTATGAATTTTTTAATTTCTCAACCTCCCCAAAATTCTTAGTAAGATTAAGTTCTATACCTTAAGTTTAAGAAATTCAATCTTTATAAATTATCATCAAAGTTGATTTTATATTATTTTAACTTATTATTACAACGTAAATTATAATGGTGGCAAATTCGTGTTATTTTTTACATTATAAAAATAAATATTGAGAAATAAAAATATCCTTTTTATAAATAAAATTTATAAATAATATTTATAAATGAGTAATTGGGCTTGATGTTCTTCATGTAGAAACTATTATGAACTTAATTGGTTATAATCATTCTTAGAGTATTGTTCTTGTTGGATAGAACAATTATGGATATTTACAGAGTAGATATATTTTTTTTAAATTTATACGAATCATCAAGCATAACGAATTTGATTCTCAAAAGTATCGATTTGATTAATAATATCGCTAAAATAATAATATTCAAAATCATTCTAACAAATTCTTATTATATATAATTGTGATTATTATATTATGTAATAATAATTGAGGTGTGAACAATAAATTTTGGCTTGAGAATTACATATTCCTTAAATTATACCAACCCTTGTAATTTATGCTGTCAATATATGAATCAAGAAGAAATTAGTCAGCAAGGAAAAAGACTTCAATTAATATATGCAGATTGTAATACCAGATATTTAAGTTTTTAGGTGAAACATATAGCTATACCATCAAGATCAGATTGTTGATGTAAATTCGTAATTACAGAACCAGCTGACAAGGAATATAGGTCTGAAATTTTTTAAATATGACAATCATATAAACCAAAAATCAACTATTTTACATGAGAGTCAAGGATTGCCAATATGATTAAATTCTTAAACCATGGGACTAGCATTATCCTGTAACATTTATCATAATTTTTTTTCATGTCTCATTGGATTAGATTTATAAATTATCAAAAAATTTAGATTATAAATCAGGATGCAAAAATTTTGAGCGAAAACCCCTACAAAAATACTTAAAGTTAAAAAAAATTAAAAGTATTTTTATATTAGGGTACTTCGTAAAATTTGATTATAATAAATAACTTAATGGAAAGATTATAAAGGATATTTCATTAAACATTTGACTGATTGTTAGAAATCTGATATTATAATATGTTTTATTGTGATATAGATGACAATAGTAATAAATGGCCTCATTTCAAGGGGTTTAAGTAAGATAGAATAGCAAAAAGAGCAAAGAAATTAGGATAATTAAATGGATTTAAAAAAATTTAAATAATAATTTATTAAAATATTTATGAGACAACCACAAACAAAGAAATCCTTTAATATTTCTGATTCTTCATACTACATCTCTTTGGCATGCATCATCACTTTTGAAATCTACTCTCTTTATCGATTTTCAGTCATCTGTAAATCAAACAAAATAGAGGGCACTGAAAAAGGTATACGAATAAATTGATTGTAGGCTTCTTTGGTATTCTGAGAGACCATTCAGATCCATAATGGGGAGAATTTGCAGGACATTTGACAGAATTAATGGTTTTTCAATTCATTTTTATATTGGGGTCCTACACTGTCAAATATCATTCTGAATAAGAAAATAGGTAGAGAAACCTATAGTATTATAACATGATTGTCGGATTAAATTATGCATTCTATTTGCATAACATAGGCATGATATTTTAGATGATGATCATCGTTGCTTTTTATCTTTTCCAAAAAGTAATTATTTTTTTTATAATAGATTTGTTACAAAATGAAATATTTCATCCCGACATTATGGATTTTGGCCATCTTAACATTATGGTCAAATGAGACTTATAAAGGATATGAATTCAGTATGATTTCTCCATCCTTGGCTTATTTGGATGGTTTCAGGAGTACAAACCAATTAGTTAGTTGGAATCTTGTTTTTAATATGATTTTACTAAGAATCATCAGTTTCTCTATTGATAAGGTTTGGGCATCTCAACTCCCTCAGCCATTGAAATCGGGTGAGCAGAGTTAGAGTGAAAAGTCCAATATCATAAAGACTTATCGTGATAGAGTGGAAGAGTCCTAACCATTAGAGGAATATAACTTTAGCGGTTATTTAAGTTTTCTTTTTTATGTGCCTCTTCTCTTCTCAGGTCCTTCTATGGGTTATAATGCTTTTAATTCTTAATTAAAAACCCCTTAATAAAGTTTTAATAGATCTTAAGTGATAAAGTACATTTTAAGAGTCTATTTATTGGACTTGTTAACCTTTGAGGTATTTTTGCATGTGTGTTATCCAAATGCAATTCCAAAAATAGCCTAAAACTTTCATATCCTGGAAAATTTTAGTGCATATGAGTTCCACATAATGTGTGTAATGAACTTGATCTTTTTATGGTACAAATTCCTTACAATATGGAGAATTGCCAGAGGATGGGCCTTATTGGATGGTAACTTAATAAATTATTATTATGTTAGGAATTGAAACACCAGAGAATATGAATAGATGTCTGTATAACAGTTACAATTTTAGTGGATTTTGGAGATCTTGGCATAGAAGTTTCAATTAATGGTTAATCAGATACATTTATGTACCATTAGGAGGTACCAAATACAAATCTTTGAATATGTGGGTTGTCTTCTCTTTTGTGGCATTGTGGCACGATTTTAAATTGGATCTTCTCTTATGGGCTTGGCTAATCTGCTTAGCTTTGATTCCAGAGATCGCTTTATAAAAATACTTTGACAAGGAGTTCTTCTATAAAAAGTGGTGGTTTGTTTACTTATGTCAGCTGGGTGGAGGATTCTAAATATAAATGATGTGTTTAGCCAATTTGATAGGATTTGGAAATGGATATGAAGGCATGACCGTTGTTTTCTATAAGTTTATGAGTTTGGAGGGCTTGGCTTGTTTTCTATTCTATTGTATAGTTAGGAATGGATGGATCACAACTATTCAATTTAGAATAAGAGATGATGAGAATGCTGAATCAAATGACAAGCGATTTTGATATCCAGTTAAGTTTATCGAAAAGACTTATAAAACAAATTATAAAATATAAATGCTAAGCTAGCCTTATTATTAAGGTTTTGATTCCATCCCAATTAAGATTATTCTTCTCATTCTATATTTTAATGTTGAAAACTCACTTCTTATAAAGTAAAATTATGAGGTCTAAATATTTGTAAGTTGATTCTACTCACACAGAGCGATACTAATTATTACGATATAATTACAATTCATGATATTATTAATGTATTCAAATGTATATTAATAATCAAAGAAGATTGAATTTTTAATTGTATTCTGTATAATTATGACTTGTATCGAGTAGATACATGAAAATAGTCTAAATATAATATATTATAAGGCTTACCTTTTTTTCAAATTATGATTGCTAATAAAGCAAAATGAGGGGTTGCTTTAAATTTATAGCAACTACTCAATTTTTTCCATGATGTTTAGATCAATGTGAATTGTACAACAAATACTTGATTATTGACATTAATACAAATTTGATTGTTTTAAATTCAAGCATTTTAAGTCTTATCAATTTATATAATAATATAATTAAAACTAATATACTTTTTACACTAATTTACAAAAAGCATACACTTTTTATAATTTATATTCCAAAAAGTTGCTTCAAACTAAGGCCGAAATACCTTTTTACTTATTAAAAATATACATAAATTAGCCAAGGTTTATTCTCAAACAATTATGCTTCCATTAATTTGAAGGTTGAATTCATTGAAGATCCATTAATAATATTATTATATTATTAATTTATAAAAAATGAATATTTTCAATATTATTGCTAATTATATTCATTTATTAAGTAATTTTATTTACATTTTATTGATAGAGTAGCACCTTATAATTATTTATCAGATATATACTGTCTAGTATCTAAAACTTCAGATTCTTCTTTATATTATTAGATGGTATGTAATTTTGCTTAACGAGTAGGACTTTATTCATTTTCCAAATTAGAATGTTTTAATGAATTCGGAGATAAAACTTAGAATATTATAAAGTCTACCTTTTGGAGGTTTGGGACTAATTTCAACCAACTTCATATACTCTAATAGTTAAGTAGGTAATTCTTCTAAGACTTTATTCGATAGCTGAGTTGGATCCCCTCTGAATTGATTAAAAGGAACAAATTAAACCAAATCTCTAATAGCTTTATTCCCTTTGCTATCAACCATACTTTTGTTATCATTATCTAAGATCTTCATATTCTTAAAGTTAGCATCTCCTACGCCAACTATTATGATAGATAGAGGTAAATAAGATGAAGCAATGATGTCATCTATAGATTCTAACATATCATCAGTTTGTCCATCAGTTAAAATCAATAATACATGATAGTTTTCACTTCCTTGATCTTTACATTTCTGTGCCATTTCCATAGCTTTTTATATAGTTGGATGCAAATAGGTTGGACCATCAAAATGCAATTAAGGCAGTGATTTTTTATAACATTCTACAATTCCATCTAGTCCATAAACTCTAAAATTGCAATAAAAATCTTACTCTGGATCATCAGGATTATCATTCATAGGAAAGAGATGAATTGCTTAGTTTGTGTTGTAATTCTTCATTTTTGGTTTACATCCAAAACCATAGAGTGGAACCCTTTTATCATGATCATAATGTATCAATATTTCTACTACACTATTGATTGCCTATAAGTATTAACTAGGAGATCCATCTGAAGGGAGATGATGTAGTGAATTTGGATTCTGAGATTCTTCATTTGATGCAGTGAAATCAATAGCAAGCATTAAATTAATCTATTAACCTCCCGCACAATAATCTAGGAAGGTATAATTTGAGATTATTGAAAATCTATCAATTTAAAGAATTCCTAAAGATTAATTTGTTTGACTCTTAGACATGAATTCCTTTTAGAGTATTTTCTTAGCTTTATTTGCTTCAATTAATTCATTAATACATAACTAAGTTTCTCCTATGTATTTGTGCTTACCAGATTTTTTATAATCCCATAATTCAACTTTTAATTTTATGGAATAATCTCCATTACACAACCTTTATGCATGACATTGAATCTACTTCCATTTAATTGAAGCCATATCTTTTGCTTATTCAGTTTCATAAACTAAAACACCAATATCCATATCATGTTTTAGTCTATAGAACCTCAGAAATGGACGAATTTTATCCCAAAACCATAATTTAGTTCCTCTTATCTTTAATCCTGATAATGAAATAGAAAATTCCTCACTGCATTACTTAACATGTTCTGCCTTTAAAAATATTTAACCATTATTCCTTCCACTTTTATTGTATAGATTAGCTCTAATCAATTAGTTTTTTGATCCTATGACTTCTGCCACGGTTGTTTCTGCTTAGCCTAAAATCTATGATAGTTTATGATAATACTTATGTTTAAGTAGAACTTATGTTGTTATGAACTTCCATTTTCAAGTGCTACTAAACTTAGAAAAAATAGTTTATAGCAAATGTCTTGATGAAATCTGGATTCTAATTATTCTCAATTGTTTCAGTTTGATCTATTTTCATCCCTTAACCAATGATATCAAATTCATACATTAGTTATTACTCTTTCTATAGAGTATCACAAAAGGATTGTAGATAGTCACCGCAAAATCATCTAATTTTCTACAACTTACAAAAAGTTCTATTTGCTGGGCTTCTTTCGTTTAAGCATTGCCTTCTTAATGACTGAATAACATAATTTAATATATAATCTTACATATAGATTAATCTGAAGTTTAAATAAAAGTATAGATTTATATACGTAATAATATATCAATTTCTCCTTGATTCTTCATAATCTATCCACAAAGAAACTTCTCTTTGTTCAACTAGTAAACCCTTTTAAAGTGATCATTGTTCATAATTTATGGACAAAATGATGCAATCTTAATATTCTATATTATATAATATTATACTTTATGTTATAATTATTTAAGAAAAATAATAATTTTAGTGCGAAAAGCAAAATATTTCGATTATCATTTATTTCTAAATAAAGAAAGTTTGAAAGTCTTTCAAATCGTTTCTACATATATATTAAAAATTACATTATTTAGAATCATATATTTATTCTAAACTTTAGTGATTACTACAATTACCTAATGAATAATTTATTAGTAAATTATCTTAATTGATGTTCTAATAACTCTCTATTTACTTAATCAAAAACCTTAAATGTAATTGGAATTTAGAATTATAAATAAGAATTGATATGGATGCCTTAATTAAAGTAATAACAATTTCCTTATGTAATTATTGCCAATATTCATAGCTATCATTTTAAAAACATCAAAAATATAGAAGAATGTTATAAACACATATATCACAAAATAATATTGGATAGAAAGTTATTAAATTGTTTTATTTCTGGTAAATTCCATATTAATGTTGAATAATTTATTAAATTAAATATTTATTTATAGATATGGAAGGTATTTGTTATTTTCAACTAGATTCACAGACCATTTCCCTTTGTTTATGCATTTGATTCCATCAGAGATGCATCCAACCAAAGCTGAAGTGCACTCAGAACTCTTAGTTTTTAGTATCTTAGCATGTCTTGGTCTTAGATGCTTTGCCCATATTATCCCAAATGCAAGCCCTTAATTAGGAATCATATACAAAACCTCTTTGCTTTAGTACTAAAGAAGCTTGTAGTGCAAGTGGAACTGATTTTGAATGTGTATTCAATCCAACTTCAGATTCTAATCGGAATGGAGTTTGCAAATTCTTTACTCAATTTTGATATGGCAATTCTGATTCGTCTGCTTGACAATCTATGCCACTAACTTGCAAATGGACTATTGCAACGGAACTATTCCTAGTTCATGTGCTAATCATGCTTGCGATTTAGCCGCTAAAGGGACAGCCAAATGTGTCACTATCCCAAGTTTTGATGGCAAGAATTATACAAGGAAGTTGAATGTGTTTTGGGTGAACCGAGTTCCTTAACTTAAGTTACTTGCTATGAATTAAGGTTGACACACTTGCAGTTGGAATGCTTAGACAAAGAAGAGTATTGCACCTGGATCAGGATCCTCCTCAAACAATAATTCAAAGTTTATTAATAAGAGTTTAGGTAATACAGCTAATTCTACATCCAGCAATTTTGGGTCATCTTTATATGTCCTGTAAATTTTTATATGGTTTATATTCTGATAAACAAAATGAAATTATTAATATTCAATAATAATCATCTTTATTTGTTCGTTTATTTTATTTATGTTCAAGTCCAAATAAAAGAAGCGATTAATGCACATATCACGTAAAATGCAATTCATACAAATTTTATGATAATTTTAAATTTTCATTTTTTCATTCTAATTAATTTATTAATAATTTATAATAAAATAATTGTACTGGAACCAAAATAACTATTATAAAACTAGATCTACCAATTTATTAATATAGTTACAATTTAGAGACAACTTCCTCACCATCAATCAAATTTGTAGCATTTCAGATAACCAAATTATTTTTTCGTAGCGTTAAGCTGGTCATGGTAGTTTATAAAATTATATTGAATTTATACAAATTATATGATGCAAATTATATTATCATTTGTTATCATTCATCTAATAAACACTCACAACAACCCCTTACGCACTTAGTCTTTGACTTTAGGATTGCATATAGTATGCAACCAATAAAATATATCAGCATCACAGTAATATCTAAGTACAAATAGATTGCTCCTGAAAGATATTAATTTGTTTTAAGCGAAAACTTTCATAGTTATTATAATAATACTTTGCCCGATATTATCAATTTTGTATCTATAACAACGAGGAATCCATGAATTATATGGAAAATAAAAGTAGTTATCAATAGTCCTATATAATAAGGAGCAGTCAGGATAAACACAAATAACAGAAATATCATCACGCCAATTATTGACCACACCATCACTTAATAAATTATAAACCATTACAATTTAAACGTAATTCATAATCTTTTCGGATTAATATTATAATTAAACATGTATAACATCCTAAGGACATTGAATACATATATAACAATATTATCCAATCTTATCCCGAATAGTAGCCATCTTGTAATAACATCGATAGAGGATAACCAAAAATGTAGCCTACTCCAGCGGTTAATACAAGATAAAGTATCAAATTTATAGGAAACTTTGAATTTATAAATTAATTACCTGTCTACCTTTGTGAAATACATATCCTGCTACCCCTATCAATATAGTAACAACTAAGGTTCCCAAATAAAGATTAGTATTAAAGTAAACAGGCTCATAATCTTCCAATGTCTACCAATTTGTAAACAAAAATAAAAAAGTCATCAGATAAAAAATCGAAACCATTCCAATCAATAATGCATAGATTTTAATAAAAAATCGCATTATTTCCTCAAAAGATGCATATTTTTCGCCTTTTTACTTATACGCAGCTTGTCTCCAACCAATACCCCTCAAAGTACCAAAAAAGGTATCAGGTCCGCCATAGTCTTCAAAAAATGCTACCATTGGAGAATCATCATATCCTTAATTGTTATCTGATACTTTAGACATTATATATGTATTTTTAATTATGAATTTTTTTAAGGAGAATTCAATTTATAAATAATTATAGGATACTGAAACAACCACGCAAATCTTTAGTAGTTTTTTAAATAAGAATAATACTTAATTGTTTAAATTATTGATTATAGGAAATTTTTAAAGGTGATATCTCTGAATTTTGAGTAAATAATAAATACTTACTGAAAATTTAAAAATTAATTATAAAGAAACTCAACCCTATTCAGATTATTTATATAATAAACATAATTATTAAGTAGTTCATTCAATTAAATAAGTTCTTCTGCATGTAACTTATTCAGATTAATAAAAATATTTATTTATAAAATTATGAATTTCAGTTGGTCTATTTCACTCTTAATCGCACTTCAATATAATGATATGAAATAACGGATTCAATATCTATAGCTTAATTATATAATTATGGAATCAAATTTAACAAAGTTCATCACAAATAGAATATATATTTTATTTTATTCAGGTATTATTTAACTCATTTTAAGTTTGATTAGCATATTTGATTAAAAATATCAAAGTTTTGCTTAAAATTAAATATGAATAATAGCATTCTTTTATAAAAATGCATTAGATCACCAGGAGAATCATGATTATTGGGACTAAAATAATACATGTGCAAACTCATATAAAATTAACAGTTACAAAATTAGAATAATTTTATTAGTTAATATTTATTGAAATTAATGTTCTATAAACAAGTATTTCATAAATTGTCAAACTTGAATGCAAAATTAAATACGATTGTAGAGAAGAATCAAACAAATTATAGAATGAGTTTAAAGTTATTTGGCAAGCAGGCTGATGATAAAAATTTCGATGTCACTACTCTTAACTACTAGAAACTTAAGTGAAGAGTTTAATCGGAAGAAGGAAAGTTGCCGAATATAAAAAGTTAATAATAGTTTAAGGAAAGGTTATTATCCATTTATATATAAAATCTAATATTTTAGGAATTTACAAAACTTAAGGCAGTTAACTTTAATCTAAAGAATAAAAACATTGATGCATAAAATAAAATGCCGATATAAGAGTCAGGGTGTGCACAGACATCTAATTATCATTAAAAATAGTAAGCTACTCCATCATGAAATTAGTATTAAATCCAAACTATAAAGTTTTAAATAATAATAGAGATTCAAAAAGTAATAAAATCAATCTCTAATAATATCAACAAATATTTGCCAAAATTTTGCACTTTCGTCCAAAAATAGATATTTTTAAATACATAATTCTCGTTTTATTAGCAGTTCTTGACATGTAATAGAGTTGAAATAGAATCTAATTAAAAAGTTGTATTCATAAAATACTGTAAAATACTAATTTTTAATTCTTATTTAACATCATAAGGTTGTTACCTATTATTCTTATCATAAAAATAAATTTCAAATAATGTTTGCAGCAATAGTTAAAGTAATAATATATTATGATAAACAATCCAATCAAATTAAAATGATACACTAATGAGATGGTTAGAAATTTGATGTTACAAAAAAAAAGCCTCTAATTTCCTCTCTAACAACTTTTATTCTCTGAAATTCCTTAGCTCCATTATAGAAAAAATAATAGCAAAATTATAAATATAGTTTCTCTTATCTTTAATCTAACCCTAGTGAAGGGTATGCATTTATCTTTTTATTTTCTCTCTTCAAATTATCAATAATACCTAGTTCCTTATCAATACTTATGGTGCTTCATTAATTTCCTATTCATCTCCATTCATCTTTCATTATTCCATTCCTAAATTATTTTCTATCTCTTACATCTACATGTCACTAGTAGAGTAGTGACTTCATTCAAAATTAAATCTTCTATTTCTTCTAACGATATCTATTAACAAGCTTTATAAATGTATTCATGCCTCTGAAAATATCAAAGTTTACGATCTGTTTCTTATTTATAGTTGTGATTCTATAATACCTTAAATTTCTTTTCTGAACTGAATAAAAACTTTCTCAAAATTTGTCAATTAAATCTTTATCCCTAAATCTTATAATAAACACAACATTAGAATTTCAAACTTGAGAGTAATTATAAGATCTTTCTAAACAAATTTTGCAATTATATTTATTAGCAATAGGCAAAAAACTTATAAAATAAATAAATTATAATCTTTATATTTCATTTTACATTCTTCTTCTTTAAGTCCTTTTCCAACCATATACCAATCTTCTTACCCTTATAATACTCCCCTTAATATGTGATTTAATAAAAATCTCTAAATCCCTCACTCAACTCAACCCATTTCCCAGTCTTTAACGAGCAGCCATTCTCATTATTTTCATAAGATCCACCACCACTAAAATTTCTTTTGGAAATTTTACATTTTTTCATTTTTCCATCCATCATTATAAAACTTATAGTAAATATCCCATTAACCAATTTTTTCACCTTAGTTATATTTACCTTAATAAGTGACTTACGAATACTCTCTAAATTCATCACTTAAATCTATCCAATTTCCAATCTTACATGAGCATCCGTTATTCTTAACGTCGTATTCTCCACCACCGAAACTACTTTTTATTTTTAGAATTACATCTATTCCTTATAACATATATCCCATCTACCTATTTTTTAACCACACCTATATTAACCCTTGTATGTGACTTAGGAATCCTACTTAAATCTATCCCTCAACTCAATCCATATCCCAATTTTACGTGAACCTTTTTCCTCATCATCCTCATATTAACCACCCCCACTAAATGTTTTTTATCAATATTTGATGTACATTAATTAAAATGGAGATCTGGTTTCCTCTCTCCAAAAAATATCCCATCTACCTGTTTTTTAACCATTTTTATATGGACCATTGTATGTGACTTAAGAATCCGATTTAAATGCATCACTCAACTCAATCCATCTTCCAATCTTATGTGAACCTTTTTCATCATTGAAATTATATTAACCACCCCCACTAATTGTATATTATTTTATTACATTTATTAAAATGGCTACCTTCCTTCGTCTCTCCATAAAATATCCCATCTGCCTACTTTTTACCCATTGTGATATTCTCCTGTAAAAATCACTTAGAAACCCAATTTAAACTAATCATCCAATTCATTCCACATTCCAATTTTTATAGAATCTTGTTCCTCATTATCATCATATTCTCCACCACCACTAATTTATTTATTTAAGAAATACATCATTGAGAAGTTTTAAGTCCCTTTTTCTCTCCATAAAGTATTCCAAGTACCAACTTTCTTACCATTTTTATATTCTCCACTATATACTACTTATTTTAAATCATAGAATCCTTCACTTATATCAATCCACATGCCATTCTTATTGCCATCCTCATTATAATAACCACCAGCACTAATTTGAATAATTAATAATACATTTAATTATTATTATATATAGATTTCCATGCTCCAATTTTTCTATCATTATGATATTCTCCAAATTCCAAAATTTATGCTTGGCTACTATTTTATTATTGGTGCTGCAAACCATTCTTCTTCCCCTTATTTAAGTAGTATCCTCCAACTTCTTATTCTAAATTAGCCATATTTTCAGGACTCTAAAAAAGGTCGGTTTTTTAATCTCTTCCATATTGATTATTTTACATTTCCATTATTTATCCATCTAATTTGCATCTAATGTTCTGTTCTTCATCGACTTAAATTTGATATTTAGAATTTCCATATTTTTATGATAAAGCAGCCTAATTGGCACCCTCATTTATTTAGTTGTCATTGTAAACATCATAATTTATAGCTTTAGACTAATCGATTTAATCTCTATTATCATAATTAAGTTCTGCCTTACATATCATCTGATTTCATCTTCTTTGAGTCGTTGGAACAATTAATTCCCATTTTATATAAATAGAAATAATTAAAAATAATTTAACAATCCTTTACAGTATGTTATATATAATAAACTTTTTAGCATAACATAGCCAAATTTAGACAGGGAAGTGGATTTATTAATCTCTACTCTATAATTGATAGGAAAAATCAGATTTAATTTATCTACCTTAATATTTCTTCATAATACCTTTAGCAATAGAAACAGTTGATCAATTATAGGATTTATAATCTCCTCTTAGATTAATTCTGAACATATTTTTTTAGATCGATCACATTCTTTCAAGCTAAAATGACAGCTTTGTTCATGTATATAGTTAATTTATAATTAAATTATAATAATTTAACTCAATTATTAATTATTTTTTTTTTGAATATTAATTAGTATTTAAAATATAAAACATCTTTTTCTTTTTGGGTTTATTTTAGCTTCTGTGCCATAATAATTAAATATCCAACATAAATTCAGTTGTTAAATACTTTTTTTGGATAAATAGGTCATCTACTAATTTTAATTTATGCCTACCCTTTTTAGAGTATAGTTCTTTATTATGAAATGTTTACATTATTTAAATTATTTGCTTCAATATTTTGTTTAAGGTGTTGGAAAATTCTTCAAAGCCAAATTACATCAGAAAACTTTGATTCATCGCATTATGTTAGATGTTAAGAAAATATTATAAATAAAAATTGTTCTAGTTTTTGTTATGTTCGAACATAAAGATGGATAGTTTAAATCCAAAGAAATGTCATTCCAATATGAATTACTTCCTCATATAAATATACAACAATAAACGTGTTGGGCAGTTTCGATCAATTCTGATGATAAATTGTTACTCACAGGAGCTGAATCCAATATTAATATCATGTAGTTCAAAGGTGGAGCAATAAAAAAGATTTAAACTATTTAAAAACATAAATCCTGGATAACTACTCTCAATTTCTTTAAGTAAATGCCTTTATTTATATCTGGATCGTCAAGTGTTAAAATATGGTCATAAAATATATTATCAAATCCTAAATTTCTTTTAAAATTATGGGACCATTCCTAAAATATATAGTGTTTAGCACTTCGTAATAGTAATCCTTCAGTCATAATTACCGGTTCAAAAGACTGCAACATAAAGTTTTGGTGCTAAAAAGAAAATTAATGGTTTTGTTAATAAACAATTCGAGAGCACTCCAATATTGTTACTGGATTATCTTTAAATCAAGAAGGAAACTCTTTAATTTCTTGTGGAGATGATAATCAAATCTTGATAATAAAAAGTATAGATGATCAGAGATGGAATGTAGTTTAAAAAATACAGGCTCATGGAGTCAGATTATCTTTCATTTCTAAAGAGACCTTTGCTTTTTAACCATGGTAGTCAGATAAACTAGAACTTTATACTTATGAACCGTAAGTAGGTTATTATAAGAAAAATAAGGAACTTGCAATTTCTGGATGTAAATAGTTCTGCACACATTTATTCCCATGCAGCTTTATAACTTCAAAGCAAATCTTACTCTCAAAAAATGGATACAATTTAAATTTAATCAAATTAAATACTTCCTCTTCAATTCTTCATGGCAAATTAGAGTAAGCAATTGAATTCAATTATCCTAATAATTGGCTGGGGACAATATTTGGTACTATGAGTGAAAATGGAGACTTTCTAATTACATGGGACAGCCAATCGAAGCAAATACAAATAAGAAAATACAAGGAAATTTATAAATAAAGGAGAAAATAAAATTCTTCAGTTTGCACAATATTTTGATTATGATGTTTTGAAAGCAAATTAAACATTATTATACTTTAATATGGCCTTACTAGTTCTACTTTCTATAAACTTTATTGATTAGGGAGAGACATCTGATGTAAATTTATCGTTAACAATTTTATAAATTGATCTTGGGTGGACAGATAAAACCATAGTCTAAAATTGAAAAAAATTACATTCAAATCACCATAAATTTTATTGAAGAACAGCTATAAAGAGTCATGTACACATCCTTCACTCTAATAACGTTTGAATAATACTGTTTATAATTCTTTCATTTTCTCATTACTATATTTATGAAAAACTATCTCCTTAACATTTAATCTTTCCTTCTAATTCATAATAGAGATTTCATATTAAGAATTTCTGAAATTCTCAGTCTTTCTAATCTATTTTGTATTTAAATCAATCTTTATTAAATGTAGTTGGATTATTATAAAAAAATATAGAATATTGTCTTTTTATCATTCCTCTTTAGAATAGTCATGAAATTGTAAAATCTAGCTAAATCAATAAGCATATAATAATTCAGTTGATTGTGGCTTTTGATAATTTAAATAAGTCAAATTGGAATATAAATGATTCAACCAGAAAATGTTTGCCAATCCTATTTTATAACCATATTAATTCAATAACTTCATGGATTAAAATAACACAATTTTATATTATTTTTCGGTACATTTTCACATTGATCTAAAATGAAGATTGAGATTATTTGATGATTTAAAATGCTGATAATAATGAGAGAAATTCAAAAACTGGGAGATAAAGATATATTAATATTATATATTAAATTCAGTTATTACTTATATTTGCAAAATTTTAAACAATCTATTGAAACATTCAAGATTTATCTTCCAGAATATAATCCAATACTGCTACTAACGAATATTTACTTGATATAGCCTGAAATAAGTCTTTAAACAAAAGAAAAAACTCAAATTGGTTTAATTTAGACAAGGTTATTTTATTAGCAAAAGGTTGGATTTTCAGAAATACATCTTGCTGAATTATAAATTAAATTTGAGCATTCTCTCTAGATTACATAATAGACTAGGCAGAAAATGATAAACGCAATCTGAAATTTGATTCTTAATGAAAATTAAAATTCATTTTAATAAGTTATATAATTTAAATTATTTCTATTTGCTACATTACATAAATTACATTATTAAATTTAGACTAATTTAATGAATGAAGGATCTAACTCATAAATCTGGAAATGTAGGGGCTTCTTTTAAAAAAGACATGTATCAATTTATTTTATTTTCTATGTGAGTGAAGATTGTATTACAAAAAAAAAATTATCTTCAATAATAATGTAAAATAATGTGTTGTTCAATAAATGTTAATTTATAGGTAATTATTATAGCAGAATACATCCAATAATATATTGAAAATATTGAATTTATTTATCATTAATTAGGAATTAATGTATCAAAATAAGAAAAAATAATAAATTATTTAATTATTGATAATTAAATTCTATTTTTGTCTTCAAATAAATAGTACTTCTGTAGCAACCTTAGCTTTCTCTTTTTTGCACAAGAATATGAATATTTTAATTATTTTAGGGATTATTTGCTTTGCAAGAACTATTGCAAGACATAAAATCAATAAATTCATGTGTATAAATCCTAAAGTAACTTTGTTTTCGTAAGAAACATAAACTTACTAAATTTCAAGATAAAAAAATAAACTTAAACTAAAAACTGTTAATGTTGCTTCAATTAAAATTGAAATAATTCTATCCCATTTAGAGCATTACTTATATTTATATAATAAGTAACATTAATATAAACTACTGACAGAGAGTAGTAAGCATTGTAAAAACTACTAATCTTAGAATAAAATTAAAATAATATGGAAAAGCATAGTTCTGCACATATCTAAAGTCATAAATTTTATTCTTAACTTATCTTTGATATTTTTGTTATAAATATCATTGCATTATTTAAAAGATTGTAGTAAAAAGTAAATAAAATAGAGAAATATTAAACCCGCAAATATAGTGGTCAAAACACTTCTAATATTATCTATTTGATTGTAATGAAGTTGTAAAATAACCTTAAATATCAAGTCCCATGAATTTAAATAAATTAATTCCCTAATTTAATCACAATTAGAAAGATATCTTAATTTAATTAATATTTTGATGCTCTTCCCTAAGTAAAGAATTACATTAATAACAGAAATTAATATTCTTGAGATTTTTGTTCTAAGATGGTAAATAGCCTTTTTATAAATAAGCAGTTTTAATAATAAATTCTATATTCTTTTGATAAAATGAAGCATTGTTATCAAGCCAAGAAATTATAATATCTGTGGAAATATATTGGTAAAAAGATCGGCATCTATATTATATTCTTTAAATTTTCCACTTAAATCAAGACTTTTTTATTCTTTTCTTGTTATTAAATTTAAAAGATCTTCAATTTGAAAGAATTTTAAATATGAAGTAATCGATAACAAATCCTATGCTTAAAAATATATACTTAGGTTCTCAGGATACTCAACATTAATATATCTTAAGAACGATTGATATTATAGAATACTAAAAATTTCAACAACTACTGAACTTTCACCTGAAATTAAAGATATTACACATAAACAAATTGCTCCAATCATNTTGTTCAATAAATGTTAATTTATAGGTAATTATTATAGCAGAATACATCCAATAATATATTGAAAATATTGAATTTATTTATCATTAATTAGGAATTAATGTATCAAAATAAGAAAAAATAATAAATTATTTAATTATTGATAATTAAATTCTATTTTTGTCTTCAAATAAATAGTACTTCTGTAGCAACCTTAGCTTTCTCTTTTTTGCACAAGAATATGAATATTTTAATTATTTTAGGGATTATTTGCTTTGCAAGAACTATTGCAAGACATAAAATCAATAAATTCATGTGTATAAATCCTAAAGTAACTTTGTTTTCGTAAGAAACATAAACTTACTAAATTTCAAGATAAAAAAATAAACTTAAACTAAAAACTGTTAATGTTGCTTCAATTAAAATTGAAATAATTCTATCCCATTTAGAGCATTACTTATATTTATATAATAAGTAACATTAATATAAACTACTGACAGAGAGTAGTAAGCATTGTAAAAACTACTAATCTTAGAATAAAATTAAAATAATATGGAAAAGCATAGTTCTGCACATATCTAAAGTCATAAATTTTATTCTTAACTTATCTTTGATATTTTTGTTATAAATATCATTGCATTATTTAAAAGATTGTAGTAAAAAGTAAATAAAATAGAGAAATATTAAACCCGCAAATATAGTGGTCAAAACACTTCTAATATTATCTATTTGATTGTAATGAAGTTGTAAAATAACCTTAAATATCAAGTCCCATGAATTTAAATAAATTAATTCCCTAATTTAATCACAATTAGAAAGATATCTTAATTTAATTAATATTTTGATGCTCTTCCCTAAGTAAAGAATTACATTAATAACAGAAATTAATATTCTTGAGATTTTTGTTCTAAGATGGTAAATAGCCTTTTTATAAATAAGCAGTTTTAATAATAAATTCTATATTCTTTTGATAAAATGAAGCATTGTTATCAAGCCAAGAAATTATAATATCTGTGGAAATATATTGGTAAAAAGATCGGCATCTATATTATATTCTTTAAATTTTCCACTTAAATCAAGACTTTTTTATTCTTTTCTTGTTATTAAATTTAAAAGATCTTCAATTTGAAAGAATTTTAAATATGAAGTAATCGATAACAAATCCTATGCTTAAAAATATATACTTAGGTTCTCAGGATACTCAACATTAATATATCTTAAGAACGATTGATATTATAGAATACTAAAAATTTCAACAACTACTGAACTTTCACCTGAAATTAAAGATATTACACATAAACAAATTGCTCCAATCATAAATGCTTTGTTTGATTATTATACTTTAATTGATGTTTATTTTATTGATTCAGAAATTACTTTTGGTATTTAAAGAGAAATAGATTAATTTTTAATTTGCAGAGGCTAATTATTTGAGTTAACAATTTCTTCATTTAGTGAAATTAAAAGAGTCGGTTTATTTAAAAGTTGTGTGAATATTTCAATTGTAACTTAATAATAAGCATATTAGAGATCAAAAGAAATAGCTTAAATTGGATTAACAGTAATGTTATAATCTTTGGGATCTAAATCATTAATGCTTATATTGAAGGATTGTTTTTAATTTGTTTGGTCCCTAAATTTTATTTATTAGTCGAAACTAATGTCAACATATTATAGAGAAAAATATTACTATTTAAAAGTCAGTTTCATGTTAGGTTATTTTGAGAAAGAGCATTCGGATTATCTACAGATTTCATTTCCATCTAAAATTGACTTTTTTGATCTAGGATCATTACTATCAAAAGATTCATTAATAATCTTAGTAGCATTCTATTCATTCAAAATACAAAGTTTATTAATCAAGAGATAATCAATATTACATTCAAGGCATATTCCTATTTCACAAAAAACACAATTTTAATTACACTAATACTAACAATTATGGCACCCATCAAATTAAGTTTCGTTTCCATCGTCACATTGCTCATCATCAGCAATAATCCCATCTCCACAGATTGATTAACATTAGTCTTCTTACCAAACTGTTCCATAGGGACAAAATACTCTTAAGCATTTACCTTATTGGCATATTTCACAATCTTGTTGGCATTAAAATTTGCATTCAAAACATCCATCAAATTGTTCATCATTTTAATCCTCACAATCTTCCAAGCCATTTATTAAAATTCCATCTCCACAAATAGGTTAGCATTAATTAAAATTGATTGAAAATCCATTTTAACATTAAAAACACCATTGTAAATTACATTAGAGGCAATATGGTTAACATTTAAACTAGCAATTCTAACATCCATCATCGATATCGTCGCACTACTCAGTTGTGAATGGAATCAAAATACCATCTCCACATTCTGGCTCGCATATATAATTAGAATTAACAACATAACCTCTGATACAACCTTAGCATTTTCCAAATTGACAAGTAATACAATTGAAATCGCATTAAAATTTGCATAAATTGCAACCATCAAATGGTTTAGTATTATCATCTTCGCATTCTTCATTGATACCTAATTTATTATCTCCACACAAATCTATATCATTGTTCAAATAAAAATTTGAAATTATCAAATTTGATATGCAATCATTATTAAATAAATAAAACCCTTATACGCACAAATCACATTTCCCTATTATGCAGCTCATGCAATTGATATCACAAGTGGAATAGCATTCGATATTATCATTGATCCTTTAGTTGTTTTAATCATAGCAAACTTCCTCTTCAACAACTATGCCATCTCCATATTAGGGGATACAATAAAATCCATAATATCCGGAATCACATTCAATACAAGTTTAATTTAAGCAAACTTTACAATTCTTTATACATATTTTTGAATCCAAACTTAAAGTACAAGTTTTTTCAATATTTTCCAAATGCGCTATATCTTCACATAATATACAATCATTCCCTATTTAAATTTTACAAAAATCAATCTGAATATCTGATTATATAAATTCTGTTTAACAAGTTTACAGAATAGGATTCATTTCAAACCCCACTTAGCAGATTTAGCACTTACCAAAAATGCAAATTTAGCAATTTATATCGCATTTGAATTTGTAATTATTGACATATGATAGTAATTGATAGCCATCTTCGCAATCATAACAGACTCCTGAAATGCAATTAAGACATGAATCCTCACAAGTAAATTAACAGAAATGGCATCCATCCTCAAAAATGATATTACCATCATCGCATTATTCATCATCTGTTACTATTCCGTCCCCACAAATTGAATAGCATAAATTATCTATTCTATTATACCCTAAATTACAAGAGAGACAACCTTGTCCATTATTATCGCATGTTATACAAGAAGATTAACATTTAGGAATACAATTTTAACAGCCTCTATATGGTAATATAAAGCCATCTTCACAATCTTCGCCAACAACTGTAATTGAATCTCCGCAAACTGGAATACATATCTTATTAGAAGAGAGAAAATATGTTGGAGCACAAACTTCACAGATATTATTAACACAACTTATACAAATAGCTATTGGTTAACATTAAAACTAGCATGAGCTGCTACAACCATCATAATTAGTTGTATTACTATCATCACATTATTCTGAATAGAAACCGGAAGGATCTGTGACTACTAAACCATCTCCACAAATATTCTTGCAATAATACGAATTTGGAACAAAACCAGGAAATTCACAGCTTAAACAAGTCTTTGTAGTGTAATTGCAAGATGAACAACCAATTCTACAGTAATACATACAATCTTTGCATCCATCTGTTTCGGAAGAATTTCCATCATCACATTATTCTGTTCCAACAATTAGTAAATCTCCACATCTTTCTTTACATTACCAAGGAGTGACTGTTGGATCAATATACCACCCCTCAGTAGCACATTCAAAACATTCCCCTTTAATACATTAAGTACATTAAGGCTAACATTAATACTAACAATTATAACATCCATCATATTAAATAGTATTGTCATCTTCACATTCTTCACTTCCAGTAATATATCCATCACCACAAATATCTGGACACGGTAAAGTAGTATTTTAGTCACAAGTTACACAATGAACTGGACATTGATATTAACAATTATAACACAAATCATCAAAAACACTATTATCGTCTTCACATTATTCATATCCTTTTATTTATAAATCCCCACAAATAGGCTCACATACTCCTTATAGTAATTGAAATCCTAAATCACAAGAATTACATGTAAGTGTATGCCATATATATGAATCATTATTACATAATTTGTAACATTGACTGATGGAATCATCTTCTATAATTGGACAATCTATAATAATTATTAAATATTTAAATTACTTGTGCAAATATTATTTAATTCATAATATCCAGGTATACAATCGCAACTTAACCCTTTTAATATTCTATTTAAGGAAGAATCACATGCTAAACAGCCATTAATACCAAATCTAAAACATATTTAACAGGATGAATGACAATAAGAACATGTTTATATTGAATCTTAATAATATGAACCTGTCGGACATCTGCATATTAATCCTACATTTTCTATATTAACAATATTTTTGCAAGTTATACACTCATCTGAAGTAGGTCCGAGACAAGTTTTACAAAATTTATGACATATACGACATTGAGGATCTGGTAGTATGGGATAATAACCATCTATACAATTACATTATCCATTTTCTAATTGTCTATTATTACTGATTAAGCATTCTATACAATAATTAGAACCTAAACATTGACTACATTCAATAGGACAATCAAAACATTAATTTGATTCTTCATATTAATTCTACTTACAAATACATCCTAATTTGCTTAAAGTAAACGTAGATTCACAACTTTAACAATCTATTTTAGATGTGCATGTTAAGCAAGATTATGAGCAGTATATGCATCTAACTGATTCTTAATCATAATATTAATTAATCAAACATTCTGTTTATGAAAATTTGATAACATTAGAATCATATGTACTATTCCATTATGAACATGTATTTTAATCAGAACACTCTAAGCAATAAGGTTTGCATTTATGAACAACTATAAAATAATTATAGAAGCCACAATAGGCCTGAATGGGTTCATTATTGGGTCCAAAACATTCCCAATAAATTGTTAAAGTACTTGTGCTGTGAGATATGCTTTAATATACCTTATCATATTTTGATCCATCAGAATAGAATGAATAATAACTAGATTTTGATTTAGAAACTGGCGGGTGGTTTTCAATTGTATATATGAACTACCCATCTGAAGGGAATGCTGGTCCATATAGGATATAAAAAGCAATAGTCATGCTATGATGTGGATCAACTATGTTATGAACTCTTTTGAATTTTGCTTAGGCCCAAACAAGTGGGCCTCCAAACACCCGGTAAGATTGCCAATATGAATAATAAATATCTAATCCTTTTAAAAAGTTGGTTCCATTTTGAGAAATTAAAGTATATTAGGAGTATTACTCAGGATCATTTTCTAGATTTAGATATTCTTAAATTAAAAATTAAGAGTCTAGATATATATAACTAGTCTTACATGGTGTTTATTAGTCGTAATCTACACAAAAAGAGCCATTTAATTTTTAATTTGGTTTTTGACAGCTATTTACACAAGTACCATCTTTATAAAAATAGTATCCACTATTACAAATCTTACATTTGAATGATACCTCACATAGTTTACAATTTTATGGACAATACCCCGCTGTAACTTACACTGATATTATTCCCCATCCAGCAGAGTTATCACTAATCTATGATAATTGAAATTTACGTGTAATTTCCAATTGCTGAGAATAACAATTGATTTTTAGGAATATCAAGGTATGTAATTAATAAATATTACTTGACAGAATATGTTTAATATGCCCCTAAAATCGTAGTTTCATAGATTTGTAAATTATGTGTCTGAATTCCTATATTGTTTCTATAAATTGATCCGTAATAAGTGTTATTAATTTTGAATCTGATTCCACAATTAAGTGGTATTTCATTGAAAGTTACAATCGTTAGGTGCAATCCAATTAATTGAGTTGCATAATTAGTTGATAATTCATTAATAAATCTATAAACTCCAGAATTATATTTAAATACTCCATATATGTATCGATAATATAGATAAATATTTGGATACACAGCATTATCTAAATGTAGTGAATCAAGGATTAATGACCATTTCATATTTTGTGAGGAGAAGGTATTTTAGGTAAATGATGTTGTTGTAAAAGTTTGAACTAAAATATTTATAATGATTACTCGGGTAACTTTAACAAAATCCATTCTTAAAAAGAGCAGAATCTATATGACAAATTTTTTTGCATCCTATATATTTCATATAATATTCATTTGCTGGGCAAGTGGGGCAAATTCCATTAGTAGGCGTTTGATAATAGCAATTTGTACATTCCTAGAATCCAGGACCACCACATTTGGAACAAGATGGAAAACAAATAAAAGTAGATACATAGTAATTCTTGATTGAAACTTACCCATCACCAGAATTTTAGGAGAAAAATAAAATTTCCTTAATGTTAGAAGTTGTTATAGTAAAATTTACTGTTTTTATAACAGCACTTAAGGAATCACAAAATGCATTAGTTGATGAATAAACTGATGGTGATTCATAATAATATAAGTATTCAAATGAACCTTTTTTAAATTTTACTGTTTAATTTTGCCAAGTACCCTGAAAATATAAATCAAAAGCTAAAAAATCTCCTGTGTTCGTGTAGTGGGTTTAATTTGTTACAACCGTCGGATAATTACTATTTAAAGTGATATAGCTTGTTTCTGGGTTGATACAAGTGATAAAATTGGCTGTGGTTTGTGTAGATTACTATAAAAAGGTTCCAGATTTTAAATATGCATTGGGACCAGTTGATTCTGTAAATATTGTGTTTGATGCTAACAAAGCAACTGTGTTGTACCATTAGCATTAAGAAACTTCAACATAAGCAAGAACGATGATTATGAATAAAAATCGCATTGTTTTAT